TTCTGTTGTGCCCTCTGCCGAAGAACGTGTCGACCGACTTCAGACCGTTCTCGAGGATCTCAAGGCCGACCTCCGGGTTGCCCAAGAGTCCTACACTTTGCAGGCCAACAATTCCCGTCTCCCCACTCCCGACATCTCCGTTGGCGACCTCGTTTTTCTTGATCGTCGCCACATCCGCACCCTTCGTCCCTCCAACAAGCTTGATCAGAAAAAGCTTGGCCCCTTTAAAGTTCTTCGCCGCATCAACCCCGTTGCCTTTGAACTTAAACTCCCTTCCACACTCAAAGTCCACCCCGTCTTTCATGTATCCCTCCTTGAACCCCGAACGAAGGACATTGTTCCCGAGTTCACCCAACCCGAACCTCCACCCATTCTTGTTGACTCCCAGGAAGAGTTTGAGGTCGAGACTGTTCTCGATTCTCGGCTCTTCCGTGGTCGCTTACAGTACTTGGTTCAGTGGAAGGGCTATTCCGAGACTGACCGGTCTTGGGAGCCCGCTGCCAATGTTTCCCACGCCACTGATCTTGTTGCTGACTTCCACCTTCGCTATCCCTCAAAGCCGAAGGCGACGCCCGGAGTTCGTCGCTAAGGAAGGGGATGATGTTAGGGATAGCTTCTGCTTGTTCTCCACTTTGACTGCACACTTGGCTGTTCTTTTGCCTTTCTGTTTGTTTGTGTGTAGCTTTGCAGTTCCCCTCCAATTTTCCGCCTTTTGCCTGCCATTTCCGCTCCTTCCGCACTTCCGTTTCCCCGCGCTGCTCCGCTTCCTTTGTCTTCTTCGCACGCGCCGGTTTGTTTGTGCACGCGCCTTGCTGCGATTGGTTGCAATTCGGCTGCCGGTCATGTGTCCCACCACCGGTGACTCATGACCTGCCTGACCGCCCCGATCTCTTGTTCATCTCGCATGCATTTGCCCCAACCTTATACTTGACCAATCCGCTTCTTGGACGTTGAGTCACATTGCTTCGCCTTTGCACGTTTCTCCTGCCAGGTGCTTCGCTTTTGCTTGCGCCTCCCTCGCTTTGGTTCTCTGCCTGTCTCGGTGGTCCTTCTCGGCCCTCGTTCGTGCATCGCCCCCTTCGCCCTGCTCGATCGCCCACTTTTCCCTCCCTTGGCCGCCCTTCGCTGCCAAGTCCGGACTTGTCTATAAATAGCCTGACCCCCGCGATGTGTAGTCGAACCTCAGCGTTCAAAATAGGACTAAATAAAGTGCCTTCTACTTTATTCTCTGAGTGTTCCTCACGTCTCATTTCGAGACAAGTCTTATCTTGAACGGATCTTTGCTTCCCTCGCTCCCTCTCCGAGTCCACTTCGGACTTTACCCTTGCCTTCCCTGAGCTCACTTCGAGCTCACTTCTTCTTTTGCCGTTGAGTCCCCTTCGGACTCTAACAGCCTGCCACCCCAACGCACCGTCGATCATCGCATCGACATCGAACCAGGCTCGTCGCCTCCGTCAAGACCGACGTACCAACTGTCGCTGACGGAGATGGACGAACTCAAGCGCCAGTTGGATGACCTCCTCGCCCATGGGTTCATCCGCCCGAGCCAGTCACCGTATGGTGCACCAGTGCTCTTTGTCAAGAAGAAAGAAGGTGATCTCAGGATGTGCGTCGACTATCGCGCACTAAACAAACAGACCATCAAGAACACCTACCCGTTGCCCAGGATCGACGAGTTGATGGATCGTCTGAGTGGAGCAAAGGTCTTTAGCAAGATAGACCTCCGCTCAGGCTACCATCAGATCCGCATCCACGAGGATGATGTCCACAAGACCGCCTTCAGGACTCGCTACGGACTGTACGAGTTCCTAGTGCTGCCGTTCGGATTGACGAACGCACCTGCCACGTTCATGCAGCTGATGAACGATGTGTTCCGCCAAGAGCTCGACAACTCTGTCATCGTGTACCTGGATGATATCCTTGTGTACAGCAAGGATGAAGCGACCCATGAAGGTCATGTCGCCCGCGTGCTGGCCAAGCTACGCGAGCACAAGTTGTATGCCAAACTGTCCAAGTGTGAGTTCTTCAAGAATCAAGTCCCGTTCCTGGGACACGTTGTCTCAGGAAGAGGAATCGAAGTCGACCCCGCCAAGGTCAAGTCTGTGGTCGAGTGGCCGCCGCTCGCATGCGTCTCTGACGTGCAGTCGTTTCTCGGTCTCGTCAACTACTACCGCCGATTCATCCCCGATCTGGCGCGCACTGCCGGTCCACTCACAGACCTACTCCGCAAAGAGTGCCCCTTCGTGTGGGACCACCCACAACGCCAAGCGTTCGAGACCCTCAAGCACGCCTTGACGAACGCTCCTGTCCTCGCTGTGTTCGACCCGAACACGGATGTCTCCGTGCACACCGACGCCTCCGACTTTGCGGTGGGAGCTGTTTTGATGCAGGAGGGAAGGCCCGTTGCCTTCGAGTCGCGCAAACTGTCCCAACACGAGATCAACTATCCCGTGCACGAGAAGGAGCAGCTTGCGATCATCTACGCGCTGCAGAAGTTCCGAGTGTACCTCCACGGTACCGCCAAGCCCTTCAAGATTGTGACGGACCACCAGTCACTGCGTTACCTCGACACCAAGAAGAACCTGAGCCGACGCCAAGCGCGATGGATGGAGTTCCTCGCCGAGTACAACTACGAGGTTGTATACCAGAAAGGCAAACTCAATGTGGTGCCTGACGCACTGTCCCGACGCCCCGACTACCAATTGGCGTCACTGTACGAGTCGACTGTCAGTGTCGACAACACGATGCTGGATGTTGTCCGAGACAACATCGCCAACGACAAACAGTTCGGAGAACTGTTCCGAAAGGTGTCTAAGCTCCCCAAGGACGACGAATCATCCGAGTACACAGTGCGTGATGGCCTGCTCCTCCTGAAGAAGGACAGCCGTGTCTGTGTGCCGGACATTCCGTCGTTGAAGACCAAGTTGCTCCAAGAGGTCCACGACTCGCCCCTCGCTGGACACTTTGGAGTCGAGAAGACATACGACCGACTGGCCAAAGTCGCATACTGGCCTGGAATGAAGCGCACCGTCGAGAAGTACATCGAGTCCTGCCATACCTGCAAGATGGTCAAGTCACGCACGACCCGAGAGCAAGGATTGCTGCAACCCCTGCCTGTTCCCGACCGCCCCTGGACCAGCATGTCCATGGATCTCATCACGCATCTACCGACGACCAAGTTGGACCACGATGCAATCGCTGTCTTTGTCGACAGGTTCAGCAAGATGGCACACTTTGTGCCGTGCCAGACGACATGCTCCGCGCCTGACCTTGCACTGCTGTTCTTCAAGCATGTGTTCAAGCACCACGGCCTCCCAAAGTCCATCGTCAGTGATCGAGACCCCCGATTCACCTCCTTGTTTTGGACAAGTCTGTTCGACCATCTCGGCACCAAGCTGAACATGTCAACCTCGCACCACCAACAAACGGATGGACAGTCCGAGCGGACGATCCGCACCCTCGAGCAATACCTGAGGACATACGCCTCGACCAGCCAAGACGACTGGGACATACAGCTGAGTCATGCAGAGTTTGCATACAACACCGCCAAGTCGAGCACAACTGGCTTGAGCCCCTTTGAGGCGCTCTACGGATTCCAGCCTGATGTTCCCACCTCCTTGACACTGACCGAGTCCACGGCTGGATTGCCTCCCAAACCAAGTGCCTTTGTCAAAGATCATCAAGTCCGACACAAGATGATCGCCGACGCGCTCACGGATGCGCAACAAGTGATGGCGAAGTACTACGACCGCCGACACCAGGATGTCTCCTTTGAAGTTGGAGACCTTGTCTACCTGGACGCCGACAACATCAAGGTCCCCGAAGCCCAGTCAAAGAAGTTGTTGCCCAAGTACCGAGGACCGTTCAAGATAGCGGCCCGACCCAGTCCCCTCAACTACCTGTTGGACTTGCCACCTGGAAGCAAGCTCCATCCTGTCTTCCATGTGTCCAAGCTGCGTCGCCACACGACCCGCAGTCCAGCACAGTTCCCCGACGCCGACGAAGGTGTCCCGGACGACGCACCACTGGAAGACGACCTCGGACAATACTATACTCAAGAATATGAAGTCGAAAGGATCGTGAGGCACAAGAAAGTGGCTGATGGGTCACTTCGGTTTTATGTCAAGTGGGTTGGTTACCCACACTCGGGCAACACATGGCAAACACTGGAGGACTTGTCCCATGCACCCGAGGAGCTGAGTAAATACGGTAAACACCTCGAGGAGCCCCAAATAAAGAGCACACGCAGGGCTCCTCGCAGGAAGCCTTCTTAAGTGTGGGAGTGTAGGAGATGGTATCTCCGACGCTGTGCTGCGCGTACTGCGCGTACTGCGCGGCGCAGTGGGTCGTGACCTGTGCTGCGCTTTGCGTTTTCACGCACCGCAGGCAGGCCACCGCAGGGTATACCTGCGGGTTGCCCCCGTTCCCCCCGTTTGTCTGGAGTTCGGTTTTATCGTGAATAAACGTAAGTGCTCCCCGAGCTCACCCGTCCGCTAGAGTAGCCTAGCACCGCCCTGTTCTGCCCCGTCCTGTCTTGTCTTGTACCCCCTCCCTCCCCGTCTTGCCCCAACGTCCCAGTAGTGGACGTTACACGGACAATACTATACTCAAGAATATGAAGTCGAAAGGATCGTGAGGCACAAGAAAGTGGCTGATGGGTCACTTCGGTTTTATGTCAAGTGGGTTGGTTACCCACACTCGGGCAACACATGGCAAACACTGGAGGACTTGTCCCATGCACCCGAGGAGCTGAGTAAATACGGTAAACACCTCGAGGAGCCCCAAATAAAGAGCACACGCAGGGCTCCTCGCAGGAAGCCTTCTTAAGTGTGGGAGTGTAGGAGATGGTATCTCCGACGCTGTGCTGCGCGTACTGCGCGTACTGCGCGGCGCAGTGGGTCGTGACCTGTGCTGCGCTTTGCGTTTTCACGCACCGCAGGCAGGCCACCGCAGGGTATACCTGCGGGTTGCCCCCGTTCCCCCCGTTTGTCTGGAGTTCGGTTTTATCGTGAATAAACGTAAGTGCTCCCCGAGCTCACCCGTCCGCTAGAGTAGCCTAGCACCGCCCTGTTCTGCCCCGTCCTGTCTTGTCTTGTACCCCCTCCCTCCCCGTCTTGCCCCAACGTCCCAGTAGTGGACGTTACACTACCTCACCAATCGATATGGTGAGTTTGACGTCCAGAAAGCGATTCTGGACCAAGACGCCAAGCGCCTCTTCCGGAGCTACCCTTCCCCGTCCCCGAGCTTCTACGGCGACCGCTGGCTATTGAAGATTATGGACGCACCCGAGGACACCACGATGTACACCAAGGCCGAGCGAGCAACTGCCTCTGTCGTCTTTGCCCGCATTTTGATGAACCGCTGCATTGGATCGGAGGGTAAATATCGAATTACCCGCAACAAATTGAAGACTTATTACGATGCCGTCGAAAATGCCGCCAAACTCGGGGACACTGTCGCGGTGTATATACTGGGCATCGGATATCTGAGTCGATACGGCCTCTCGGTTATATACTCGGACAATGTTGTCGAGGAGAAGGCGATTCCCAGACTCGAGAATGCGAGTGCCGCCGGGTATCCGTTTGCCACCGCCCTTCTCGCTACGATCTACCGACGCAAGTGGCTCTACCATCGAGGCAATCGAAAGGAAATGAAGTTCTGGAGGCTCCTATTCAACGCCCAGTGGACACAGAGTGCTGAACACTGGGCGTCCGTCCGCAGGTTCTACAGAAGGGAGGTCGTCACTCACACATCCGTCATCAGCATTCCCCAAGCCATCGTCGACCTCATCGCCCACAACGTCAAGTGCTTCAGGGATCACCCGGATTTCAAGCCTCTGAGTGGTAGGGAGAGCAGACGTTTGTACAAATGGTACCGGGCGAACGACTTTTACGAGGCCGAATTTGAAAAAGACGAATACTCCATGTCGGATGATGAATTGGCGGATTTCTGCAGTGAATCGATGGACATTGACGATGATGGTGATGTTTTTGTGCTGGATGATTCTGTTTCCATTCCATCCGAGCTCAATGGTGCGATCTTTGACTTGACTTCTGACTCTGAGGATGAATTGATTGAATAAAGACACTGCTTTGATCCGTGTACATGTACTCTGGGTGATGGGACATGGAGTCTTTGTGTTTGGCGGTCCTTGTAGGACGAGTGACAGGTCGAATCCTTGCTGGCAACCACGTGATCCGGCTGGATCCGATTCGATCCGCGGTTCGGACAGGCTCGGTGATCTTCGTCTCGGGTTGGATGCGGATTCCCCCTACCTCCCCAGCTCCAGCGACAATCTCCCATCTCCCATCCAGCCAATATGGCGAGCCCTCCTGAGCGCCGAGTGACCCGCTCGCAGACCCGTCGAGCCCTCGCCTTAGCCGGTGCGGGTACAAGCCCCGCGAACCTCAACCCAGTCCAGTCGGCTCATCGGGGCTTTGTCCCCGACATCTTCACCATCATATGCTGCAACGACAGCTTCCAGTTCTCCCTTCCACCCACCGATATCGGGAATCTGCGACTGGTGTGCAAGCAGGCAAACTTCATTTTGGACACCAAAGTGAACCGATTCCGGCTCTGGCTTGAGAAGCACCGCCCTGCTCGATCGCCCACTTTTCCCTCCCTTGGCTGCCCATCGCTGCCTAGTCCGGGCTTGCCTGTAAATAGCCTGACCCCCGCGATGTGTAGTCGAACCTCAGCGTTCAAAATAGGACTAAATACAGTGCCTTCTACGTTATTCTCTGAGTGTTCCTCACGCCTCATTTCGAGACAAGTCTTGAACTCATCTTTGCCTTCCTCGCTCCCTCTCCGAGCCCAAGTCGGCCTTTGATGCCCGGCCATTCTATCCAATCGGGTTCGCGCGCAGCTTGTGCCATGCCTGTGGCACCGCCTGTCAGCGCAGCAGGTTCGTGCTGTGCGGCTCGATAGCTTATCGCCATCCACAGACATTTACCGTTGTATCCGACTTGACGAGGTGTTTTACATTTTGCTTTGTCGATGGCGTCCGTCCTTCCCCTTTCGCATCGCGCGACTCTGGCCGAGTTTGGGGGCTCGGGTCCCCAATCCACCCGGGGATGGGGAGTATAAAGCATCCACCCAACCCCCGCGCTCCATTTCCCCCATCGCCCTGATCTCATCCACGATGCTCCAAAGGATCATCGTCATATCAGCCCTCGTTGGACTGCTGTCCCTCTGGTGGCTGCACCAGAAGAAACAAGCACCAGGTCAGTGTCGTTGATTGCTGAATCGATTCTGAACAATAATGGTCGTGGATTGGAGATAAACCAGGACGACTTCTCGGTAAAATGGCGATGTCGGGAATCGAACCCCCGTCATCGGAGTGATCTTGGATCGAGCCACGGATCCAGTGTGGTTCGAATTGAATTGGTTTGTCATGTGATCTGACTCTCGCTCATTCGATCCAAAGATGACAACCACCAAGTTAACACCAAGGAACCCGGCGACATTCAATCCAAAACCGTTAGGACCTCTAATGAAGACGAAGAAACTGAAGTGACAGAGGAGTCTAAAGAATTTGATGAATTCCTTAAGAAATATGGCCTCAATGAGCAAAGAGATTGCTTCATCGAAAACGGATTGAATTCTATCGAATTAGTAAGCTTGATCTCGGCTCCAATCCTCGGTACTTTGACCCGCATTGCTAACGTGTGCACCATAGCTCCTCACCTTAGATGGCAAAGAGATGAAGGATATTGGCTTGAAGATTGGTCATATCAAAACCCTCAAGAATGCGCAGGAAAGACATCGTCAAGCTCTTGCCTCCCCCTCCAGTTCCAATCCGGCACCAGCATCCACTTCCACTATCCAGCAAACAAATGTTACTGAAGACAAAGAAGCCACTCCCCAACCCAAATCGGATATCAAAGTGGAGGGTGATGAAACGCCCTTGGACAACATTCTGACATCTCCACCACCAGATTACCAAACCAGTGTCAACGATATCATTCAGACAGAGCCTATCGAAGCAACCGCCTCAGACGAGGAGCCACTACGCAATACTTCGAATACGTTCCATAAATTCCTTGAGGACAACGGACTCACTAAATTCAAAGGCCGTTTTGAGGAACGCGATTACGACACCGTCGATGTGGTAGGTATCCTTTACCATCCATAGAATCAACCAAGTGCGTTACTGACCCTTGCACTCCACAGCTCCTTGCTCTCGATGATATCCAGATTGCCAAGGTCGGCCTGAATGATGGTGCCATCATGAAACTCAAAATTGCACAACAAAAGCATGGTTCACCCAGACTCGATAAACCAAAGGAGCCACCAAAACCTTCCAAACACACTATTGTTCCGCCCAAACGTCTCCTGGATCCAAGCGAGTACACTCCGGCAGAACCGACCCAGAATTGGAAGTGCAAAACACACTATGTGAAGCACGACGTCTTCATCAGGTAAGCGGCGATTCGTTCGCAACCACGTCATTTCACCCAGCTAACATGTGCCCCCACAGTTACCGAGTCCGTAGTGACGCCAGCAATGCGACTGCCCTGCATGGAACCCTCGCTATCACTCCGCGAGGCCAAATGGCACTTCATCCCTATCTCGACAGTCTCTGTCTCTGTGACGGCATGCCCTGGGAACAAGGTTTCATCAATGGTCTCTACCAATCGGACGTGATTGTCCTAGTTCTCTCCGAGGCTGGACTCGATCAAACCTACAACGCGCACAATGAGAAAGACAATCAATTTCTCGAGGTACGTATCTTCACTTCTCCCTCTTTACCCTCAAACTCGCAGTCTCACATCCATTGTGTCTATAGATCCAGCACGCTCTCAAGAGAATGAAGGATGGCGAGAAGAGTGGCAACCCCGTTACCATCCAGCCAATTTTCATGTGGTATTCAAAAGAGATCGATGGCGAGACATTCCAGAAGAAGTACTTCCCGCCCATCAAAGAGCTCCCTGACTACCCTCCGATCCACGAGAAGAGCCCGTTGTTCGATGGGAAGCCAATGTCGATCCGTGAAACTTTTGCCGAGCTGATGAAGCTACAGGCTCTTGATGCCTCGGACGGAAACGCACTGCGGAGGTAAGCGTATCACTGTTGTATATCATGTTATCGATACAATCTCACACTCTTGATATTCGACAGACTAGTGCCCAATATTCACGAGCTCATAACAAAGACTTCCACTGCCGCCAAGGAGGGCGACGTGTACACACAAGGCGGCAGTGTCGTCCTCACCGCCGAACAAGACTCGCTCCTGCGATCCCTCCTCGATCCCGTCGACTCGACCCAGGACCAGCACGACCTTGAGGATCTGTATGTCGAGGGTACCCGCCAGTGGCTGTTCGACCAAGTCACTCACTGGGTCAACGAAGACACCAAAGACACTGTCCTGTGGGTGAATGCCGTTGCTGGTGTGGGCAAGTCTGTTGCCGCAGCCAAGCTGGCCAGCTTCCTCCGGGGCAAGAACCAGCTGGTGTCGGCGCTGTTCCTCAAGTACAACGACACCCGCAAGAGCGATCCGCGGGCCGTGCTGAGCACGATCGCATACGGCCTGTGCCAGTGGTATGCCCCCATCGGCCGCAAGCTGCTCGATGCTGGCCACTCCAAGGACAGTCTCGACAAGATGTCCATCCCCGAGTTGTTCAAGGCCGTGATTGCCGATCCACTCGAAGCCATCGGCAAATACAGACCCAAGGGATCGGTGATGATCCTGGTGGATGCACTCGACGAGTGCTCTCCACGCGACCAGCTGCTCAGTCTGCTTGCCTGGCGGTTCGTCGAGCTGAACAAGACCCGTCCGTGGCTCAAGCTGCTGCTGACATCCCGACCCGAGAAGGACATCAAGGCAGCATTCCATGGAGTGAATGCCAAAACAATCGAGCCCTCGAGCGATGAGAATATCGCCGACTTGAGGGTATTCATCAGGCACCGACTCACCAACGAGCACAAGGGCCTCACAGACGCCGACAGAGAACATGCCATCGAGATCATCCTCCAGAACCCGGCTCAGTCGAATGAACATGGAAAGCCAGCTGATACCAAGGATTCGGCTGACGATGACAAATCCAAGACATTCGTGTGGATCAACCTGATCCTTAACACGCTCAAGGAGCAGGCCAAGAGCGAAGCCATCACACTCACCAAGATCAGGGAGCTCAATGACAGTGCCACTGATGTCAAGCAGCTCTACGGGATCACATTCACCAAGATCCACTCCGGGTCGAGTCGTAAGGGCGAACTGATCACCGTGATCTCGGCTATCGCCACATCGCAGACCATCCTCACGCCCAATATGATTTCCGGGGTCTTCTTCCGCAACGTGGCCGAGGGATATGCACTCCGCATAGTTCACGAATGCCTGAGGAGTCTCAACTTGGTTCTCGCTCCTGGTGCCAACGGATCCACCGACGATGGCGAGGTCAAGTTCAACCACAAGTCGGTGGCGGACTATCTCCTCGGCGACGCATCAATTGGCCACCCATGGCATGTGTCGAGCTCGTTCCACATGGTGTTTGCCAAGGGATGTCTCGGTGTGATCCTCTCGCACGAGCCAGTGATCAACATCTGCGAGATCATCGAGTTCCACGACAAGATCGCTGACCTCGAGGACAGGGTCGCAGACAAGATCACACCGTCGCTGCGATACAGCGTCGCCCACTGGGTCACCCATCTGATTGAGGGTACCAAGGTCAATGGTGTTGAGTTGGATGGTCCCTTTGAGACACAATCCTTCGAAGAACTGGCCCCGTTCTTCAGACAATTCATGTCGACCCATGTGTTCTACTGGCTCGAGTGTGGGTCGCTCACACATGTGGTCAAGCCGATCATCGAGCAACTGGCTGTGCTGCGAGGAGTGGTCGCCAAGGCACCCAGCACCATCGTCGACGACACCACGAAGGAACTGGTCAAGGACACGTATCGATTCATCCGCGAGTTTGCCGATCCGATCATTGCGAGTGCACCACAGGTGTACAACTCGGGGTATGCATTCACACCAAAGGAAACGGCGATCTACAAGACATATGCCGACCAGCTCGAGGACAAGATCCCGTTTCTGGTCACGGCCGGTCCAGCACCCACCTGGGATCCGTGTGTGATGACACTCATCGGACACAACGGCAGTGTGCATGCCGTCGCGATCTCGCCCGATGGCAAGTGGATTGTATCTGGCTCGAATGACAAGACCATCAAGGTGTGGGATGCCACCACAGGCCAGTTGAAGCACACCCTCGAGGGACACACAGACAGTGTGATCTCCGTGGCTATCTCACCCGATGGCAAGTGGATTGTCTCTGGCTCTGGCTCTAGATCATTTGGTTCCACAGACAACACCATCAAGGTGTGGGATGCCACCACAGGCCAGCTGAAGCACACCCTCGAGGGACACACAAGCTCTGTGAACTCTGTGGCGATCTCACCCGATGGCAAGTGGATTGTCTCTGGCTCTGGATCATTTGGTTCCACAGACAACACCATCAAGGTGTGGGATGCCACCACAGGCCAGCTGAAGCACACCCTCGAGGGACACACAAGCTCTGTGAACTCTGTGGCGATCTCACCCGATGGCAAGTGGATTGTCTCTGGCTCTGGATCATTTGGTTCCACAGACAACACCATCAAGGTGTGGGATGCCACCACAGGTCAGCTGAAGCACACCCTCGAGGGACACACAAGCTCTGTGACCTCCGTGGCTATCTCACCCGATGGCAAGTGGATTGTCTCTGGCTCTTGGGACAACACCATCAAGGTGTGGGATGCCACCACAGGTCAGCTGAAGCACACCCTCGAGGGACACACAAGCTCTGTGAACTCTGTGGCTATCTCACCCGATGGCAAGTGGATTGTCTCTGGCTCCAGTGACAGGACCATCAAGGTGTGGGATGCCACCACAGGCCAGTTGAAGCACACCCTCGAGGGACACACAAACTATGTGAAATCCGTGGCTATCTCACCCGATGGCAAGTGGATTGTCTCTGGCTCTTGGGACAACACCATCAAGGTGTGGGATGCCACCACAGGCCAGCTGAAGCACACCCTCGAGGGACACACAAGCTCTGTGACCTCCGTGGCTATCTCACCCGATGGCAAGTGGATTGTCTCTGGCTCTTGGGACAACACCATCAAGGTGTGGGATGCCACCACAGGTCAGCTGAAGCACACCCTCGAGGGACATACAAGCAATGTGACCTCCGTGGCGATCTCACCCGATGGCAAGTGGATTGTCTCTGGCTCCAGTGACAGGACCATCAAGGTGTGGGATGCCACCACAGGCCAGTTGAAGCACACCCTCGAGGGACACACATATAGTGTGACCTCCGTGGCGATCTCACCCGATGGCAAGTGGATTGCCTCTGGCTCGGCTGACAATACCATCAAGGTGTGGGATGCCACCACTGGCCAGCTGAAGCACACCCTCGAGGGACACACATACTGGGTGAAATCCGTGGCGATCTCACCCGATGGCAAGTGGATCGTCTCTGGCTCTTTTGACAAGACCATCAGGGTGTGGGATGCCACGACTGGCCAGGTGAAGCACACCATCGAGGGACACACAAACTATGTGAACTCCGTGGCGATCTCATCTGATGGCAACTCAATTCTGTCTCGCGACTTGAACGACAATCATATCCTCTGGGTCCGTCGCGGTGACGAGTGGGTTCAATCCGACGAGGATCCCTCCAACTTTACCGCCGCATCCAACCCACATGCATCGTCCCAGTGGACCGAAATCGATGAAGACAACGCACCTCAGTGGATCCGTCATGGCAGCCACATCACCAAGGTCCCACACGCACTCTTTGGCAATCAGAGGTTCACTCCCCCATCTGGAGTATATTTCGTGATGAGCAATATCTTCCCATCCCGTCCAGTCATCATCCTGGTAAGTCCAGCCACTTGTCATCACTGCTCCAGTCCCTCAACTAACACTCCTACCACCACAGCCAATCTACCTCAACACCCCAGAGATCCGAGCCGAGATTGCCAGATACATCGAAGCTCGACCAGCCATCACTCCCACTTTCGAAGTGGCAAGAACAGCAGTCGATGAGTAAGCTTGAGTCACCGAAGAACAAGCCAAACCGAAGGGTCTGTTCAAGTGGTTCCGCAAGTAGTGTGGGAAGAACGCAAGTGCAATTGGAATGTATTGCATGCGAATTATCGAATACAGTGTCCGTATGCCGTGTGAATTTGGGCATAGGTCCGCCTCTGCCGCCGCCAAATTTGCGTTCAAACCCGACCACAATGGTCGTTGAAGCGAAGACCAATGAACCAGTCTCGCGTGTGGACAGAGCCACGGTGGTTCCAGACAGAGCTGGAGGTCTCAACTGGCGAACCAGTTGGTGATGGGCGGCGGCAGAGGGCTTATCAAATCAAATCAAATCAACAGAGTCATGTTCCAGGAGTGGTTCCCATTTGAGTCGGGAGAGTATCGGGCTTGGTGGTCTTGGTGTCGCGAGCGATGCTCGAGTGGATCGATAGAGACAGGAATGGTCTCGGATGTGCCATGGATGGGCAGGAGTGTCTTGAGGCGTCGATGGTGACGTGCGACGCGTAGTAATCGCGGAATGCGATGGATAGGATGGTTTGTGCCGGAAGATAGCAGGTAATATAGGTAATATAGGCAATGTAGGTAATGATAGTATAGGCCGTAGAAGAGGCAGTATGGAGTAGGCAGTGGGCAATGGGCCAGAGGACGAAGGCCAGGATGAGCATGATTGCGATTGTCATTTTTGGTTTCTGCGAATGGAACGTGCAGACTGGAGGTGCCGAGTCATGTTAGCCATCGCACAGCATGACACACGGACATGCATGGAGTATCATCACGGAAGGAAATGCACTTACGTTACGGTCTTGAATGTTGCTGCTGCCCAACTGCCTGGGGGGCAATCAGTAACATCAACACCAGCCGAATTTATGGGCCAGGAATCCCGCCAAAACCCAGCCCGCCAAAACCCAGGGCGCCAAAGCCAACCCGCCAAAACCCGCCACCAATCACTCCTGTAGGATGTGCTCTTCCCGCCATGGGGCCAGGGCCAGCCCCCACATGACGTCGATACCCCGGACCATCATTTTACAGTACCACCATTATGCTATTCCTCAAGCGTCAACATGAACCCACAACGACCATGTAGACGCGACCTGAAAGCCTCACGCACCACCATGTTCGACCAAGCAGAAAGATCTGTCCATCGACGAGTGCCCACGATGATAGCGCAGCACCAAACAACACCACGAACCACAATACCCACCATCCCAGAACATACACACCGATAACACCATTCTCACAACCCCAGCGGACACCACACAAACAGACATGAAACACAACTGCGCACGGATACCACGGAACCATCAACAAACCACAATAACAACGATACATCAATACTCCACATTCGACGACATCCCACACCGAATTCCAACGAACCCACCAGATACGGTATCTACCACACTGTCCCCCCTCCGATAACACAAGTCACACGGACCACACAAACCCAAGCCACACGCAAGCAGACGACAGAAATATAAAAGAGGACGAATTCCCCCCCAAACCCGATGGACGTCCAAACCCAACTATCACGACGACCACGACGATCACAACTATCACGACTACCACTACTATCACGACTATCACGACTACCACTACTATCACAACACCACAACTATCACGACTACCACAACCACCACGACTATCACGACTACCACGACTACCACGACAACCACAACCACACTTAACCTAAACCTAACCTAACCTAACCTAAACCCTCACAATAAAACACCATATACCACAAATATCACAACTACCACCACTACCACCACTACCACCACTACCACATCCACCCCAACTACCCCTACCACCACCCCGCCAGCCACATCATCTACCCCTACCCCGCCGTACCCTACGACTACCCCGTCTTCCGTTAGGTTACGCTAACCCTACCGTCCTCCACAGCCCCCACCCCACGTCTACCCCTACCCTAACGCCTATACCGTTTTTCCCCATCTACATTATCTCTCAAAAACGGTATAGTCACCGATATACCCCTATACTACTGGTGGTGCATGTTTGCCAGTTTGGACCTGGAATGGACTTGGCATGGACTTGGCATGGACCTGGCTTGCATCAATCGCTCAGGGTCAAGGCAACGATCCACTGCCTGGCAGTGAGGTCGGAGCGGATAAAGCCGTTGTTGGCGGTGAGCTTCCACGATTCGTTGACGCCGTTCATAGCCCAGGCGAGGCCCTTTGGTTTGTCGGCTTGATTGAAGCTTTTGAGAACATGGGCCACAGAGTCCTCAAATCGCCCGAGCTTGCGATGGTGGTCGTAGTGGCTGAAGACACTGGCAGCGATCGCAACGACGACCCCTGCGATGCCGGTGACGAGTGCGAGGGGAATGAAGAAGAAGGCAGCGATCGATGCCACGAACAGGAGGAGCCCGATATATACAAAGACGGTGCAGACGGCGTTGCGCTTGACGACGAGCGAGCGGCTGAGAACGTCGATCCGGTTGCGGATCTCGTTCTCGGAGAGCCGGTCGAGGATAGCCGCTGGCAGCACCGGGTTCGGGGGCTCTGGGCTGCTGATCACCCAGCCGGCATGGAAAGTAGTGTACGAAATCAGAATCTGGGACATGGCTCCGAGACAGACCGGGGCAGACAGGACCTTCGGAGCTGCCGCTGCATCGGCTGCACCCAAATCGGCTCGAAGGCAAAGCTCTGAAGCGCATGTGCGGCTGCGTCGGCGGACCTGGCCACACCCGCACCTGCCTTGCTTGTTTCCTTCCACGGACGACGGCGTGCTGTTGCAGCCCGAGCCCCTTCCATGGCCGCGGTCATGGCCCGGCATGTCGCAGCCAAGGCGAGCCCTCGATCCCAGGTTTCTGTGCCGAGACATGCAGCGGCAGAAGCCGGCGGCCGAGACGAGCCCTCGGCTGCGACATGTCGGCGGCGACCAGACCCGCTTGCGAGCCCGCTGTCCTCTTCGACACTCCTCTGTGCTCTGTGCTCCAGCTCAAGCTCCGGCTCCAGTTCAAGCCCGCGCGTGCTGTTGGTTCTGTGGGACCCGCCCGCTGTGGCGCCGCCGATGGGCACGTGCCGTGCGAGTCCCGTGATGCCGAGCACAGCGACACACACACACAGCCAGTCCACGTGACTTAATTAGTGTGCTGCGCTTTTTTTGGGCCGCGAAATGAAGTGGTGCACTTTTTTTGAACGCCCGACGGCTTTTCAGAGCCGGCGCTGGGCAATCGGGAACGCGAGCCTCGAGTGCGATATCCTCCAGCATCCAGCCACTGTCGGCCTGCTCGCCCGCCCTCCAGCGGACCATCGCCCGTCGCTGCATCGCCAAGGGCCCCGACCGCCACCTCGCACCAAACCCTGCATTAAGCCTCCCTGCCGCCGGACTGCTCGCCCTGTCGCGCCATGAACATCTCCAACCCCATCTCGAGAGAGATCACCCGCGTGTCGTTTTCCTTCTACAACAAGGATGAGATCCGCAAGCTCTCGGTGAAGCCTGTCACCAACCCACTCGCCTTTGACAATCTCGGGCATCCCACCAGTGGCGGTCTCTATGACTCTGCGCTGGGTCCCCTCGACAAAGGCCAGAGGTACGTCCGGCACGCCTATGTTCCGTGGATGGCCGTCATGCTTTGGCAGTGATTCGCTGGTCTCGGCGCACTGAGCGGCAGCCGAATGGGCGAACGGTCAGCGAGCCTTGGGCTCTCGCATGAGCTGAGTTCATGATGCTGACGGCTGCCGGCCCGATTGAGTCGCGCCCACCCCGGCTGTAGATGTGTAATTTCTGCGACTGCAGCAACCCGCACCCGTCGACCAGCAGATGCCCAGCCACGCAGCAGATGCTAATCATACATACGCACATGCGCATCTCCCCGTCCAGCTGCGGCACCTGTGGCCTCGGATACTTTGTCTGTCCCGGCCACTTTGGCCACATCGACCTGGCCGTGCCTGTCTACAACCCCATCACTTTCCAACTGATGTACAAGTTGCTGGGATCGCTGTGCTACTACTGCCACAACTTCAGAACGTCGCGCTCCGTCCTGCATCACATCGGCGCCAAGCTCAAGCTGATACATGCCGGTCTGATCATCGAGGCTACCGATCTCGACTCTTTCATCGGCACCAAGGCGTCGTCGGCCATCCTCAAGTCACAGCTGAGTGTCAAGAGCAAGGCGAAAAAGTCCAAGGCCGTCGACGACGAAGCCGAGGAAACCGACGGCGAGGACGAGAGTGAAGACGGCGAGGGCGACGACGACGAGGAAGACCGCAACCAGGTCGTCCTGGCCGACGAGTTCTCCGATGCTCCCAAGAGCGAGCAGGATGTCATCGACAAGATCGACGAGTACGTCGCCGCCTGCATGAAGAAGGCTTCGTCCCAGGGTCCAACCAAAACCACCCTCTCGACCGATGCCATCCGCGGAGTCGAGAAGCTCTTCCTATCCTCGATTCCGTCGCTCAGTTGCGCCAAATGTCGCGGCCAGAGCCCCAAGTTTCGTACCGAGGGCATGCACAAGATCTTCGAGAAGCAGCTCAGCAAGAAGCAGCGCAATCTCATGAACTCTCGCAACCTCAAGTTCGAGCACCTGTTCACCGTCGGCGCCGCGTCTGCTACCGACAACGAGCCCATCACTGATCTGATGGAAAACGACGACAACGCCAGAGTCTCGGACGAGATGGATGTCGACGAAGACTCAAGCGCCGACGACAACAGCAGCAGCGGCGGCGACGAAAATGGAGCCGGCAACGTTGCCTTGTCCAAGCGCCAGGAGAACCGCATCCTCGGCGCGCAAACCCGCAACAAGGTCATCGACAAGTCCAGTGTCGATGCCGATGACAAGAAGAACGACAGCAAGTACCTGTCTCCCCTGGTCGTCCGCGAACATCTGCGCATGCTCTGGAGGAAGGAGTCGGCAATCCTCGACCTTCTCTTTGGTGTGACCGACCCCAAGCTCGGCAAGCGCATCTCAAGTCCCGATATCTTCTTCATCGAGACCCTGGCTGTCACCCCAACCCGATTCCGGCCGGTGTCCAAGATGGGCGACATGGTCTATGACAATCCGCAGAACACCCATCTCACCAACATCCTGAAGACAAACCAACTCGTTCTGCAGCTGCATCGCCAGCGCCAGAGTCTCATGAACGAGATTGCAGACCACAAGTCCCCGATCTTCATCGAGCGCGACACGGTCCTGTTTCAGCGCACGGTCTCGGGTCTGATCGAGCTCCAGCAGGCCGTCAATAACCTGATCGACAACTCCAAAGCGCCCCTCGTCAAGGGCAAGCTGCCCCCCGCGGGTATCCGCCAGGTCCTCGAAAAGAAGGAGGGTTTGTTCCGAAAGCATATGATGGGCAAGCGTGTCAACTATGCTGCCCGCTCTGTCATTAGTCCCGACCCGTATATCGAGACCAGCGAGATTGGTGTAAGTAAGACGGCGTTCTGCAAGGTGCAGTGCACAATCGACTGCACACCGTGTCGCCAGCTCTCCATTTGGTCTAACATCCCCCTCGACTCGCCTTGGTCTGCGATGCCGTTGTCGTAGGTCCCTCCGGTCTTTGCCACCAAACTGACGTACCCCGAGGCCGTCACCCACCACAATGTGATGGAGCTGCGCAAGGCCGTCATCAACGGCCCAAAGGTCTGGCCCGGTGCCTCGTACATCCAGAACGAAGACGGGACGCTTGTGAGCCTCGAGTCTTACGATGTCCAAGGCCGTACTGCCCTGGCAAACTCGCTGATGACTCCCCTCCCCTCCAACGGATCCACTGAAGGTGAGGCGCGTCCTTTTCTCCGTGAGCTGGCAGCAACCTTGTGCTGCTAACACATGTCCAGTGCATTGCTGCATGCCTTCGCCGCTATCCACGGACTCGACTCGGTCTCGCCTGTGTTCTCACTATCGCCGGTCGTCTCTCCGCGTGTTGCTCCAGCCCATCTCCCGCACGTCAACAAGAAGGTCTATCGCCATCTCCGCAACGGCGACTTCCTGCTGCTGAACCGCCAGCCGACGCTGCACAAGCCGTCGATCATGGCGCACACCGCCCGCGTCCTGCCCGGCGAGAAGACCATCCGCATGCACTACGCCAACTGCAACACGTACAACGCTGACTTTGACGGCGACGAGATGAACATCCACTTCCCGCAGAACGACATTGCTCGCGCAGAGGCTATGCTGATTGCGCGCACGGACCTCCAGTACCTCGTCCCGACCGACGGCGGTGTCTTGCGTGGCCTCATCCAGGACCACGTCTGCGCCGGTGTCCACATGACGTCGCGCGACACCTTCTTTGACCGTGAGGAGTATATGCAGCTTGTGTATAATGCGCTCAAGCCCGAGGGCATGTTTGGCACGGTCGGCAACGGCAACATCGAGTCCGAGGTTATCATCGGCAACAACGGCCGCGTCATCACGATCGAGCCTGCTATCTACAAGCCCAAGCCCCTGTGGACTGGAAAGCAAGTTGTAAGTACAGGTGTTGATGGAGGGCTGTGCATTGCCAGCCATACCCTCTCTTCCGGCATCACCCCGCAGCACCTGCCTCAGCGCCGCACTAACGATGCCCGTGTTGCCTGCCCAGATCTCCACCGTCCTGCTCAACTTGATCCCGAGCGAGTACAAGCTCAACCTGCGCTCTAAGGGCCGCATTCCGGCCAGGATGTGGGGCGGCAGCGCCCCCGAAGAGCAGGAGGTCCTTGTCATGGACGGCCATCTGCTCATCGGCATTCTGGACAAGACCCAGTTCGGTGCCAGCGCCCACGGCCTCGTCCACTCCATGTATGAGATCTACGGCGCCCCGTACGCCGGCAAGCTGCTTTCGATCCTCGGCCGCCTCTTCACCAACTTTTTGCAGCTCGCGGGCTTCACTTGTCGAATGGACGATCTGCGGCTGACCCCCGAGGGTGATGCTGTGCGCCGTAAGCTGATCGACTCTGCCAAGGCCATCGGCACCGAGGTTTCGGTCGAGTATGTTGGCCTGGTCGACGAGAACGGCAAGGCCCTGGTGAAGGATCCCACCAACGAGAGGCTGCGCAACAAGCTCGAGGATGTTCTGCGCAGCAACGAGCGCATGGCCGGTCTCGACTCGGCCATGAAGTCCAAAACCAACAAAGTCACCTCCGAGATCATCTCGTCGTGTGTGCCCGACCGATTGCTGAAGCCGTTCCCTCACAACAACATGCAAGTCATGACGGTCTCGGGCGCCAAGGGTTCGAACGTCAACGTGTCGCAGATCTCGTGTCTCCTCGGCCAGCAGGAGCTCGAGGGCCGCCGTGTCCCCACCATGGTGTCCGGCAAGACCCTTCCGTCGTTCCGCGCATTCGATCCCAGCGCCCGCGCTGGTGGCTACATCACCGGTCGTTTCTTGACGGGCATCAAGCCGCAAGAGTACTTTTTCCATTGTATGGCTGGTCGTGAAGGTCTGATCGATACGGCCGTCAAGACGTCGCGCTCCGGTTACCTGCAGCGGTGTCTGATCAAGCACTTGGAAGGTCTCCGTGTTCACTACGATCACACCGTCCGTGATACCGACGGGTCCGTCGTCCAGTTCTGCTATGGTGAAGACGCCCTCGATGTCATGAAGCAAAAGACCCTCACCAAGTTTGACTTTTGTGCGTTGAACTACAAGGCCATCGCCCAGCGCTACAAGCCCGCCGAAGTCGCCAACAATCCCCATATCGACTCGAGCGAAGCCCAGGCCTACCGCAAAAAGTACAAAAAGTCTGGCGGCCAGGCCGATCCCGTGCTGTCTCAATTCTCTCCCTCGCGCTACCTGGGCTCGGTGAGCGACACCTTTGCCACCTCTCTGGATGAGTACATCAAGAAAAACAAAGAGAGACTGCTTCTCACCAAGGGAAGCACCGACCGCGCCCCCTGGAGTGGCGAGCGTGCCACTGACCGCAAGTTCAAGGCACTAATGGAGCTCAAGTACCAGAACTCGCTGGCCGATCCAGGAGAGGCTGTCGGTCTGCTTGCCGCCCAGAGTATCGGCGAGCCATCCACTCAAATGACCCTCAACACCTTCCATTTTGCTGGTTTTGGTGCGGTAAGTAACATAGACGGGGGACTGCAGCAGCAGCTGTCCAGTCGGTGGCCGATGGGCAGACTGTGCTGGTCACAGCGTCACTCACCCATGTACGCCTCCTCAATCACGCTGCCCCATTCAGAAAAACGTCACTCTCGGTATTCCTCGTCTGCGTGAAATCGTCATGACTGCCTCGGCGGACCTGAAGACACCGATGATGCGACTGCCTCTGGTCGAGGGTGCCACCAAGGAGGCCGGCGACCGGCTGTGCCGCAAGATCAGCCGGCTGACCCTCTCGCAGATCATGACGGGCGTCACCGTGCGCGAACGTCTGACACGGTCGGCCTCGGGCCAGGACCGCCACAAGATGATCACAATCCGGCTCAAGTTCTGGCCGCGCGCTGCCTACGAGGGCGAGCACCAGATCAACTCGGGCGACATCGAGGCCATCATCGAGAAGCGCTTCGTGCCTGTGCTCGAAAAGTCGATCGTGAACGACCTGCGACAGCGCCAGCGACGCGCCAAGGACGAGGACATCGGCGTTGGAACCTCCAACACCTTCTCCGAGAAAAAGACTGCTAACCCGAGCGAGGACGACGAAAACCCCGCCCCGAGCGAGAAGCGGCCCAAAGACGACGACGACGATGACGATGACGATGATGACAACGACTCTACTGCCGGAGATGATGATGCCACCAATACCAAGAGCCGCAAGAACCGCTCGCAGCAGGCCACGTACGAGGAACCTGACGAGGATGAGGAGGAAATCATTGACCGCATGAATGAGAATGAAAGCGAAGAAGCCAGCGTGGCCGATGCCAACGAAGGCAGAGATGCCGACCGAGAAGGACGCATCAAGGACGATAGTCGCTTTGTCCATGGCTACCGCTTCGACAAGAAGGAAGGCCGCTGGTGTGAAATCGATCTCCGGGTAAGAAGTGCCTGATTGCACACTATGTGCGAAATGGAATGCAGAGTCGGCTTTTCGCACGCACTAACGACCCGGTGGTGTCGATCATGCTCCCCATCAGTTCCCCGCCGATACTCGCAAGCTGCTGATGGTGGCTATCGTCGAGAATGTCTGCGAGAAGGTGGTGCTCCATGAGGTTCCCAAGATTGCAAAGTGCTACCCGCTGCCCAACGAGTCCGAAAGCGATACATCAGTGAGTTCACGCATATCGTCCGTGCATCAGTGTGCTCGCAGAGATCCCGAACAAAAGCCAGATGGCTGGGGGCCTGGCTTGCTGCACATTGCTGACGCCAGATCGCCCGTTGCCAGCTCAATCTCGGAACTGAGGGATGCAATCTGAGCGGCATGTGGGATTTCTCGAGTGTCATCGATGTCCACCGCATCTACACCAACGACATTGCTGCCATCCTTCGCACCTACGGTGTGGAGGCTGCCCGAGCGGCCATCATCCAAGAAATCGGCGGTGTCTTCGGTGTCTATGGCATCTCTGTCGACAAGCGCCATTTGAACCTGATTGCTGACTACATGGTAAGGACAGATGAGTGAAGATGGTGGTCCGGGCGGTGGAGACGCGGATTCCTGTCGGCTCGGGACTCATCTGCTTTCCTGCCGTACATTCACAGACTTTCGAGGGAGGATACAAACCGTTCAACCGTATGGGCATGCGCTCGAACCCGGCGCCCTTTGCCCAGATGTCATACGAGACGACGACTCAGTTCCTGACCACCGCCACACTGTAAGTGGATATCCTGCCTGCTCTGGCTGCAAGCGAATTGTGCACCAGCGCCGCCTGTGTCCAGCGTCATCGTGTCGGTGAAGGTGGTTCTGCTGCAACTCGGACATTGCGATGTTTTACCAATCCCGCCTTGTGTCTGCAGATCCGGTGACTTTGACAACCTCGAGTCGCCCTCGTCCAGAATCGTGATGGGCCAAGTGGTTCGTGGCGGTACCGGCGCCTTTGAGATCCGACAGCCGCACAACTTTGTCAAGCCGGGCGACTCGTACACTTTCGATAACCACCGTGTGGGCCCAAAGAAGACCAAGTCCAAATCTAAGGCCGAGAAAATCATGAAGCGGCAGGTTGTGGAAGCTTGAGGATCTGTGGTGTGCGGCATTCTGAATGCCGATGATGCAAGCTAGGCAAGCCTCGTGTGTCGATGGCTGCTCTTTTGGTGTGGAGGCAAGCGTTGGTCCTCCAAAATACAGTACATGTCCAAACCCCCACCGCAGAAATGGATGTGCAGATGCTTGACAGACAGATGCTTGACAGAGAGATGCTTAGACGCTCGACAGGCGCGGCGTGTTCTGTCTTGGCGAGACATGCTTGACAGCGCCGGCTTGACAGCGCCGGCTTGACATTTTCTGCAATGTCGTGATGCCACCCTTTACGTTCCGCCAGCGAACCATCTCTCTTCCACTCCAGTGCTCCTCCCATCGTCCCCCAACCATCACGTCTGCTATTTGACACCAAGGATCCGATGCGCATGTGTTCGGGTGAAAACGTTGCCCAGCTGCCTCTGGAGATCAAGCACTTCGTCTTCCAGGAACTCGATCGGGCCAGCCTTCTCAGTTGCTCGACTGTGTGCCGCGAATTCCGTCTCCTCAGCGCTGTGTATCTCTGGAAATCCACAACGCTCGCCAAAGTCGTTGCGGCAGGGCTTGTGCAGCCAGCGTCCTGCAGCCCATACACAAGTCCCTTCAACGGCTTTGGTGGTATTGGCCAGTTTGTCCATGAGCTGACTCTGTCGGTATATGTTAGTCCCACAATATCCCGCAAGCTTGCCCGTCAAATGCCCTCTCTGCGCGTCCTGCGATCCTCGATTCAGCTCTCGATAGGCGACCAAGAACTGTCGCCCTGGCTCCAGAACTGCTGCAAGCAACTAAAGACCCTCCGGATTCCCAACCACTGTCTCTCCAGTACCATTCTGTCCAGCCTGGCGGCATGCCATTGTCTCCAGGTTCTTGAACTCGGGGGCATAGCAAGCATCAGCCCCAACCAATTCGCGGCCGTTGTCGGTTCGCTTTCCCTCATTTCGCTCGACCTCGGTCAGTGCCCGGATGCCGATGTCGATGGAAGTGCCATCCCAGTCGCCGCTCTGCACGCCCTTGCTCTCCATCCGACTCTCCAACACATCACTTTACCCATCTGGGTCACTGAACAGCACCCGTTCAGCTTCCCCGATGGTCGCAGTCCCTTTGCCGCTCTCACGACCTTTCGAGTCACGATTGACTGCCCTGACGGCGATGCGCCGATGATATTGCCACACGAGCTCGAAGATCTGTTCTCTGGCATGGCCCAAGTCAGGGTAGTGTTTCTGGAGGCTCCGATGGCGGACGAGCACATCGATGCTGCTGCCCGTGGTCTGCGCAAGTGTCCACAGCTCAGAGACCTGTCTTTGCACTCGACATGGTGGTTTTCATGCCAGGCTATCCGGGCGCTTTCCCGCAACTGTCGATCTCTGACGAAACTCAGTCTGGTCATTGAACGCAGTCTGGACGACCCCGGGCTGAGCGTGAATCCCGCAGATGCCGATCCGTTCTCAGGATCAGAAGCACTGGCCGTGGGAGCTCCCGTCCTGCCGGCCCCATTTGTGGATGACGATGCCGCGATCGAGTTGATCCAGCAACTGCCGTGCATCAGGGCCCTTACGCTGCGACTCCACGAGGTTTCCAAGCTCACCAACCGGTTTGTCCGCCATGCAATGAAACATGGCAAGGCACTCAATCGTCTTGATATTTGCGGCGGATTGTTTGTCGTTGGCGGTTCGTCGACATCACCGGCCTTCTTCCACTCTGTCGCAGTCGAGCGAGTCTGGCCAAAGGGCGCCTCGGAACAGCACTACAGGGTTTGGTGCTTTTAGCTGTGTGCCCGGTATGCAGCAAAGCGAATTGCATCCGCGTTCCCACACATTCGCCTCGTGTCAACTGTCTTCACGCCAGTAGGGCCTGATGTTTCCCTGTCCCTCCCTCAGGAATTGATCCAGATGTGTCTGTCGGTCATGATCGTCGAAATACACTGTCCGCACTCGAGCCGCAGTCTTGCACCATCCCCGATTCGATTTGCAGCAGGGAGGCACCAAAGTGCTTGGTGGCGGAGGTGGAGCTGCTCAAAATACTCGGCAACCCCGAGTCTCTGTGGGCTCGATGGGCATAGCTTTTCCTCTGCTTCTACAAGGCATTCCCAAAGGCAAACACGATGTCGGTCTCCTTGGTGCGCTGTTTGGTCATGGCGGACGATGGATGGGTGTGTATTCGGGACCAGGAAATAAGCGACGATCCTGACTCAAGCAGGGCGTCACTTTCATTTTGCATGGGCTGTGATTAGCGCGAGGCGACGCAACAGTAGAACCTCTCCTCTATCCTGCAGACAGAGTCGCGATCAGCGATGAACAGATCGCCATCGAGTCGGTCGGGGGAGGGAAGGGACGGTCTACCACAGAGACTTTCTCCGGATGCGCTCGATGATAGCCTTCTTCTTGGAGATGCCCAGGCGCTCGAACTGCTCGACCTCCCGCTCGACGAGGAACTCCTTGCGGATCTTTGGGGCCTTGACCTTCTCCATGATCTCCTCGGCCGAGGTATTGTACCTTTCGGCAAGGTACTCGACGCACCAGCTGTCGGGGTCGTTGTGTCGCAGGGTCTGTGCCTCCCTCACCTCTGCTGGTGTCAGCGCTCGATGGGGACGCTCGACTTTGTTGGGGCGGGCAAGTGGAGGCAGCTGCGACTCGCTGCGGAAGACTTGGACTGGAGTCGGCGTCGGCGCCTTACGGTGGATCAGCAGACTGCCGTCGTCGAGAGCAACTCGAGGTGTGTTGGTCGGGATGTTCCACGAGTAGAATGAGCGGGCCCCGCGCTGGGCGGTGTATCTGATCGGCAGCATCGATGCGGGTGGGTTGGCGAAGAGGTGTCGTAAACGATCCTGGCTAGGAATCGAGGATGGCGTGAGGGCGATTGCAGGGCAACGGGGGCGCCGCGGGAACAGTCGATCTGGGCTCGCAGCGATCTGGACTTGCAACGATCTGGACGCAGGATCCGCTGCTGGGCAATGCGACGAAAAAAAGCGCAGATCGCCGCACGTGACAAGACTGTGACAAGACCCGTGACCACGACACAGGCATGTGTGTGTGTGTGGCAGCGAGTCAGACCAGCCATGACCCAGACGCTGTGTGCTGGCGACCGAGTCGGTTCGCCATCTTCTTCGCCATAAGTCAGTGTATTGAAAAGGTGCATGCTGCCGGCGTGCCGAACACGAGCCTGCATCCGCCATGTTCAATCGCAGGACGGCTGCAGGCCTCACCGCAGGTCGGTCAGAGGCACCCAGCCCTTGCGAGGCAGGGAGGCATCATCGTGTGTCTTGGCGGCTTGGTGCAGGTTCAGGGGCACGCCGTCAATGTCTTCGTCGTCCTCATCTTCATCCGTGGCGAGTTCCGCGGCTGTCTCGGTCGTGGCTGCTGCCGGCGTGTCTTGGCGGCTCTGCGGAGTACCGCCTTGCGAGACATCGCTATCGACCGACTTCCACTTGCTGGGTTTGAACCCTCCACCAGCGGCAGAGCCCTCGGACGCCGGCTCTACGGGCTTCCACTTGGACGCTGGCGAGCCCTCCGCCTTCGATGCCGAATCGTCGTCGCCCATGGCCCAGACGCCAATCTTCATGCTCTGCTGCTCCTTCAGGCGGCTCTGGAATCCGTCGCTCATGGCCTGGGGTGGTTCCTCGTCTTCGACGGCCTTGTACGTAAACATGGAGCGCAGCTGATCGGTGTACTCCTTGCTAAAGATCATCCAGTCTTCCCAGACATTCAGGATGTTGTAGACGGCCTTTCGCATCTGCTCGGCGCGGAGACGGCCGCCAATCTTGCGCCAAACGCTGCTCAGGTGCTCAAAGATAGCCGGGAGCTGCTGCTCAAACGCAGCGCGATACTTCCAAGCATTGGGGATACTGGTGCCGCAGTTGTGCAGAATGTCGCTGACAAGAAACAGCCGTGAGATCTTGGTCGGGAAGACTGGCGTCGCAGCAATCATCAGCGACTTTGTGATGATCTCGACAATCTTGTCCGCTGCATCAGAGTGGTTGATGCAAAAGATCATGGCCCGCCCAATATCGCCGCGAGTCATGGTGATCTTCCGCAGCATGCGTTCGAGTTTGGCTCGCTGGGCAGGCAAAAGTGCCCCCTTTTGCATGCGACGCTGAGGGGCCTTGTTGGAGGACGACGACTCAACCGAGTCGACCGAGGAATCCGACTCGTCGCCGGCAAAGTACTGGGGTGAGCCAGCCAAGATACTGGAGGTTAGATGAAACTTGCGCCTGCTTGTCCAAAGCATCATATGGTATCGAAGCGCAGCTCAAGCCAACCTCGTCATCGAAGGGGATTTCGGGCGGAACCCAGTATGGCCCTTCATCAAACATGCGAAATGCATCGAGTCGCCATCGATTCTTGCCATCGCCTTGCAGGACAGAGAACAGCCTCCATCGATAATAGATATGCTCGATTGACTGGGCCAGCGGGGCGCCAGAGGAGATGCCGTGATGAATGAGTGCCACAGTCGAACGGATGGAACGTTTTTGGAAGGTTCAGGATCTAGACCTGGATCCAGATCCAACAGCAGCTGCAGCGATTCAAACTCACGTCGTTTTTGAACAAGAACGTGAACCTGGGGTTGTTCAGTTCACGATCCATGATCAACGCCTCGAACAGGGGCCCGTGCAGGATCACAAACTCGACGGTCCGGTGGATCAGCATCACTGTTTCGTGGTCACTTGGACGAACAACCTGGACCTCCAGTCGCGGCTGGGCGCCTGTCACCGACACGGGAGTCAGTCACATATCCGAGACAGCCAATCCAGCGCCGCTTGGTGCAATGAAGAAAAGGCGGGACTCGTAGGAGCTGCTTTGGGAGACCTCTATCCAACATACGCGAGGATCCTGGCTGGGAAGTCGATGGAGATGCATTGAACGGCAGTCCGGTCTGGAGATTCTGCGCGCCCTTTTCGAGCACTGGGCCGTAACGGACGCATCAGGAGTGCCAGATGGTTCGGTGCAGCAAGTATTGCCATGGCCGGGCGGCAATGGAGTAGCGTTAGGCTGGGCTCGAGGCAGAACGTGGGCTTTGTGTGGAGCGCCGATCGGAGCAGCTGTGCTGGCCACGCAGCATAAACGTACCGTATACGGGCCGAGGCGGAAGCGCAATCGCCTTTCCCCAGCCGAGGCGCATCGAGTAGCCGAGAATATCTTTTCCGTCTAAAGCCTTGAGCGCCGCGGCTGCATCTTCGCGCTTCATGAAGCTGACAAACCCGCAGTTCCGATTCCGCTCGCGCTCCTCCGGGGTTCGCGGCCACATGATTTTGACACTGGCGATTGGTCCGTAGACGGCAAACTCTCGACAGAGCATCTCCTCGTTGACGGCAGGGTTGATGTTGCCGACATAGAGATTGGTGGTGTCGGGATCGCCCATGTCGTGGGACCCGGGCTTTTCCTCAAAGGCTGGAAACAGAGCGAGGGTGAGGAGTGGTCAGGGCCGAGAATTACAGGCGCGCTGACGACCCCAAGACAAATCACATCCTGCACCTACCAGCCTTGAGAGTGAGTGACGCCCGGTCGCCAGAGTCTGTGTCGTGGGCGATTCAAACAGGCGTAAATCAGTCCATGGCTCCAGAATATCGTTTGTCATGGCCATCACCCAGTCGCTGAGACAATCTCCTCTGATCTGTTTGGAGACAAACGCCCCTCCCCCACCGGACCGATGCCCACCAGTGTGCATTGACTTGGACTTTAGTCGGATCTCTTGTTCCTCCTGCTCGCGCTTGATCTCCTCCAAGAACGTATCTAGATTGCGTTTCTTGCTCGCTTTCGAGGCGTCTAAAGCCGGTGCGGCTGTAGCAGGAGCTGCAGGCGGCTGGGCGAGCGATGGAAATGCGTGAGAGCTTAATGACTCTGGGCGATCCCTCGGCTTGCTCGACAGACAGCCACGCCAGTACAGGCCCGCACATGCCAGCCGAACGGGGAAGGGTCGGTGATGGGCCCCAGGACATCTCAGTGCACCGAATCCAAAAGACGATTGTTTTTCGTTCTGCTTCGGCCTCTAGGTTTCAGGAAGCCAGCGCAACGGTATTGAATTGCATCCAGCTGCCTACCTCAGATTTCTCCGTGGCCGACACAAATCGCTGCTTCTGAAGGTAGAGTTGCGACGAACGGCTGGGGGCGTCGCTGGAGGAAGCAGGTCGGTCCGAAAGCGTGCTCGGGACGATGGTCCCGCCCTTGACCCAGCCCTTCCCACCAAATGGCAGCGAATTGTCTTCGGTGAAGGAGGCAACGAAATCGGCATATGCCCGCGCGGTTTCCTCCATCTCTTTCTGGCTCGGAGGGGTGGGTGCAATGGTCAGTGAGGGGGGCTAGTATGGCCAAAGACCCTCGCAGCGGCAGTGCCGACGGATCGCAGCTGCGAGGAGGATCGGGTGTGCGGTATGTGCTCTCGGGTCGTTTGCGAGCGGCGCTCTGAGGAGGTGGCCGGCGTTCATGGAGGAGTCGCAGCGATCTCGCGGTCGCTTGGCGGAGGTGCAGAAGCTACCTTTTTCTTGAGATCCTCTGCCTCCTTCTGCTTCTGGAAGGATGTCTTTTTGGAGGCAGCAGGGGCTTGCCCCTGGGGCCTGTGGTCGCTGGGCATGGCAGGCGATCGCAGATGTGATGCTTATGGGCGAGCGGATGTGGTCTGGGTGGTGTCGGCGAGCGGACGGGGATTCGTTTGGGTTGGCGGGCGAACAAAAGGACTGGGGCGATCGGCGAACGAATGGCGCTCCGCCCAAGGCAAATGAAATTCATTTTTTTTTCTACTGCCGATTGCTGAAGACAGCCGCCCCGGCGTTGGTTTATCCCAGGCACAAAAGATGCACTCGATCGCTGCCAAAGGCACTCGCATCCACTCACCACTCACACTCACACGGGGCGGGACGGTGGATTTTGGGTGCGGCCACTCCTGCGGTCTCAGGAGACGGCGCTGGTCGTATATTTACAGATTACAAAACCATGGGATGAAGAGGCGGAAAAGAGCCGCTTAGTAGCGGTAGTGCTCGGGCTTGTAGGGGCCATCGACGGGGACACCGAGGTAGTTCTGCTGGACGTTGCTGAGCTTGGTGAGCTTGACGCCGAGCTTGTCGAGGTGGGCGGCGGCGACCTCCTCGTCGAGCTTCTTGGGGAGCAGGTGGACACCAAGAGGGTAGGCCTGGGTGTCGGTCCAGAGAGCAATCTGGGCGAGGACCTGGTTGGTGAACGAGTTGGACATGACGAACGAAGGGTGGCCGGTGGCGCAGCCGAGGTTGACGAGACGGCCCTCAGCGAGGAGGATGATGTGGCGGCCGTTCTTCATGAGGTAGCGATCAACCTGGGGCTTGATGTTGACCTTGGACTGGGCGTTGGCCTTGAGCCAGGCGACATCGATCTCAATGTCAAAGTGGCCAATGTTGCAGACGATGGCATCGTCCTTCATGTGCTCAAAGTGGGCACCGGTGATGATGTCACGGCAGCCGGTGGTGGTAACAAAGATGTTAGCCTCCTTGACGGCCTCCTCCATGGTGGTGACCTCGAAGCCTTCCATGGCGGCCTGGAGGGCGTTGATGGGGTCGATCTCGGTAACAATGACACGAGAGCCCATACCCTTGAGGGCAAAGGCGCAGCCCTTGCCGACATCACCGTAGCCGGCGACGACGGAGACCTTGCCGGCAATCATGACATCGGTGGCACGCTTGATACCGTCGATGAGCGACTCGCGGCAGCCGTACAGGTTGTCGAACTTGGACTTGGTGACCGAGTCGTTGACGTTGATGGCGGGGATCTTGAGGGCGCCATCCTTGAGCATCTTGTACAGGTTGTGGACACCGGTGGTGGTCTCCTCGGAGACACCGCGGATGCCGCTGAGGAGGTGGGGGTACTCCTTGTGGACGATGCCGGTGAGATCACCGCCGTCGTCGAGGATCATGTTGAGGGGCTGGCCATCCTTGAAGCCCAGGATGGTCTGCTTGATGCACCACTCGTACTCCTCATCGGTCTCACCCTTCCAGGCAAAGACGGGGACACCGGTGGCGGCAATGGCGGCAGCGGCGTGGTCCTGGGTCGAGAAGATGTTGCAGCTGGACCAGGTGACTTCGGCGCCGAGGGCGGTCAGGGTCTCGATGAGGACAGCAGTCTGGATGGTCATGTGGAGGCAACCGCAGATACGGGCTCCCTTGAGGGGCTGGGAGGGGCCGTACTTCTGGCGGAGGGACATGAGACCGGGCATCTCAGCCTCGGCGATCTCGATTTCCTTGCGACCAAAGTCAGCGAGGGTGATGTCAGCTGTGGAGGAGGGGAGGCAGGAGGCAAGCGGGGAACGCGATCAGCAACTTGTCGGCGAAAACGCAGCATGCGGAGTTGTGGAAACCCACGGCCGATCAAAGGGAGGCCACGCAAGACTCAGGGTATAGATCTGATCTGCCGATGGGTCTGCGATCTGCGACGCTGTCGAGGCAGCGTGTCGCGAGGCGACAGCCTGATCCGACGAGACACGCAGCCGCGGGATCCAGACAGATCGATCACCGGGAGCAAGCGGGAGAGCAGAGATCGGCCAGCCAGCGGCGATGGCAGGCACGATCGCCGCGATGAGCAGGACCGCCGGCCACATACACGCATGTGTGAACATGAACGCAGCGACACTGCACGGATCGCGGCAGCACGGCGTCGATCGCGGCAGCGGGTGCGGCAAGCGAGCGCAACAGGGCACTCACCAACTTTGTAGACCATTTTCGATGAGGGTTGACGGGGAAGTGCTGGGCGAAAGAGCCGGCGACGGCGGCCGTCTTTATAGACCCGCCGCGGGATCTTTTTTTCGTCGTCCTGGGCTTTTTTTTTCTGTCGCCAGGCACCCAGAGGCCTTGCCCGCCGACACACGGCCGCTGAGCGCAGCGGCAGTCTTCTTTGCGCTTCTTTTGGGACACGCCCGAAAAGGCAAGTGCCCCAGATTGTTGGCGGGCGTGCGCAGTCTTCACACGCTGTGCGACGCCGCGGCGCCGGGCTTTGGACTTGGGGCGGTGGCTCGAGGGGGGAAGCGCGCCCTGGCCGATGCAGCAGGAGGAAGCGGGTTGGGCATGAGCCTGGGCATAAGCCTGGGAACGAGTCTGGGAACCAGCTGGGCATAAGCCTGGGTGCGAGTCTGGGTGCGAGAGTACCTGACGACCTGTCCGTGCAGCCGCCAGAAGATGCATCCGAGCAGCCGCCCCGCCCCGTGGTCTGTCGCCGAGCCCGTCCGAGCCTGTTTCTCCAGCCACACCCCCATGGCCGTCGCAGGCCTCGCATCCACCCTTGCGGCGATGCATGTGGGGTTGCTCCACTCTGGGGTTGCGCTTTCTGGCTGCCAGCAATCCTCCTTTGTCCCTGCACACACTGCGGCTGATTGGCTGCTGTTTGCATCGCGCTGATTCGCCGGTCTGCGGGCTGGTGCCCCTGGCGCTTGCCTCTTTCCATGTGGGAGCCGGCTGCGGACAGGTCGCCCATGATCCTGGTGCAGCGGGTTGTTCCAGATGCCCGATGTGAAGATCGACCGACGGCATGTCGTTCATCGCTCGGTCTTGCCATTATCCACACTTCCACCCTATTCAGACACCCACTCACACTCACACACACTCACTCCCGCAAATCCACTCCCACTCACGCTCGCGCATTCACACATCTATCCACTACCCCTATCACCCCTTCGTTCATACGCCGCTCGCTCGCTCGCTCCATGCCTCGCTCCACCCTGGCCATCCTGTCTGCCATCGTCTCCAATCACCATGTCCAAACCCGACGCCTCAGCAGGACCCTCGAGCTGCTCCTGCCAGCCATCGTTTGGTCTCTGCAATCACCAGATCGAGCTCAATCACAGATGGGGGCATCATAGCCTCCCCTCCCCCAGACCTCGAGGCATCGGTCTCGGCGGCCGCCCCCCAGTCCATACTCGCTCTGCCCTCTTGCACCTGCTTGCACCTGCTTGCCAAGTCCTGCACTTCTGGGTGCATCCCCAAACCCTGTCCTCGCTCTGTCCAGGCACACCGCTGCAGATAGCCGATTCGTCACCACTTCGATCAGAGATCCCCAGTCTTTCCACTCCGGGTCGTCATCAACCACGCGTCGCTCGAGGCTTCACACGTCCTGTTGCATTCTGCGTCTGCGGCCCCCAAAGGAGTGACTTGACTCTCGTGCTTTGGCCTAGACCCGGCCGAGACCCGCGCTCTGTTCGAGTAGTTGCTCGCTTTGCCCCTGGCTGCTCGTAGTGTTTGACACGAATCCTGTCTCGTCGTACTTGACTTCCAAAGGCGACGCTCTGCTTCGTTAGTTCGTTCGCACGCACCATTCTGACTCTCCTGACTCTACCGTGGCATCACGGAATACGCTGAAGCTTTCCTCTGCCTCTGCAGTCATACTTGCTTGTCTTTGTCGCTCTGCAATCGAGACTCTCTCCTTCCACGATCCTTGGCCATACCTGACTGACTCTAGCATATCTGATTTCCTGGTCCATTATACAGTCTTGAATTTGTGCACTCGTCTCCACTCACGTTGTTGATTTTTCTGCCTGATCCCTTTGTTAGTCATCCCACCAGTCCAAAGTCAAATCTCCGCCGTCTTGCCCCCCTGTTTGTCGATCCATTTACCCTCTTTGATCGTTTATCTGTTCTTTGCCTCACTCACCCTGTCGGATTGCCAACTTGTCAGCCTTGTCTTTGCAAATGATCTCTGCTTTTGGGGCCGCCGTCATAAACCCACTGCCTTATTCAGATCCAAATCAGCCCGAGACTCATCCGCATCCTTTTCGGCCTGCTGCCTCAGAGCTATGCCACAACCCAGGACCAACCTTTGAGACGATGGGCAGTGCCCTTCCCAATCATGATCACCCGGCACTCTACTATCGCCACCCAGTGTCCAGAGAGCGACAGCTCAGGCTCCGCGCTCCATACCATGGACCGAGGGTCGATGTGTTCAGTGCCTCCGACGTTTCCCACGGACTGTCTATCACCACACACACGCTACCGCAATCCGAGCCGCATCCGCCTGCAATGCTTTCACTGGAATCGTCCCAGGCTGCTCATGCCATTCACCAATCCACGCGCCATCTGTCCTTTTCTGCAACGTCACCGCCGGCTCCTCTGGACATATACCTTGGAGAACACCCGTATCCATTTGACGGCAAGCATGCATTCTCGCACCCAAGCGAAGCGCTCCCTGGTCGCCGGCCCATGCTGCATGCAGGCTCAAACTACCCACCTCGGCGCGTGTTCTCAGCAGGGCTTCCAACCTTTCCTGGCCCGCTCCACCACTTCTATTCCCATGCAGAGCCCTATCCACAGCCAGTCGAACCGCACATCGATGCGTACGGTCGTCTCTGGTCTCAGTCGCACGGCTTGCTTGAGCCAAGCGAGTTGAGCGGGCATTTGTATGAGCCCACCACACAGGAAGGGCTCTCAGCTGCACAAGATAGGGTGGCCATCAAGCATCTCTGCGCAGACTCCTATTCTATGGATGTGTCGCTTGACGCTGGCGACAAGATGTTCTGCCGCGCATCTAGGTCGCCCGTTCTGCCTCTGGGCAAGCGTCGCTCGCAGCACCCGCTTCAAACTCTGACCGTCAATCCGAACCTGGCACAGCCAACACTGATCCAGCCTCTGTCCGAGTGCACGGTCGATGCGGACACCGACGAGGATGATGTCGTCCAAATCAATGCAGATGCAGGTGCAGATATCGACGTTGATGACAATGGCGATATCGATGACGATATCGATGTCAATGTCAATGTCAACGCCAACATCAGCGTCAGCGTCAGTGACGATGATGGCAGCGATAGCGATGGCAATATCGGTACTGAAGTCAATGTCTGCACTTGGTCCGAGATGAGAATTGGCGAGGAGTGTTTCATCGCCAAAGGTGACGATTTCCAATTCAGCAACCAGGCCGTCAAAATCGAGGCTCTGGGGCCAGCTGTAGACTCAAGCACTGGCGCCCGAAATGAAACTCTCGACAGGGACGGGGACAGAGATGAAGACAGCCAGGACGATTTACATTACCAGTCAGAGCTCTCGTTTGCTGGCCGATGTGATGACGGCGTTGCTGTTTGTGGGAGACCAAGCTCGGAGACTCCGGAGTACGGCATGGACATACTTCATCTCCAATCCGCCTCATCCGCAACATATCTTAGGACCGGTATCGATGGCGAGCCGAGTATGGACTCTGCTGAAGACGACCCACCGGTCGTGACCAAGAGCCGGTCCTCCGCCTCCGCCAGGCGCATACTCAAGGAAGTGAGCGACGAACAGGTGCGGTGCGCACAGCAACAGCGGGCTGGACTGGGCTCTGTGGGAATGTGCAGCACCGTGTTCAAGTTGGGGTGCTCGAGCAAATGTGCACTCGAGATTGCGTCTCCTCGACCTGGTGCTGAACCATGCTAACTCCCAACACTCCCACACCTGGCCGGTGGTCGGTTCACCAGGTCAGCATCGAGCTGGTCTCGGTGTCTATCGATGGGATCGACGATTGCGAACCCGTCGTCGCCCCAAAGCGACAGAGACATGTGGGCAAGGCCTGCATCCACTGCAAAAAGGTAGTCCGTTGTACACAGTCACAGCGCCAGTAGTGGCGTCCCCGCTCGATTGATCCACCCCCGCTGCTGCGAATCGACTCGTCACTCTCAATCGCACGCCGCCGTTGACCACCCATGGGCATAGAGGTTTTTCTCTGCTGATTGGCTTCTGATATGTTTGCAGGCACATTTGGCTTGCGACAGTGGCCGTCCCTGTCGTCGGTGCAAGCATATGGGTAAAACTGACTGCATCGACGTTGAGCACAAGAAGAGGGGCCGCCCTCGATCCATCAAACGCGACTGAACGGTGGATGTGGGTGGTACGCGGGAAGGGAAGGGGAATACTTTTCAACAGCGGCTGAGCAGATTGGTGTCTTGGTCTGGCAAGAGCAAGGATATGCGGCGAATGTCCAGCCGCAGCATGTCTGCAGCTAACCACTGCTCAGGCTGGCCGTCCACGTCGTGGCTAAATACATGCAACAACACAGCGACTCTATAAGCGAGCGTTCTGTAAACGTGGTCGATAGAAAAGACTGCATTCACGATTCGCGAGGAGAACGAGGGCGGCCGCTGATCACCAGCACAGGGTACTGCAATATCCTCTATTTGCGTGCATCCACTTTCGGTGGGCACTCCTCGAGCTGCAGTGCCCTGCCATCATATCACGCAGTGACTACTTCAATCGAGACGGCAGGTCCCTCCGCTGCCGTCAAGTCCGATCCACCCGCGTTCGATTGGATCAGATGTCTTGCCGCCGCGGGAACAACCGGCTTGGCGGCGTCATTACAAATGGAGAAAGTGGGACCGTGTCTGCTCATAGACCTTGTCGACGGGGTTCAAGCATGAGACCTGGCGACCGAGAAAGATGGCATTTAGTTGATACGGCGCGAGCATCATCTGCCTCTTCTCTATGGTCCAACGGGGCATTCGTCGATCCGCGCTCGGTTTGCCTTAGGCCAAATCCAGTCCAGCTCAGTCCAGTTCAGTCCAGTTCAGTCCAGTTCAGTCCCACTCAATCCAGTCGCAAATGAAGGGCCCGATCCTACCGTCTTGACTTTGTTCATCTTGGAGTAATACTCCACGACTGGGTAGCTGGTTTCGTGGAAAGTGACGAAACGCTTCTTGATCGACTCGATGTTGTCGTCGACACGTCCGCTACTCTCGCCTGTGGGACCGATTGATGCAAGGGCGTTCGTCAAAGACAAAGCAAACGATAATGCCGAGCCAATTAACCACCGAGTCGATGCTGGCACCAAACGACTCGGATTACTCCTACGGAGGCTGGGACGAACGCGATCTCGTCCGGACTACCCTGCGATAATTCAGCGCACGAAGCGATCTGACTCCCGGGCCAACAGCAAACGCATGTCCGCCCACAGATGTCGCCGCTGTGGACAGCCGCAGCCCACTGGAGACGGGCAGAGATCATGTGCTGCTATAAGATAACCCAGCCCGACCAGGGACACATCCATTACCTCGCTTCAGCAGGCGCCTGAGCATCTCCTCGTCGGGGCAGTCAAAGTAGAGCGTAAACTGGCTCTTGCAGACCTAGCAAATCCAAGGCAAGAGGTTACTTTGGCGCCATCATATCCTCAGTCTTGATCATCATCTGAGTCACGGCACTTTGAGTCGCTGCTCCAGTCTCGCAGTCGGTATTGTCTTCGCCAATGCAAAGCGACATCAGACCTCGTCCTCGAAGCACTGGGCTTGGTCGAGAGCGCGCGGGAATCCGTCGATCAAGAATCGCTTCGAGCCGCTCTCCTTCATGGCCTGGTGCAGCAGGGCAATGGTGATCTCCATGGGGACAATCTGGCCCTCCTTGATGTAGTTGTTGATGAGCTCGCCATACGGGGAGCCGGCACGCTGGCGCTCAGCACGGAGGAGGTCGCCGGCTGGTATTGCGAACGTTCAAGGCCGAGGACACAAATACGGCATCCATAGGTCATCGCATGGCAGGTCAGTCGCTGCCCAACCAAATCGACAATTGAACGGTGCATCGATGCCAACATCAACCAGGGCCGTTGGACAGGACATGTCGAGTGGATCTATCCTTTCTCTGGAAGCTCTGTCCGCCCGCTCACTCGCAAGCAAGAGCGGTCCCCAGTGCCAGGCGACGCTCACGGCGAGCATCAACGCAGCCACCACGGCCCACCTGAGAGATGAACAAAGCCAAACTCCTCAACGATTCTGGCGCACTGGGTTCCCTTCCCGGCACCGGGACCTACAGCGTAACATGGATGAGAGAATATCGTCAGCTCCGGCCAAGTAGCGATCTCGAAGGCGGTTGGAATCGCCTTCAGATAGTTATCGCAAGCAACCACGCCATCATAATCAATACAAAAATACCGAGAGCGTGATCAGGGCAGCGTCGGCTTCGAGATCAGGGACACTGGTCGATGTGGAGTTGCGATAAGCACGATACGGTCGCTCACCTCCCAGGACGAAAACGACGCTAACGTCCTTGGCCAGCGGCGAGAGTCCAAGCCGTCCCTTCGCGACCGAGTGCTCGGGGAGGAACCCGTTGAAATATGCGTAGTAAAAGGCACCGAGACCCAGGCCCGCACCAGCCATCACGGAGTAGACTGGCCCGGATCCGTTCAGGTTCGTGGCCGCGGAACCAGCAGCCGAAGGCCGAGTGCTGGCAAGACGAGCCTGGCCAGCAAAGAGGCTCTTGTGGGCGAGGGCAGAGGCTCTCAGTCGAGTAAAGACGGCGGCCATAGCGTGCAGGACGATCGGGCAGATGTATCGGGTGTTGGTGCGGTTGTGGATGCGAGAGTGATGCGACCCCACCCAACAGAAAACGCAAAACGCCCAGGGGCTTGCTGGAGCGCGGCTGGCTGGCTGGCACTGGGCAGGCCTGTGCAACCAGGAGCAAAGGGGGAATGCGAAGAGGTGATGCCCAGGGATGCCCAGGGATGCCGGCTGCTGCGATGCGGAGATCGAGGGTGCTGTGTTTGGCCATGATTGCGATGGGTGGGTGTATTCAGGTCACAGAAAAAACCACTGTCATGGCTCAAAACGGGGTGTCCCATTTCATTTTGGAAACGCTGTATTCAAGAAACGAAATCAGCAAATGAACTTTGGCGGAGAAACGCAGCCAGAACAGAAGTAGCAATCGCTGGAAGCAGGGATATCGCTTTAAGGTCGGCTTTGGCACACATAGCACCACCACAAGCAATCAACGTGGGTGGTAGTCGTAAACGAACTTGAACTGGTAATAGCTGATCCGACAGCCCTGCGGAAGGTTTGACGCCCAGCGTATCTTCCACCGATGGTTGATGCGGTCGCACATCTTCTGATACTTTCCAGCAATCCATGACATTCGATCGGTACTTTGGGGATACTTTGATTCCAAATACAAGGACTTGAGAGAAGGGAGCTTCTCGGCCAGTTTACTGATCTTTCGTACTGATCGAGGGGCATAGAGAATCTCCAGACAGGGATACGATGGAAGCCCATCCAACGACTTCAATTGATAGCACACTGTCAGATCAAGGATCTTCAATGAGCTTTGGTTGACACAGAGATCGACCAGCTTCACATAGAGGTTGGTTATGACAAGGTGGCGAAGCTTTGGAGTTCTTGGGAGCTGGTGTATGATGTTGGTTGGTCTGCGCGAGCAGATCGTGAGCTTGGTGAGGGAGGAGAGCTCCTTAGGGACATCCACAAGATCCTCAACGCTTTCGGGTATATTGAATTCGACCAGCTTGGGCATCTCGGGCATTCCTTCAAGCGACGTGAGTCTTCCGTACATGGTTAAATTGAATTCCACCAGCGAGGGCAATGCCTTCGGCATGTCTTTCAGGTTCTCAAACTGACCAACAATCGAGAGCTTCACCAATTTGGGCATCTCAGGCATTCCCCTGAGCGACGTCAAGGTACATCGTGCCAGGTCAAGCTTGGTAAGCGAGGGTAGCTCCTTGGGCATTCCTTCCAGGCTCTTGATGCTGCCGGTGATCAAGAGCGTCTCCACATTGGGCATCTCAGGCATCCCCCTGAGTGATTTCAAGTCCGAGTGGCTGTATATGGAGAGCCATGTAAGCGAGGGCAGCACATATGGCATGCCTATCAAGCTGGTGAGCACATCGTCGACTCGTGAGTTCAGGTACGGATCGTCCCTGGTGATGGTCAGATACCGAATCGAAGGCAGCACCTTGGGCCATCCGGACACTTTCATAAACGACATGTTTTCGATTCTCAGCGACGTGCTGCTCGCGCTGTCGATCTCTGGGATATCAAAGGGCAGGAGCCTGGACAGGCAGGCGCCTGTGTCCGGGGCCTCGCTGGGTCGGATCGTCACTTCGTAGAGCCCAGAGCGGACCTGTATTGGCGACCCTATGTCGAAATCTTCATCTTCGGCAACCTTGATTGTTTCTTCGACTGAGAGCCACTCGTATGGGCTTGCCGTTCGATTGTCAGGGAAGCGGAATGCTGGGTCTGTTACTTGGCAGTAGCGCCGAACTCGGTTGTAGAGCATGGCATCGCGATAGACTTCGTGCCAGAGCCCACTCTCCTTCTCCGACATGAGTGCGCTGGTTGACTGTTGCTGATTTCGGCGAAGTACATAGCAGTAAAGCCCACGCAGCACATTCAGGCGGTTGATGGAGGGATGGACGCCGTCAAACAGAAACTCGGTCGTGATTTGCAAATCGGGGGACAGGCACACCTCCCACGTCTTGCTGGTATTGAGGATGGCTCGAGTCCGCTTTGAGACTCTGAGGAGCTTTGCAAACAAGGATGGGCCGGCACTGCGGATGAACGTTTCGTTTGTGATGAGGATAGTGAACAGGTCAAAACGAGTGAGGCTTGCTTGAACAGCAGGGGATGCTGACGCCACCGTTTCGGCTGAGAACGACATGACCGGCGGCGGGGCGAAGGCTGCTCGAGGCGGAAGTTGGAGGTGGGAAGTGGAGGCGGAAGTGGATGACAGGAGAAGTCGGAGAGGCGAATGAGATGAGGTCAAGGAGGAAAGGCAAGGACCCGCACATGTCCCTTGTGGATTGCCTCGAAGGCAAAGCAGGCGATATCCATGTCACACGGACCAGGGATCCACGTGGAGGGAGATTCCGAATGGATCGATATGGATCGATATGGATCTGTCGATTCGCACCAAACGATCCATTATTGGAGTGTCAACGGAATGCACTCGCTGCGAGCCAAGGATGCTGCTCGACTGACACCACCCTGATGCCGGGTCCGCTGGACAGAGTCCAAGATTCCCGTCATCCTCAGAGCCAGGGACAGCAAAGTCCATCTCATTCCTCTGTGCTTTCGCTGCATCTGCTTGACCTCCTCTGCATATACCAAAGGATTGCTGTGAGCTTGCTGAACCATTCATGTGCATTCGCTGTACAGAGTTCAAGTCATCCGTGCTCTGCAACTAGTCACTCGCCGTGTGTTCCGGGTCATTGGTCGTCTCTGGTCATGCTGAAACTGCTCAGAGTACTCAGTAAAACCTGAGTCTCTGGAAGCTCGCTGGGCATCCCTTTCGCTGCTTCCACGAGACATCCCCAAAGACAACCACAGTGCCCGTCTCCCTGGCACGCTGTTCGGTCATTATGGATAGGTGTATTCGGGACACAGAAAAACGACAACCCTGACTCGAGCAGGATGTCCCTTTCCTTTTGAATGGACTGAGGTTTTCAGGCGACGACTGAAGAGCAATGCACGGATAACGAGAACGAGAACGGGAACGAAAACAGGACGAAGACGAAGATATGGCTCGAGTGAGCGGCAGGAGTACATGGAGAGGCGAGGGCAACGTAGGGGTGACGGAGGCAGAAACAAGCTTGGATGGGAAGGATCAGACATTTGGACATGCAGGCGTGGAAACCGGACCAGGGGAGAGGGGGCATCTGCGCTTCGATATGGGCAAGGGACAGCTCATCCGCTTGCTGCTCCAACCAGTACTTGCCGAGCAACCTCGGCGAGCAGTGGCCGTATTTCGGGTCGGTCGGTGGTTCGCCGGTCATCCGTGTGATGCTGGACGGTGGAGCTGGTCGGCTGGGCATCATCGCCGGGCGAATCCAAAGACGGCTTGGCCTCCGATGGTGGGGTCAGAGGAGCCTCGGCGTCGACAATATCCTGCTCGTCGGGAGTGGCCTCAGCATCGACAGGAGGCATATCTCGCAGCTCCTGCAGATGGGGATATTTGTAAGCCGGCGATCTGACCCAGAAGCATCGACACACCATACCAAGGCTGATGCTGAGGCTCAAGGACTTACCACATGTCCGTCTTGGCTCTCGTGGTGCTCATACGGCGGCGGATCGACATCCACGGTGTATTCGGGCAGATACTCGGATGTGCGGTTGTTGGGCGGCGGTGGTTCCCTGATCATCCTCCGCAGGTTGAACCATACTGTTCCAAAGATCGCAGCGCAAGCCGCAACCAAGACGAAAAAGAAGACGAGAATGAGATAGTTCTGGTCCATCGTCGGCCGGGGGGCAGTCGCAGAGATGGGATGCCGGGGTGAGAGTGCGGGATCCGAGCCGCCGCTTTCGAGGGTCCAGCAAGCCTGCGTGGGTAAAGCCGGTGCAGAGGCCGTCTTCGAGCTCGTCGCATTCCTCCCCCCCTCATCGTCGCAGGAGCAGGTTGTTGGGCGGTGTGCACCGCTCTCAGCCTCCTTGCCATGAGCCCGCCAAGTTGCGCACGCGCTGGAGACGACACGGAGGTGGAGTGCAACAGGACGCGCCCGCGACTGGCTCCGGCCCGCCCAAACCGAAACAGGGCACACTTTGGCATGCGGGTTGAACGATGCTGGTCGATCGCCTGGCTGGACGGCGGCGATCGGTGCTGGGGCCGCTGCGGTGGGCTCGGCCGACGAGATGCCGTGGGATGGACAGCCAAGAAAACGATTTAGCCGACTTGGCCGATATGATCCGACGGAGGCGTGCCTGTGATCCATTTCGGGAGCGCTGTGAACGTGCGGGCGGATGGAATGGGATGGGCCAGGACAATCTGCGGCTGCCGTGGTCGCGACCCACCAGGCAGGCACCAAGACGCCTTCGCGGACACATCCAGCTCGGCAGATCCAGTTCGGCAGATCCAGTTCGGCAGATCCAGCGATCGTGGGCTATCATGGATTGGCTGTATTTGTTTGTTTCGAAGAAGAGCTCAGTCCGGCGTAGCGTTTGTTCTCCAATATCTGCCGGCAAATTCAGGATCGGAGAACGCAGCGCGGAGGCAAGGTCATCAACAGGAAGCGCAGGGCAAAGGTAGGCAAAGAACCGAGATGCAAAATGCAAGCAAAGGGCAAGCAAACGAGCAAGTCAAAGCAAGAGCAAACAGCAGTGCCAGCGGCCAACGAGCAATGCAAATCGTCGGAGGCGAGAAGGAAGAGGACATGCAAGAAGAAAGGCAGAGCGACAGGCGAAGGGCTCGCCGTCATGCGGAACCATTACGTGTGGAAGGTGAAAAAAGGAATGAAATAAATAGGTGGATGGACATATGGTAGAAGGCAGAGGCAAGCAGATAAAATGAGCAGATTCGCACCGGGCCACATCAAACGAATATACAAGCAGAGTATGTCGGTCTCATTCAATCTAGTGATACGATTAGCGTGCAGCTCGGTCAGCGCAAAAAAAGAAAAGAAAGTGCCCGAAGCGTGCACAGGTCGATCAAAGATATGCAGTGCTTCGACCTTGGTGTTGAGGGAGTTTCTGGCTAGACAAGGTGATTATCTGCGGCCGCCTGGTCAGTCGCCAGTTCTTTCTGCACCGTGTCGGATACTTGCGCAAGCTGCTTCACTTTCTCCATGTCATTTCTTCCAGCTCGGTCTTCTCAAGGACTCCCATGCCTTGTCGCATGTAGCTTCCATTCATAGCGTCGACCGACTCCATGTGCAGCGAGTTCTCGACCGGAGGCAGGTTCTGGATCGGCGGAGGTGCTTGGTGCATGGGCTGAGCGGAATAGGCGGGATGGACAGGGTGGGCCGGGGGCGGGTGGTGCTGGATAGGATGCGAGTAGTGTCCTCCGGCAGCAGCGGCAGCGGCGGCGTACTGGTTAGCGTAGCCGGTCTGGTAGGCATATCGATCGGCGCTGTGCGAGCGTCCCCAGGTGAGGCGGAGCTTTGATCCAGCTGCAGCGAGCAGGAGGGAAGCGGTATTGGGGTATTGGTGGCACCGATCGAGGCATTGGAGTCGAGCGAGTCGGTGCAGTGCCGGCAGCGCACAATGAGGAGTGTAAAGATGTATATGAGTGAGCCAGGGCATCGACGCCTGGCATGATCTCGACCCAACGCACGGCAATCGCACAGCCAACACTGCCGACGTCTCGCCCAATCCATGCCCCAAACGACAATGTCAGCGATCCCAGTGCACCCCCCTCTGCAGAAGCTACAATGATGCTCTGATACCAACCAACGACGTATCCGTTCAGGTGCTGGAGGGCCTGCTCGGCATTGGGCCGATGCACAAACTGGACAAAGCCGCAACCCTTGCCAGGCGGAATCTTGGTGTACACAATCTCGCCAAAGTTCATGAAGCACGCCCGGAGATCCTCCTCCGTCACCAGCGGACCAACACCGCCGACAAAGATGGTGGTGTTGTTTGGATCGCTGTTCTCAGGATAGTCCTTGGACGGCCCCTTGGGATAGTTGTGCTGGGGCTCGGCGCGCGAAGGTCGGTTCTTGGGCGTTGCCATGGAGATTCGCATTGGGCGTGGGCCACAGTACTGGCCTTGCATCTCGTGGAGGGCTCGCTGTTGCTCCGACTCATCGGTGAAGCGAACAAATCCGTAGCCTGGAGGTGCAGGAGGCGACGCCGTTCACCGTCAGTGATCAGCACAAGGCGCACGGAGTACTGAGCGAGGCAGCAGCCTTACCTTTGGACACTCCATTGTTCGAATCCATCACAACCTTGGCGGTCTTGCACGAGGCAAAGCGGGACTGGAACGTGATCTGAGCAGGCGGCAAGTGGGAGTGTGAGTCTGTCGCAGCCTTGATCAAAGGGCCCTCCGCCAGTGGCAATCGACATCTGTCTGCAGTAGCCTTACCATCAGTGTGTAGTCGTCGATTTCAGGAGCCAGATCGCCGACAAAGATCGAAAACTCCAGACCGCTATGGAGAGCGGGGACAGAAGAGGTTGAAATGGTGAGCGGGCTGTTTCAGATACAGCTGCGAAGACATTCGCACAGCGCTGATCAGCGCAGATGGATCTACGTTCATGATCACAGAACAGAAACAGAAACACTACCTGCGGTCGTTTAGGCCCGAGGCCCAGTTCAGCTTGAAGACCCGGTTGGTGCCGGGGATGAGCGTTCCGTTCACAGAGGCGAGGTATCTCGCAGCGGAGGCGTACGATGGAAAGTCCACGTAGGCGTATCCGGCCGAGATGCTGTCGAGGCGGGAAGCCGCGATCATCCGGCATGTTAGCCGCAGCAGGGATGGGAGGTGCGGAGAGGGTGCTGTGGAAACGAACAAATATGCTGGCGCTTGCGGGCGATCGGAGCGAGCCCAGGCCGGACGCCCAGGCGATCTACGTACGTGTTGTTTCGGTCCCGAACGACCTTGGCCATGACGTTTTCTCCCATGTTGTACCTGTGAGTTTAGGCGCAGGACGCAAGCAGCAAAGAGCAGGGTCAGCTCGCTGCGCTGGGCAGCCTAGATATGAGGACGGCAGTCCCGAGCACGGAGAGGACCGCTCGCGGGCAATGATCGCCATGGGGCTGCAGCCGACAGATGCCCAGGCGGGCTGCGCGATGGTAGGTACCAGAGCTGGCGCAGATAGTTTTCGTCCATCCATGGATCCAGATCGCCCATCCAAAGCGTGAACTTTGAGTCGGCGGGGCCGCCGGGGAGCGGCATGGCTCCGTAGTGGTAGCTCTGGTCCCACATGATGATCGGATTGTACTGAGGCCGCTGGAGCTGGATCGAAGGCGAGCGAGTGAGTCGAGGCGAAGATGGTGCTCGAGAAGCAAAGGCGAAAGCGGATCGGGGGAGGGGCGTGTGGGCGGTGCCGATGCTGGCCGTCTGGGCTGCGATGCCTGCGACCGAAACCGAAAAGCGAGAGCGGGCTGGCATGGGTGCGCCCGGCCCGCTATAAGCGAGATCTCGGGCGGTGTGGCCGCCGATATTAAATTAATCTCGTGGCGGCCTTTTTTTTGGTGTTGGTGCGGCCCGACATCAGCAGCGACATCAGCAGCGACATCAGCAGCGACACTCAGCAGCGACACCGACACTCAGCAGCGACACCAGCATCGGCGCCATGGCAAAGGCATCCGCCCCAACAAGCAGCGAACATATCGTCGACGTCAGTACCCGGCCTCCCTGTGCTGCTCGGGGCCGCTGCCGTACCAAACCGCATCGCGACAGAGCCGGCACACACTAACACCGATATCGTGTGCTCGCTTGCATCGTCCTCTTCCTGCGCTCGCAGAGCGACGATGAACAGATGGATACTGACGAGGATATCCATCGGTACGATTCCCGTGTGCTGTTGCCGTTATCGCTGCAAATGCTTATTGGTGCGAACACGCACGATGCGCCTGCCACATTCACCAAGTTCGAGTTTGGCATCTCGACGACGACAGCCCCGCATCCAGCCTCGCATCCAGCCGCTCGCTGGCTCTGAATCGAGTGCCGCACTCTTGTCGTCCAAGATTCCTCACACGATTGATTCCTGGCGCACAGGTCATTCAAGCCGCCAGCAAACTATGCCAAAGCCAGCATCGATGCCGGGCGTGCTGGCCCCTTCGACATCGATGCGCTGAATGCCAAGGATACCGAGATCTGGCTGATTCGAGTGCCCGAAGGCGTAAGCAACCCTCCGATTTCGCAGACGAGCAGACTGTGTTGGACACGAGGATCCTTTCAGATACAGCTCTGTGCATCCTTGCATGGATCGTATTTGCATATGCCCCATCAGCTGTGGCTCCGGCAGCAACAGAATCAGCGATATCGAGGATGTTATCCGCTCCGTCGGAACTGGAATCATGGACACGCTGCACGACAGGCCATCGGTGCTTGTTTAGATGGCCCTAAAGCTCTAACAGACACCATCGCCGACCCTCTAGCTGCCTCTCGGCGCCCTCAGCGATGTCACTATCCCCGTCGGCAAGCTGGCTGACTCGGGCGACGACGACGAGCCACTGGCAAAGATCACCCACAGCGGATCGGACGGCAAAGAGATCTTTGCCCTGGAGGCCGTCAACGACTGGGAGCAGACCGGAGAAATGGGAGAGTTCTCTGTTGTCGTTCCAAGCCGGAAGCGCGGTCAGCTCAAGATCGGTAAGAAGCATCACTGCATCGATATCGCGCAAGGCTGATTAGAGACCGAGCAGGCTCGATGTGTCCGCAACGAGGACACCTATTCGGTCTGCGGAGACGGGGCGTTTCTCGGGGCGTTCCCGTGTTGTGAAGGGCCGCAGAGTGCATCGGACTCAAGATCCTTGTGTCTGCCTGTCTTCCTTCCTGTATGCAGCTCCTTCGCACAGAATCAAGCAGTTCAACGTCGCACCCTATGTTCGGCTCCCCACCAAAAACGAGCTTGCCACGGCCGGACAGAAGATCATCGATATCCCATACAAGCCCAGGGTCCATCCCGAAGGCCTCAAGATGCGGGAAAAGCCGTATGGTCATGCCGCCGGTATGTTTGTACCCCTCTCCCACGCCGCATGGGCTCACTGCGACAACTTTTATGTGATGCGATTGGCGCAACGCTTGTCTGACGGGTTGTGCCATCGTCTACAGAGGGCGATGCTTTGGAAGAGTCTCTGAAACGGTATCCCAGTGTTGGCAAGCTGCCAAGCGAGCGCCGCCAATCTGAGGGCACTGCCGCAAAGAAACAAAAGACTGCCGACAAGGGCTCGGAGAAGAAAAAGTCGGCTGGAGAGCCGTCATCGGCCAAGAAGGCCAAGAAGCAGTAACAGAGCGAATACATGACCCATCCACCATTCATTCCACATCCGCCATCGCTGCAGCATCAGTGGGCGCATTGCGTAAATGGGGGCAACGCGAGCCATATCCTGGGGTTTGGGACCGACATGACCCGACCAGGCAACCCGGCCGAGCAACCTGCCCGAGATCTGATCTGCCCGAGATCTGATCTGCCCTCCACTGGCTCAACAGCACCCGCACCAACACCAACCACAAGAGCGCCGCGAGATGATTCTGGTTCAGCCGACAAGCTCCTCGGGCTCCCAAGGTGTGCCTGCAACCAGGGTCTGCACGATCGACTGGCAGATCGTCCTCAGTCGGGTCCGATCGATCGACATAGATCGCTAACCGTCCAGGTCGCCATTGAAACCACCGTCTGTCTGTCACAGAGATCCAGTTTTTCAACTACCCGCATCCAAAAACAGGTATGCCGAGCATGCCGTTTCTCGACCATCGGCTTCATCGGTCAATATTGATCTGGTCATCACCACTGTTGTCTCTGCACGGCGAACCGGTTGGGCTTCAACTTCAGACCTGCCCACAACATTTGCTGTTCAGGATGGCAGGATCATGGAGCTTCAGACCTCTGGATCTGGTGCTGACAAGACCTCTTGGTTTGTCGATAACCGGGTCGAAGAAGGTGGGTGCCGAGGACTCTCAGCGAGTCGACTGTTGTCTCGGGTCTCAACGTTTCTGGCTGAGCGAAAGTGAACATCGCCTTGCACCAGGCCGCAACTTGAACGGGTTACATGCAAGAGCTGTGCAGCACTGCCCACTGACTCGGTTGCTCCTTGCTGTGGCATGTCTCGGCAGATGGATCGCTCTTGGTGCTGACGCCGATCGACCCGGCGTTTCTGATCTTGCCGCCGCTGCTCAGGGCCAGGCTCTCCGAGAGTGGTCACCAGAAGTATTGGCCGCTGGATGAGATCGCAGAGTTGAGCAGCCCGCATCTGAAGGAGCTAACGTCTCTCTACGACATCGAGCCCCATGTGCAGCAATTGTGCGATATCAAGGGTAAGTTTGATATTATGTCTGAACGACGAGACCAGAATCGGCGAAGGCCGCGCGTCTGATCTAATCCAAGCCAAATTCAACGCCATTCAACTGCGATGCCGAGCCAGAAAGCGTCGGCACCGCTCAGGGTCAATTCCGGCTCTCGGATGCAAAAGTCCTGAAGTGGCTGGGCTGCAAGGTAGACAGAGTATGCGGACTCGTGCGAGAGGAGTGTGATCCGGGGTAGTGGCTGCTGATGAGCCCGACTCACTCAGAAAGTGTCCGTGGTGACCCATGGCAGAAATCCCGGCTGGAGAGGCTGGCATCGAGACCTGGCGAGCCGAATCCATATGGTGAGTTGCGATCGGCTGGGTGCTGACGCTGCAAGGCCCGACAATAAGCTGCGATCGCATCGCTTCGGGCCTGAATGGAAACTGGGATCGGAAGCAGTGTCTCTGACCAGTGCTTCCGTCGCAAGCTTCCGATGAAGCCGCCGTCGTCGACCTACTGTGTGACTACCTGCCGAGCGAGCTGGAAGAGCTATTCCGATCGCAGCATCCGTGAGTAGTGCGCAAGCAGAAGCAATATGGTGCAGGTTGACGCCCCGGTTGTGACTCTGATTTGTTGCTGACCCATTCCTTGGACTCGTGCCGACCAGACATCTCGTCTCGACACCGTCACAGGCACCTATCTATGAAGGTGCTTCGGGACAGCCGATTGCCGAGCCATCCTCCAAGGTGGGCATCGTTTTCTCGTGCGCTGCGTCAGGCAGTGCTGGACATACTCTTGTGCTGTGTCAAACGGCATCGGATACCCTCGTTTCCATCCTCACACGCCTTTCTGAATCGCAGAAACCCAAAACGGCCAAGGCAGCCAAGACTCGGACGGTTTCGGCGGCCCAGACGACGCTGCACTCGTTCTTCAAGAAGGGATGATTGTGTGTCTGGAGCGGATGCGACGGGGACGACACCATGACTTTGGCTTGTCCAAGGGTGATGTGAGGATATTCTGGGTGGTGCCGCTGGAACCAAGCATCGCTGGAATCAAACGTCGCTGGAATCATCAACACCGCCGTTGCATGCGCTTGGGGATTCAGAAGCCCTGGACTCGGGCTTGGGCTGCAGCGGGCAGACCGCCGGTCGGATCTCCAAACGCGCAGATCATCGTCGGCAGCGAATCTTGGGGCCGTGGTGGTGCAACAGCCATGAAGGCGGCTGACTCCGCGCCACAGCCAATGGGATCCGCAGAGCCTTGTTGCCGATGGCGAGCGTGGCCTGGGAAATGGCGCCATCGCCCGGGTGCGACGCTCTTTGGCTGGCGGTCCTGGACACAGGGTCAGGAGACATCCTGCGATTCAGTCTCCAGACCTGCGATTGGGCCTCGGCATCGCGATGACAAACGGCCTCTGCATGGGCAGCCGCTTTGTGCGATTACGCTGCGGCCGGTCGATGCCAGCAAAACCCACTTTTTTTGCCCAAAGACACAGGCGTCAGCGCCGCTGTGTTCTGCTCCATGGGTTGGCGATTTGGATTTGAATTTGAATTTGAAACCCTCCATCTTCGTCCGGACCCGGTTTGCGGTCCGTAGTTCGTTTCCCAGCCGCCGACTGCCACGTTTCGACCTGCGGCTCTGCCAAGAGAAGCTCCTGTCCTCAACGCACGCTTGTCGAAACTCAAAAGTCTCCGCCAGACCCGATCGTGGTGTCTGTTGCTCAATCCATCCATCGTCACCTGCTGCCATGAAATCCCACGAAGTGATCGCCCCGCCGGGCTATTCGCCCTCCATCTTCGATTCGCAGTACACCATTCTTCGGTCGCAGCTGGCTCAGGGAACCCGGCAGCTCCCCGTGCGGGCACAGCGCTACCTCTTGGATCTCTTCCCGGTCCGGACGTGGTTGCTGCGATACAACTGGTCGTGGCTGTCGGGCGATTTGATCGCTGCCATCACCGTCACGGGCGTCATCATTCCACAGGCCCTCGCCTATGCCACGCTGGCAGGTCTGCCGGTCCAGTACGGGCTGTACACAGGTATCGCCGGCCTGCTGTTCTACTTCCTCTTTGCGACGTCCAAAGGTACAGTACCATCGGCGATGCTGCCTCATCAGTCTTGGTCGTCCGATTGGCCGAGATCGGGATGCATTCGGATAGCACCTGTGCGGAAATTCTCCTGCCCTTGGCGTTGTCCACCAGAGATGCTTGCTACTCGTCTCCAGAGGCCTCGCTCCTGACCTGACTTTGTACCGTCGCTCGATATCGGCGCCTGTGTCCATGGCTTCCTTGGCTCTGCAGACGTCACCATCGGCGCCACGGCCGTCTTATCCCAGCTTGTCGGCCAAGTCTTGGTGGCCTACAACCCGGACCAAAAATACGATCCGGTGAGCTTGGCGCTGCTGATTGCCTTCTGCCAGGGCCTGATCGAGCTGTGTCTTGGGCTGTTTCGGCTCGGCATCATCGTGGATCTGCTGCCGTCGTCGGTGATCTCGGGCTTCACGACCGGAGCCGGTGAGTACTCGATGTGTTGTAGTTATTGTCAGACATATCTTGAGATGGAGCACAAGGGTCGGATGCTGCGAACGAGGGCCAGTCGATATGCGGTGTGGTGGATGAGTGCCGTGAATCGGTGATGGAAAGACCGTGGCTGTGATTCAGCACATTGCAGCAGCGACCGTGCCGACACTGACACTACCGCTGCCCCTCCACAGGAGTAACGGTCATCATTGCCCAGCTACCAGGCCTCTTGGGCATTACCGGAGTAGACACGAACGACCCATCGTCCGCCAAGATCCTGGTCAACACCTTCAAGAGCTTCCATGGCCTGAATTACGACTCGCTCTTTGGGTTGACGGCCCTGGTGTTTCTCTTCGCCATCAAGTACGGCTGCCGCTACATGGTCAAGCGCGGCTGGACCAGCATGCGCTGGCTCGGTATTTGTCGAAACCTGATCTGCTTGGTGATCTTCACGGGGGCGAGCTATGCGGCCTACAAGGATGTCCCCGGCGGCAAGTACCCGATCAGCATCGTCAAGACCGTGCCGTACGGCCTCCAAGGATTTGTTGTGCCGACGCTGAACGACAGCGGCATGTTCCTCTGCGCCCTCAGAGCCTCGGTGACCGTCGTGATCGTGGCTGTGATCGAGTACGTGAGTCGTGCCGTTGGTGAGAACCAGCTGGGTCGGACTTGCATTTGGTTTGGCCGTCGACAAGGGTTGGTGCCGGGGTGGGGGAGCCACAGGGTCATCGGCACTGACACCGTCAGCGTCGGACTATTACTGGCAGGCACATCGCCGTCGCCAAGTCATACGGCCGCGTCAACAACTACAAGGTCAATCCGAACCAGGAACTTGTTGCTCTTGGCTTTGTCAACATCCTCGGCAGCTTCATCGGCGGATTCCCGGCGACCGGCTCGTTTTCGCGCACAGCCATCAACTCGGCATCTGGTGTCCGCACACCACTCGCCGGACTGCTGACAGCGGGACTTGTCGTGATCTCGATCTTCACCATCACGCCTGCGTTCTTTTGGATTCCAAAGGCATCGCTGTCGGCGGTGATTGTGGCTGCAATCGCGGATCTGTTTGCGCCAGTAGACACCATTAAGCAGCTGTGGGACATTCATCGTAAGTGGTCGAGAAGAAATGGAGAGGAGGCAACGCCCTTCGAAGGATGAGCCTGAGAGAGACAGCGATGTGGAAGGCCCTTTCCTCCAATTTGGCTAATGGGCGCGCGATCGGACACAGTCTCCGACTTTTTTTCGTTTCTGGTCGCGCTACTCGTCACAATCATCTTCAACATCGAGTCCGGCATCGAAGTCTCGATTGCGTTTGCCTTGGCCATCTTGGTCTATCGCATAGCTCGGCCCAACATCCAGCCGCTGGTGCAATGCGGAGGCAAATGGTACTCGCCGGACCAATCGATCGGCTGGGAGGTCTCGCAGCCTCCGCCAGGGGTTCTGGTTTTCCGTCCCGAAGAATCGCTGACGTACCCCAACTCGGCTTTCATCACCGAAAAAATGCTCGAGGGCGTCAAGGAGAAGACCCGGTATGGTGCCAAGGTTTCAACCAAGAGCAGCACTAGGATTTGGAGCGATACCACGGGGCTTGCGTCATCTCAGTCCACGGACAGCCTTCCGATCGTGCGTCATCTGGTCATCGACATGTCGTCCGTCAACTTTGTGGATGCCACGGGCGTACAGGCTCTGGCGGATCTGCGCCGAGACCTTGACAACTATGCGGGCCGGCCGGTCGAGATTCATTTCAGCCGAGTCAAGCCGTCGATCGCTCGACCCATCTTTTACTTTTTGCACATCACCAACTGCAAGAAGCCGATTGCAGCGGTTGGGACCCACAGCCTCGAGGCCGAACCAGAACCTACCCAGCCGGAGCAAATCAACTCGTGCTTGCGATTTTTCCATGCCTCGGTCCAGCATGCGATCAGCGCGATTGCTGGGGCTGAAGAAATTCTGCAGTGCGTGGTATCCGAGTAAGTGGTCATCTGGTTGGCGAGTTGTCCTCCTGATGAACGGGGGGACCTGAGCAATGTTATGTGGTGGATACCAAGTGTAGTAGAAGGGCTGTTCCAATAGAGGCCGAAAGCAGCTTGATCCCATGGTGGAAAGACAAGTCGAGAGATTGGTCGAGAGATTGGTCGAGAGAATGTGAAGAGTGAGCGGGCGCGAGGGCGGATTTGTCGGACCAGAGACAGGAGATTGTCAGACGACAGGAATGACGCAACCGGCGGCTGAGGTGGGTCGTTTCAACCAAGACAGACCCCGGAACAGCACTATGGCGGAAGGCAAAGGAGAACGTGGCCGAAGGCGCTCAAAGGATGCGACGGGACATGGGCGGTGGCATGACATGGCAGCGCGGCGCAAGGGCAAGGGCAGGGCCGACACGAAATTTATCGATTCGCTGCCGGCACCCAGGACAAGGGCATACCCCACATGGGCTGGGCCAGCCGTGCGGCTGGGTGGGAAGGATTGCATCATGCAGGTTCCGGGGGCGACATGTGTCGGGTCAGGGGATGCTGCGTGGCCCAACCAGGGCACTGGGAAACAAGGAGAGTGCGATAGCGAGAGGTGGGCGAGAGGCGAGGCGAGAGCGAGAGAGCCAGGGAACAGCAGCACAAGCGCGACCGAGAGGCCGCAGCGAGATGGCGCCATGGCGACACGTGTCCGCGACCCCACAGGAATTGCGTCATTCACTGCTGACAAAGAAAGGCCTGTTGCCCATGAGCGGCCCTGTTCGGCCATGGCAGCGGCGGCCGCCAGCGATCGGTCGCCGATGCCGTCATCGGGCCGCGCTATCGTTTTTTTCTTCCTCCCCTCTCGCTGCATAAAAGGCCGCGGGGCGCCTCCCTCGTCGTCATCGCCATTGCAACGTGGATCCGCTCAGTGCACTCCAACCTTCTTGCCGACAGCCACGAGGCGCTCTCCTGCATCTCATACTCTCGCTCTCACTCTCTGCTCCTGGTTCTCCGCCGACACGCCTCTGGCCATAGCTCACCAGCCGAACCACTGCATCGCACTCCGCATCCAAGCTTAACTGTTTTCTGAGCACACGCCTCTCGCACTCACAATGAGCCAAGCAGCCTCCACATCCTCCGCCGCCACGGGTCAAGCCATCCGGGTACCCGAGGGCTACCCCACCAACGTCTTTGACTCGCAGTATTCGCAGTTCAAGACCAACGTGCGCGAGAACTCCAAGAGCCTGGGACCCAAGTCCCTGCGTTACGTCAAGGAGTTTTTCCCCGTCGCCGACTGGATTCCTCGCTACAACCTCTCCTGGTTCACTGGCGATCTGATCGCTGCCATCACTGTCACGGGCGTGATCATTCCCCAGGCTCTGGCTTATGCCACCCTTGCTGGCGTCCCCGTCCAGTATGGCCTGTACACCGGTCTTGCCGGCATGTTCTTCTACTTCCTGTTCGCCACCTCCAAGGGTAAGCAGCTCGCATGACTGTGTGGTGTGTTGCTGACTGTGTCTCGCTGCTGTGTCTGAGATTCCATGCTTACTCCATGACTCCTTGGCATCCACCCCATCTCCACCCGTGATTCCCACACACAATCGCAGATGTCACTATCGGCGCCACTGCCGTGCTCTCCCAGCTCACTGGCCAGATCATCGCCTCTGTCAACTCTGACAACAAGTACTCGCCCATTTCCATCGCCATCGCCATCGCCTTCTTCCAGGGCATCATCGAGTTTGCCCTCGGTCTCTTCCGCCTCGGTATCGTCGTTGATTTCATCCCCTCCTCGGTCATCTCGGGCTTCACCACCGGTGCCGGTCTCACTGTCATCATCGGCCAGATCCCCGGTCTCTTTGGCATCCAGGGCGTCAACACCAACGACCCCTCGTCGCTCAACATCCTGATCAACACCATCAAGAACGCCTCGACCCTCAGCAACCTCGACACGGCCTTTGGTGTCTCTGCCCTGGTCTTCCTGCTCCTCGTCAAGTACACCACCCAGATCCTGGCCCGCCGCTACCCCAAGCTTGGCTGGCTCAAGTGGGTTGGTATCACCCGCAACCTGGTCGCCCTGATTGTCTTCACCGGCATCAGCTACGCCATCAGCAAGGACGCCAAGAACGGCAAGTACCCCATCACCCTCGTCAAGACCGTCCCCGCTGGTCTCGCCGGCCTGGCCGTTCCCAACCTCACCGACGCTGGCCTCGTCTCGCGCGCTGCCCAAGGCCTTCCCGCCGTCATTGTCGTTGCCATCATCGAGCACATCTCTGTCGCCAAGTCCTTCGGCCGTGTCAATGGCTACAAGATCAGCCCCAACCAGGAACTCGTCGCCCTTGGTCTCGTCAACTTCCTCGGCAGCTTTGTTGGCGGCATCCCCTCGACCGGCTCCTTCTCGCGCACTGCCATCAAGTCTGCCTCGGGTGTCCGCAGTCCCTTTGCTGGCTTCATCAGCTCGATCCTCGTCCTGATTGCCCTCTACACCATCACCCCAGCCCTGTTCTGGATCTCCAAGGCCTCGCTCTCGGCCCTGATCATTGCCGCCATCACCGAGCTCTTTGCCCCTCCCGAGGTCATCAAGCAGCTGTGGAACATCCAGTTCACCGACTTCCTGTCCTTCTGGGTTGCCCTCTTTGTCACCGTCATCTTCAACATCGAGACCGGTATCGAAGTGTCCATCGGCTTTGCTCTCGTGGTCCTGCTGTACAGAATCGCCCGCCCTCGTATCCAGCCCCTCGTCCAGCATGCCGGCAAGTGGTACTCGCCCGACCAGTCCCACGGCCTCGAGACCTCGCAGCCGCCCGCCGGCGTTCTTGTCTTTCGCCCCGAAGAGTCCCTGACCTACCCCAACTCTGGCTACATCACCGAGAAGATCCTCGAGAGCGCCAAGGAGCGCACCCGCTACGGCGGCGTTGTTACCAAGCACAGCAACGACAAGGTCTGGAGCGATTCGACTGGCCTTGCCAAGAAGTCCAACCTCGATGAAGACCTGCCCGTCCTCCGCTCGCTGGTCATCGACCTGTCCTCGGTCAACTTTATCGATGCTACGGGCATCCAGGCCCTGATCGATCTCCGCCACGAGCTCGACCGCTATGCCGGCCACAACGTCGCCATCCACTTCAGCCGCGTCAAGCCCGCCCTGGTCCGCCCCATCAACTACTTCCTCCAGACGACCAACTCCAAGAAGGTCGTCGCTGCCGTTGGCAACACCTCGGGCGCTGCTGATCCCGAGAGCTCCCAGGAGCATCTGTGGGTCCCCCAGGACGCCACTCGCTTCATCCACAAGAGCGTCGCCGATGCTGTCAACGCCACCCTGGTCTAAGCTCGATCGGACTCGATCTCCTCTTTGCCAAGCACCATGCGATGACTGCTTGTGCTCTTTCTCTCTCACCCACACATTGTATCTAGCATCACAGTCCTTCAGCACAATTGCCGGTCTGCTGCACCAAAAAATCTGAACCTGCCCAGCTCTCCTCTCCTTTTGTCTTCCCATCTCCCTTGTAAATACCGTCCATCAAAGCGACTTCATCTGCATGGAACTCTTCCCGCCCTTCCCCTGCATGAGCAAATGTATTTTTACGATGCTTTGTATGCGAATCTGAATGAACAAAGACTCTCATCCTATCAAACCATAAGCTTGTCGGTGTTTCTTTCCTTGGGTTCCGGGACTGGGATATGGGATATGAGACTGCGAAGGCAGGAAGGGGGAATGCGCCATTGTGCTCTTGAAGCACAGGAGGCACATCCTGACGACGAAAAAATGAACTGACCCATATTTATCGATCGCCACCTGTGTATTCACGGAGGGGTTGCCCCAGAAACAACTGGAATGAGGGGGGGGGGAGGCAACTGTGATGGCGATTCGATGGAACATAGCTATTGTTCGACACCACTGGGTCCTGCAGATTTCAACTGATAGCTCCTTCTGGAAGAGGTGGACTCACTCACACCATTCCACATCAAGGAGACACACTAGTTTCGGAGGATTTGGGAGAGGTCTTTGACGTCTCCGCCGCGATAGGTGCCGGGGTTCTGGCCCTTGGGGGTGGAGTCACGGCCGGCCAGACCACGGCCAGTGCCGTCGGCATTGAAGCGGAGCTTGTGGGAACCTATGCCGACACAAGAACAAATGTGTTCAAATGAGTGAGGAAACACCAGCCCCTTGCAGGCGACTCGAAGCACGACCAGAGAGGACTGCTTTCTTCGTCTCTCCCCCCCCTCTTGCAATTCTGATCGCCAGGGAGACGCTCATACCTGTGTACTGGTTGGTGTCCGTCAGCCGGTCAAAGACCGAGCCGCTTCCAGACGATGTGCTGGGAACCTGCAAGGTTGTGGATGGGGATGTCAGCGAGCACGAATGAACGACTCCGGAGCCGAATCAGCGACTGTCGCTCTGATCCGACCTCTTCACACATTCACGCATCCACATATATGTGCGTGCCTACCGCTGCGTAGCTCACGCTCTTGGTGCTGGGGCTCTTGCCCACCACCTTGACTCCACTGGCGGGGGCAGTGGAGGTCAGGGTAGACTCAGGTGCCTTCTTGGTCTTGTGGGCCTCAGAGTCTGGTTTGGAGTGTGGTGGCATCCAGCCGATGAGAGTGCAGTCACATGAAGCAAACGGCAGCGTTGCAGGCAGCAAATATGGAGGCCACAAATCAAAGGCTGCATCGACCCGACTTTCAGGACCCAGCTGCTATCGTCGACGGCATGCGTTTCAGATGCGAGCGAGTCCACTTGCCTATCTTTTCGGAGCTGACAGTCGTTATGGCGACCTGTCCGCGCTTGGCCGTCAGCGGCTTGGGAGCCGACGACAGGTTCGACATGGATCCGGGCTTGCTGCCGGCCAGGGTGGAGCTGGGGCCCTTGGAGTCTCGGTTGACGAGAGTGTCGAGGCGGTTGGTCTTGGACGGAGCGTCGCGGCCGGCCAGGCCAAGGCCTTTCCCGTTGGCATCGAAACGGCTCTTGTGCGTCCCCGTATAGAGCGAGGTGTTGGTCAGCTTCTCATAGATACCTTCGGTCGACGCCGTCTGTGCGCCAGTCAACCAAGCCGGCCAAGCCAGGCCAGGCCAGCGAAAGAACACATCCGAGGCGGTGGTTAGTGCTGGTCTGCGGGGAGTCAAGCTCATGCTTTCGTGACCCTGAATGCTGCCCCAGCCATCGCTGGGCACACCCACCGTTCCCGAGACCACCGGGCCCTTGCCGGTGTAGACGACGTCGTTGAGGAACTTTGACCACCCTTCGGCCGGGGTCGCTGCGGGGTACTTCTTCTCGGAGAGGAGGCGGCAGGCTTCCAGGAAAGTGTTCCAGTCGAGTCGGCGCGCCCCCTTGGCCTTGGCCTTGTTGAAGATGATGTCGACGTCGGTGGAGGTAATGGCTTTGCCTTCCACCAAGCCCGAGTCACGGCAGAACTTTGCAAACTTGGCGCCGTCCATAGTCGGGCCAGTCACCAAGTCCATTGAGGCCGCGGAGATGCCCGAGAGGTTGCGGCTGGAGCCAAAGCTGCAGAATGTTTCGTAGGTCGAGCGGAGGTCTTCGACAGTGGCCATGATGGGTGGATGGGCGGATGGGTGGATGGATAAAGAAGAGGCGCTGGGTCTGCGTATGCCAAGATGAGAAGAAAGAGGTGCTACAGAGATGCGGGTGGCGGCCGTGGTGTCGTCTGGGCGAAGAAGAAGAGAATGCTGTCGTGGGAACGCGGGTCGGCCGGATTGGCAGAGCGCCGGTGGATTTCCAGGATCGGGATTGGGAGACGAAGGTTTGAGTTTCCGGGCCAGCAACACAGGATCACTTGGCGCTGGTTCTTGGCATTGGAGTGCTGCTGTTGCTGATGCTGTTGCTGATGCTGTTGCTGATGTTGTTGCTGATGTTGTTGCTGTTGGTGCTGTTTGTGCTGCGAGCCGTGGTGGGGGGCATGAGCTCTTCATACAACGATGCCCCTGGCCGACATGCAAGCCTCTCCCCCGCCTGGTGGGCAAGTATTTCAACCAGGCCAGCGTCCCATCCCTTCCCTTCCCCTCCATCCCACATCCATCCCATCGTCGCCATGGCCGAGAGCACCCCTCTGCTTGACCATGCCCGCAAGCGCAAGCACCATGCCTGGCTTCCGGCGCGCATCCAGCACCGACACCGTGCTTATAGGATGAGGCGGCTCTTCCCCCACAGCGACCTCTTGGACATCTCGCAGCTGCATTCGGCGCTCTCGGAGCTGCCCCCGCCCGCCGAGGACCCCAATCCGACCTTCCTGCCGGCCTCGCTGCAGCCAATCTACGGCCCGTTCCTCCGATATCACGACGTTCTTCCGCCAAACTCGTCGGCGCCCGTGCCGTCGTGGGTTTGGAAGGGCTCGGTCCTGGTGGTTGTCCATCGCTCGGTCGAGCGCAATCCGCAGCTTGCTGTCGCCATCCCCAGCATCCCCGATGAGCGCCAACTGCTCGACCCCATCGTCGTCGTTGGCGACGCTCCCGTGGGCTTCCGCGTCCTGCGCTACGACATCGAAATCCCCTTGACCTCCGAGTCCCAAACCATCCGCTATGGCATCGACTTTTCTGAGCAGGGCACCGCTTCGTTCGTTGTCCCGGCCGAGAGCCAGAGCTGGCGTTGGATGTTCTACAGCTGCAACGGCCTGAGCGTCGATGTCAAGGACCCCCAGAAGAACTGGGGCGGTGTTACGCCGCTCTGGAAGGATGTGCTTGCAGCCCACAAGCAGGAGCCTCTGCACTGCATGGTCGGAATCGGCGACCAGGTGGGTGAAATCTGTTGCTGGTGACAGGCGGCCAGCTTGATGCAGACATGTCTTTCCTTGACGGCGGCTCTGTTGGTATGGTGCTTGGCAGCTGGCAAAGTGTGAGACTAACCGGCCGATTCGGTCGATGTCGATCGATTCCCTCGATCCCGTCGCTGCACTCCCCCTCCGCCGCCGTGCCCGCAGATCTATCAAGATGACTTTTTCCACTCCCTGCCATCCTTTATCGAATGGCTTGCTCTCGAAGACTCCGAAGACCTGCTCAGCCACCCGTTCACCCCGGCCATGGAAACTGAGCTGGCCCAGTTCTTCCTGGTGCACTACCTCATCCACTTCTCGCAGCCCGTTGTTGGCGAGGCCATGCGCTCCATCCCAAGCTTGATGATGGTTGACGATCACGACCTCTTTGACGGATACGGCTCATACCCTGCCTATCTGCAAAACTGCCCGGTCTTTCAGGGCATCGGCCGAATTGCTCGAGACTACTACTTCATTTTCCAGGTGGGTTTCGCGCAACGACAGAGTCGACGAGGGCTTTCTTCCGACAATGGGGCTAATCCTTCTCGCGTGCGCTTCAATTGCATGGTCTGTGGCTCCTCCATGGACTCAGCATCATACCACCTACGGCCAATCTCTCCACTATGGCCTCTACTCTGCCGGCCGCGGAGAGGGCCGCTCGTTCCTGCGTCTGCTTGGCCCCCGCACCGCCATCTCCGGCGTCGACAGCCGTTTCGAACGAACCGAGAACCAAGTTGCCAACCGCGAGACGTGGGACTACACCTTCGACAAGGTCCTGCCAACGCTCCCGTCTTCAGTCGTGCATCTCGTCTTCATAGCCGGCGTCCCGTTTTCGTACCCGGCCCTGACCCTGGTCGAACGAGCCCTCAAGTGGGTCGCGTGGCTGCGCAATTTTTCGTTCTTCCACGTCCTGCTGAAGAAAACGGGCCTCTTTGAGAACAGCCTTGGATTCATGTTCTTCCAGCCGCAGATTCTCGATGGCAAGTTGCATGTTTGGCGCATGGCTCTGGCTCGATAGTGTTGCGTGCCTTGCCCCCTGCCCGAAAATCTGTGCTGACACGATGTGATCTCCCCGCTGGACTGATCCAAACAGACCTCGTCGATCACTGGAGTTCCCATCTCGGCGAGCGAGACTATGTTCTGGAGCGCCTCCGCCGCTACTCGCAGCAGACTTCGGCTCGAGTCACCGTGATCTCTGGTGATATCCACTGTGCCGCTGTCTCCAAGATCGAGTCAGACTCCCAGCCGTCCGCTCCCTCCGATCGCGGTCGTCCATCCCAAGACCACCGCCTGATCTTCAATGTGATATCGTCGGGCATTGCCAACGTTCCGCCCCCAAAGTTTGTGCAGAGACTCTTTGCCTGGTCAGACACCCGCCGCCAGGTTGACGAGCACTCCACTGAGCAACTGATTCCACTCTTTGAGCACGACGTGAATGGATCTCGGCTGGCGGAGCGCAACCGCAAGGTCATGGGCCGCCGCAACTGGTGCCTGGTCGAGGAGCAGAGCCCGTCGAGTGACCCAGACGCTTCCCTGGCCCGCTTCACCTTCCATGTGGAGAAGAAGCGTGGTGGAGGCAAGGGCAGCGCCGAGGAGGCCGAGCAGCTCGGAGTGTCCACTGTCGTGACATATTCCCTCGACGTTCCCAAGCTGTCGATCCGCCGCCTTGACCAGGACGTTCGCCTCGGGGATGTCTATACGCCTACGCACGAGACACCTGCGCTGTCGCTGGACAGCACCAGAGAAGCCGACGCTCTTGACCAAAGTCTCCCTCCGATCACTCACACACAGCTCCGACACCACGGCGATGAGATTGTCGTCCTGACCCAGGCCGTGGGGTCGCTCTGAATGCCCATCGCACCGTGCATGGCTCTCCCGTTGTTATAGTCCTGCCTCGATGTTGTCTTGCCTCGATGTTGTCCTGCCTCGATGTTGTCCTGCCTCGATGTTGTCCTGCCTCGATGTTGTCCTGTCTCGATGTTGATTGCCTTCCCAGCGAATCTGTATACACTCGTGTCATGTGCAACTGCCAGGCCACCGACGCGTGTGCCGGGTTTCCTTTTTCGGCACGCGCGTCGCCCGTGACACCTGTGTGTGCGACCACCCCGGCGCGGTCACATGTCTGTTCTTGCTCTTCGCATCTTTGGGCGGCCGGTTTCCCACCCTCTGGTGTCCTTTTGGGTCTCGCTGGGACTCGCTTGGGTCTCCTTTGGCATCCATCTCGTCCAGCTTTCTCCTTCTGTTCCTTCTCCTCCTCCTGTCCTTCTGCTGCTACTGCTATTGCTACTGCTACTGCTATTGCTGCTGCTGTCGCGCATTCCGCATCCCCGCTCTTTATTTCCCCGCATCCTGCCCGGCTCGCCGGCCCTCCTCGTGCCTCCATCTGCACCGATCCGGGCCATCTTCCCGCCGGACTGCCGCCCAATACCAGCTCTGCAGCCCACGTTTCCTCGCTGCCTCCATTCGGATCGTGTGTTCCCGTTCATCGATTCACTCGGACCCTCGTTCATCCTGGGGCAGACCATTCCGCCTGTCGGCACTGTCCATCCCTCCCAGTCCCCTTGCCCGGCTCCTTGGGATAATCATCCGTCGTCGTCCCATCCGCCCAGCCCGACCGATCTCGCCATGCATCCCAGAGGACAACGCCCGTATTCGTACATCGATTCCACCTGTCTGACGGGCTGGCGTCTTTCGATCGCCCAGTGCCTTTCGCACTTTGTCGCCACATCGATCGTCGCTCTCCTGGTCGCCAACTCGTTCGTCGAAGACTTTGTCAACCTCCTGCGGCTCGACACTTGGCAGCGCAGCCCGCTCTCAGCCGATCTTCTCGAGCCTGTTGGCCAAGCCAAGTTGGCCGATTCCGAGTCGCCTGACGACTCCAGAACGCTCCCCAGGCGTGTTTCGCAGAAGAACTTGCGCCGAAAGCGTTCCCGACTGAGCCTGGATGAGCGCGCCGGTTTGTCGCAGCCGTCCGCTGCTGGCTCCCAGCCCGATACTCGCCGAGCCACGCCCGACCCGCACTACTACATCCAGGAGCAGGGGTTCCATTCGTCACAGTACTGGGCCGAAACCGAGGACGGGTTTCTCCTCAGCATCCAGCGTATCGTTGCCGCGCGGCGTCGCTCAAGATCATGTAAGGGGATCGGCAATGTCGTTGCACATTGGTTGCCTTGGAGAAGGGTCGCCTGTCTGACGAAAGCGCCATTGTGGGTGTTGGGTTCACGGCCACAGCCTCCTCCGTGGTTGCTGTCGTTGTCGATGGCGCGTACTCACATCTTACACGTCCTGCTTGACCAGATAAAGGCACGGTGCTGCTGATGCATGGCCTGTTCCAGTCGTCTGGCGTCTACATCACCAACCAGAGCGATTCTCTGGCATTCTACCTCGCTCGCGAAGGATACGACGTCTGGCTGGGCAATAACCGCTGCGTCGAGAAACGCCATCGAACTCTGACCCCCAGCGATGTTGGCTTCTGGGACTGGTCGCTCGAGGATCTGGCCCGCTATGACTTTCCGTGTCTAGTCAAGTTTGTGGTCAACCATAGCGGCGCAGACACCATCACGTACATTGGACATTCTCAAGGAAACGCTCAGGTGGGTTGCAGACACCGTCCGCGAAGCGACTGTGTCGAGCCGCGTCTCTATCACTCCAGCCTTGTACTCACTCGTTCTGTTTTTTCGCTCGTGTCCAGGCTTTCCTGGGTCTGGCTTTAAGCCCTGAGGTCGCAAAACATCTCAAGTGCTTCATTGCCCTTGCTCCGGCCGTGTATATTGGCTCCCTTCTGCAGTAAGTGTCCATTCCGACCTGGATCAAAGTGCGGCTCGTTCGTCGCCAGCTGCTTGCATCCCCAGCTGCCCCACCACCAATTGCTCACATCGCCAATGACACGTCTCGACCCTCCCCCAGACAAGGTCCCATGGCGCTCTTGACCAACTGTCCTTCGCGCCTGTTCCGCCGCATCTTTGGGATCAAGCAGTTCCTGCCGATCATGGATGTTGTCCAAAACTATGTCCATGCGCCTGCCTTTGCGGCTGTTGCGTACCACATGTTCCACTACCTGTTCCACTGGTCGGACAGGAACTGGCCCAAGGGCGGCAACCACAAGCCCATCTATTTCCAGTTCACGCCTCGGCCCTGCAGCTCCAAATCGATCCTCCACTGGGGCCAGATCTCGCGGGCCGGCGTCCTTCAGCCGTTCATCCCAGTCGTCGAAGACTCGACCGTCATTACCAAGAGCGTGCACCAAATCCAAGTCAAGCCGTCGCCCTCGGAGGACAGAGCGTCCGCGACTGCGCGGTCTGGCAGCACCGGCCACCACAAGACCGACTCCAAGATATCCATCGACTCCTTCGACGATGACGACAGCGGAGTGCCCTCGTCGCTTTCAGGCGCCAAGGCTTGGGACTTTTCGACCATCCACTGCCCGCTTGCCATCTTTTACGGCACCAAGGACAAGATCGTCGACGGCGAGCGGCTCTCAATCGATGCCATCCAAGATGCGCTGGACTCGGGACGAATCCGGAAAACGTTCCGTCTCGAGGGCATGGAGCATATGGATCCGATCTGGGCCGTCGATGCCAAGACCCGGGTGTTTGCCAAGTGTATCAAGTTCATCGAGTCGCTATAGACCTCTCTGCTAATCCCTATTCTGAGTATCTGTCTATTCGCATCGTCTACCCCTCCTCTACTGGTCTCTCAATCTCTCTCTCTCTCTCTCTCTCTCAATCTGTATCTGTGTCTACGAACTTTTGACCGCTGACGCATGTCTCGTGCCAGCGAGGATTCTGGATGGCGGTGCCCTTGGGAACCGGTCAGCAATAGATGGGGTCGCCCACTCCGCTCCTCCACTGGCACACAGCCGACTCGTTTTCTTAAGCGAATGTTATTTTTTCTGCCTGGTGAGGAAGGACGATCGGCAAGTGGCCGGAGGGGGGGGGATGCAAGTGGGAGGAAGAGGAGGGGAGATCAAGACACGGCCAGCAACGAGGAGTTGGGTCTGCCTTGGAATTCTAGAAAGGATATGGAGGCGCAAAGGAAAGCCTGAAAATTGGAGCGACGGATATCCAGCAGCGCACGCATATGTATACATGGTTTGCCAAGGACATCTGACTGCTCGAGCTGCCTTGTAATCGCTCGATGATGCACGCGCTGAGAAGGGGATGCGTCTCCAAGACAACTTTGATGCGTCTGCTCCAGGAAGAAGGAAAGGGTGTGTATGTTATGGGGTCAAAGGGAGGGTCGAGTGCATGGCAGGACGAGGACGAGGACAAGGGGAGGTGCTGTGGTCCAGACACCGGGTGGCCATTGCTGCGGCTGGTGCTCGCCAGGGATGAAGTTCAGTCCCAGCCAGCCCTCCTCTGCTGTTGCTACACAGGACGGCGCTCAGTTTCGTGAGAACATCCCCCATATCTTCTTCTCGGCCGGGGCCGGTTTCATCTCCTTGGTCGACACCTTCATGCGGCTCACGCCAGACTCGATGCTCTCGTTGCTGCTGGCGACGCTCTGGCGGTCGTATCGGTCGTCATCGTAGTGCGCAGCGCCTCTGCTTCCTCCTCCACGGCTTGGTGCCGGAGAGTTGTGGCGGCGATCTGAGCTGCGATAGTCGTCTTCATAGTCGTCGTACTCCTGGGGAGGCGGCTGTCGGCGGCGGCTCGATGATGCGTCTCGGTAGTCTCGGTTGTCGCGATTGTCGCGCTGATGGCTGCGCGAGTTCGATCGATAGTCGTCATCACGTTGATCGCGGTAATCCCGCTGATCACGGTAGTCACGGCGGTCGCTCGAGTACGCATGATCGCGCGAGTCGCTGCTGCCACCGCCGTTGCGATAGTCATCACGGCCACTCTCGTAGCGGTCGTCACCTCGGCGACTGCGGTCTGGTGCCACTCTTCGTGAATCGTAGCTGCCACTGTCCGAGGCGGCAGAGGAACTCGCGCCTCCACGTTTGGAGCTCGCCCATCCAGCTCTCGTGGACGACTGGGCCGGCATCGGCTCGGGATCGGCCTGGAAACGCCGGTCGTCGCGCGGGTCGGCATCGCGCTCTCGGCGGGAGGGAGTGCGCTGCACGGGAGGTGCAGCATCTGCTGCTGCGCGGCGACCCTGGCCACTGCTGACTCCTCGAGGTGGAGGAGTGTCAGAGACAGGTGCATTGGCACTGGCGTTGGTGCGAGTCGGTGCCGCTGGGCGGGTGTTGGGCTCTACATAGGGCGTGCGTACGCTGGAGGACGCGGACGCTGCCGAGCGGGCGGCATAGCCATCGCTGCGATGCAAGTACTTGAGAGATTCGAGGAACGACTGGGGGGTGATCAGATCCGTCGAGCCTGCATTCCACGAGGGAGAAGGGTCAAGTCGAATCGAGTTCAGCCTGCGTCCTCAAGCGAACGGAAGCAGCGCCAAGAGCCGATCCAAGTCCAAGGCAGGATGCTACTTTTGGGCATCTCAAGCTTTGCCAAAGATATGGGAGCTATGCAATGTGCAGAGGGTGGATGCGCAACGAACAAAGTCCAAAGGCAGATCCCGGTCGCCAATGTCACTCACCAATCACAATTTCTCGCTGGGAGGCGCGCATCACCTCGTAGGCAGACCGGATTTCGCTATAGGTCATGCCGCCAAGGACAAAGACAATGATCCGAGGCCCGTTTTTCCTCAGATCCTCTTGTGGGCGATCCGAGACTGATCCGATCGTGCCAGGATCGGGTGTGCGGGATGTGGCTCCAGCTCCAGCTCCGGTTTTGCGCGTCGATGCCCACGATGCCTTGGTGGTGCGAGCCACACCAGGGTCCTCGGGGTTGACAATCAGGCTCTTGCCGGCATTCTGTTGGGGCCGGTTGGATGTGGCTGGGTCCTTTGTCCAAGGGAAGAGCTGCGGATCGATGGTGTTCTTGACCTGATCCTCGATCATACTCTTGATGATCGCCGTATATCGGCTGTCTTGGTAGTCTTGGGGTTTCTTTGGGGCGTGAGTAAAGTAGGCATAGCGACTCTGGTACGCAGCAGCAGCGGCCCGATCGGTGCAACAAGAGCCAGATTAGCACAGCGCGCCACAGCGATCGGCAAATACCAATGAGTAACAGGGCCTCGACGCAGTGGATTTATCAGCGAGCAGCCGTGGCAGCGTCCGTGCGTCCGTCTCGACTCGGAGCGTCGCAGTCGCATACCTTGCCGCTGGCTTTCTTGTCGTAGCTGGGACTCAGGCGAACGCCGAGCATGCTGATGTTGTGGATGGCTTGGGTTTCTTCCAGAGTCAGGCGCGCCGCCGCGGTCAGCTTTTGAAGATCCTGATCCGGGATGCCCTCGCGCGAGATGATATAGAGCAGCAGGAGGCGGAGCTTGTCGTTGTAGCTGTGTGGGCGAGGGTGGTTTCATTTCAAGGAGATTGGATTGGATTGGATTGGATTGGATTGGATTGGATTGGATTGGATTGGATCAATGTGGGAAGCCATTAGTCCATGGCATGTAAGTGGAACAGCAGATTCAAGGAAAGTGCGACCAGACCCAAGCAGCAGTTGGCCTTAGGATCAGGGGTCAGCAACGCAAAATAGGGACTTACGTGATGCTTGGGTTCTCCAGAAGCGACAATACGGCGGTAAGCGACGGGGTGGCCGGCTTACCGTCGTTGTTCTCGCCCGTAGCAAGTTCCTGCACATTGTCGTTGGACCACGAGCACATCAGTTCGGCTCGCCCGTATCCTGTTACCCAAGGTCACTGGTTCGCTGAAGTGTAACTCACCTGCTCAGTCTGCGAGACCGAATCCAGACTCGTCGACTTGTAGAGTGCCATGCAGTTGGTGCAGATTTCGGTGTGCACAGAGAACTGGGAGGGGGGGGCAAAGTGTGCTGGTATGAGACTCGGGCAACAGGCTCGAGATGAGTACCGCTCGCTCCTTGGCGTACCTTCTTTTTCGTTTCGGTGTACTCTGGCAGGGCGGTGAGTGTTTCCTTCAAGCGTTCAACGGCATCGGCTCCCTTGCTGTCGAGGGGTTCAGATCAAACGAGGAGGATCAGCCGTGCAGGCTATGGCGCGCTATACGGAACGCTTGGGGGAGGGCAAGAGGATGGCTGCATACGCGTTGTCTGCCTGCACCCACTGGGGAATCGAGCATACCCAGATCCTCCAAGTTCAAACTGGGCAGCCTTGTTTTCGTGCTGGAACTTTTTGATTCCCTCGCCGAGATAAGTCATGACATCGGCAATGTGCATATGCTTGACATGGTTCTGCATCAGAGAGGAGAGTCAGACAAGTCCGGAGCGGGCAGTTAGCAAGCGACATCATGGGGTAGATTTTCACCAGCATACGACTGCCATCGCTCTGACTCGGCACGGCGCCGTGAGCAAGGGAACGAGAAACCCGCAACAGATTGGCGGTTGTCATAGAGCAGGAACATTGGGTCTGCGCGATAGCGGTTGGATCAGTCTAATGGTTGCTGGACCAGCCATCGGCCAAACGCACCCAAATGCGATCCGTTTCGTCGAAAACGACATCGAGGTCACCGCTACCCGAGGGATCGGGCATTTTGAGCTTGCTTCCTTGGCCTTCGACCGGCAGCAGATCGTTAACCAGCGCTTGGTACGAAAACTCGTGGAGGAGCGGCGACATCATATCAGCAGTCCGATCGACAATCAGCAAAATGGGGCGCTGGTGCGTCGAAGGCGGGGGGAACTCGGGGTCCTTGCGGCAGTACTCTTCGAGCTCCTTGTGGAGGATGTGAGCCAGCTTTCCGGGCAGAGAGTTTTGCTGGCGACCTTGTGGGTCGTAGTATCGAATAAACGGGAGCTCGCCCATGGTCGTCATCACCGACAACAGCTGGCGGGCGCGTATGAACACGAGAAACGGATGTGAGTACGGGGGGGGGAGCGGAAATCAGCTGGGTCCACAGATGCAGAACTCGGAGGCACCGGCAGTGAGCAGACTGAGAAGGTGGAGCAATCACTCAATGAAACCATCTGGTCTTCAGTGCACCCATATGCTATTGATGCATCCAGAGGACAACCACCTTCTTGGAGATGCCTTCCAGCTCGTAAGTCAGCAGCGACGGCGAGGAGGGGTTGAAAAGCGTTGATAGGGAGTGGGGCATATCCAGGGAGAATACTTGGCTTTCGAGAGCTTGAAGGTGCAACACCAGCCATGGGCAAATGGTCCGGGCAATATCAGGCGCCACATAGCCCAGCAAGTCAGTGGCGATGATTTTGTGGCGGGGCGCATCCAGAGAAACGCAACGACGACAGCAGAGCCAATACGCACCCAGAAAGTCGACATGGAGTTCCTGGAGCGTTTTGATCCGCTTGCTGTTGAAGGCGGCCGAGAGCCGGATCGAATCCATCAGCTTGTCAGGGATGGCTGGTCGAGAATGCCAGCCACAGCGGCCACCGAGGATGGATGGATGGATGGATGGATGGATCGTCGGGGTCAGACACAGCTATGCGGTATCCGCGCTTGGCTGGCGAGCCAGATACGGCCCCTGTGGGGGATTGACGCAAGTATATACACCGGGGATAGGGGTGCATTGAGCATACCTCCGGTGCAGAAGACATGCGCAAGATCATAGAGTGGTCTGCCGCGGCCATAATCCTCCAGGAACAACCGGATGGACTCGGTGGATGGGGTAATGAAGTAGATGGCTTCGTTTTCGGGCGAAGGGGCTCGTCTCTTCTTGATATCCTCGACAGCTGCAGGTGCGCAGAGCAGATCCAAGGAAGCCGATTGAGTCGAGTGGCGGTTTGAGGGCAGGGAGGTTAGTAAGAAACCACGGCGTTTTGAAGCAGCCAGAGGGTGTCGTCTGCGAGCGCAGGACGATAGGCAGGAATCACAGCGTGGAATGAAACGAGGCCACTCCTGGGTGGAAGATTGGCAACGCACAGAGAATATAGGCATCGGTGATGTCGTAGATATTGCACGAGGCATTGAGGATCTGGAGCGAGGCGGCATCGACGATAAGGATCTTGTAGGGGCTTCTGCCGGTGGACTTGACCTTCCGTATCATATCGTCCATCAGACCTGAAGATATCCAATATGGCATGTGTGCGGCAAAGGCATGGGTGAGCAAGCCATCCAGGGCAGCGCAGCGGCAAGGTGAGTCTGACGATGAGCCGTCGACGCCGTTGGCATGGTCGATGCAGCCGGAGAGCAGGTCGGATAGAGCGGGCTGCCAGCGGTTCATGATGGCGACATCAAATCCTTCTGGACAGCACGATATCCTCGCCTCGTCTCCGGTCGCCATTCTCACTCAGAGTCCGTGGACACATGAGATTCCGTGCGATCCCGAGCACGCAGCAGCAGATGGGCGGACTCATCAAAGCGCAGAATCAAGGCGCAACGCAGCGAAAGGGACGAGGATATTACGGGCTTTCAAGACGGCCTTGAGCGACACGAGCTGGGAAGCCGGATTCGACATTTCAGGCAGCGGCACCGGTCACAACAGGAGACAGGGGACAGGCGGCGACAGCGATGGAATAGCGTCTGGGACGGAATCGAACGATGCCGTTTGCTGTGTGCTGATCGACGGCAGCAGAGAAAATGGCGGTCCCGCAGACGACGGCCGCGAAGGAAGAGCGGATGGATGGGTGGAGGCGCCGCTTGGCCAAATCCGGATGGAACAGTCAGACAAACCGGGCGGGCGCATCCCTTGCGGCCTGCCGACGGCCTGCGACGGAGTGCGATGGACGAAGATGTGCAATGTGCGATGGACGACGATGTGCGATGGTCGACATGGACACCATGGGATGCATGATGGGCGATGGGCGATGGGCGATGGGCGATGAACACCGTGGAGTGTAGATTTCCAGCGACAGCGCCAGTCTCAGTGCCAATGAGCCATTGCAGTGTACTTCCGAGCACGGATGCGACTGTAGGACCTGGCATCTGGCATCGGGCCACTGAGACGAGGACAGAGCAGGCCAGGCATGCAGCATGCCGAAACAATGAGACACATGGATCGTCTCATACACTCGGCGGGAGCGACCAAACGGGTGGAATCGTTTGTGATGTCGAGACGGCTCCTGCCCGAGATGCTCCACCGTCGCCTGGATCCGAGACCAGAGGACATACCTTGAGGGAGGAAGACGCGGGGCAAGGAGCAATGTCGCCGAGGACCTCGGCGAGGGGATTACGTAGGTGCCGATTCACAACCCACACAAGCCACCCCGGCTGATGCGATCATGCCATGACATGCGAGCAACCAGGGACCGTCTCGCCCAGCACATTGGCAGGCGAGCAAGCACACGACCGTTCCCACGGCTTGCAAGCGTGCTCGCAGGCGACGGAGCAGAGGAAAGGCGTCCAAGGGAGCATCGCAGGGCAGGTGGGGCATCCCAGAGAATCAGTGCTTCGACAAGAAGGATCGCCGGCCTTGGTGGGGGATGGGATGTGCTCACGGCTTGCCTTGCCTTGCCTTGGCTTGTCTCGACTTGGCTTGACTTGCCACGGGGGCCGGGGCCCAACAAGGCCTTCCCTCTGCCTTCTGCTTCCCCAGCCGCCTTGGGAAAAGACAAGCGGCGAGACCAAAGCCGGGCTCGTGTGGGCCGTGGCGGGGTTGGCACCTGACGAGCCCCGCTGTACAGCCGAGCAGCAAATTTGAGTCTCTGTTTGAGCATGAGCAGCACTGTGTGAGCATCGGCGGTGCTGTGAGTATTAGCAGTGCTGTGGTGGTCCTTCCTCGTTTGGTTGCCTGTCCTGGACGCATTCGCCGCTGCCATGTTCATCGGCCACCACCCACCGCCGGCCCATGTCCTCTGCAACGCTGTCCATCACTCGGCACTATCCATCACTCGGTACTATCCATCACTTAGCACTATCATCGCTCAGCCATCCATCGCTCACCTGCCCCTCCACACGATCTCCTTCGTCGCCGATCGCGGCCGCCATCGCGCCCACCGCTTGCGTTTTCCTTTCCTTTTCGTCTCAGTCGCCCCTGTCGTGCGCTCGTCCCTTGCCACGATCGTCCTGTCTGCACCTTTGTGCTTCTTGTCCTCCACCACCGCCTCTTGATGGCTCTTGCCAGCCCCGGTCACGCGCTGTCCCATCCCTGTCCCTGTACTTGCTCAAGTGCCCCCGTGTGAGGGGAGTCTTTCTTTTGGTGTTGCGTCGCCTGTGCTGCGTGCTCCCCAGAGGCGGCTCCCCCTCCCTTCACGCCGTCGCTGTGGCATCGGTGCTTGTCCTGGACCTGGGTCGCTGGTGCATGCCTATAAATCCGGCGCCGCCCGTCGCTCCCTTCGCTGACACCACCGCCTCCCGCAGCAGCCTTCTCTTGCCATGTCTCTCAAGTCTCTGTTCGCTGCCGCCCTCCTGCTCTCGTCGGCTGCCACCTTTGGCGCCGCCCAGCAGACCTCGTCGACCACCCGTTGCGTCCAGCCTGGCGTTGGCCGCGAATGGGTTATCTGTAAGTCTATCCTCCGGCTGAGTGAGGCGGCATTGCTCCCCTGGGGCCACATCGCTCTCTGCTTGGATACTTTGCTCACGCTCTGCATCGCTCCCTGCCTCCATTCCAGCCGGCACCGATACCATCCACTACTGCCCCTCTGGCCAGGTCTGCCAGCAGAACGGAGGTGACGTCCTCTGCGTTGCCAAGCCTGACAACAGCAACTTTGCTGCTGCCGCTGCCAAGGGCAAGAAGACCACCACCACCAAGGGCAAGAAGACCACCACTACCAAGGGCAAGAAGACCAAGACCACCAAGACCACCACCACCAAGTCCAAGCCCACCAAGACCCCCAGCCCTCCCCCTCCTCCTCCCAACGGCGGCTTCAACTACCGCAAGGCCCCCTCCAAGGTCGGCGCCGTCGCCTACTGGCCCAACTGGTCGCAGTACTCGCGCCCCGAGAACATCATCGACAAGGTCGATGTCTCCAAGCTGACCGTCGTCAACTATGCCTTCTTCAACGTCGACACCGACGGCTCTCTCATGAGCTTCGACATGTGGGGTGACTTCCGCGGCTCCGACAACACCAAGAACAAGGACTTCCCCGCCTTCTCGACCCTCACCGACGGTGGCATCTACCACCTCTCCAAGGCCCGCTCGGCCAACTCCAACCTCCGCGCCGTCGTCTCCATCGGTGGCTGGTCCGGCTCGGTCAACTTCTCCAAGGTTGCTGCTAGCAGCACCGCCCGCGCTGCCTTTGTCAAGAACGTCCACACCTTCCTGGACGAGTACCAGTTCGATGGTGTCGACATTGACTGGGAGTACCCCGGAGGTGGCGGTCTCGGCTGCAACTCGGTCGACCCCCAGGACGCCGTCAACTTCAACACCCTTCTTTCGCAGCTCCGCACCGAGCTTGGCTCCGACCGCATCATCTCGATTGCTGGATCCGGCGAGGCCTCCCGCTACACCGTCGGCGGCACCAACTACCTCGCCCAGTATGCCAAGTCGCTGTCCTACTTCCAGGTCATGACCTATGACTTTTACGGTTCCTGGAACGCCTACACCGATTTCAACTCGCCCCTGAACTTCCCCGGCTCCAGCGATCCCCAGGAGCCTGCCTCCAACGGCGTCTACGACGGCAACAAGCAGATCTCCATCAGCAGCGCCATCACCAGCTACATCTCGTCTGGTGTCTCCAAGAACCAGCTCGTCGCCGGCATTGCCTTCTACGGCCGCTCCTGGGCTGTCGAGGCCGGCAGCAAGGCCAAGAACAACGGTCTCTACCAGCTCTGCAAGCTCCCCTCGGGCACCCAGGACTCCAAGAACCCCAAGGCCTGCCCTCCCATCCCCGGTGACTCGCTCGATGCCGCTGCTCCCTGGACCGACCCTTGTGGCCAGAGCTACTACACCGGTGTCTGGATGTACCGCAACATGCGCAAGGACGGCGTCCTCAGCAACCCCACCACCCCCGCCGGCAGCTGGAAGCGCCAGTACTTCAACTTTGCCGAGTCCCCCACCCTCTTCAACGGCACCGTCTTCATTTCCTACGACGACACCCAGTCCGTCGCCGCCAAGGCTTCCTGGGCCAAGAGCCAGGGTCTCAGCGGTGTCATGTTCTGGGAGCTCTCTGAGGACTACAACTCTGAGCTCTACAACGCTGCCACTGGCGCCTTCCTCTAAGCGCTTCGTTGCCGCGGCTGTGTCGGTGTCGTCCACCCAAGGGAGACCAGAACTCGGCCGCATGCTTCTATGCGGGCTTGCCGTCAGTCGCTTGTAATAAAACCATCGGCTGTTAATTATGCTCTGCAATGTATCCCCCTCCCTCTACCATCTCATCTTCTATTCATCCGCCCCCTATCCATATTTCACCCTATCTCCTCGCTGCCGATGCGGTGCCGATGGTGGCTCCCCAGACTGGCTTCTGGACCAAGCACCCCCGACATCAGCCAAAGTGCACCCTCTCACCCACCAACCTATTTGCCCCCATACTTTCCACAATGATCCACAACTTGCCTGGTCCCCTCAACCCTCCTACTCCCGTCGCTAAAAACGATAATATATACTACTTTGATCAGCAACAGCAGCGACTCGACCGATGGTGCGTTGTTCTTCGACTGGGCTGAGCTGTGTGCCTCCTGCGGGTTCGTCAGTGGCCGCACGTAGTCCAACCAATTCCGGCAACTCGCGGCTATGCCTCTTGACAAAGTGGATGCGGGTCAACGAGGCCAACAGGCCGCTTTGGCACTGTGCTCCTCCCTCATCACCTTTCTTTCCTTTCTTCTGAGTTGAGCCGTACAGCCGAGCCAATATATTGGGTTGTACCGATTCAATTTCATACACAGGAGCGTCATCAGGCCGTTGCATGATCGGGTGAGGGCAAGGAGGGGGGACAAGGGTGGAGGCAGCACGCACTCAGGGGGGCAAGCAAGCGCCCGCCCTCGTTTAGTTGACTCCACAAATAAAGCCGTTGCTCCAGGCCGGCAAGTTCATGTCCTTCTTGAACTGGAACAGAGGCTGTCGGAAGGGGTTCACCTGGGGGAGGATGCTGAGGGTGCCACCCAGCATCGGGAGGTTCTTGTTGACCTGCTCGAGGGCCTGCTCCATGCCCTCGGTGAACAGGCTCGGCTGCTTCTTGTCGATGATCATCTTCAAGCTGGGGATCCAGGTCTGGTAGGCCAGGAAAGCCGTGTTCAAGCCAATAATGACATCGGGCTTCTCAACGGCCAAGCTGCCCTCTTGCTCGGGGGCGGTTCCCTCGAGGAAGGGAGGGATGTACATCTCTGGGCGGAGGGAGATCGAGAGACTGCCCTTGCCGGTGTGGGACGTGAAGTGGTAGGTGCGGTGTTCGGGGCGCAGGCGCTTGCTGATGGCAGGGCCGATCATGTGGATGACGATCTTGGTGTTGGGCATGAAGGCAGTCAGGATCTCAAAGAGTGGAATCAGATCGGCCTCTTTCTCGACACCAATCAAGTGAATCGTCAGCTTCTCGGGGATGGCTGCAGAGCGGGAGCGAGAGCGGAGGACGAACAGAGATGGACCAGTCCAGGGTTAGCGACTGCACCAAATAGGCCATACAACGCACGACACGTCATTCCAGTCGACAAACCGCAAAACTGCAACAATGCAACACTGCACGAGGCACTTACCCTTGTCCTTGAGATAGTATGTGTTGAGCAGGTGCCAGATCGTCAGCGGAACCTCGAGGATGAGAGCAACGGGCGAATCAAACGGAAGTCCCTTGGCTTCGAAGTACTTTTGCCAGGAATCAACGCTGCGGGGATCAACGTCATCAGGGAGGGCCTTGTTGAGAGGGTACAGCTCGTCGGGGAGAGCCAGAGTATCGAACTTGGCCTTGGGGTCGGTAATGTTGTTGTTTTGGATCTGGGCAGCATTTTCGCCGGTGAGCTCGCCGAAGGGGAACTGGTTGTAGCAGTTGCACAGTCGGCGGTAGAGACCCATGTTATGGCGCTCCTTGTTGACGAGGAAGGGCATCTGGTTGTAGTTGGAGAGGTGCTTGGCCGAGGACGAATAGTAGGTAAAGGGCATATTGTGGAGCGACTCGTTTTCGAGGCGGGCCATGTTGGCTTTGAAGGAGGGACACATGAGCTTATGTTGAGGCCAGTCTTTTTTCTGCAGCGCGAGGCCGGATGGTACACGAACAGCCATCGAGGACGTGGTAGAGAACCCGTGGTGGTTAGCGAATGCGCTGGCTTTCAGATGCCAGAGTCACGACGTGCGGTTGGCGGATGTGGCTGCACGATCGACCCACGAGCTGGGATTCGCACCGGCGATCCCAGTCCAGGCGATCTCGGCCTCATGCGGCGAAATTTAAAGCTTACCGCACACGCAGGTCCGCAGTAGATGACAGCCTTGCAGGCACTGCACTGGCTCGGCTTGCCGTCGATATCTTGGTGGCAGACGAAACAGCCGCGGTTGGGCTGCTTGATAAACTCGGGTTTCTTGTCGGGAGCAGGGGCAGCAGCGGCAGCAGCAGCAGCAGCAGCACCAACAGCCGCAACACTTCCGGGAGCAGGAACGGAGGCAGGACCGCCGGGGATGGATCTGTGCTCAGAACCGCGCTTCTTCTTCAGCTCCTCCAGCTCGGCTTGAGACTCCTCGACAGTGGTGATGCGGACCTTGAAGGATTCAAAGGCTTGCCCGACAGCCTGGACAAGCTTGTCGTCGCAGGTGCGCGAGGCCAGGAAGGCAGCAATCTTGGGTTTGGCGGGCTGTCCCATCATCGGACGAACGATGGCCTTGAGCAGAGCAATCTCGACGTCTTCGACGGTGGGCACGCCGCCGTGGTAAGTAAAGTCGATGGCTCGCAGATTGCCGTCTTCGGTCACGGACACGGCCTTGGCGCTGTAGCCGATAAGCCAGGGTGCTTCTGTGACAGGGACAGCTGCAGCGGCCTTCTTGAATTCCTCCACATCGGCAGGATCTGTCTTTTGCCACGGCAGGCCCTCCGAGGAAACCGGGGCGGGTGCCTGCGATTGATGAGGACTTTTGTTAGCAGAGGGCCACTGCGACGGGAGCGAGCTGGCCATATGATACAAGGGTATAAGCGATGTACCTTGTTGGGGCTTGGGGCGCTGGTCAAGCTCCACACCAAAGCGAACAGCGAGGGCAGGGCCAGGATCAGGAACAGCCCGATGGCCACATGCGGCAGCTCTGTCAAGGCGGCCAGGGGCTCCGCTTGGACTTGCACCACAAAACGAAAAATTTCGTCCTTGACCTGGGCGAGGATGGGCTCGGTGACGTTGGTGGCAGTAGAGTTTGCGTCCATGATGTCGCAGTTACTGCTTTAGATGGGGGGGAAGAGTGGACTGAACGCTGAGGCTTTTGGGAATCGACGGATCACCAAGGGACACTAGAACGGAATCGATGGGGCGTGAGGGGATATTCAAAGAGTCGGAGACAGCCACGGGGTCTGAGGTGAAGGCCCACAGAGGCGAGAGGAAGGATGGGTTCGGAAGAGGGAGGTCAGCGAGCTGCAACCGGAACATCGCAACGATCTTGGTGCAAGAGGCGGCCGGGAAAGGGCAGACTGCACGCAGTGTGATTGGCAGCCCCGCTCGTCGATCGAGGAAAACAAGGCCGCCGGTCATTGACGGCAGCGAGGGCAGATAATGCGCCAAGAACAATAGCGACCCGGATTCTCGCAGCGCTCTGGGGGTCAGGATGGCCCGAGTGGCCGAGCCGACGAGCATGCCGATGGGCCCCGGTCGGGGAGGGGAGACAGGACATTACTTTGGCAAATCGATCTCACGAGCGGTCGACAGGGGGCAGCAGGGCGGATCGGAGGCCGTCGACGGGGCCGATGGAGACGCAGACGCAGATGCAAATGCGGACGCAGATGCCTGGGAGAGACAGGAGTATCGCCGAGGCAGGCGAGGTGTTGTATCTGCGAAAAAAGGAAGACAGGCGGACCTGTCACGGGCACAGAGCCAGCCAGATCGCCCGCGAGAACGCTCTCGCTGCCGCCGAGGGCTCTCGCTGGCACGTCTCTTTGGGGCGCGAAGGGCCGCGGCTTTGTTGTGTTGGATGTGCTTGTTGTGTTGGATGTGCTCGGCTGCTGGCCCGCGGCGATTGGCCGGTGTGGAGGCGGTCACGCGCCTGCTATCCAGCCTGGCCATAGCGATGGGATCAGTGTCAGCCAAGGAAGCAGGATGTTGGGCCGAGCTTGGAGGAAATGCGCACATGTGCCCTGTGGGTCTCTGTCGTCTGATTGTCAATCCAACACGCTGCTGCTGCCACTCACCAAGAGAGGGCGATGTTTGGTACAGCAAAGATGCACCAGTGGTCGTCGTGAAGATCCGCCGCGGCCTGTGACTCAGCCAGCGTTTATATTCATTCGCTTGCCCTTGGAATTAGTAGGGACGGGGGACACGGAGGATCACACATCCATTGAGAACTCATTGGTCTCCGGGGCAGGTGCGGCCTCGTGCGATTACAGCTTGGCCTTGACGGGCTCGTTGCTGGGCTTGGGGGCCACGGCGGTAAGCACCTGACGCATCTCGTCCAGGGCCTCGCCGATGTAGTGTGCAAGGCGGTCGGGTCGCAGACCGTTGAGCGAGACAACATTGAAGTGCAGGGTCTTCTCCTTGATCATGTAGGCGATACCGTATCCGTCGGGGACGACCTCACCCCAGCCCCAGCCGTCATAGTACTCAGAGCTGATCTGGGAGGTCGAGATGTTCCAGTGGCGGGTGAGGTTGTAGGCGGGATCGGCAAAGATGGCCGGGACAGTCTCGCCATCCTTGAGCGAGAGCTTCAGGCCTAAGGATGCATATCGACGCATGGCACCGAGAGGAGTGGATTGTTTGGACCGCAAGTGGAAGACATCGCAACGCAAGCGCATGGAGCAGATCAGTATTCAGACACGCTGATCTTCACGCACTCATCTAGCCACCCTCTGTTGATCTGGCCATCCATTCGATCGCTCTCTGTCCGCCCCCACAAGTGCATCGCCGCCACTTACCGAACAAATGGCGGTCGCATCCGCGGCCATCCACGGCATCGGCCATGTAGCTGACGTGCGAGTCGACGGCGGCCTTCAGCAGCTTAGCCTTGACGGTGTTGTCAACTTGTCCAGCGGCGACACCCTCGTTCGTGAAAGCCTTGACAAAGGCGCTGCTCTCCAGAGAGACCGAGCGGCAGGTCTCGGTGCGGCCAAACTGGAACTTGCGGGTCTGGGCGCTCTCGTATGTGGGTCGCGACACCTTGTGCATTTTGTAGTAGGCCAGCTGGATGGCCATCTGGACAAAGGCATCGGGGGAGAACTTGACGGTCTTGATAAAATCCTTACCGAAGCCACGGTAGGCAAGAACCTGCAGGTTGTGATCCTGAACGGTCTTGTCGAACTTGGACACCGCTTGTTCGAGCTGGCGCTCGAGGCTGGGGGTCAGCACAAACTCCAGCTTCTTGGGAGGAACAAGGTCTGGGCGGATGGCCTTGCTGCCATGGTTGATGGAGTTCTTGGCAAGGCTGGCAGGACAGTCGGCAGAGTATGAGTGGCCGGAAGGAGGAGTTGGCGGATCGATGCGGTGTCAGCTGCACATCGAGACAACTGCCATGTCATCTCACCTATCGAGGATCCACTCGCACATGCGATGCGTGGGGGTGCCATCCATCATCGAGTGCTCGCCGAGGAATCCAGCCTTGCCGTTCTCAAACACCGTGAACTCGAGGGGCTTATCGTAGAAGCGGTTCTGTCCATCGCCGTGCCACAGACCGCGGCTGGCCTGCAATCATTCGCAACGATCCCACCGCGTTAAAGAGGGGCACAAGCCATGGGCACAATCGCCTGGCGGTGCTGCGGGGAAGTAACATCGCCGAGTCGCCGAAGGATGCAGCAATATCAGGCAATGCTGCGAGAGGAGATGTCGTTACAAACCTCAATGCGGGTGACAGGGGCACTGTCGTCCAGACAGAGAACAAAGGCAGACGACTCAATCGCAGTCAGGAAAGCCTTGTTCTTGGGCGAGGTGGCCAGGAACTCCTCTCGAGTCTGTGAGATGATATGCAGCACCGATGAGACTAAGGAATACACCGGGACTACGCAACCAACGAGAGCCAAAGTCTCTGATTGCGAGAATCGCTGCGACGTCCATGGATGCATCCAAGTCGCTGATGACACAAGCAAGAAAGGCGCTACCACCCCGGAGCCAGGGTTGAGGACAACCGCCCGCGCCTCCGAGCCGCTCGTGCAAACAGCAGCCTACCTTGGTCCAGACATCACGATCCTCGCCCGTGAAAGCACCGACTGGGACGCCCTTCTTTTCTCCGGCAGCCTTGACGATCTCGGAGAGCTGCCTGGAAAGGATGAGCAAATCACCGCCGTTAGCGAAAGCAAACATGCTGCCCAGTGATCCGGCCGTAATGGCCAGATGCGTCGCAGGCTCGGGGCCAAATGCTTACTTGGCAATCTCGCTGGTCGTCAGGGGGGTACCGTCTTTGTGAATGGCCTCAAAAGTAAAGAACTGGTTCTTGCGGATGATGAGGACATGGTTGTTGGCGTGGGGATCGTACACGGCGGTGGTGTCGGAGGGAATGACGGGTATGCGGCAGTTGTTGAACATCCACTGGTATTGGTCGGCCGAGAGCGCGCTGTTCTTGGTCAGATCAGCCTGGAGCTCCTCGCTGTTTCAGAACGGAGGAGTGAGCATGTGCGCTATGATGGTTTTCGTCTGCTGCGGCAGACATCGCATCCTGGCCAGCCAAGTTCATTGCTTGCCAACGCCCTTGACCCAGGACGCAGCCTCGAGGCACTCTGGCCGATCCCCTGAATCCCAGTGGACCCACACCAAGACTTACGAAACAACAAGGTGGCGGAACTGCATGGCCGCCTGGATGATGGCAGCGCCTCGCTGGACATTGGACTTCCACTCGACACGGGGATCATCTTTGAACAGGTAAAAGTACGAAACAAAGAAAACGACGGGATCACGGTAGGCCATGTAGGAGAGGTCGTTCCACCAGTCGTACAGCCATGAGGTCTTGGAGTTTTGGGCTTTCTGAAGAGTCGAGGCGGAGACGAGCACGGAGTTAGCACAGCGGGGCGGAGGAAGGCGGTCGTGCTTGAGCAGAGGACCCGTCCTCAGATCACAGAGTATTCAGCCAAGCGACCGAGGCTCGAAAAGAGCAGGGCAAGCAACCATCCGGTGCAATACACAGCAGGCATGCCGACCGCTCTGCCCAGCAAGCAAGCCGCACTCTCAGCGGCTGCATGGACACCTGCATCAGCAGGCACCGGCAGACACATCGCCGGTCATTTTGACTGACGCTGACATCGGCCGATAGACACCGATGCGGGGCCCGGGCGTGCGGGCCCATAGCGACACGCCCGGACATCTGCCAGCGCTCTGACGCAGCACGTCAATGTGCATCGGCCGCTGGGCGTCTCTGCTCTGGGGATCTGGGGCTCTGGTCGAGGTGATCGGCTATTACCTCGAGCAGTCTCTGCTGCAGGACATGGCCGATGCTGCCGGGCTTGAGAAACTCCTTGACGGCAGCCTCGGTTTTGGCAAAGGCGGCATCGTCCAAGTGCGGACGGACCGATCGCAGATACTTGGCAGCCGTCTCTTCGAGCTTGGGGACCGGCAGGGTTGGGAGCGACTGCTGGAACTTGTACAGCGGCTTGGACGCATCCGAAGGCACCAGCGGGAGCGGCGGGAGAGTGCTTGAGGAGCGAGTGAGGGCGGAACGAGCAGAGCCAAGAACCATGGTGGAGGATCGTTGGAGCGGCGACGCGGCGAGACGCTTCAGAGCAAACATAGCGAAGCAAAGCGGATGGGCGGGCGGGAAGCGGGAGGCGGACGGATTTTATAGGTCGGGACGGAACTGTGAAGACCGAGAACGGACATCGGAAGAAACAGCAAGGACAACGGATGGGCAGTGAGAACGCAAGCAACGGGTGAATGGGACGATGCAGTGCGATGCACAAGGACACTGGCATCAACAGCAAGTAACAGCAGGCAGAAAGCAGCAAGCAGCAAGCGGCAGCAGGTAGCGACTGCCCAGCAGCCCGCTGGCTCGGGTGCGGCGGTCATCGACAGGGGGGCTCGACATATGGCGTGGCATTGTCTGGACATATGCTCGAGCCTGCAGCGTGATCGGCGCTCGAGGCCAGGGCGATGGACAGGATCCATTCAGCCTGAACGCTTATTCCAGCGCCATGCTCGACAATCACAGGCAAATCCCAGCATTGCCCTGTTCCTGAGCGAGCGCCTCTTGTTTCAGAGCCCGTGGCAAAGAAGGGCGACAGCGGCCCGACTGTGGAGCCGGGCTCCAGAGACCAGGGGATAGTGCGGTGGCCTGCGCAACAGTGCTGCTCCCTCCCGTCATTGCGTGCAGTTACCTCGATGAGGATCGTCTGGAGGCTGGTGATGTCCGGCGCTGACGAAGGAAGACGGGGCCGGCGCGAGGACAAAAGAATGTGGTCAGGCGAGATACGCGAGAGATAGCCCAGGCGTGACATGTGAATCGGCCGTGTGGCTTGTGAGGTTCCCCAAAGGAACAGATCGGCCCGTCAAGGGCGTCAACCGATCGAGGACATTCATCGGCTGATCGACAGCATCGGCCAACAACATCTGCTCTCGCTGTCGCGGCCGCCCTCTATCCCCCCCCCGGCCGGTTGTGTACAGGGCCCAGCGCTCTTGGAGCAGTGTATATTTCGCCAGCAGGGAATCATCCAACCAGAGTTCGGCCCGCCTCGCCTGGGCGTTCTGCCGTTTACTTCTTCTTCTCGTTGACCTGGCCGGCCTTGAAGTACAAAATGTCGCCGTCCTGGACGACATATTCACGGCCCTTCTGGTTATACTTGCCGGCAGCCCGGACAGCGGCTTCGGTGGCGTGCTCCTTCAGATCCTCGTACTTCATGACCTGCAGGAAAGAAAGCGAGCCCCAGAAGGCGGTTAGGGTCGCTGCCTCGAGCCAATCACCGCGTGGCAGGGACCTGTCTGAAGACCACCAGCTGGCAATGCACCCGTTCCTGGCTGAGCCGCGCTGCCACTTACTTCAGCCATGATGAAGGCCTTCTCAAAGTCGGTGTGGATGACACCAGCAGCCTGAGGGGCCTTGGTGTTGCGACGGATAGTCCAGGCGCGGACCTCATCGGGGCCAGCGGTAAAGTCTGTCATCCCGACAATCGGATCGATACAACTGGTTAGCAACGCCGGTAGAGTGCGCGCTTTGGCATGCCGATACTACATCGGCTCAGCGAGACACATCTGGCAACTTCGAGTACATAGCCCGACAGCCAGGCTGCTTCTGTTGCTCCTGCCTTTGACGCAGCTTGCTCGCACAAAGCGCTGCTGCTGGCGCCACGAGACTCACAGTAGATCAGGTTGAGAGCGCTGTATCCGGTCACAATGATCTTGTTGAAGGCGCTGGTGACGGGGACGGGGGCCTCGTACTTGGTCTGCAGGTCCTTGAGGTACTGGTCCTTCTCGTCCTGGGCTTCCATGGTCGAGAGGTTGTACTCGACAATGCCCGAGTAGGGAATCAGGACGTCGCCAGGGTGGTTCTCGTCGATCCAGGCCTTGATCTTGGGCAGCCACTTGTTCTTCTTGCGGGCATAGTCCTTCTCGCTGAGGTTGCAGAGGTAGACCACGGGCTTGGCCGTCAGGAGATAGAAGCTGTTGATGATCTCAACCTCCTTGTTGGTCCAGTCGCCGTCACGGATGTCCTTCTTCTCCACAGAGAGCCACTCGTAGATCTTCTTGATGACAGCAAACTCTTCGATCTTGGCCTTGTCCTGCAGGTTGGCGCCGCGGCCCAGACGCTGGACATCGCGCTCGCGGGAGCTGACTTGCTTCTCCATAAAGTGCTCGTCCTTGAGCCGGAGCTCCTCGTGAATGGTTTGCAGATCACGGACAGGGTTGATCTCGCCATCGACGTGGATGACATCGGCGTCATCAAAGGCGCGACACAGATGGAAGATGCCATCGACGGCCTGGATGTTGGACAGGAAAGCATTGCCGAGACCCTGGCCTTCGTGGGCACCCTTGACAAGGCCGGCAATGTCGATGATGGTGAGCCAGGCGGGGACAACGCTCTTGGGCTTGTACTGCTCCACCAGCCAGTCGAAGCGGGTGTCGGGGACAGCCACTCGCGACTCTTCGGGGTCGATGGTACAGAAGGGGAAGTTCTGGCAGCGGTGAATGATAGTGTGGGTGGCGGTCGGACATCGAGGCGCACCAGACCACCATGTATCGGTCAGATCGGAGGAAGCCAAGGTGCCAAACAGAAGAAGCAGTCAGCGGCATGGATCACTCGGTGTCAGAAGGCAGCAAAGCAGATTGCAGCAACGGGAGGGACAGGCACACGGCCTTGGTGCGGCTGCAGCGCCTGGTCTTTGGTCCTCAAAGACAACAGCGTATCGGCCCTGCATCCAACATCATCGAGGGCTTACCTCAGCAGGGACGGAGCTGTTGGTGATGGCGTTGAAGAAGGAAGACTTGCCGACGTTGGGCAGACCGACAATACCCTGCCGAAAAAACATCCAGGTGTGAGTGCGAGGTGGCAGCCGGGAGAAGGCACAGCGCCCAGGAGAGATGCTTTGGAGCAGCCGATTGGCCTGTAGGTGTCCTGCAGATGCTCTACAGATGTCCTGCCATGAGCAGGCAGTCCGTAGCAAGACCTATTTGTGCAGCCGGCACGATGGCTGTCCCTCCGCTCACGCCAACGGCGCTCGTCGATAGGGTCTCGCCCGGCTCGTGTCGCTGCCCAGCAGTTCTCGGATTACCATCTTGAGGTTGTTTCCGGGTCTGCCCAGCAGGATCTTCTCGGTGGTCTGGGCCTTCTTGGGGGGCATGGCTGGCTGATGGACGGCGGGGAGGGGAGGAGCTGGGCTGGTATGGACTGAGCGCAAGAGCGATCAGCCCGAGGCGGCTTTGGGCAATCGCATTTGTGCAGACACCTTTTTTTTTCGCTTGTGGCACAACGACGCACAAAGCCCAGGCCCTCGATTTGGGCGCAAACACAGGCCGAGAGCCGGCCGAGACGGAGCGAGGGGCTTCCCGTATCGGCCGGGGCGGGGAGGGAGACGGCGATTGGCCCTGGAATGCAGCCATGCAGATAGGACATGCCGCTCGATAGCCACTGTGCCGCTGCACCGGTGCTGGTGTCGCTGGTGCAGGCGATCATGCATGGCCTCATCGTCTCGTCGGGTCCATCTGTCCGTCTCGCTGCTCGCCCCGTGTCTCGCCTGTTCTGTGTCGCGCACAGAGCGAGAGCATCCCTCTCGCGAGGCGCCTCTCGCCCGTCCTCGGTCCTCGCTTCAGCGGAGCTTGAATTCCGCTTTTCACGTGGCCCGGCCCGCGCACATGCTCCTGGAGCCGCCCTGCCTTCCTCGTTCTGCTCCCTCTGCCTGTCTATCCGTCGTCCTCGACCGCCTCCATCACCCTCGACCGCCTCAATCGCCTGCGCTGAGCGGTGAACATGGGCTCGAGATCAGCCAGTCCGTCGGTCGCCGCCACCGTCAAGTGGGTGGCTTCCAAATCCAGCTTCGTCAATCTGCCCTTTTCGCTCGCCCAGAGCTTCCACAACTCCTCTGCCTCGGCCGGCTCCATCTTCCCCGCCATCCGCATCCAGGCCTCGTCGCTCCAAGCAGAGGGTCGGAAGACCGAGACGAAGGGAAGTCGAGACATTTATGTATCATGGGCCGGCGGATCGTCATTCTCCGGATCGTCGTTCCTGTCCAACTCGGATGTGCTAGAGATCGATTCGGTTTACGGCCAGCTCCTCGGCCTCCATGAGGGCCAAAAGGTGAGCCGAGTCGGCCCCGGATGCTGTGACTCTGTACCAACGTTCACGCGAAATGCAGGTCTCTGCAACGTCTATGGCGCCAAAGCCCGACACTGATGCCCTCTGCTTTCCGGCGCTGCTGGTGACAGGTCAGCATCGCCATCTGTCCGCCTCCAAAAGCATGCAAGTCGGTGTCCGTTGAGCCTTATTCCGAAGACGACTGGGAGATACTGGTGAGTTCCGCATGCGACGTGATGATTCCGGCGGCGTCTGCAGCTACGAATGGCCGCAGACGACCATCCGGCCACATACCCAGGCTGCTACTGGCACAGGTCGCATCGACTCCTTCCGAATCTGCCATCGGCACGGCCGCTAAAGCCCTCACCCGCGCATCGTTTCTCTCACGACCCCTTGCCAAGCAGGAACTGCATGCGTCCTATCTGGAGAATGAATTCCTGAACCAGACTCGTGTCGTTGTGCCTGGGCAGCCTTGTGTCGTTTGGGTTCATCAAGCAACACCAATCCGGCTGAAGATCAGTACGTTTTGCACTCTCTCCCACGCATCCATCTCCTGCCGCAAGCTTTGACAAACTGACCGAATTCGCTTTGATTCAGTATCGACCGACACTCCAGGCTCGTTCTCGATCCTTGGAAACGACACCGAGCTCGTCGTCAAGCCGATGGAGCGCCAAAAAGGCATCAAGCCCAACACAACACCCATGTCGAATCACATCTATGGTCCGGAGCTACGCTTGCGCCATCTGCCTCGGTCAGCCGACGAGTACGACGACCTTGGCGGCACCACAGCACTCGTCTCTCCCAAAGACTATGGGGCTGTCTCGGTGTCGTCGAGCCGTACAAACTGCATTGCCCGTATACGGCTTATCTTGCAGAGGCCCACAAGGCCGACCGAGGGCCAGGGTGAAGCCCCGAGACCGTCAGGCAACGGAGACTCCGAGCCACAAGCCGAGTCTTCTGGATCCAGATCCGAGGCGCGGCGTCTCCTCGAACAATACGTTGTTCTGTGTCCGTCCCGATCAGTAGCTCCGGGCCTCATCGTTCTTTCACCGACGGTGCAAGCCAACTGTGCCGCCCTTGCCTTTGACAGAATCAGGCGGGTAATCTGTGGGGACAGCTACAAGAGCCGATACGGGTAACCTGCTATTGACTGTTACTATTGTGATTCTGACTTCTGTTCATCTGCTACGACAACCGCAGTGTGGCAGTCATCCAGTCAAGTATCTCAGTACCTTCGCCGATGCCAACGCTCATCGTCTCGCATCACATCGAAGGCGACAAGCTCGCAGTGAGGTTAGTGAAGCGCAATCCGGCTATCTGGACGGTAGCGCAATCGCAATGATGTGCATCAAGGCTCACTGTGCGTTTGGTCCGGCTGCAGCTCCACTGGCGCCGGTGCTAATCTGGTTGATCCCAAGCGCCGTTTCACCGGTATGTGTTGATCCCCGAGCCATCTCAGAGATGTGCTTGCTTGCTTGAGCGCATCGCCACTGGCAACGTTGTGACTCATGTGTCGACGTCGTTGTAGCGTGGCTTCAAGATACAGTGGCCAAGTCGCTTTTTATCATCAACCACAGAATGACTGTCAATTGCATCGCACCATCACAACACTGTCTCGACGAGGAGGGAGAGGCGGCGACTTGCAGGTTCACGCTGAGTTTCCAGCCCGAAGAAGGATCGAGTCTCCCTGATTTTATGTTGATTGACAAGGATAGCCATGCCAAGCTTGTGCTTCTCCACACTACCGACACCAAGAGCGTACAAACCGAAGAATCTCGGTATGTATGAAGTGGCTTCATCCTGTTGAATCTCGCCCAGGCTTATTCGTCCACTCTCTTGTTTGTAGAGAACCTGTCCGCAAAGAAAGTCACGCACTTGTTCTCGGCGGCGTCGATCCCATTCTCCTCCAGCTCAACCAGTTTGTCCGGCTCGGCTTGTATGGAAAGGACCTAACTGCAGTATGCCGGGGTGAGTCGTCGTCCGTCTTGAGATACGACTCTCCGTTTCGGCCTGCATCAATACTGATTATCTGCACTCATCAGGCTACTGCCCAGCGTTTCTGGTCCACGGAGGCTCAGGGCACGGCAAAACGTCGATCATGGAGTATATTGCATTCCAGTCCATGAAGGAGCTCGCTGTCTGTAAGTAGCTTGGCTTCCAAATACTGCTACAGCAATCGCGCTCGTTTGTACTAAGGACCATCTATCCGACCCATCGCTCAAGATGATCTGTATCTTGACTGCCGAGAGATTGTGCAAGAAAGTACACAATCGATCGAGCGTCGTCTTCGGCAGATATTTGCGGATGCCCTCTGGCGCGCACCAAGCCTGGTATTGCTGGACAACATCGATGTCCTGGTCCCAGCCGAGAATGAGGTCGGTGAGAGAGTCGAAACAAGCTCAGTTGGCACCATTGTTGATCCAAGACAGCTCGGCATCAGGGATAACCATCCACAGCGTCACTGATCCAGCCTCGCACATATGCTGTCTCTGTTCATGGAAGCAGCAGCAACAGCATGCGCAACCTAGCAGCAGATCGGCGGTTATTGCCGGCTTGATTCTTAGGCTCGCCTCCGATTATTCCACAATGGGCATCATGCTTGGCGTATCGTCGCAGCACAGCGACACCATTCATGGGCTCTTGGCCAAGTCGAGCCTCTTTGAAGAGCAGATTCAGATCGTTACTCCGAACTTGATCCAGCGCGGGGAGGTAAGTGCCCGCTCTACCTTAATACCGCCATCGTCACCCTCAATCGCTGTTGATACGTGGCCCATCTCGATCAACAGATTCTCAAGGCACTGCTGGCTCGCCACGGGGGATCGATGCCAGAGGAGGCGTTCCGGTACTTTGCCAGCCAGACCGAAGGATATACTCCCAGAGATCTACATGCCTATCTCAACTGCGCCGTCCATCAGAGGGAGATTCGTACTGCAGGCGATCCGGGCAGTGGCGACGGGCAGATTAGCGTCTCGGACCTCCAGACTGCCAAAGCTAACTGGATTCCATCGGCGTTGAAGAGTGTCAAGCACGAGTCGTCAGTCTCTTGGGATGAAATCGGCGGTGGGTTTGCAAAGGCAGAGGATATAGAGCACAGAGTGAATCGGCCGATGCTGCGTGGCAGCGCAGCCTCCTGTGCATGCTGCTGCTGCTGGTGGTGGTGGTGAAATGGATTATTGGCACCTAGGTGGCTGCGGAAACTAACTTCGTATTCGATTTGTCGGCCATCCTGTTGGATCGATATGCAGGAATGGACGGCCCGAAGCGGGTCCTGATGGAAACACTCAAGTGGCCGACGCTGTTTGCACCCATCTTTGCAAAGTCTGCGCTGCGCCTGCGATCTGGGTACGAGCCAGCCATCTGACGACCCTGAGATCCCGGAAGAGGCGGCTTCTCGCTCTTTCTAAACCGTCTCTCCTTTCTGATAACATCCCCTTTGCCACACCATCTTGGCACATTAATCCAGACTTCTCCTCTACGGATATCCTGGATGCGGCAAAACTGTGCTGGCTTCAGCGGTTGCCAAGGAATGTGGCCTGAACTTTATCTCTGTCAAGGGCCCCGAACTCCTCAATATGTATATTGGACAGAGCGAAAAATCGGTAGGTCGCTGTCGTTGCACTGGAGTCGTTGTGCATTGACGCCATTACATCGCATCGCTGGGTCGCGATACCAATGCCAAATGGCATCCGCTTACCCTTTGTCACTCTATATCGCATTTGGCATCTGTGGCTGCCGTTTTGCCGAAACCGCCAGGTCCGCGATCTCTTTGAGAGAGCCCAGGCAGCCAAGCCGTGTTTGCTCTTCTTTGACGAATTCGATGCCATAGCCCCTCGCCGGTTCGTTGTGGCTTTATGCTTCCCGCCCGAATGGAGCCATGCAAAGCGATGTAGCGCTGACCCAAAGCCATTTCCTTCTGCACTAGCGGTCAAGACACAACAGGCGTGACTGATCGGGTTGTCAATCAGCTCCTGACACAGATGGATGGCGCCGAGGGTCTGTCAGGAGTATATGTCTTGGCAGCGACAAGGTCTGTTGTGTGAGCAGATATCCAAAGCAAACATCCACTGCAACTACAATGCAGATCATACAATCGACGGAGAGACTGGCCGATCTATGTCCGATGACAACCAGCTTCTCACGCTCTGTATGGCCGACAGCCGACCAGAAATGATCGACCCGGCGTTGCTTCGCCCTGGACGCCTCGACAAGACCGTGTTCTGCAACCTGCCAGACGAGCAGGAGCGCCTGTCCATTCTAAAGGCTGTTTGCAAGAAACTGCATCTTCACCCCTCCGTGGATCTCGAGTCGCTCGGCAGCCGCACCGACGGATTCACAGGCGCCGATCTCCAGGCCCTTGTCTACAACGCACACCTGGAATCGGTCCACACAGTGCTCGATGCCATCCAGGTCAGCAAGGACGACCGGGCCGCAGGACCGGACACCGATGGCTCAAAGTTCCTCAGATCCGACGAGGCATCTGGTGATGAGACAGCGACTCAGGTAAGCCTGGACGATATCGTGGTTCACGTTGAGTGTTCTGGACGCCTCGCCAGTTGGCCATGCTGAACGCATCTTGTGCTTCTACATCATCCAGCTGGCATCGATCAGGGCCAATATGGGTCAGCGGATGGGCTCCACAGCCTCGAAGGGTACCAAGGTAAGTTTGCACTGTGCTGGTCCTACCTGGGCTGTCCCGGAGTAGCCTGCACTCGCAGCCGCTGCTGGATAACTGTTGTTGCTGAAGCACAAGCACCACTTTATTCCGCAGCCCGAGAGCATGACCAAAGTATACGTCACCATGGCGCACTTGAACAGCGCCCTTGCGACCACACGCCCTTCGCTCGAGCCTCGCGAGGTGAACCGTCTGCAGCGAATCTACAGCGAGTTCCAGAGTGGCGGCATCGCCGTGCCAGTGGGTCAGAAAGTCCGGATCGCATAGCCAGCGAGGCACCACAATTGGCATGCTATGAAACGAGACGCGCTTTGTGTCTCGCAATACATTGCGTCGCCTTAAGTGATTGATCCATGGCAATCCCTTGGACACATTGAAATGAAGCATGGGTGTATTCAAGATCCGAAGGATCATGGTCGTTGCCTCAAAACAGGGTACTCGTCGTTTTCCTTAGCCGCTGGTAATGCGCTAAGAGAGACGCCATGGGCTTTGGAGCATATCCCATCATCATGGTCTTCTCAGACCTCCTCGGCATCTTCGCCGTTCGATGCAGCTATCCGCTGACCCTTGAGAGCGTGTGACTGGTTTCCAGGGCTATTTGGTGGTATCTCGCCATACGCAACGCCGAGACTCTCGCTGCTCTTGGCCTCCCTCAGCTCGCCCTTGGACATTTTCTTGCCGTCTCGCAGCCGCGACTCGCTGGGCTTGGTCCAGCTCTGGGTCGCCACATCCTCCTCTTCGGGGACCGGTGTCACACCCGAAGAAGCGGGTCTGGACCCAGAATCCGGAATTGGTGGTGTGCGGCGATAGGACAGACTGAGGCCGGCGGGAACGCTGCTTGGAACCTTGAAGTTGTATGACCGGCCTTCCTCATAGACACTCTCAAGAACGCGCTCGAATACGCCTTCGCCTGACCACTGTTGGTACTTGCGATAGAGAAGTAGCGCCTAGGAATGAACCAAGCAGTCAGAGACTGGGTGTAATGGCAATCGAAGCATTGGGAATGTGGCGATCCGGTGACTCGTCCGTCCGGGGGTCATTCGAACGTTCTTCATAGTGTCCGCAGCACCGGGCTCAGGAACCAACCGATGGCATCGCACACGCATCTCAGCGGCACAGATCCTTACTGTATGGGCATCTTCGATACTGTCGTGTGATTCGCCCTGGATATCTTGCTTGAGCAGGACCCAAGCCAGGAATCTGAGCGACAGTTTTCTGGAGAGGAGCAGCATCGGTCAGCCATAGGGATAGTCAATTTGTGGACATACAACAGTTGCCGCTGTAATGAGGAGTATGCCCACGGCTGTACCGAGTTGTATATGCTGCCCATGCAGCCACTGGTGCAGTTGGATATGAATTGTGCCTCGCACGTCATGTAGTACACCTCTCGCGCACCTGTGTCGACTCTTGATCCAGTAGATGTCGACGGTGTCGATCACCTGCTCAGGAGGAACCATGATATCTGGGACCAGCGATCGGTCATGCGGACGCACGTTAGTCACGCCTGGGTTCTACAGGCCGGCAGCAGGTCCCAAACTGAGACTCACTGATGATGCGAAAATCCTTCTTGAGACCGTGGCCAACAAAGATGCATCCCAGGTCAACCAGCAGTCGGAGCTTCCTGTAGGCCATCTGTTGAACCAGCAGAGTGGCGTTGTGGAAGATGAGAATCGCGCGTCGCTTACAGGCACGGACATGAATGGGCGATATGCAGCCAAGCTGCCGCCGCTGCTGCACCGGCAGTTAGTTAAGCACACACAGGCGCGGCGGTTGGACGGCCGTACCTTGAGCGGAACCAGAGGATGCGTCGAAGTGGTGGGATCCAGATCACCGGCTGCACAAAACGAAACCAGCAGTAGGGGTCGAGCAATGTGGATGTCAGTCTCGATGTGCATTTGTGCTTCTCCGGGAGCCCGCATCACCATGGCCTTGCGGAGGCTCACAGTCATTCCGACATATGCGAGTCCGAGCCATGCGCCCATAAACTGAGCATCAGCCAAGTACCTTTGATGCCGGAAAACTCGGTCAAGTAGTCAACCACTGGCTCGGTGGTGACGATGTAATCATCAATGAAGGGCGTGCATTCGCCATCCCCTCGAAGCACGCTCACTCGCGCCAGACCCAGCCGAGAGGGTCGGAGGACTGATCTTGTGCCATCGCTTCTGATCTCGGTTTCCTCCTGAATGACGGCGGAAGTGGTCAAGGCAAGGTCCAGACCCATCAACGGCCATTTGCCATCAACACAGCAGGCAAGCACATCGCCAGTGGCGAGTGTCATTTGTAGTGGTGCTTACATTGCTGAGAGCGACAAACTCGGCGTCGATTGCGACAATCAATCCGGGTTCTGTTGGAACTTCATCGGGCCGCAGCGGGCTCGAAAATATAGAAAGGTCGCTCCGGCGGCTGGAGAAAGGGGAGAGTCAGTGGCTGCGAGACTGTACCCATCCCTGGCTCTCGGGATGATGAGTCTGACACACAACCAGTCACCACCCAACAATGCGGCCATCCAGAAACAACACTGCGACAGGCAGCAGTGTGGCAGTACATCAGGGCTGCCACGACAGGCGAACTGGCCACTTTCGCGAGGCTTCAACCGGTACTCACTTTGCGGGTTTCTCCTCAAACAGAATATCAATGTCGAGCTCAGTCGGCAGCGTTTCCGGGCGGAACACCTCGGCCATGTCGATCCGAGCGTAGTTCAGAACAGCCGGTACCTGCATGGCGGTCGATGTCAGCCCCCTGTAGATCGACTTTAGCAGAATTGCGGTCACACCTGTCTGACATGTGTCCCAGGGCAGAGGTAGCTGAATTTGCACCCACCTTCCACTTTCTGGATTGCACGACCTCAGACTCGGACAGTGGCTGAACCAAAAAGTCGTTGAAGAGATACCACTGGTACCTTTGCGCGGCATCATCCAGCTCATCGACGGGCTTCGAGACCCGGATCTGCGCAACCAGATGCGGGGCATTGGCCTGCAAGACCTCAACGACACAGGCATGTAGGTCGTAGATTGCAATCTCGGTAGCCTGCTGGATAACGTCCTCGTATTCGGCAGGGATCTCGACCGAATCCTTCGCTAGCTGGACGACCGTCAGACCTGTCCCGGTCAGGACCAGAGCGATCCTGCGATGCAAGCCGACGGAAAGCTGAGTATAGGGCAACAAAAGGGGTGCCTGGTCTTGGTGACCAAGCACGAAATCGATCGCAGCATCGACTACGGCCAAAGTCGGCTGCACATTCACCCGCACACCGGACTGTTCACGCAGGTTGTGATCGTCGTTGGGCAGTTCATTGCCTACCTCAGCGGCACGACCGAGATATCTTTGGGGGACGAAATCGCCAGAGCAGAGTCAATATCATGGAGGCTGATGCCTTGGGGACTCGGACGGCTGCGTCGTCTCTGTCGGGCCTGAGCCTTCAGCCAAAGTCCGAGTAGCCAACTCCCACCAGAATGCAGCAAGTAAGCAAGCAAGCTCACCCTCGCGCCAGATAGCCAGCTCCTCGTCCGCTGTGGCATTTGCGTTGACGTTGATGAAGTTGGGCAGACTCTTGAGATGCTTGGATTGGGTTGTAGACTGGTACTTGCCGCAGTTGTCGCACCACGCCTTTGTCAGTGCTTCGCGATGAAGGCTGCTTTGCAGAATCTCGCAGAAGAGCGACTGTGGTCTCTTGGTGCACCCTTGCAGCTTGGGCGAAACCTCGGCTACAGGGGCGTTCGATGGCTTGGAGGGCTGTGCAGCAATACCTGTCAGAATCGGTACCGCAGCCGAATCGCCGTGCATGCGTTCGGCGGAGGAGCTCACCTTCTTTGGATAGATCAAGTCAATCACAAATGGAGATATCTCTCGCGAAACGGTGCTGGCGCACTGGCATGTGCTCGTGGACTGCAGACACAGCCCATAGATTTGCTGGATCATCGAAGGACACGTGGCAGACGTATAGTCCCTATCCAGCAGCCACTGTTGAGGCTCCTCGCTTGGCGCTGGCGGCACATCGCCAAGAAGATCTTGCTGCAGCTGCTCCAGGATAAACCGATTGAAGCTCTGGATGAGTGCCGAGTACGAAACAGTGACCTTTGCATCCTCAGGCTCGAACAACCCCAGGGCGCTGGCTAGAGGACAGAGGAACAGGGACCGGGTGTCAGCAAGCATGCACGATGGCCACTGGTCTCAATAGCCCTCGCCCTCGCCGCTCGCCGCTCGCGACATGTGATGTGTGTCTCTACCTTGTGTGTTTGTACTAAATGCTCGCAAAAAGTTGGATGCCTGGCAGTTCATGCCTTTCGAGTCCTCCAGCATTTGGAAGAGGAACGCAAGCTCGCAGCCGAGACAAAACTCCTTTGGGCATGAACATGCTCGAAAGGCGTTCTTGCGGAGATGCGATTTGACAGCCTCGCGCAAGGGCGGGTTAAAGAAGAGCACCTGGAGCATCGGGTTGCAGTACGAGTTCTTGATGTGGGTCTCGAGGCCGCCATAGCATGTCTCGTTGTAGAATCCAAAGTCAAAGTCCTCGACGCCAAAGCGGCTGTACTTGATCTCAACTTTGCGGTAGAACTTTGGTATGATGTGCGGCGCGCCCGAGTGCGCTTGGTGCGAGCCATACGACATGCTGTCGGATTCCGAACCTTGCACCAGATCATCCGAATCCGAGGTTCGCAGCCGCTGTCGCTGTAGCGACCCCATCGTGCCACCCCCGAGCCGGCCACCGGAGCTGTAGCGACTCTGCTCTGACCGGAAGCGGGGCACATCTTCGTCCTGGCTGTAGTTGGTCGAAAGGAGCGACAGCGCCTGGTTCCTTCGGAAGGTCTTTGGATTCTGGGCATAGCCAACAAAGTCGCTCTTCTTGACGTTTGCCAGAATCTCGGGAGGGATCTTTGGCAGGGGCTGGCCGACATGAAACGTCATGTTGACGGGCCAGGATGCCGAAAGCAGCTGTGACGTATAGTACGGCATGCCAACCATTGATAGCGGGCTGGTTGGAATGCGGTATTAGAAGGGCGGAAATGGCAACGGTCAGCAAACAGGACCTGCAACCGACGCCTCTATATGAATGCAGCGATGCACTCAAATGCAAGCAGGTCATGGTCAATTCGACATACCTGTCCTCGCTAATATGGACCGACGGAGGCGGGGGGTCAAAGGGCACGGCAAACGGCCGCGAATACAAATTGGACTTTGGGGCTTCTCGCTCCGCCCACTGATGGAGGATGCCTGTGGACGATCCGAATGCCATCATCTCTCCCGACGAAGAGATGTCGGCGACGGAAGTATATCCGTCGGTGTGAACCTGGGATTGAGCCGTGGCCAGAGTTAGAGCCGGTGTCGTCGTTGGAATGAATTGTAAGCGCTCAAAGGCCAAAATATGGCCCTAGCTGAATGCCCGCCGGCAATGACAGACACATGAGTCCACGCTGCTTGCCGCCCCATGCCACCAAAGACTGGCTTACCTGCAGAAACTCAATATGCGAGTTGGGCGTCTCGATGTCGCATATCTGGAACTGGCCCGTCTGCGATCCCGTGAGAATGGTCGACGACAGCTTGGGATGAAATTGGAGAATCGCTGGTCCATTCTGGAAAGGGATGGGGGGTAGCGACTTCATTGTGCGTATGTCGAACACTCGGACCAAAGGATCGACAATCAAGGTTCCGCCGCTGTGTCGATGTGCGAAATGAGCATCGCGAGCGACATCGCCAGAAGAGCCAGCCAGGGTGGCGGTCGAAGTAGCGCTCCAAGGCATAACTGGGCCATGTCGTACCCAGCATTCCCACCCAGCATTCTCGCCCAGCATTCTCGCCGAGCATCCTCGCCGAGCATCCTCGCCCAGGATCCCAGTACACAGCAGATCAAAGAGCACCCACCGCAGCGAGTATCCACAGGTAACGAGGTTGTTGCCGTTGACGTCCATGTCCGTGAGAGCACCTGTGTGTGCGTCAAGAGTGTGCTCGGTGCGATAGGTTCTGGGATCAAGCAGCATGGCTCGACCGCCGACAGTCCCGCAGCAGATGAATCGGGATCGCCGAATGACCTTGACTTCCGAATCGACTTCAAACTGGGGGGGCGCATGGCACGAGATAGGAGGACTCAGACTAAAGAGGAGCTTGTGGGCATTGCGTGGCCAGTCCCAAGGCGATCCAACAGCCAGCGGTCCGCATCGCCTCGGCCAAAGGTGTCCGAGGCTCGACTGCCAATACGCACCTGCTTGACGACAGCTCCGCGGGCAGTATTGATCAGCCGAAGCTGGGAGGATACGGTGCTGGCAATCAGCTCGGAGCTGTACTGATTCGAGAAGCACATCGAGAGAAGCTGCTGGCCCAGATCGAAGCTGGAGTCAAGTCATGGCGGTTGTTAGACAAGGGTGGCGACGACCATATCGGCATGGCTCAACCGGGCCAAGGGCAAAAGGTCACGGTATGGGAAGATTTGCATAGCCTTGTGAATACTGCGCGTAGCCTCTCCGGAGCCGGGAAGACGAGCATAGATCGAAAGCGGGCTGCTCAAGAAGCCAGCATGTTCGACCCGCAGAAAAGCGTCTGCAGCGTATCGACGGCTGCCACACACCTGAGCTTCCACTTCTGGATGCCCGAGCGGGCCGTGAACCGGAGGCTATCTGTTCCCAGCGATACAACGCCGCTGTCGCACACCAGTAGCTTCGATACGGGGCCGCTGTGAGCCTTGAAACTGGTGTATCGTCGCAGCGAGTCCGGCTGGACAACGAGAGATGCAACCCGGCCCTGTTCACGAGCGCCAGAGAGAATGAGCCGACGTGCTTGGCCGTTGGTGCCGGAAGTGCGTCCGGGACATGGCGGGGATGCGCCTCTGCATATGCATTATCATGAGCCCAGCACTCAGTGGGCGAGCAAATGCCGAGATTCAGGATCCGGCTCCTCACATTGTTGTTGCCAATCCAGACAATCTCTTCGAACGGGTCAAAGGATACACTTGATAGCGGTGCCGTGTCTGACGTTCACGCATCGCAAAGGATCGTGGGGGAGCGCAGCGACATCTTTGAGCATGACTGGCGCTGGAAGTCGATGGCATTGATGCAAGGATCTGGTTGGGGAGAGTCGTCGGAACAGACCGATGATTCTGGCTCGTCCAGCGAGCCCCCAGCAACTCACTCACCCAGCATCGCCACTTGGCGTTGCTCGTGCCATCCGCAGGAGTCCATGCTGTTCGGTGTGGACGGCGATGCCAGCGTCTGGTCGGGGAAAGGTCGTCTGATTGTGTCGGTTCCAGAGGGACGGATGCCCGGCGAACCACGGCCCTGTCGCAACCGAAATGGACACAGGTTTGGGCGAGGCAGCCGACACTCCTCGGTCATGTGGCATGCACGTGCCAGCGTGGGAATCTGGGGCAGTGCTTGGACCTGGTCGCAGAGCAAGTCGCCCCGTGCAGCGCCAGGCAGACGACGAACTGTTCCACTGAGAGATGCGTATATTTCATTAGATCGGTTACATAAAATATCAATAAAGTACTGGATGGCTCGCTTTTGCTTTTTGAAAGCGATGTACGCACAATCCGTCGGCGGAAACACGGGCATCTTTGGCTGGCGAGGGGCAGTGCTTCTCTGCTTCACGACCCCGTTCGACCAGCCTCTGGGAGCTATCAAGGACGGACAGATCGCTTGGTGGGAAATGAGGAATGGCGACCTGTCGTTCGAGTGCGGGCGGTGGCGAGAGAAGTCGCGGTTGGATGAGCCGAGGGCGAGCCGCCTATAGAAACGGCGAGAAGCTCGCTGCTGGCACACTCGATAAACCGTTTCTTGTACGATTGGCATACAGTTCCGGCGCCACAATGGCGCGCAGAACCCCAGACCCATCCAGATCCCGACTGGGTGCACTGGATGTAGGTGTTGCGGGAGATACACTGCTGCGAGCCAGGGCTGCAAGGGCCGCTGGTGGGCACCGGTGGTGTGGGCGTTGCGGATGGGCCGTGTGGTCGGAAGCTCCAGCGAATGTAGGGCGAGAACTCGGGGAAGCGTTTTGTTCCTGTGGTATCGGGTGTGTCTGTGGGAGTCGGTCTGATCGAGCCATGGTCGCGACTGTGAGCAAGATTTGACTCTTGTGGAGTCGTCTTGATAGGTCTAACCGTGGGGGTGGGATCGCATTGTGCAACTGGTAAGCACAGAAGGGCAAACAGCCCAAGGAGCAGCAGGACGAAAGGGTTCCGGCGAACGGCTGGCATGATCGACTTTGCTCGACAGACAGGCTGGCCGGCAGAGCAGTGGTCGGGAATACTGGTGGAACGAAGGTGCTCAGAGCAGCCCGACCCGAGCCAGGCTGGCTCGTTTAAATACGCCGCCATCACAAGTAACATTGGCAGGGCGGGAAAGTGGAGCAGACGCGCGCCCGGCAGAGTCCATTGGCGCGCAGACCCAGTCGGGCGGGAGGGAAAGTGTGTGTGCATCGATGGCGATGGCAGACGTTGGTGGGAAACTCGAATGGAGCCGAGAAGCGATCGGCTCGCGAAGTGCAGACCTGATTGTCTGGACCGAATCGGTCTGGGCTGGTCTTGGAACCAGGCAGCCCGTTCCGCCAAGCACCGCCGCCCATGCGCGTCTGTGCGACACAGCGCGCCACACAGCCAGCGCCCTCCACTTCGCCTCCCCCCACCTCCGGATCGTCGCCTCTGCCTTTGCCTCTTTCGTTGCCTGTCTTGCCTCGACATCTGGGAGCCAAGCGCCTGCCCATCCATCGCTGCTCGCCCTCCTGCTCCCTCTGCTCGGACTTGCCCTCCCCTCGCCTCGCAGCCATGGCCGACTCTCTCGCTCCTCTGGGTCGCATGGACAGCACCAAGAAACACTCGTACCGCCAGGTGGTGCGCAAAGAGTCGCTGACCCACCAGCGCATCACCAACACCCAAGACTGGTGGTCTGACTGGAAGTCCATGTTCAAGTACAAAAACTCGGTCGTCCCCGAGACGCTGCCGCCGACCATCCTCTTCACGCTCTTCTCGGCAGCCGTCGTTGCGATCTACGAGGAGTCGCAGTGGGTCCGCGATATGCTGCCCAACTCGACGCTGCTCATCAGCATCCTTGGTATTGTCATGGGCCTGCTTCTCGTCTTCCGCAACAATACCGCCTACGACAGGTAACATAACCGACTGTGCCTGTATCTGCGGCTGGCCTTGCTCTGCTCTGTTGTGTGGTCTGGACTATGGACTCTGTGCTGCAGCGACTCTCTCGCTGCTCTTCTGCCACGCCCTGCCTCCTTGGCCCAGTTCCGCCGGCGACCCTGGTCGCTGCCGCCTGCGCGAGCGCTTGGGCCAAGATGCTGCAATGCGTATGTGTGTATGGGTATATCGCCTCGGTGGAGTCATGCAGTGCTAACGCTGACCGTCTGCCCAGATACTATGAGGGTCGCCGCCTGTGGGCATCGCTCCAGACTCAGGCCAGGTAAGCAGCCGATCGGGGATGGTGGCGGTGCGGTTGTGGTCCAGCTCTATCACCGATCGACGTCAAGCCCGCTGGCTCGCACAAATGAGTCCCTTGGAGCGTGAACTAGCTGCGTAGCGACCGGCCATCCAGATTGACTCCCTGCTGTCTCTCGGCTCCAGAAACCTCACTCGCCTCATCTGGTTTGGCGTGGTGCCCAAGGACGAGCACGACGAGATCCAGAAGCGAGGCGCCATGGTAAGCGGCGGCTGCGACTTGGCTATGATGCTGGGTTCCCGGCTCTTTCGACGGTGTCGCCTGTTGCCCTACCGATGCTGCATGTTGGACTCCCCACTTGCTCCAGCGAACGTGGGCTGACGGCGGTGTGTGGGCGCTTGTCGACCTGCACTGTCTGTTGGATTCGAACCGAACAAAACGGTCGACTGACGTTGCTTGCTGTCGACTGCTGTCTCCCCTTGTGGCTCTGAACGCAAATCTGCTAGAACCTCGTCATGGCGTTCATTTCCTCCACCAAGAACTACCTCCGCGGCGAATATCAATGGGACGTTGTTGATGTGGCCCCATACCTGGCTCATATGGAAGGCTACAGCAGCGAAGGCCATGCCCAACAGGATGTCAACGAGCAGCTCGTTCTCCCAATTGAGATCTCGGTATGTCGCGCAGCCGCGAGTACAGCTTTAACTCGGACATAAGCATGAGCATGAGCTTTGGCGCAGCAGGGCTTGGCTGTGAGAGTGCCCAAATCCAAGTTCAAAGTATACCCGCCCGCCACCTGGTGGATGTGTCGACTCGAATCGAGAGCTGCACATGATCAACAGATACGGCCTATCCATGGCTGTGTGACCAAGGCCAGTCGATCCATCGATTGACTCGTTCACCCTTGGCCCTGTCCCTGCTCAGTTCCACATCTCTGCGTACATCAACGCCGCCAAGGCCGCTGGCCAGATCGATGCTTCTCTTCAATCTTCTATGGCCTCAATCGTGTCGAACATGCTGGACCTGTTTACCTCTTTCGAGAGAGTCCGCAATTCGCCGGTGCCGTTCATCTACGCTGTGCATCTCAAGCAGACGCTGACGATGTATCTGATCTCGCTGCCGCTGCAGCTTGCCCCGAGCATGGGATGGACCACGATTCCCGTCGTGATTCTTGCCAGCTTCACTCTTCTCGGTAGGTGTCGTCTGCGAGTCCCAATGCCGGACCGGGATTGCCATTCTTTGAGGCTTGTGCTACGAACTAACCATTCGCGGAACATGTCGTTCGGCCCCTGCCGTTGCGTAGGTATTGAGAGTATCAGTGGCCAGATCGAGAACCCCTTTGGCATCGACGAAAACGACTTGCCTATGGACGACTACTGCGACGAGCTCCGAGACGAACTCACGCGTGTGATGATGCGTCCTGCCAAAATCACCCCTGACGACTGGCACCGCCCTTGGGACGACATCAGCACCCATGCCACCCAGGGAACACTCAACCAGGTGGCGATGGCGATCGCCCAGGACGAGATTGCCAAGCGACGCAACGAGCTTATTCAGGCCGGCCAGGATGGCGATGCCACTATTACGGTGTCCGTCACCGCCACCGCAGACAAGTGATACCTGTCAATGTCGACACCGAGTGCGGAATGAGTATCTCCGAGGAACGAGGGACCGTCCCCGTTCCTGCCCAGCAATTGTTGTGTGCTGACGAATACATCCAGCAACACGTCTTGAAAGCCCGCGGCGAGAGCGAGCTGGAAGCGGTGGTGATGGAAGCGTGATGGAACGACAGGACAACCGCGAAAGCCAACAGCGACACAGCGGCACCGTCGCTTGGGCAGCCGCCACCGATTCCCACCGCGATCGCCACCAGTTATCAACATCACAACCACCTATCGTCAGCACAATCAGCATTGCTCCGTCACACCGCAGCGCCGCTCGCGGCGAACAGAGCCGATCACGCAGCGCGCGAGGGACAACCAAGCCGTGCTGGCTGGCTCGAGACCCTGACCCGTGACTGCGGTCACAAGGCTGTGGTATGGACGCCCCGCGCAGCCAGCAAGGCGGCCTGGGCAGCAGCGAGACACAAATTTGCAGGGGCAGCGACAGGCGATTGGTCCAGCAGGGTGCGGGTCACGGCACGGCATGTCCCTGTGCACCAGGACTGGCATTGTCGGCAAAGGCGGTCTTCCAAAGCAAGCCACTGCCTCGGGTGCTTGGAAGCACACAGCGACAGTGGCGTGCGTCGCACGGTGCGACGTGGCGTCCCTGGTGCGCGCCCAACCGGCACGCGACAGCAAGTGCGCGTCGATCGGGCGCGTGCAGGCTGTGGCGCAGGCGCGTCTGCAGGGGCACACAGTCAGTCGCTGAGCAGCCCGAACGGTCGTGTCGCGCTCGCTGTGCAACACTTTGCGCGCGACGGCGGCGCGGCTGGACCAATCGCTGGATGGCTGGATGTCGCGGTCGGTGAGCGGGAATCGCTGTTCAATGCAACTCACGCTGTTCGACGCCGCTCACTGTTCAATGCAACCGCAACAGCCTCCACAACCACAGTCGTGCCACCACAGCGGCCACAGCCGCCTCCGCCGCTCAGGCTTCCTGGCTTCTCCTGGGCAAAGGCTCGTCCTTCTGCCTTTTTCTCCTGCCGCATCTGCTCGCTTCCCCTCGTCCCCATCCCCATCCCCATCCCCATCCAGCCTCGCTGGTGCCTGCCCTCCGAGTCTGCTCGAGCGTCTTTCTTGCATCGGCACAGCTGCGACTGCCTGTCGGCCGCCAGAACCGTTGCTTCAATCTCCCTTCCCTGCTCCAGTGGCTTTGGCACCCGTCACCCGCCCTGCCGCCTGAACCATTCCTGCGCTGCCGCCATGACCGACGCCAACACCAACTTGACAGCCAGCTCGACCCTGGTCGACCCGATTTATTACAATGGAACGACCGACCCAGAAACACTCTACAAATACCAGCCCGCTAACAAGTGCCTCTATCTGAGCCAGCATGTCGTCTTCTTTCACGGGTGGGTATGTCTGAACCCCTCCTGACGGCGACATAACGCTGCGTGCCAGCCCGAATCTGAGCTCCTCGACAGCGACCTCCGAGGACAGCAACCGGGTCGCTCAGTGGAGACCTGGATTCTGCCACCTATATCTCCCTTTGTTTCTATCGCCGAGCTATCCTCGCTATACCGGATCTCGCGCTGCTGTCTCTGCCATGCCTTGCTGTCCCTGCCATGCACCGCTGTCCTTTCTTCCATATTCGCCAATCTCACCTGTCAGTTTCATGCGCCCTCACTCTCGATGGTCCTCACCATCTGCTGCCCTTTAGGTTTTGTGAAGAGATGAACAATCTCCCGATCCACTCCAGCGTCGCCGAGCAGCTGTTCCAGGTCCCTGCTGGAAGCATCAATTCGCTCTCAGACTTCCTCGGCAGCTTTGTGTTCTTCGACGACCCAAACCCCGCATCATCGAGTTATAAACAGAGCGCCTGGAATAATGCCACCAACGGCGTGATGTACCAGGTCTTGCAGTCAATCTGTCCGATTCAAAAGCATCCGTATACTTATGATTCGGTAAGACGAGAGGTTCCGCGGGTGCATGCTACCGCATTCGATCATCAGCCATCACTCCAAGTCGCCCCCCCCCAAACACACATCAGCCTCCATCGTCTCGCTCGGAAGTCGACGGTGCTCCTTTTCCTGGAGATCAAGACTGCTTGGCTATGGCTGACGTCGTATCTGCACCAACCTGTCTCTGGGTCGCAGGTCCTCTTTGCCTCCAACGTACGATACTTCCGCGAGGCAATGTGTCGCTACATGGTGCGGGCAACACACAACAGCGGGCTCTGCACGCTCCCTCCAGACCCGTCCGGTGATCCATACGTCAACTGCGCCAAAACAACTGCGGCGTTCTTCTATACGTCTCTCACCTACAGCATCAACACTATGGCTCCCCAGTGCGGAGCATCCGACATTACCAGCCTAAACAACAACTCCCTCACCCAGATTGCCACTAATATGTCGGACCCCGGACTGTTTGCTATTGGATTCGATAACTGCACGGGATCGCAGTACTCGACCTATTGGGCGAGTGGCCAGGTCTATCCGGACACATGTGGTGAGCATCTCTGCACTATTTCACTCGGGTCTACTCCGACAGAGCCCTCGTAGTGCGCACAGCTTATCCTTGGACATGCCCTTTGCCCACAGGCTTCATCAACTATTATGCGCCAAACTCAGCGGGAACTGGATCAGTCATTTTCAACTACAAAAACAAATACTCGGGCGATCTCAACAAAGCCGAAGATCTCTGCTCCGGAAAGATCAACATCAATGAGCGTAGCTCGTGCTGCGACGCCATCTCAGCCTGGAACCAGGCGATACAAAACACTTATGCCAAAGGCAACAGCACTCAGAACACCGAGATTGTCAGCGCCATTATCGTGCCGTCGGCCGTGGCCGTCGTAGTGCTGGCGCTGCTCGCCATCGCTCTGTATGTCGGATACAATGCATTTTGGAGGCGGATCGAGCAAGTCAACAGCCAGAAGCAGCAACTCGAGATAGAGCTCTACAACGTCACCAGCCAGCCCGTCAGTGCACCGACCTTCAAGCGCAAGTGGATCGTTGAGAAGCCGTATCTCGCCCGTCGTGGCGATGAAGTCGATCTGCGGGTCGGCGACGTCGTAACGCTCCTGAGTGTATTCAACGACGGATGGGGACACGTGAGTATCCAGCTGCTGTCGATGGTGTGGATTCTTGCGCTTGCATCAGATATTTTCCTAGCTCGTAGGTGCCGTGCCCTTGGTACTGACATCCATGTCGCATTTGCATCTCCACCAGGCTCACAACGAGACAACAGACTCGATCGGAACGATTCCCATGTCTGCCCTTGGCCCCATCGGGCGGTCGCAAACGCCGTCGTTCAAGGGCGAGATCGAGGAGCAGTCGCTCATGTTCTGAGAGGCGCGCCTTCCCTGATCCATCTGTATCGCCGCACTATGCCGCCATCTCGGCGTGGCACCGACTCCACAGCTTCGTCTCGTCGCCAATGCACTGCTCTTTGCTGCTCCATAGACCCTCTCTGATATGCCCTTGCTTTGCTCGCCTTGCTTTGCTTTGCTCGCCTTGCTGCCTTGGTCCCATTGCTCATTTTTTTCTATGCCAAGGATGAGCAGCTTCTATGTCCCTGTCGCTTCCACTCGTCCTGCTCCGGGCACTCGTTCCCTCGCCCGTGTGCCCAACAGCGGGTCTGGATTCTGGAGTCGACCTGCATCGCGGCCGTGTGGCTTCTCAGCGAACCCTGCGCATCTCTCCTGCCGACTCTGCTCTATGGCTTGGCTCTACTTTCTGTAGATTATTCCTCCTGCGACCTCCGAGTTTACAGCGTTTCAAAATGAAATGGGACACCCCCGTTTTGAGCCATAACTGTGGTTTTTTTTTTCTGGAACCTGAATACACGCACATCCATGACCAAACAGCGTGCTCACAGTGCTTGGGAGCCAAGCGACTTGCGAAGGCTCGAGAAACAGCATACATCCCACCATCTGGATGAGTGGTGTCTTGGCGTCATGACACTCGGGTCGAACAGGTTGTCCCTCGGGCCGCTGCTGTGGCTTCGTTTGCGTAACGATCCAGACATCGTGCGCGCCGGGGTGGTCGCAGACACGAAGCCATTGCCCTTGTTGCTCCTTCGTTGGCTTGGCCGCATGCTCAGCGTTACTTGGTCGCCGCTCCCTCCCTCGCTCGAGGCATTGCTCTCCAGCAGCGTTGCTCTCGCTGCCTCTCCGCTCGCCCCTCATCGCTCCTGGGCATTCCGTCGGCCTTGGACTCTACTCCCCTCCTCGGAATATCCCTTGCTCGCGCCCTTGCAGCATGTCCCCAAATCCATCGCCCAAGGTGCCAACTGCCCCGCCCCTGTCAGAGTCGGCGCTGGCGGCCATCGAGGCAGTCAAGGCCAACCCAAACACCAGTCCGGTCTACTTTCTCGGCTCCGCCGTCTCCATCTTTGCGCCGACGTCGCTGCCCACCTGGCTGACGTTCATCAAGCAGGTCGTCCAGTCCCTGGCCGAGGCCACAAACTCCGAAGACTCCGACCCCGGCAACAGCGGCAACAACGGCAACTCCCGGGCCCAGGCCTCGCAGTCCCGCGCCAAGCAGCGACAGCAGCGCAAGGTCGCCGAGCTGGTCACCCGCCTTCACGGCTGCTTGAACGAGTCGGTGTTGCCGCCGTACAAAGCTACCGAGGTCATGGCGCGGCGCCTGGGCTCGCACTATCTGTCGGTCGTCGAGGTCTTTCAAGACGCCCCGCCCAACCCCGTGCACACCTGGATTGCGTCAGAGCTGTTCGAGGGCGCTGTTCCGGCGGTTGTGACCACCAACTTTGACGACGCCGTTGAATCTGCCTACCGGGCCTTGGGCGGCGATGTCTACACCCTCACGGGCGATCTTGCCCATGACAAGCGGGCCCTCGAGCGCCTCCGCAAGAGCTTTGGCCATCGGCGGGTGCTCCTGGTCGTCGCGAACCCCGACAGCTTCCAGCTGTTCATGCGATACTTTACGGTGTCGCTCGGGTCCGACTCGATGTCGTTCCTGTTCAAGATCCACGGCGACTGCTACGCGCCGCAGACCTGTATTGACACCGAATCGCAGCGCATCCAAGGTAAGCAGCGAGAAGCGCTCTCTCTCTCCTCTCCGCAATGTCAATGAGATTGCACTGTCGCCTCAGTTGGACCATGGACACCTCTGCCTCCAATCCCAATTCCAGTTCCGACATGCACATGTTCGCTCTTGTCCTTTGCGCGCGCTGTCCGTTTCATGGATTCCCCCCCCCACGCTCTAACTCCTTGTACCTGGTCCATCCCCACAGGCCTGTCCTCGTACGTCACCAGTGTCTTGTCGCTGCTCCTGCGCAAGTTCACCATGACCTTCCTCGGCTTCAGCGGCGCCGATCTTGCCGAGTACCCAGACTATATCCGCATGATTTCCGAGGCTGATGTCGCCGACGTCCTCTGGGTCATTCGCGAGGATGTCGAGCCGCCCTTCTTCGAGGCCTTCCGCAAGAAGCTTGGAGATCACTTCCAGGTTCGCCAGGGCCAGATCAACGGCAAGTTTGCCCCAAACGAGACCATCACGGGCAAGCTTGCTGCCTGGGCAGCCGAAAAGATTGGTCCGTTGCGGAGTCGCTTGGTACTCTTTGATCTCGCCAAGCTCGCGGGCCTGGCACCCCATCTCTATGCCTGCCTCACTCCGTCGAGCATCCTGGCAGCTGCAAACCCTGCAGTCGGCGGGCTCACAAAGTCCAACAGCGCTCTGGCCTTTCTCGAGAACATCTCCTCCTTTTCGTTCTATACCGAGGCCAAGCTCGACAAGGAATTTGACCAAGTCAAGGTTTCCGAGTCCATCATCGAGGGCAATCTCGTGGACGAGCACATCCAGCGGTTCTTGCGCAACCAAACCGAGCTCATCAAGCTCGCGCAGCTCACGATCGAACAGCTGGAGCAGGGCGATGTAACCAAGGCCCTCCAGATGATCCTCAGGGCCATCCAGCTGCGCCAGGAAAACTTTCCGGATTCGCGCTATTTTATCGACTCGTGCTTTCTGTTGATCATTTACGGCGTGGTCCTTGAGTCGGTTGGAGAAAGCAACCTGGCCATGATTGTGTTCGAGGATGCACAGGTACGTCTGAGCTCGAGGCAAAAACACAGGGCTTGCGCCGGACACTACTGTCCGGGACGTGACTGCCTGCTGACTGTCGGTCGTGAATGGGAAGATGCACTGATCCAGGGAGACTGCAGCGCCGCACGAAAGCCACCCAGGTTCTGAGAGATACTAATGGCCTGGATCTCTGTCCCTGGGAACCCACGCAGAACGTCGCCTATTTGTGCGGAAACGTCCACGGCATGAAGCTGTCCGAGGAAATCCTCCAGTCTCGCAAAGACAAGCTCAAGAGCGCCGCGATCCATTCCGAAGCTGCGGATCTCGCCCATCCGTCCAAGACCGGCGCCGAGCACGGCGAACTGCTGCCCAGCACCGCCGGGCTGGCGGACGAGACGCTCCTGTTCCTGCCGGCCTTTGACAACGTTGCGGCGCTGTCGTCGGGTGTGCCCATGCGCCTGCTTCTGCGTGCCCATCTGCACCGAGCCCTGATCACGGGCGACCGTGTGGCGATTGCCGGCAACTTCCTGCTCAACTCGCGCGTGTTTGTCCTCGAGGTCCTCGTGAATGACTCGGGCGAGGAGCTCAACCACGAGTACCTGCACTACATCCGCCCAATGCTGCCGCGTTCCCAGAGCGTCAAGATCGACGGTGCGAACAAGCTGATCGATATTCAAGGGTCCTCGACGCCGCTGCTGACCTACCGCCGCGACTGTCAGGTCAACAATCCGGGCTATCTGAGCGAGATCATCCCCGAGTGGGCGATCGAGCGCATCGACGAGTACTACCAAGCGCATCCCGAGCTGATCTTTTGGTACGACTTCAAAGACATCTCGGGGACATACGCCAGCCGAATGCAGGACCTGATCAACAACGGCGTCACGGAGGCCCGAGCGACCCTGGAGCGCCACGGCGTCCACCCAGAGGACAGGCCGCTCTCGCCCGACCCCGGCAGTGGCAGACTGTCGCCGCATGCCGACACGCCGGTCGAATCGTCGCACGGCCACGGCACAGCCTCGCGGAGCGGACGGGACGTTGAGATCGAGACTGCCGCGGTCCAGTACGACATCTTTGCATCGATGAAGACCTTTGTGGGCCTGTGTCTGTCGCAGGGATACCTGACGCGCTCGCAAATCTACGACTTTGGCAACCTGTTTATCGACCCGCTCTCGAACGAGGGCTTCAAGACCAAGTATGCCGCACTGTTGGCCAAATGCAGCGACTCGGAGCGCGAGAATCTGCTGCGGGTGCGAACCAAGTTTATCGAGCGGCGATGGGTTTATGCCGACACCATGAAGCGCATTGCCGATGCGCCGTACGTGCTCAACCTGCCGATCACATTTGCATGCACGCTCTGCGTCGACCAAGAGGACCTGTCGCTGATCGAGACTCTGAAAGCATCCCTCAACAACAGCACCGACACCACGTTCCAGTTCCTCGACCATCTCTCGGTTGGTCCGATCCGCGTCTTTGAGCTCGGGCGACTGAGCGTGGCCGACATTCTGCAGGTGCGGTCGACCCGCCAGGCCAAAGAGTTCCGCCGGCATCTGGGCGGCCTGCGGCGCGGAACACAGATGGACTATACAACCCTGCACGAGGCCGCCAGAGGGCTCTACGAGTCCATTCAATCCAAGATCGAGCGCGTCGACGCTCGTCCGCTCTTCAGCCTCGACTGGGTCAACTTTGAGAAAAAGTTGGAGCCGGACCTGAGCCTTGTCCGCAAGATTGTCTTTGTCATCAACCAGTCGGTTCCGGTCCTGCCGCTCTACGACATCCCCAACCTGGACTTTCCCTCGCTCATCCCGATGATGCGCATCGACAACCCAATGCTCTCGGTGGCCGGAGTGGCGCAGCCAGTCGAGTGCGTTGAGCAACAGGTCCTGTTCGACAACCAAGGCAGCGGCGGTGTGGCGCTCCGTCTTGATCGGATCCGCAACATCCACGAACACAACGACGAGTTCGTCGTGCCGGTCGTGGCGCACGCTCCCGAGCGAGTGCAGGCCGTCATCGTCGCCGTCCGAGGCGACGGGCTGATTGGGCTTGTTCGCAAGTACCATTATGCCGTCCAGGGCTGGTCGCTCGAGTGCCCGCGCGGCGAGATCGATGTCTCGGGTGACGTCGAGACACAGATCTCCCAAGAGCTTGCTCGCAGCGCCTCGCTCGGTGCTGAGCGCCAACAACTCGTACGCCTGTCCAAGGAGAGCGCCGATTTGTGGACCAACAACCAGGTGTCGGACGCCAAGACGCTGTTCTACGCTGCCCTCGACGTGTGCGCGATCGAGCGTCCCGAAACAGACGACCAGGCTGGAGCAGCGACGGCCACTGCGGCCACCGCGGCCGCAAAGCAGGACAACGGCGTCCTCTGGCTGCCCTACGGAGAAATCGGGTATCTGATCCGAGAGGGCGAGATCCGTGACCAGGCCACGGTGGCGGCGCTCACGATGGCTTCGTTGGACACCGAGGTGCTGGCTCGTATTTCCGACCCTTGAACAGACCGCGCTTGGACAAGACCGCCCTTGGTTCTCCTCCTCCTTTCCGTCGCTCGATACAATGGCGAGCGACAAACCATGATCGAATCACGAATACACTCTCGTGCAACGAGCCATATTTCTGGATAACACTGTATGAGGTGCTCTAACTTTATTCGATCGTTGTTTGTGCTTTCTTGTGCACTCTTGTTTCTTCTCCTTTGCCTCGCATGTAAAGCCAACAGGGCTACTACGTGCAAGGCGAGGGGCTCAGCCACGGGTAGATGCAGTAAAGCAGGGGGGAGACACGGAATCAGGGATCCAGCGGCGGCGAGCACAAAGGGGCGAAGGAGGAGGAGGGAAAGGTGCAGGGCATAGCAGCAAAAACACCATAGGCAACAGATCGGATCTATTCGCTGAACATGATGGAGTGGCATGGATGTAATCGTGGGAGGTTGAGGAGAGGGGTACGGGAGGATAGAGTCTAAGAACAGAGCAGTGCAGGCAAGGACAGGGAGAAATCAAAAAAGAGGGAGGTTGGGGAAAGAAAAGAAAGAAATAGAACAGGAAATGACAAAGGAATGAGTGGAGAATGGGAAGGGGAGAAGGAAACGGAATATGGCCGTTTGATGGCTCGTTGGATCGAATCGTCCAAGAACACCCAGCAAAAATATCGTCGTCGCGCCAGAATAACAAACCCACAGACACCCACAACACAAAGCCAGAAGGAGAGAGAGGAGGAAACCAGCACGGATTACCATGACCAGATAGATCAGCGAAGTCGGGTTGGGGGAGTACCAGTCAGGCACTCCCCCGGGTTTCTTGGGGCGCCAGCGATGCTGGAGGCGATGGGCTCTCAGTCGTCAGCGGCAGCAATCTCGGTAGCCGGGATGCTTTCGGTCTCGGCGACGGTGGCGCTCATCGGCTCGACCGCAGATTCCTCGGCATCGTCCGTGGGAGTGGCGACGGCGCTGTCGGCGGGCTGCTCGGTCTCGCTGCCGAGGGCCTGCTCCTTGGACTTGCTCGACTTTTCCTTCTTGGGGCTCTTGTCCTTCTTGGACGACTTTGACTTTTTGTCCTTCTTGTCCTTGCTCTTCTTGCTCTTGGACTTGGCCTCCTTCTCGAGCGACGAGCTGTCGTCCTGGTTGTCGTGGGACGACGACTTCTTCTTCTTGGACTTTTTCGAGCTCGGCTCGCCGTCGCCCTTGCTCGACTTGCTGCTCTTGGTCTGGACAGGAGCCACTGCGGAGACGTCGCCCGCGGGCAACAGACCCTTCTGGATCGGCGGGATCGGCGGGACCATGATGCCCTGGGCCAGCATGGCCTGGGCGTGCTCGTAGTATGTGGCAAAGTACTGAGCCATCTGGTTGGCGTCGATGGGCGCGCCGTTGGGATGCATGGCAGGGACGGCGGGCATGCCGGGGTACAGCGGGGTGGGTTTGCCCGGGCGGACATGGGGCGCAGGCGAGGCACTGCGACTCACTGGAGCCGAGACCGAGACTGAGGCCGAGACCTTGGGGAGCGGCGAATTGGGGCGGGAGTGTGTCGGGGAGCTGGGCTGCGACGGACCCGAGTGGTCGGCCTGGTGGATACGCTGCTGCTGCGACTTGGCCAGTTTGTAGATCAGCGGGACGTCAATGTCCTCGTCCTCGTCGGTGTCGGTGCCCAGAGGGCTCTGCTTCATGACAAGGTCGTTCGAGACGGACTCTTCGCTCTGCGAGCCGTCGTCCGAGTCGCCATCGCTGTCCTGGGAGCTGGCGGGGCGGCTGATGGAGATCATGCGCGGAGGATGCTGCCGCGACAAGGACGACGAGCTCTGGGCGCGATGCAGGCTCAGGTGTTCAGGCGAGAACGACCGGGGGCTCGACTTGGCTCGGGTCTGGGACTGGGACTGGGACTTGACCCACTCGTCGATGCTGCGGGCCTTGCTGTCGGGCAGCGACCGGCTGGGACGCTCCCGCGAATCCTCTCGGCGCACTCGATCGAGGGTATGGCTGGGGCGGCCAGAGTCGCCATGGCGAGATCGAGACGGGTCGGCTGAGCTCTGGCTTTGGCTGCGACCATGAAGGGGGTTGGCGCGGACGATGCGACGGAGGTCATCCGAGTCGGACTCGTCACTCTCCGACCTGTGCGGGCCGTGGCGGGAGACCTGCTTCTCGGCCTCGAGACGGGCCCGACGGTTGAACTGGGCCGGGACCTGGGACGCCGGCTTGGGCGAAGCAGCGGCGGCATAGGCTGGCTTGGGCGAGGCTGGAGGAGACCGGACCTGAGAAGAAGCAGCGGCAGCTGGGCCGGCGCGCTTGGGCAGCGTGTTGTGTGAGGGCTGCCGAGAGATGGAGTCGCTGCCACCGGGTCGATGGCGTCCCATGGAATCGGACTGGGCGAGGGCCAGCGATTCAGCGGGAGCACCCCTTCGCAGGGTGTCTGAGGGAGCGCCTGGGGTGCTGGAGCCCGATCTTTGCGGGGCATAGTTGCGTCCGGCAGACGAGGAGCCATCCCGCTTGAGGGAGGCGCTGCGGGTAGGAGCTTGGTGAGAAGGATCGGTCCGGTCGCTGGAGAACGAGTCGACGGCAGGCTTTGCGGCGGAGCTGGGCTTGGAGTTGCTGGAGCTGAGGAAGCGGGCGATTTGCTGGGGCGAGATGAAGTCGGGGTTGTCGTGGAGCTGGCTGAGCGAGGAGTCGGCGACGGGGGCTGTGATGTCGGGCGATGCAGGGTTGCGATTGGAGCATGGAAAGAAATGGACACATGAACGTCAGTCACGGGCACTGGACTTGAATGCCGGGAGGGTTCGATAGATATTTGCGTCGATTGAGACGCTCAACCAGACCGGACTGCACAAGACAGAAGCCAGTATTACCTCGATCTGCAGATTTCGACACGGGCTGGGCGGTAGGAACGGGAGCAGGGGCGACGATCATGCTGTCAAAGCTCGACAGGATGTCGTCCATCAGCGACAGGCCCGTATCCGCTCCGGCAGGGTTTGAGGAACTGCCGTGGCTGGTCAGGTCGAGGGGCAGCGGCAGCTGTGCCAGCGAAGGAGACGTGGGCGAAGTGGGCGTATCGGGCCGGCGGAAGGCCAGGGCAGGAGAGCCATGCAGGGAGGGCTTGCCCTCTCGGGGCGGGGCGTCGGAGATCTCGAGCTCCTTGGCCTTGTCCTTCTTCTTGAACAGTCCAAAGCCCATAGCGGTGACGACTGAGGCGAGATGGAGACGAGCTGGAGGCAGACAGGGAAGCGGGAGGGGAGTGGTTGGTTAAGAAGCAGAGAGCCGACGAGGAAGAGAAAGGGCAGCTGGAGAGACCGCAACAAACCTGGTAAAAAAGCGAGCAGAGGCGATGGGTACTGGCGGACGAGGGAAGCAGACGAACGGGAAAGAGACGGGGCTCGGGCGGACAGCGGTGGTGGTGGTGGAGGGGCGCCGAAGCAAGTGCTATGAGATGAGGCGAAGGAAGAAAACGGCAGCAGAGCAGACGACCGAAGAGCAGATTCTCATGGGGCGGCGTGGCCCCGCGGCGGCGGACAAAGGGGCGATCGCGCAAAGCGGCCGCGGTGCGAAAAGGGCGGCCGGGTGTATCCGCGCGACGAAGGTTGTGTTATCGCAGGTGAAGGAGATGTAATTGGGGTCTGCAGATGGTGAGAAAGAGCGCTGAACAGACGCAGATGATGAGAAAGGGCGCTGAAACAGACGCAGGTGGTGTTAACAGATCTGTTATGGACATATGCGGTAACATGTCCATAACATGTCCATATGTTAACAGACATGTTAAAACACAGCAGACACAGTCGACAGCATCAATCGACACACTGTCAACAGCTTGCTTTCTGCTCCTCCTTCGCCAACAAGCCCGTCGCCGACTCGAAACTCGGTGTCGCCTGCGGTCGCGCACAAGACCCGAATCCGTCGCCCTGTCGCTGCCGCGCAAACAGACCGTCGCGCTTGTTGCGCGGCTTGTTGGGTGGGGGTTCTGCGCGTCGCGGTCCTGCGTTTGCTGCTGCCCGTTGCCGGCCTTGTTGCGCGGCGGGGGCATGGCCCGTTGGATTGCTGCCAGCGACCAATCCGGCAGGCGACAGCATCTGCCAGACGAGACTCATCCGGCCAATGCACCACGAGGAGGCACTTGGCATCGGCACCCCCGGATGCAGGGGCAGCCCGGACCAGGGGGTTGACTCCAGCAGACAGACGGACAGATCGATGGGGGAATGCACAGCCGGCCCGAACACGTCCGCAACGAGCAAGAGCCTGGCTTGATGTTCGAGCGGGTTGTATTTGGCGGTTGTATTTGGTGGTTGTATTTGCAGCGCCTGCTCGATATTACACCGTACACATAGCAAATGGGACACCTGCCCACAACCCATTTGCCAGCGTAGTATGCGATGGCATGCGTCTAACTATGCCATAAGAGATATAACAGATCACTTTGGCAGCCTCCGAGTGAAGACCACCCTCCGAGTGAAGACCACCGGTCGCAGTGCAGCGATGTGGAAATCGAGGGTGCTGTGTTTGGCCATGAGTGCGATGAGTGGGTGGGTGTATTCAGGTCACAGAAAAAACCCTGTCATGGCTCAAAACGGGTGTCCCATTTCATTTTGGATATGCTGTATCTCCCGTGCGGCTCGAGTTTGTCGATTCAGCGCTTGAGCGGAGACGCATCTGCAGCAGCAATGTGGTGGTCGATGAAATGGTACCACAGCCACACCACCGGGATCGTCGAGGCATGCCACAGCGAATGCGCATCCAGCACTCCCAGGATCGGCGCAAAGTCAAAGATCTCCAGGGTCATGGCGCCTGTGATGATGCACACCATCAGCACGACATGCCGTGCATACGACGCTCGCCGGGTCCAGTTGAGGATGCCCCAGAGCAGCAGAATCACATTGTTGGCGACGCCGACGACCACCCCGACGATGGTGTTGAAGCGATAGTCGAACGGCGTCCGCAGGGTGAGATAGGTGATGTGGCCCAGGTAACCCGCAGCAAGCACCGACACGATCCATCTTTGCACGATGCGCGAGCGGATGTTGAAGCACAGGATCGCCGTCAGCGCCAGGTTGCAAAAGAACGATGCCATCGCAGAGTAGTAGTCGAGCTTCTCGGTGATCGGAAAGTCGCGCGAGTGGAATATGCTCGACCACACCCACAGGTTGATGCCCAGGAACGAGTTCAGCAGCACCAGCGACCGCAGCGGGTAGTAGCTTGGCACCAGCCGCCGCAGCCTCCGGAATCCGACCAGGTGTCCGTGCAGGTTCAGCAGCGAGAACAACACCGACGCAGGCTCTTGCAGGCCCATGAGCCGATAGAACGGCCACTTGCCATAGTATTGGTGCGGCGAGATGCCCAGCGCGGCCAGCTCGTCCGTGCGTTGGTGCATGCATTCGTACTTGCAGTTGTCGGCGCAGCTCCAGAGCGTCAGTCGCAGGACGGCGTTTGTCGAGAGCGCCTGGGGGCGGCCCTGGCATGCGTTGCTCTGGCAGCGGGCAAGGCAGCTCCCGAACAGCGGATCTCGGTCTCCGGACGAGGCCGAGACCAGCGGGACGACGGCCGCCGCAGCCAGCAGGGCGAGGGCGAGAATCGCAGCTGTCTGCACGGGGCAGGATCGTTCAGGACGGCGAGCGGATGTCATCAGAGGAGCGATGCGATGGGGTCTGGACTTGACAAAGTCAGGAGATGTTGAATTGATTCAACTTTGGATTGCGATCGACTCGGGATTGGCCTGGTTGGAATGCACTGTTCACACGACACATGATGCGATACACACTCCATCATCAACGCACATCTATCCATGACCCACCGCACACATGCATGGTTCACCATCCACCGCACACATGCGTGATGCACCATGCACGGCATCCAGCAGCCCTCGATAGCCCCCAACAGCCCTCCACAGCACCTTCGCCCACCATCTCCAAACGTTCCGCGGGCTTCTTTCGCAGTGCCGGCCCGCGTGCCATATATAGACGTGTGCAACGCACCGTCGCACAGCACTGCGCCCAATCCGCGGCCGCCAAGGTGGCATCGACATTTCCCATAAGTTGGCCGTTGCGCCCGATCGGCTTTCGCTTCGTCTCCTCCTGCTGCACCGGCCCTCCTTCCGTCGATCTCGCTCGATCCTCCTCCATCGCCCGAGCAACCAGCACATCGCCACAGCCATGGACCAAGAAAAGATTATGCAATTCGTCTCCGGACCGGTCCGTTTGCGTGCTGGTGGCGTCTGCAGCCCCCCTCCCTGGCGGCTCTGTCTGGCGCCGGTCCTGCGAATCCCACCCTGCATTCGACCTGCCTTGAAATGCCCTAACCACGATCTACACCGTCCTGTCGTGCCCACGCTCTGAAAAAAACAGATCGGAAACCTCGTCCTGGTCTTCGGCCTCATGAAGCTGGTAAGCAGCAGCAACGCCGTATATCGACCGCCTGCCAGATCGCGGATGTGTCGAGGGCAGCGCGATGCTGGCAGAGCTTTTTTGCCTGTGGATACCCCCTCAGAACGGCCCATCTTGCGCTGCTCCTGTGGCTCTCGAGGACGTGGTCGATGCACTACTGTTTTGAAGGTGCCATCCTACCATCCGGTGCGACAATAGATTCTGACTGGCGTCTACTTCTCCCTCCACAGGGTGACCTCTACAAGCTCGATGCTCCTGAGAATGCCCTGTGAGTGGCCGATTCGATTCTGTCTGCAAGCAGCAAGGGCACCATGTTACCACACCCTTTGCTGACCGATCCCGATTTGCTGCAGGTACATCCGATTAGGCTACGGTCTCTGCCAGGTCGTCATCCTGGCCGCCCTGGCCATCACCTGGCAGCGAATCAACCAGAAGAAAGGTAAGAGGGTCCAACCGCACGATCCTGCGGACGAATCGCCACCAACGAGCTCGCTCGGAAAGCGGATGGCCTTGGACGGTGTCGTGCTGGCTTGATGGCGTGTGCTCGCGACGGAGATGCGACCCGCTGACTGCGTCCGAATTGCTTCTCACCACCTGTCCTGTCCTTCCGTTGTGCTCGCAGACCAGACCGCCCTCGTCTACGTCAAGCAGAACAACCCTCTTGATGCCAAGTGTGTATCATCGAGCTGCTCCTCGCGTCCGCTCAACTGGACGACTGCATGACCGGATCCGCACTTGCCTCTCGCTTGCTGCTCTCCGCGCCTCTGGCCCAGCGTCGTTTGCCCAACCCGGCTTGCTCATTGTCACCCACTGATAACTCCGCAGGGACGTCGAGACCATCAAGACCACTGTCTATGAATACGACAAGGAGCAGGCCCTGGCTTTCTTCAAGCAGACCGCCATGTCGGTCGCCATCGTCGTCGCCATGCACTACTACTGGGGCTACCTCCGCCCGCTGTTCCTCCAGAGCATTCTCGGCTACAAGCCCATCTTCACCACCCAGATCTTCCGCATCCATCTCCTGGGCCAGCCCGCCACTGGCGATCTCGTCCGACCCTGGAAGCAGGCCAACCCCTTTGGGTAAGCACCGTTCGACAGATCCTGCTCTCCCTTCAACATCTGTTGATTCCCTGCGGTCGCCGCTGCTGCTGTCGTGCATATCGCAGCTTGCTCACACAAGTGTATCGCATCTTCTCCCGGCAGCCTGGACGCTCCCACCAACGACACCAGCGCCAAGGAGCTCAAGCAGCGAGAGAAGAAGGAGGCCAAGAAGAAGATCAACCGCATCGATTAAGCTCGGTGCCGGTGCCGCGATGGTTCTGTTGCTCATGTCTGGCTAGTCGAGATCCCCTCCTGCCCATGTTCCCCATGATTTCTTTTCTATTGAATCTGTGAATTGCCACTCTCCACATCGCCCCTCCGAGCGATACTGAGCGAACCGGGCGTGTGTGTGAATCTGGAGCAGGATACGGGCAGAGCGATTGAGCAAGCGTTCGGGGGGAGATGCAGACGCTGGTTTGGTGCTTTGTATGAGAGGGATGGAGAGATGAACGGGAGTGGGCTATACTGCTATTCGGTGCTGCCCAATCTGAAAGAAAAAAAAAAAAAAAACAGCCGGTGAATTGGTCCCGGGTTCTCAAAATCGGTTGCTGTTGTCTCCACATGAGCATGAATGACGGCGATGAAGCTCAGGCCGCACAGTGTCTTGATCTGCAGGCTGCCCGGAGAGTTCAGAGGGGGAGTTCAGAGCATCGTCGCCGTCGCTGCGATGCACCAACTTTACTTATCGATCGCACCAGAGGAGAATGCTCCGTGCAGCCAGCAAATGTTCCACTTGCACCCACAATCAAATCTTGGAGCGCAGCGCAACACAGGACCCGCCTCTCCAGATCGCAAACCCCGCCCGGACCACCACTTGGGTGCCCTGATCTCTTGCCTCGCATCTTGCCTCGCATCTTGCCTCGCATCTTGCCTCGCATCTCTGCATGCAACTCCCTCCCCCCATCGACAGCCATGGACATCCAAGCAAGCACGAACCAGCACAGTCCCGCTGCGGTGATCCCGCCCAGCCCGAGATGGCTGCCGCCTGGTCCTGGCAGCGCTCCATTGCCGTCGTCGTCGTCGTCGCCATCGTCGATGGCACCGCTGCCCCCACGCAAACTCGATGTCCAACTCGAGGACGACATCCACAGCTTCATCCGAACCTGTCCGCGGCTCTGTGCCAGAGCAAAGGAAATCGGCTCGATCGCCTTTGAGAACGCCATTCCGCCTGCCCTGGACTACCACCGTCGTCCCCGAACTAGAAGCAGCAGCAGCATCAGCGGTGGTGGTGCTCTTGGTGGCATTGGCGGAAACAGCTCCACCAACGGCAGCCACAACATCAACAGCGCCAACACCGGCTGGATGAAATCAGAGTCGAGCAACTCACTCCTGTCAAGCCACCCGGACCGATACGACTCCCGGAACATCTTTGGCCTCGATCAGTGGCAGAGCGATCTGGGAATCGAGGAAACACATGGCTTGCTACTTGACATGTAAGATGCTTGGCCGCTGGATAGATGCCGGGTGCTTTTTTGTGCACGCTCGATCGTCGCCTCGCGCTTGGGTCATGTTCGATCGTCGTTTAGGAGGAGAGGGCAGCCTTGGAACTGAAGGCTCAGCATTTGAGGCCGCTGCTGCCGTTCAACCTGCTCGTTTGCATTGGCTGGGTCCGTCGCTTGCACGTCCACGGCTCTGTCCGGTCCTTTTTTTTTTCCGCCGATGCAAGCTGCGAATCTGAACGACTGCAACTCCTCTCCCCGATTCCCAATATCCAATGCAGCTGCAGCCAAAAGTACAGCGAAGACTATCACTCGCTAAGACGCCGACAGAACGCCGACTGGGCTTGCCAAGTGTGAGTGTTTGCGATGCCACCCGAGACCGGGTTCGATTTGATGGCACGGACGATGAATCCATACTCGGATGCGCTGTCGTTGTCTATGTGGAACATTGGATACCCGACTAACGGCTTCATGCATCGCTCTCCCGCACCGCCACACAACGATGCGAACCAGCGTGGACGAAGGCCGGCAACTCCTGAGCACCGACTGGAAGCAGGCTCTTTCAAAGTTCGAGCACGCACTCGAGATTGACCAGGACTGTGTCGAGGCGCTTGTGGCCCGCGGCATCGAGTGAGTGGCTGCTTTCGATCTGCACACTAGCATCGACATTTGATTGTGGTCTCAAATGCCAACTGGCTAGCCGCATGTTGCGTCAGAGCAAACTGTGCGGTCGTATCGCAGCCGCCAACACTACATCACCAACGCTTCTTTTGCTTATGCCGGCTGGAATCCCAACGACCCGATCGGGTCATCGCACCGGACACGATCTGCGCATTCTATACGCATTCTATGCTCATTCTATGCTCGTTCCATCTCGCCCCGTGCTCGCTCCGCCCCGTTCGAAACAATCAATCAGGCTCGTCAAACAACGCCAGCTCGACTCGGCCGCCCAGGACTTCAAGGCGGCCCTGCGGATCGACAAGCAGCATCCTCAGGCGCGACTGGAATACGACAGAGTCAAGAATATGCTCCGCGAGATTGAGTTGGAGCAGGATGCCGCTGCAAAGGGCGAGTTTCTGATGGTGCGTTCCGACGGCGCCGCTGCATCTTGTCTTGCTGTTGGATTGGCCGTGGCATGTACTTCCTCGCTGCATGCTGGCGATAACAATGTCTCCCTCTCTCACTGCATGCTGCCGGTGTCCCATCCAAGTCTGCGTCCTTTGCGCCGGGGCCCAAATCCAACAACCCAAACCCCTCCCTGACGACACTCATACCCCCAAACGCCGACACCAAATCCCGGCTCTCGCGGAACTCGATGCCCGCTCCAGACTCGCCCGAGGAGCGGCCGTCCCGATCCAAGAAGGAAAAGAAACACTCGTCCGACAAGAAGAAGAAAAAGGACAAGGACAAGGACAAGGACAAGGACAAGAGCAGGCGCAAGAAGAAGAAGAGCTACAGCTCCGAGAGCAGCGACAGCTACGGCTCCGATGGCTCGTCCGTCCACCGGGACAAGTCGAGCCACCGATCGCACAAGAAGCGACGGAATAAATCGCTTGAGCGCTGAGAACCGATGACAGCAATTCGGCACTGAATGGCTCTTGCGTCTCACGAATCCCTTCGGCTGCCATCTGGGAGCCAGGGTGCGCAGTGTGTCGAGGTCTGGCGAGGGTGAGGGATGAATCATGACGACATGCGAGATGCAGCCCATCCAAGACACCCGCTGCCGGTCTGGAGATGATCTTTGCGGTGTCGGCTGTCGTTCCAGCCAGGAACCACTGTGTGGGAAACGCTGGCTGCGCCCCGCCACTCGAACCGCCCTGCTTGCGGGATATCACCGACGTCCAGACAGCACAAGGCGCCTTTCACCTACATCGCCCACATCACTCACATCGCCCACATCGCCTGCACACTCCCCCCGCCATGGCCGACAGCAAGCCCAACGTCGATATCGACACGTACCTGCGGCTCGAAAACAACAGCTTCAACCAGGATGTCGAGGCGGACCGCATCCTGACGCTGTATGAGTCGACCAAGAACCCTCTGGAGCTGCTGGAGCTGACGTCGTCGGTCTTCACAACTCTGGCGATCGACCTGAAGGAGGTCAAGATCGCCTACCGCAAGAAATCGCTGCTGCTCCACCCGGACAAGTGCAAGCACCCGCGGGCGCAGGAGGCCTTTGACATCCTCAAGACCGCCGAGAACGCACTCACGGATGACGCCAAGCGGGCCGTGATCGAGGGCTTCCTGCGAGACGCCCGGGACCTGGTCTACAAATCCCGGAGCATCAAGTCGACGGACGAGCAGGCGCACTCGCTCGAGGTGGCCGTGGCCGTGAAGCTCCAGTACCGCAAGATCATCAAAGAACTGGAGACCCGCGACCAGATCCGCAACAAGAACGAGATCGAGCGCAAGATCCAGCAGGAGCAGACCAAGATCGAGGAGCGCAAGCGCAAGATCGAGCACGACAAGCTGTGGGAGGAGACCAGGGAGGAGCGGGTCGGCAACTGGCGCAAGTTCATGAAGCAGGGGCCCAAGAAGAGAAAGAGCAAAAAGTCTGAGGACGGCATGTAGCCCTCCGCCCCTTCCTTCTGCAGAAACGACTTTTCCACTCTGCGCTGCCCTTGATGGCATCGATACCGTCGCTGGCCTGCTTCTCCCGCTCGTCTTGCCTGGTTGTCTGCATGGCTATCCGCTTGGTTGTCTGCCTGGTGTCTGCTTCGCTGGCCTGGCTTTGGTTGTCAGCATGGTTGTCTGCTTGGTTGTCTGCTTGGTTGTCGCCGACCGGCTCCCGACCCGGACATCCTGAATACCGTCCTCTGCGGTAGAGCACGATGCTCGCACCCGAGAATACGACTCCATGAGGCATAAGCACTCACCCCGAATGCCCTGCATCTCGCAAATCGGTCCTCGCGGCCTTTGCCAGAACCGGCATTTCCTTCCTGGTCACGGCGGCGGCACAAACGCGCTCCTGGCTGTCCACCAGGCCATGGGCGTGCTGCGTCGACCAACGGACAACCCGGCCATCTCCCCGACTCGTCGCCCATCGCCTTTCTCCTGTCGTCCACTCGCCAGCTCCTCATACCACCGACTTCCCCCCCCCCAGCCCGAAAGAATGTCCTCGCTGCTCTCCTGGTTCTGGGGCAAGCCCAAAGTCTGCTACAACATCGTAGGCATCGCGAGAGCATCGAGCGTCGTTGTCCAAGAAACCAGACCGTCGCAGCCAGGATGCATCGAGCAAACAGCAGCGATGCCGGCTGCCGCGGCAGAGCAGGGGCATCCATCCGTCGAGCAGATCCACTGACAACTCTCGCTGGCAACAGGAGGCCTTCATCAACTGCTCGCGACTGCACGAGGCCCTCAGTGCTGCCTCGGATGTCCAGCAGTCGGCCAACGGCACCAACACCACATTCGAGGCAGACGTTCGCACCCATCCCCATCTGTGGGAGCGGCGTCTGCTTGAGCTTGAGCAGGTTTGTGTCTCCTGGATGCCGCACTGGCACTCTCTGGATGAATCAGCACGCGAAGGAGAATCACCAGGGGACTCAGACCACAGCTGCGACCTCTGGTCACATCGCCTCGCTGTCTCCCTGTCTGGCTCGGATCTGTCTCGCTGCGCTGACCGAATCTCGACCCTGGCCGGCGCTTTGGTGTTCATCAGAGTCTCAAGGCCTCGCCCGAGTTTGGCGGAGCCGTGATCTACAGCGGCTGCCATCCCGGCGAATACAAGCTCGTTGGTGGCGTCTCCGAGTTCCTGCAGCTTGTTCAAAAGCTGTACCGAGTGTCGCCCAGGGCCTGAAACCACCGTCTGGATGCCGCCGTTGAAGATTTTGGACAGCAGCCCGGCTGCCAGGACCCTTGGCGCTGGTAAGATCGCGGAAGTCATCTCCGTGAAGCGACTCACCGGATTTGCCGGATGAACCACATCAAACGACTCACTTTTATGGACTGCTCTCCCCTCCCCATCCGGCCAGCCCCCTCGATGCAAAAACCTATTTATTACTTCCTTTGGCTTGTGGATTCCTCGCCCGCCTCTGCGATTCCCTGGAGCGGTCGTGCGCCATCCCGTTTCGGCCAGTTTTTGTGGCTTGTCGATGACTGTGACCTCTTTGAACCTCGATTGTATCTTGTTCTCTGGATGTGTGCCTGCATCTCGCAGGGACACATCTCTCGCACTGCGAACCTCATGTTGACGCCCTCCGGAGCCGCTGGCACCGGACTGGCACTTGTACAATACAAACTGCTTTCTCCGACGAGTGGGTGCACGGATTCTGTATTGCCAATTGGAGCGACTGAGACTGCGCTATCGAAGGGATCGACCAGTGCAAAAAGTGTTCTCACGCTTGCTGACATGCACCGTGGATGTTCGATCGTTTCACTTGCTGACGCCCATCTCGGCGGCCTTCCGGTACCATTCGGCAGCCTGGCTTGGGTCTTCAGGTACTCCGTTTCCATTTTCATAATGATAACCTAGTTGGTTGTAAGCCCAGGGATAGCCTTGGTTTGCTGCTTGGTGATAGAGAGTAAGTGCTGCTGGATAGCTTTGGGGCATTATGTTGCTGCCTAATGGGCCCCTCACCCTGTTCGCGTTGCACTGACCAAGCCAAAACTGGGCATGGACATAACCCTGCTTTGCGAGGTCTTGAAAGTTGTTCTTTGTTGTGAAAGTACTGGTTTCAAATATGAATCCAGTCCATTGACATAGACTTTGAAGAAACGTACACAAAATATCTGATTGTGAACCGATCGCACAGTAGGTATAGAATGCTGAGCGAGTACGCGTTGGGCTGAGACTTGGATTGGCTGGATCAGTGACGAGCGATTCCAAAGCGATATACCACGGCGAACAGACACCAGCAGCCTTGAGGAGTTCGATTGACTTCCATCGATCTGCCTTTGTGCCCCTCCCATCGTAATGAAGCATGGCCAACATGAAAGTCGAGACTCTCGTGAGGTAGACATCATTGGATTTGTTTCGAACATCTTGCCAGTATAGCAGTGCGTATCGATCATTCTTCTCGACGCCGAGGCCGATGAAATGCATCCATCCGAGGTGATAGAGTGCTTCTAGAAAGCCAGTTTCGGCCAGGCGGAAGTACAGCGGCGTCACCACCTTCCAGCATGAAGAGTTGAGCGACGCGTTGGAGGACGTGGAGTGGGCCGCTGCCAACCAGAGCTTGGAAAGATTGGTTTGGTCACCCCAGCCGACCCAAAGAGTTGCTCCATCCAAGTGCCGCGTGACTGGCTCGTTTCGAGTGAGGAGGCTTGTGTAGAGCGCCTCGCTGATGATAGGTGTGTTCGATGTGCCAAATCCAGTTGCGCTGCAGATATCGACGAGGTACTTGCACAGTGGATCCACAGGCGCTCCCATTTGGCAGAGTTGATAAAATTTGGTAGTCTCGGTTGTGCGAGATACTTCTCCGACAGTGAATTCCTTGGTTTTGCATTGGCTGATAAGCTCCATACCCTTGGCGGGATCTCGGCGGATGCCTCTGCCAAGCATGTGGAACCACCCGAGCATGTAAGTGGCGACGGGGAGGAAGTATGGGTCCTTGGATTTGGTGCGAACCTCGTTCCAATGCACAAACACATTGCGATCGCTCTTGTCGACACCGAGGTCCATCAGATAGATGATTCCGAGATGAAATCGAGCATCGTCGCTATCTGACAAGGCCAAAGTATGGAAAATTTGCAAGATGACCTTCCAGTCGGAGTGTTTGCGGTCGAGATTGTTGTTGAAGAGTATATGGGCAATCTCCAGCATTGCCTTGGGGTCATTTGCCTTGGCATCCCGGATCATTGACGGCAGCATTTCGCTTTGGATTGAATCGTACTCGATGGCATTCTCGTCATACTCGACGATGGATTCGTCGTCAGTCCAGTCCTCCTCGGTGAGTTGCTGTGGAAGGGCTTGAACTTGGGGATTCAAGTTCACCACACGAATTGCACTGGCAAGACCTTCATCCACGTTGAGCAGTTGAGTTGAGATGACGGCGGGCTCTGGTCGGAAGTCTCGGTATGGCTCCAAGGCAGCAAGAATGGCTTTGAAGTTTGGCCTTTCTTGCGGCTCTTGGTGCCAGCATTGCTCAATGAGCGTCCAGATGTCGTCGGGGATGCCGTCAATTCGATTCGGTCGATTTCCTTTGCACACCTGAGACTCGATGACTCGATCCCGCATGGGCTGGCCATCCTTGGTCACCCAGATGTCTCTGCAGTTGTTGAGTACCTCATACATGGTAATACCAAAGGCATATACATCCGTCTCCTTGGAAGATCCGGCGGGGTTCTCATCGTCCAGCATCTCCGGAGCCATGTAGTGGAGAGTTCCCCCCGGCAACTTGATCCCGTCTTCTCGCAGTACCCGTGGCGGATGTGTGTTTGGTACGAGACATGCCAAAGTCTGAAACGACAGCGCGGAAGGAGTCGTCCATCAAGATATTCTTGGACTTGAGATCGCCATGGACAACCCTGCTGCCGTGGAGGTAGGCCATACCCGAGGCAACCTGGTACATCAACTTCAGCTTCTCCTCGAGCGAGCGACGCTGACCCGAGACAAATTTAGCGAGGGTATCATTCTTCATGAACGGAGAGATCATGAATGGCATCTCGGTTGTGTCGTAGGCGCCGAGCAGCGGAAGGATGTGCGGGTGGTTCAATCGGTGCCAGATTCCGATTTCATGACGAAACCGTTTGATCTCACGCTCGTCGTAGGTGGACATGAGCTGCTTGACGGCCACATCGGTACCAAAGTATGATGCGGTGAACACCTCGCCAAACCCACCACGGGCGATGGGATTTGAGGAGCGGTCGACGACATCATTGGGAGAAATGCGCCAGGGTTCACTTGTCACCGAGGACGCAATGGGCGACTGCCGCTGGAGGAACTGAAGAAGCGGAGTAATGGCATTCTCGACGAGGTTTTTGGGTGTTGATGCATCGTTGATGAGATCGATGAGCAAGGCCGTCGACTGGCGAATCTTCCACTGCTGGGCATCGAGGCGAAGCCCAAGGTCATCGAGCAGAGCAGCGCTGTTCTTCTGGAAAAGCACCATGATTCGGTCAATGGTGGCTTGCTCGTGGGCCTCATCCTCAGCAAGTGCCTGGGGGCTCAGACTCTGGGGGCCGCCATCGACGACTATGGCCAGGGAATCGGTGGCCCGTTTCCAAAGCGAGCAAAGGTCCTTGTAGAACACCTTGATGCGCTTCCGAGTCTTTGATCCCTTGAAGATTCTCTCGACCCGAGTAGAGTTGAGCACTTCCGTTGCAAACAACAAGAGCCGAGAATGGAAGCGCCTGAAGCGGCCAACCTGATCGGTGAAAGCCGGGGTGGCCGACTGAGCCCGCCCAAGATACACGACGGCGGTGATTGAGTCACTGCAAAGTTGGGCCCACGACTTTTTGTTTTCGGGAATGCTTCGGACGGCCGTAAAGCTCTCGAGGGCGACTTGCAGCAGGTTCTTCAGGGGACCCTCTGGAGTGTCAAAGAGGATGGATGAAGTGGTCGAGATGACCAAAGCGATGTCAGCACAGATCTGGGGCACTGTTCTCGAGGTGGAATAGAGACTGGAGCGATGGTGCTTGGCGACTGGAAGGTATCGACGTGAGAAAGGCCGCTGAAATTGAAGCTGATATAGTCCGGCTGGGACGGTGGGATGGCGGGCAGGGAGGTCTTTTCCAGATTCCAGGATGCATATGATTGCGTTTCCAGATTTCTGCGAGCTCAGCGATGTGCGCTTCCGAGCTTCGTTCGACGCAGAGGCGTATTTCTTCAGCATTGGGATTGAGATTGGATCAATCAGCCAGCGCCGACTGGCGGACCGAATCAACAGAGCGGAGGAGATGAATCGTGTCGAAGCACCGGGAGAAGCAGCAGGATTGAGATGATTGCCATCGCCCAGTTGCCGTTGATTGGTGGAGATGGCTGCGGTAATCGGGGTGGAGATGGCCTTTCTCGGGGACTGAGTCAGTTGAGATGCGATATGCAGCTCGATCATTACAACAAAGATCAACCTCCAGCGATCGCAGATGATGCCATCTACGATCAACAACCGTTGCAACTGATGGTTCGCACTTTGACGCCATCGCCCACTTTGACGCCATCGCATTCACTCACTCACTCACTCACTCACTCTCACTTCTCGCAGAACGACCAACAGCGGCAGCTCCAGAAATGTCGCAGAGACTTTTCGTTGCAAAAAAGAAAATAAAAGAAAATAAAAACAGCCTAACTTTCTTTTCTTGAATGGGTTGTATTACTGCGACACAAGGTCCTGGCAGTTCCGTTGCGGTCCAACGCAAACGTACCAGTCCCCGACAATACATTTGGTCTCGAAGGGCTGTGGGCATGGACAGACGATCGGCAAATCGACGCAGGTGCGGGTATCGGGACAGAGGTATCCTTTGCAAGCTCCTATTGTGGATCGAGCGAACGCAATGGTCAATGTCAGCGCGATGGCGAGCGGGAGTACAATGGCAGATGCGAGTGCGATCGAGACAGGATCGGCGGTGGTCTGGAAGGACAGCGACTGCCGATTGGGGGGGGGAAGCTGGCCAGGCGGCGACTTCCATTGTGCGATTCACATTCGCTGGCCCCATCCAGCGCACTCTCCGTTGCTGAATCGATCGATCCTCTGCATTCAAGTGGCGGCATCCTGCATTCCCCTACACCTCCCTCGCGGTCCGCACAGCCTCTGCATTTCCATCCCAGGGCCACGGTCGTTACCTCCGTGCGAGGCCTGAGCATGTTGGCCGTGGTTGTGGTCATGGTCGTGGTCGTGGTGGTGGTCGTGGTGGTGGTGGCCATCACCGCCGTACTGTTGCTGCTGTTGTTGTTGTTGTTGGTTATCGAAAAAGTTGAAAAAGTCAAAGGCATGGACCCGGTCGATGGCGGCGATGGCGATCACCAGGAACAGAAGGCACGAGACGAGCCAGTGGCGGGCCATGTCGGATCTGGGCTGTCGGTTGCAGAGAGAGCAAGAGAGCGAGAGAGAGCCAGGGCGAGAAGCAGGCGGATGGGCAATGCGGCGCAGGTATGCAGGCGTTGGTTTGGCGGGAAGCAGCAGTGTCGGCCTGTGGGATCGGGTGCAGAAGGCAAAAGATTGCGGGTGGGAGGAATGCGGGCGGGGCTCGCCGTCGATGCAGAACCCGCGTGCGATGCGCTGTTTGGACAGCCGGGCGGCCAATCACAGTCCGCGGTGCACGTGAGGCCGGCCCCCTGGGACTTGCAGCACCCTGGCTGGGCAGCGAAGCCCCCCATGGCAAACGAAGCTGAGCAGGCAGGAGCAGACTGAGCAGGCAGGAGAACACCCCACATGTCGCATGGCCTGGGCCTCTTCGGTCAGAGAACAAGCTGTACAGGTTGGTTCGTATTTTTTTTTCTTCTTCATATATCCACAGCGTAAAAGTCAAAGAAAGGCACAAAGAGTATACTCATCCAGAATTCCAACGCCAACCCAGGCCACACCCAAAAAAAAAACGAGAGCAAAGGCACAGGCACAGGCACAGGCACAGGCACGGCAGCGGCGCATGGACACGGGATGGCAAGGCAAGTACATGCCCCGGCCAGGCTGCTGTGGCGTCGTGGTGGCGAGATGAGGAAGGGACGGAAGCGGGACGGGAGGAAACGGAGGAGCATGAGAAAGGGCAGCACAGGGCGACAACGGGGCTCAATACAGATAGAACGGCTTGATTGGATGGTTTGTTTGGGTGTGATGTCGAGGCCAGCCGGACAAGCAGGCGGCGCATTTCATGGGTCTGGTGGTGGGTTGACAGCGCATCCTAGCCGTGCAACTTGGGGAGGGCGAGCGGCAAGGATACCTCATGTGCAGTCGGGGCCACCCAAAGCCTCGACCTCGGCGTCGCCTGGGGGAGCGGGCGCCGACACATGCCCATGGACGGCGACAGCCTCCAGACAAGCAGGAGGGAGACGGCTAATCCATCATGGCATCCATCGCGGAGGATGCGGTGTAGCTGACGCTGGGCTGGGGCATCGAGCTAATGATGGTGGCCAGATCGAGGGTGGTGCCGAGCGGGAGCGAGAGGCCGAGATCGCGCTCCTGAGCTCCGGTTTCGGCCAAGAGCTTGCGGAGGGCATCCTCGAGCTCCCGGACACGGTCGCTCTGCTTCTGTGCCAGGATGTTGACCTGCCGGATGTACTCGACGGACTTGCGGAGGATGACGCCCTTGTTGGGCTTGTTCTGGGGGTCGCTGGCAAAGTCGGGGAGCAGGGTGGCAAGCTCCTGGATCTTTTCGTTGATGTTGTCCCGACGGCGCCGCTCAACGGCGTTGTGAGATTCCCGTCGCCGTCTTCGCTTTTCCTGCATCAGGTCGATCGAGTTTCCGTATCTGGCGGAGGGGAGGACGCAAAGTGGATCGATGCGGGAGAGGAGGAGAGGATGAGCGACGACGGTTCACAACGTGCCGACGACGGCTCACAATGTACCAACGACGGTCTACACGCCCGGGTCCTAACTGTGTATAAGCGACAGTGGCTCGCAGGCCTCGACCACCCGATGCAGCCACGAAACAGGCAAGCAGCCGCAAAACACGCCTGGAGCAAAGGATACTCACTGCTTCGAATCAGGGTCATCCAGTGATCCCGCATCGGTGTATCCTCCCAGGCTCGTCGAGTACGGATACGAAGAGTGGTGGTCGGGTATACTCTGGGGCATGGTCGCCGAGAAGGTGGCATTCGGGCCGACGGGAACGGACATGGAGTAGATGTTGCTGCCGGGGTTGATGGAAAACTGGCCGTGGCCGGTGTGGGCGGATGATGAAAAGGCCCGGGACGACTTGACGTCGATGGGGTTTGCAGAGCCGGCGCCCGAGAAGCCGCCCATAGACGGGAACATCTGGTCGCCCTTTGAGAAGAAGCCGTGTTTCGGGATCGAGGACGAGGCCGAGACAAAGGAGCCACCGACCTGGGGCGAATCATAGAGGGCCGAGGAGCTCCGCTGGTTGGGGTGCGACAAAAAGTCGTCGTGGGCCTCGTACTCGGGGGTGTGCAGGGGCGAGCTCGATGCCGGCGAGAGGATGTTTTGATTTGATCTGGCGGTCTGGGCGTCGAGGACCGAGTCTTGCTGGAAGTCGGTGGGGATGGCAAAGGGATCGGTGGGATCGACAAAGGTCGGGTGCGCATGGTGGTCGAGGGCCGACTCTTGCTTGATGGAGGACAGGCCGCTGAGGGGATGGGCAGCGATGGAGGTGGGCAGCGCAGCGGTGCCGGACGACGGGCCGCCAAAGGTGGTTGGCAGACTGGTCGACAGGAACGATGCCTGATCAAAGAAGGACGAGTTTGGGTAGGGCTTGCCATTGGAGATGTTCTGGCGGTAGGCCGGGTTTCCGCCCAGGATGGACTGGGGCGCGGGGTTCTGGGCCGCGGCCTGCACGGAGAATGGCATGGGCTGGGTCTGCTGCGGTTGCTGGGTCATGCCGGGGAACTGGCTGTCTTGTGCGCGGAAGATGTTCTGGGGCTGCGACGGCGGGAAGCCCGGCTGAGGAATGGAACTGTATCTCTGCTGCGGGAGCATTGCAGGCGAGGCGGACGATAGGCTGATGGACGGGGAGATGCAGGGGAAAGGCCGAGAAATGCGAATGCAACGAATGCGGACAGGCTCGAGGATGCGGGACGCTTGCTTGCGGAGGCGAGAGAGCGAGGCCGAGGAGGAGGGGGGGGCGGACAAAGCAGCGACGGGCCGAGCGGTAGCAACGATGACGGGTCCGAGCGAGCGAATGGCCAGGCCGGGAGCGAAGAAGCGTTGATGAATGAAGCACGGAGACGTCGACCGATGGAGGCGAAAGGCAGATGCAGGATAGCGCAGGACGGAGGAAGACGACGCAGGTCGATGTGCAGGATGATGTGCAGGATGATGTGCAGGATGATGTGCAGGATGATCCAGTCAGATAGGGCGATCCGAGAGAAGGCGTGATAAGGCGAGAGGGCCGCGGGAGGTCAGCAGGGAGAGGGGCGGAAAGGACAGAGGCGGAAAGAGCGAGGGCGGGGGGAGGGCGAGGGCGCGGGCGAGGACGCGGCGAGGACGCAGCGAGGACGCCCTCGGTCTCGCCGGCTTGTCGGCGGTGGCGGGGGGCCCTGGCGTTGTCCGTGTAAGGGTCTGCGCGTTTGTTGTGCCGTTGTTGTGCCGTTGTTGTGCCGTTGTTGCAGCGCGTTGTGTGCGGCTGGGTTTGCAAGGCGCATTGCTGCATTGCATTGCTGCATTGCATTGCTGCTGCTGTATTACTGTGTGGCATTGCTGCTGCTGCTGTATTACTGTGCGCCATTGCTGTTGGTGTCCGGCATATTGCCGTCGCACCAGAGACACTGTGGCGCGGTCCGTGCCTCGCCAGCGGGCCATCTCGCTGCCCTCTCGGCCCCTCTCGGCCCCTCTCGCCCTGGAGCCGCCCTCGTTGTCCGTCCCGATTCGCGCTGCCCCACACCGCCGCCCACCACAGGCCGGCCCCTTGTCGCTGCTGCCACAGAATCAATCTCCGCGGCGCAGCCCCAGGCATTTGCCGGCCCTGTCTTTGCTGCCCTCCACACTCTCCGTTGTCGACCCAACCCAGAGACAACGGGCGCTTGTCGGGCCGCCCAGTGACAGATCCAGGCGCTGCCTTGGAGCACTGCGATAGCCAGCCGATAGGCGACGGAAATAGGGCCGGCCGAAGCGGCGACGGAAATAGCCTGGCCGGGACGCGCTCGCTGGCATGTGCCGACAAGCGAGCCGTCCCTGCTGCTGCTGCTGCTGCTGCTGCTGCTCCTGCTGCTGAGCGTGGTATGCCCGTCTGTGCCGGCCGTGCTTTCTCATGAATGCTTGTGTTCGTCTCTGCCGAGGGACAGTCCTCGCCCATCTCTCGCCCATTTCTCGCCCATCTCTCGCCCATTCCTCGCCCATCTCTCGCCCATCTCTCGCCCTCATCGAGATTTGCCGTTCTCGCCGTCCAATCGCAGCCAGGTCCGGACGAGCCGCCGCCTCGCTTGTGCGCCGTGTGGCGCTCGGCTCCACTCCGATGTTTGTTGCACAAACACGCGTTTCTGACACAGCGCCGTTCCCCACGGCCCGGTGTCGTGTGCCCGGCACCACTCCCGGATCGAGCCGGGGGTGGCGTGCGCAGCATCGCGCCATATCCCGTGGCGTGGGTCTGGACGCGCCGCCTTCCAGGCCAGCGTTCCCACGCTCTTCTGGTGATCTGCGTCCGGGCCGATGTGTCCTGTCCGCGACAGCGCTCTATTAGCCTGTGTCTGTCGCCCGTCCCCAGCACTGCCGTCACTGCTTTGGCGGTATCAGATTCAAATCCTCGGTCGAGTCGGGCGCCTGCCACACCTCCTCGACTTTGACGGCCTTCTGGCCCTCGCCCTCGGTCTGGCCCTCCTTGTGGTCGTGCATCGGCTTGAGACTGTGCTCGTGGGGGTCCTTCATTTTCCCTCCATATTTTTCCAGCAGGAAGGGTGTGTCGATGAACTCGTAGAGTCGCTTCGGGTCGTCGAACGTCACCACCTGTTGGCATGCATCGGCATGCATCGACGCAGAGACGGAACAGCGTGAGCCTTCAGTCCTCCATCTCAAGCGGCCGTGTCCAAGCCATGGCCACCGACGGCATCCCCCCGTCGCTCTCACCTTCTGGACCGTGGCTGCGTCCATGAACATGCGCGCCATATTCCACATGATCCAGAAAGTCAGTCCCGTCGGAAACAGCAGCACCCGCAGCAGCGAGTCGGGGTAGTGATGTGTCAGGAGCGGGATCAAATTCGTCAACATGAAGGCATCCGTTCGCGAGCTTGTGATCTGGGTCCGATCAACGATGATAGTTATCTTGTCCGTCATGATCCTGAACATAGCCGATATCCAGCAGCATATGAGATGCAGCGTCAGTTTGTGGATGAGCGTCGGGTGTTAGTCAGGCGGAGCAGTGCAGCACGAGTAGTCGACAACACCAGCCGCTTCCCCCGCCTCCGCATACCTGCTCCGTCTCGCCATCTCGATGAGATAAAGAAAGAATCGAGTATCGCGGTCCTTTGCCGCCGTTCCTTTCGGTGGTTCGTGGCGAGACTCGATCCAGATCAGCACTGGCGTGCCTTCCCTCGACTCGCCGATCCACTGGCACTTGCCGGACTGGATGTGGCTGCCAAAATCCTCGCCCACGATGCCTGCAAGGCCCTCCTTCTTTCTCCATGTCTTGGATTGACAAGACCGTGTCCGTTTCGGCCATGTCCGGTTTGGCCGCGTTCACCAGAGTCGGTCCAGGGTCGTGGGCATGAGTCCAACAGCGTGAGAAGCGGGAAGCCAGGGTACGGACAGCAGCATCCAAGCCCAAGATCCAGCCACGGTCGACCCACCAGCGTTTGGCTCAGGGCAGAGAGAGCCTTCCCGCGGTGCCGCTTGTGGATCGCAAACCATTTCTTCAGCTCCTGGTCGTCCAGCTCATCGACGCCGTCGTCCTTGAAGAGCTCCCGGGCCGTCGAGATGAACGCATCGACCTCGCCGTTGGTGGTGCTGTCGTCATCGTCATTGTCGTCGTCGTTGGCATTCAGATGGAACGACGAGCCCGTCGCAAGGTTGAACTCGCTGCTGGACTCGTCGTTCTTCTTTGGCGCGGGCTGGAAGATACTCTTGACCAACGGCATGTGGGGATGGCCCAGGCGGTTTCCCAGTCAAGGTGTCGAGTGCTGAAAAGTCGAGCAGAGTGCACACCCTGGAGAGCGTATCCTTGATGTTGGGCTTGGATGCAAATGATCTGTATGTGCACCAGCGAGTACACTACGAAATGGCGGTCCGAATTACCGCCAAATAACTCTGTTCCTGGGGATCGATCTTGGCTGTTGAGCGGTCTGGCCTGTGTTGGTCTGCGGAACGGCAACAACCCTTGACCGTCGTCTTGCTTTGCCGCCTTCCCTCCGAGACTCAGCGGAAACTCGGCCCATTGGTGGCGGCGACTGGGTGGATCAGGACTCTGCGACAATGGAAGTATTCGGCCTCCCACTTGGCTTTCGTTGCCCTTGAATCAGCCTGGCTGGGCACAATGGGCCATGTTCGCATTCGCATTCGCATTCGCATTCGCATTCGCATTCGCATTCGCATTCGCATTCACATTCGCGTGAGTCTTTGGCATAGCTCCCTCCTCTCGCTCACATCTCGATCAAGAGCATACACATCGCTGCTGGGCACATCTGTCTATTCATCCCACGTCTCCTCCGCTTTGCCGCAGCCAGCAAAGTAGGAGCGATGGTCTGTCAAACAACAAGCAGACGAGCCAGGGCAGGGCCCGCCAAGCCTCGAGGAATACTCAGTTTCTTTGTTTCTTATTTTTCATGTGCATCGTGGGAAAAGCTGTACATGGACACACGAGTGAGTGCGTTTCTGATCATAACAGTCTGCCGCTGCCGGGAAGGGAGGGGGACAAACCCCCCGGCGGCGGGGAGGTTGAGACAGAGAAAGTAATAGATGGATAGAGATAAGCGCGGGTGGGGGAAGGGGGTATGCTACTATAGTGAGTGCGTGAATGTGTGGGCAAGTGGCATATGCAATTGGGACGGTCCAGCATCAGAGTTAGTTAGGCTCCGTTTTCTTCCAAATTCATCAAAAGACCCGTCAGACATCTCTTTGTCGTGATGTCGTCCTTCAGGAGCGCGACAAAGGTGCCGTCTCTTAAGGTATCTGGGAGGCACTGGCGGAGGGCCTCGCGTGCGCGCGGGTTGTCCGACAGTCGCATGTAGCAGCGGATGATATGCTTCAGCAGACGAGCCGACTCCATGTCGCTCAACTGGCTGACCATGTTGGAGAGCACCGTGCTGACGGCAAAGAAGCGATCGTAGGTTTGGCAGATGTAGCTCAGACCCATTTCATCGTGCAGAATCTTTTGGACAATAAAGATGGCGACCTGGACGGTGGAGGGAAGCAGCGCAACGTCCGTCAGAGACAGCAGATTGCGTCGATAACAGCAGATCCACCCGTAGTGATCCTGCAAGCAAGGACGAGGGAGAGGCTGGGTGGTAGCACTGGCCAGACATACCGTCTTGGACAGCTCACTGCCAGTTTCCATGATCCGCAGACAGAGGGGGATGATTTCGGTCGAAAGCAGGAACTGTATGACTTCGCTGTTGTCGTTCTGTGGCCAGATTCGGATAATCAGCATGAGCATCAGCATCAGCAACGTTGCCGCCAGTCCACGATTGACTGTCGAGGTTGCCTGTACGCAAACGTCTATCCGCCGACACGACATTGCAATAGGGTCGATGGATTGACGGCCGCCAGCGGGATCCAGCACTGACAATCACACTGTGGCCGCCAGAGCATCCCGGCTCGATCATCCGAATCAAGACAGGACATAGTCCAGACATACCTTGACCAGAGCACCGATGACGCCCAGGCTGGTCAAGCGGAGGTATTCAAACGGACGGGTTCTGCTCTGGGTGTTGAGGTACGGGTAGAGGAACAGAGGGATATGCGCTGGTGGTTCGGGAATCGACGGGCCCACCGGCCCAGAAAATGAATGAGTTTGCAAGTTCGGCAAGACCACATCAACGCGGGCGAGTGACGCCGCCGGGTCGCCTGCCTTCTCAAGAGGGCTGGAGACTGCAAGGGAGCACCAGAACAGCACGCCAAAGGACGCCTCACCGTTCAGGAAGAGCCCCCGGGTCTCGTTGTGGCTCGCGACGCATTGCAGCAGGGCCAAGGCGTTGCAGACTCGATTGGAGGCCTGGCCGGTCAGAGTTGGCGGGGAGAGCATTGGATAGACCGAGACAATTTCCTGGAGCAGCGCCGCCATGATGCCTACAAGCGCCGACAAACATCACATGCATCGCAAGCATCGCAACATCATCCGTCCGGGCATTGGGGCGACGGAGATGGCATCGGACAAAGTGAGAGGCAGTCGTGTGAGTCGCAGATTGCGAGATAGGATCGCCAAGATCGGCGGACGCCGCGGCAAACGAGGAAGGGAGGAGACGGGATGGGCCAGATGGATGGACCGCCGGGCTCACCAAACGAGTGCCACAGAATCGGAGCCAGGTTGTCGTAGGCCTCTCTGCGCTTGCTGAGCTTCAGCAGGGCATTTTCGCGGGTCGCCGGGTTGGTGAGGGCCAGGATTAGCTCGTAGATCTTTTCGTCGTCGTACTGGGCCTGCTGCTGCTGCTGCTGTTGTTGTTGTTGCTGTTGCTGCTGCTGTTGCTGTTGCTGTTGTTGCTGTTGTTGGTGCTGCTGGTGCAAGAGCTGGTGCTGCAGGCTCAGCTGCTGCTGCTGGGGGTTGTACGCCTGTGGGTTCGAGGGATGGAGCGGCTGCTGCGATTGCAGGTTGAAGAGCGCAGGCGGGTTCATCGGGTTCGAGTACATGCCTTGCTGCTGGGCCTGCTGGAGCTGCGGGGGATAGTAGCTCATGGCGACGGGCTGGCAGACGGACAGATGGAGGGCGACAGGGGTGGGCGAGGGGAGGATCGGTGGGCGATGCGATGGGCGATGATGCGATGGGCGACGATGAGGATGGATCTGGACCAGGGCGGGTGGGCGCCGACACAGCGACAACAAAATGCAAAACTGTGTCAATGGGCGTCTCGGCGTGTTCTCGGCGTGCTCTCGGCGTGCTCTCGGCGTGTCCTCGGTGTGGAGAAGCACGTCCTCATTGGCTCTCGCTGTCACTCGCCGCCTCGCTCGTCAGTCACAGAACGGCGCCACGACACAGGACTCGTCACGCGGCGGATCACGGGGCTGTGTCGCACGGAACCGCCCCGGGCGCACAGAACAGTCCGTTGCACCCAACGCCCGAGCCCCCCCCCAATCGTCTAGACTCGCTTGCCCTCGCCGAACTGGTTTCGGCCACTTCTCCGCTGCAATGCTCCCCGATTCAGCCAGCTCCGATCCGCTCTGGGAAATTGCCTCGGCCTTCCTGGGATATGCCTCGGTGACCTTTTGGATATTCGCCCAACTGCCGTATGTCCGAGTATCTGCGTCGATTTCGTATCCTGGCGCATCGTGGGAGCGGCCGGCTGCTCATATTGGGGGGGGGATGAGACGTGCTGCTCCCATTCACGCATCCACTCGCTGTGCCATTCGGATTTGTGTGTTGCGTTCTGGTGCACGTACGGAGACTCTGTCGGCGCAGGGCGCATTGCTTCCGCTGATGTCTGTCGCATGCAATTCCTGTCTCGTTTGTCTCCAATTCCAGCCAAATCTATACCAACTGGCAGCTCCGGAGCGCACAGGATATCTCGCCGCTATTCCTCTGCATTTGGCTGCTCGGCGATTCGTGCAATTTGGCGGCCTGCATTCTGACCCACCAGCTGCCTTTCCAGGTGAGGTCCGAACCCTGGGACGCTCGGGCTCGCTGTGCGTGGTGCCTTTGTACTTTCTGGTCCGACCAGACCCCTCAGCATCGACACGCTCCGACCCCACTGACCCCACCTTCCCACCACCACCCCTGGCTGATGCGCCTCTGTCTCTCGATAGACCTTTCTGGCGACATACTTTGTGCTCCTGGACCTATCGCTGGTGCTGCAGCTTATATACTACTGCACCCCGGTGTCCTCAGCCGAGCCAAGCGACCGCACGCCCTTGATTCAGTCGGCCAATCCAGCCGCTGCGACGCTCCCACGGCACAACCCCGCTCATGGGTCCTCAGCCATTGACGGCAGCGATTCCTACACACCGCTCTCGTATGTACCAGTGCAGGCCTGCTTCAACGACTCCTATATTGTGGTGATCGGTGCAGTCCTTGTCTGCAAGATCGCATCGCACATCCCTCATGAGACCGTGCCTCGGCAGTCTCGAATTACTCTAGCGGACTGCACTGCTGGGACATTGTGCCTGTGTTGCGCGAACACACTCGTTGCTCGTCGATGATTGCGTGATGCTGTCTGTCTATCTATCTGTCTGTCCGCTCATCTGTCTGTCCGTCTGTCTGTCTGCTCTTTCCCACGCCCAACGAATCATCAAACCCGACTCTGGTCTTGAATGATGCCCTTGGACCGCCTGCCAACCACAGAATCTGCATGATGCTCTTCAAAATCACTCTGATGTTGCTCATCCCAATGTTCATCGTGCTTTCGCTCTCCACCGCCCTCCTTCAGCCCGCCATACAGGCGCTTGGCTCAGCAGTTCTGCGACTCAACACGGGCGATTCCGCCCTGGGCACCTGGATAGCGTACCTGTGTGCGGCCTGCTATCTGGTCTCGCGCCTCCCGCAGATCTACCGAAACCACCAGCGCAAGTCTGTCCAGGGCCTCTCGATCGGAATGTTCTCGCTGGCTGTGTTTGGAAACCTTTCGTACGCCCTCAGCGTCATCTGCAAGTGCGTCCCCGAGCCGTGGCGGCTCCAGGCGGCATTCCCCTTCATCCTCGGCAGCATGGGGACCATCATCTTTGACGCCGTGATCCTGCTCCAGTGCTGGATCTATCGGCCGCACCGATACCTGGCGGAGGAGGTCTCGTTCCGTTCGTCATAGCGAGACCCGCGCGACTGCGTTTGTGTCGAGCTCTATGATGTTGTTGAGAATATAGCACAGTCCAAAGTCCAACCCAAGACATTCAGGCCTGTGCTCGTTCGGAGGGCTGGGACACTTTGCGGAGTGTCCCCTTTACATACGGATATGTCGTACCTCTCCCTGTCCATCCTCGCCGATCGCACAATGCCCGAACGTCCTTCCGATCATCCGTCGTGGCAGCCCTTGTGCTCTCTGGGCTGTTCATGAGATTCGTGTCACAGCCTCTGGTGCCTTTTTTTTCTCCCTCTTGGTCGTCGATCTGCAAGTGCCCCCGCTGGCTGCCGAGTCTCCCGCCTGCGCTTCCATCTGCCCAGTCGTCTCCTGCACCCTCCCCTCCCCCAGCGTCAATGGATCAACTCTCGAACCTCACCGGCGTCGCCGAACCGACGCTGCGGCTGCTTTCCAGCCTGCTCAGCGCCTATCCGCTTGCCATCCTGACCCACAGTCTCCTGCTGCATCCGTCGGTCCCAAGATCCGCCCGGCTCGCCCTCATCATCGCCTCCTCCCTGCTCGTCCACATGTTCTTCCTGTCCTTCACGACCGCCATCATGCATTCGCTGTCCGTTGTCCTTGGCACCTGGGCAGTCGCCAAGCTCTCCGACCGGCTTCCCAAGCTGCTCCCCAAGCGAGTCGTCTCGACCCTCTTGGTCGCCGCCATCTTTGGCCATCTGATGTGGGGATACTTTGTGACCCGCCGTGCTGCCGGAGACGTCTATGTCATCAGCTGGACGATGACCCAGTGCGTCCTCTCCCTGCGGGCTGCCGGGACGGTGCTCGACTGGGGCGAAAGCAAGGCCGCCTTCTCGTCCTTCCCAGTCTTTGTGGCCTACTGCTACTTCTATGGCTACAGCTTTGTCGGCCCGCAGGTGCCGCTGGCGGACTTTGAGGCCTACATTTCACTCGAGAAGTTCCAACGACACGGATTTCTCAAACCTGCGACGGCAGGAGCCAAGACCAAGCCGCTGCCACCCGTGGCCGGATATGCTCTCCAGTCCCTGGCCATCGGCGTCGTTTTCCTGGGCATCCACGTCGGCGGAGGCAAGTATCTCTCCAGCGATACGATGCGGCAGCCAGTGTTCCTCACCTGGTCGCTGGCTTCCCGGATCGTCTATGTGATGGCCTTTGTGAAGGTGCTGCTCTGCAAGGTGAGTCTGCCGGTGCAATCCATCGCCAGTAGCATACAGCTGCTGCTGTATCGGTCGTACATACCCGTTTGGACAGGCAATCGACTGTGCATTTGGGTGGTTGCCTGAGCCTATCGAGAAACCGGCAGCCGGATGCAGCTCACCCGGATGCTCCTCTCAAACTGACACATGTCTGTGCTTCAGTATCTTGGTGTCTGGGCCCTGGTCGACGGCGCCGTGGCGCTCTCGGGCCTGTCGTTCGGAGGACTGGATTCAGACCACAAGCCCATCTGGGACAGCTACCGCAACTGCAACCCCCTCACCTTCCACCTGGCCACGTCCCTGTCGGTCATCATTCCCAACTTCAACATGTCCACCAACGACTGGTGCAAAACCTACATCTTCAAGCGCCTGTATGTGCCATCTGTGCTGGCCGCGCTGTAGAGTTTGCAGCATTGGTGGCAGCTATCCGTAGCGCTCGTCCCATTCGACACTCGGACTCACATCCAGCGCCATTTCGATCATGCTCCAAACCCAGGCGCTTCCTTGGCTCCAAGGACCTCTCGTCCGCCCTGACCCTTCTCTTCCTGGCTGCCTGGCATGGCCCTTCCCCGGGGTACTATCTCTGCTTCGGCCTCGAGTTCCTGGACATTTACTGCGAGCGTGTCTTCTTCAAGTGGGTGGCTGTTCCTCAAGGGCCCGTCTGGAGGGTCGTCTCCAACGTCTTTGGCTGGCTGTGGGCCTCGTTTGCCCTCGGCTACGCTACCGTCGCTTTCGAGGCGCTCCGATGGGACTACACCGTCACGGTCTGGAACTCGCTCTACTGGAGCGGCCACATTGTCATTGCGGTCATTATTGTAAGTGTCGCTGGCGCACTCGTGGCCATGATGCCACCAGCCTGCTCCGTCATGGGTGCATCTGATACGGGTCTTCATGGCAATCTCCTTGGACTGACTGCTCGACCGGCCCACGCCATGACTTGACTGGCCCTTGCCATGACTTGACTGACCCTTGCCATGTCGTGGTTTGCATGCACCGACATGGCGATCTCGCCGGATGCGCCGTTTGACTGATCATCGTTGCCCCTTCACACAGATCGCCGACCTCGTTGCCAGCGCGCTCTTCCGCAAGCCCAAATCGGCCAAACCTGAGAAGGCCAAGAAGGCCTAAAACGAGTCTGGGCTGTCGTGCCTGGCCGAATCGTGCTTGTAAAGATCTAGATTGTGTGTCTTTGAATATGATCGCGCTTTGGGGACCACTGCGACTCGGGCGGGATGGAGAGAGAGCGCGGCGGCGGCCTGCCGACCCTCGATACAAAGCGACCCTGTGCAGACGATCTGAGCGTCTTGGCTGCGTTCTGCTGCAGGACACCCGGCTCGGCGTCGAGCGGCATCGCTCGCCGTCGGCACACGCCGCTGCTCCATGTATTGCGACGCGGCTGCGGTCCTCATGCCAACCAAAAGTCCGATCCATTTGCCCCAAAAATAGGAATATTGGTGGCTGTCCGCCAATAGCCCAGGCGAGTCCAAGAAAAAGGCGGCCAGCCCTGCCTCGCCCGCCGTCCCGGCCCCTCAAAAGCCTCTGGACAAGCTTCTCTTGCACCTGGAAAGGCAGAGCAGGCTCCTCCCGACCTCCCCTGCCGACAGGCTCTTGGTCCACCTCGCCACTGCGGCTTCTCTTCGACCGCCGCGCGCCTCATTCGCCTCCGGCGCCCTGACTGCTTCTCCCTCCCCTCTCTCTTCCTCAGTACCAGAGCCGCCTCGGGCGCTCGAGTCATTCTGAACGTCCAGCCCCCGCTTTGACGCAGCGGCTCGTCTCGCCATGGCTCCCAAGATCATTCTCTCGACCCAGACGCCGCCGCAGAAGAGCAAGCTGGCCCGCATCGCCCTCTCGTCGCCCGAGGTGCAGTCGCTCCTGCCAATGTGGTTCAAGCATCTGCTGACCCTTCCGGTCCCGCAGGAGGTCCTGGTGCACGACTTTAACAGCATCCAGCATGCCGAGGATCTCAACGCACAGAACCCGGCGTTTTCCACCTCGGTGGCATTGCTGCCGCAACATGCGTACCGCAGCCGCTACTGCAACATCCTGCCGTACGATTACAATCGCGTCCGCCTGGCAACGCCGTCGCTCCTGAGGGACTACCGCCCCGAGGCCGTCGGTGGCGAATACTCGGACTTTATCAATGCATCGTTTCTGCAAGGTCCCGGAGGATGCACGAGGTACATTGCTACCCAAGGACCCATGCCCGAGACCCTGTCGGACTTTTGGCAGATGATCTGGGAGCAAAACTCACGACTCGTTGTCATGCTCACGCAAGAATACGAGTCCGGCCGGATCAAGTGCCACCGCTACTGGCCGAGCACCGTCGGCGAGTCTGTCGTGGTCCCGACGGACAATGGCTTGCGTATCGAACTCGGCCTGGCCTCGGAGACGCACTCGATGCCCTTCATTCTGCGGGAGATTCGGCTGGCTCTCGGCGGACAAGAACCCAGGACCATCACCCACCTGCAGTTTACCGAGTGGCCCGACCACGGCACATGCAACTCTGGCGACCTCCTGACCCTCATTGACGAGGCCAACCGCATCCAGGACAGCCTGGAGCTCGAAACACCAGGCCCGATGGTGGTCCACTGCAGCGCCGGCTGTGGGCGGACGGGCACCTTCTGCGTCGTCGATACCATCCTGTCGCTCCTGGACCAGGTGCGCGAGGGCTTTGACTTGCACCAAGACTGGGTCCAGCAGATCGTGAGCCTGTTTCGGACCCAGCGCACCACCATGGTGCAGTCGCTCGCGCAGTACATGCTCTGCTACGAAGCTGTGCTGCAGAGAATCATCGAGGCCCAGGAGGTGCGCGGCGAGGAAAGCATCCAATACCACCGCACGCCGTCCAAGGCCAGGAGGGGCTGATTCAAGTTCGCTGGTCCAAGCTGCGCCGATCCAGTCCAATCCGATCCGATCCAATCCAATCCGATCCAATCCGGTCCAATCCGATCCAATCCGATCCGAGTTTCGCAGACTCAAGTTGTTTCTTTCTTGCCGAGCCGTTGCTGATTCAAGACGGGGGAGGGGGCCGGATGGCCAGGTCATGTGTGCGCATGGAGGGCACTGTGTTTTACTCTCGCAATTCGTCTGCTTGTCTTGTGTGTCATGTTCTCTTTTGTCGACCATGGGCTCCGAATGCGTCCTGCATGCCATGTCGGTTCTGATTGGCATTGCTGCAGTTCGGGCACACAGCCGTGGAGCATCTGTGTGGGAAAACGACAGAACACCGGCCCGGCTGCCAGTACTCGGCCACCATGCATCCTCCGACGTCGTCGTACTTTGACAACTCTATCCATCCCGCATCCCGTCTTGGGAGTGGTTCTTTTGCTTTTATTCTCCGTCCTTTCCCTCCTGATTTCTTCTTTTTCTTCTTCTTTCCTTTGGTTCCATGTGCCTGGTGCTGGTGCTGGTAGGTGGGGGCGTGTATGTGCGAGTGTGTGAGAGAGTGTGCAGGGTTCGGTCTGTCGCTGGGCTTGGGATACCATGGGTGGGGGCAATAGACGCCGTTACTTTTTCCTCGATCCTATGTGACTGCCTATCTGCTGGGTGCATTGGAAACTGGATTGGGTGCGGCCCTCGTTTGTGCGGCCCTCGTTTGTGCATCGGATGTGCTTCATGTTCGTGGTAGACTGAGCGACATTGCGGGCCTGTGTGCGAATCGTGATGGACATGCAAATCCCAACCGACCAACCGACCAACCGACCAACCGACCAACCGACCAACCGACCAACCGACCAACCGACCAACCGACCAACCGACCAACCGACCAGCTGGCCAACACCGCCATGCGTGTCGGCAGCATGGGCTCGGTTTCCGGCACCCATGCCGGTGCTGCGGTGAGCCCGGCGATCCGTCCGGCCCTGATGCTGGGCCGTGCAATGGGCCGCACCAAATACGTCGCCTGCCCTGCGCCACGGATCGGAACTTGCGCAACAAAGACCGATCTCATCTGCGGCCTCGGCCTGCAAGCCCGGGACAAAAAAGCGTCGTCGTCCCCGCCCGAGCTCCTGTCTCTGCTCGTCCGGTGCACCCAATTCCGTCCATCTCCACGTCCCGATCGGCTCGGCTGCCCTTCTGCTCGACTCTGCCCCGTCCTTAGTTCCCAGCACCTGTCGCACCATGGCCGAGATCTCAACGCCCGTTCCCGTCGCCGTCGACGCCCCCGCCAGCGGCTCCTCTCAGACGCTGAAGGAGCTGTTTGCGGGTTCTGTCGGTGGCATTTTCCAGGTGCGCCTCCTTGCTCGCCTCCTTGCGGGGGGGGGGAATGCAGCACCGAGCAGCCATCGAATCGCTGGCCCCGCGGCGCTGTTTGCTGTGTCGGGCAATGTCGATCGCAATGCCCTTGGCTACCAGCCCTGCAGCAAGCGGATACCCGCGCCTGTACCGACCTGCTGCGATCTCGCTTGCTCACTCTGCCTTCCCATTGGTCGTTTATAGGTTCTTGTTGGCCAGGTAACCGCAAGCTCCTCGAGTCTGCCAAGCGCAAAGGGCTGGCTACAGCAGTGACCGCGATGCAGAATGCATCGCACTGCATCGCACTGCATCGCATTCGACCGCATATCGCGCTGCGACAGATCGACATGCTTCATCTCGGAGCACCTCGCTGCTCCTGCGTGATGCACACCAAGTACCTTCTCCAACCTTGAATCCTGACCGCGTGTCGCTCGCTGCTTTGTACATTGCCAGCCCTTCGATACCGTCAAGGTTCGGCTACAGACCCAGCCCGACCAGTATGGCGGCATGGTGGATTGCGTCAAGAAGACCCTCCAGAACGAAGGTCCTCTCGCGTTCTACAAGGTGGGCGTCCGCAGGCGGTTGTCGAGCCGCCAAGGGATCGTTGCTGGCCATCTGGATCCGTAATCGCCGTCTGTCGGGGCGCGACGGTGCATCCCGGCCCGGTGCTTGTCTTATCCCTCAGGCGACATCAAGGCGCAACACATACACCAGACCAGCACAGAGCAAGCGCCACCAGCGGCCGATACGGCCGATCGGGTCGAGTCCAGTTATTGACGCTGCCTGTCGCTGGACACATTTTAGGGCACCCTGACTCCTCTGGTTGGTATCGGCGCCTGCGTTTCTGTCCAGTTCGGCGCCCTCGAGGCGGCCAAGCGCTACTTTGTCGACCACAACAAGTCCCGGGGACTGGCCAACCCGTCGGACCTCAACCTCGGGCAGCTCTTCCTCGCTGGCTCGTGCAGCGGTGTCGCCAACTCGGTGCTGTCGGGTCCCATCGAGCACATCCGCACCCGCCTGCAAGTCCAGCCTTCGGGTGCGGACCGCCTGTACGCCGGCCCGGGCGACTTTATCAAGAAGATCTACGGCCAGTACGGCATTGCCGGCATCTACAAGGGCCAGGGCATCACCCTCGTCCGTGAGTTCTCTGGATACGGCGTGTACTTCATGGCCTACGAGTGGCTCATGCAGCGCTACATGAAGAACAACAGCGTCAAGCGGTCCGAGGTCCCTGCCTACATGCAGTGTCTGTTTGGTGCCTGCGCCGGATACTCGCTCTGGCTGGCAATCTACCCCGTGGTAAGTTGAGCGACGGCTCGAACACAGCCGGTCGATCTCGTTGATGTTCGAGGAGAGGAGAGGGGAACGAGCGACGAGCCATCACGCCATTACCTGTCATCCCCCGTTGGCATCGCCCACGGCCCGCTCGCATCCGTCCGTGCCAGTGTCCGTCTGACGCATTGGTTGTCTGGACCGCAGGACTCGGTCAAGTCCAAGCTCCAGACCGATGCCTTCGACCCCTCAAAGGCCAGATACAAGGGCATGATCGACTGTGCCCGCAAGGTCATCCGCGAGGAGGGTCTGGGCGGTCTGTACCGTGGCTTCTGGCCGTGCATGCTCCGTGCCGGCCCGGCCAACGCCGCCACGTTTGTGGCCTTTGAAGCCACGATGAAGCTGATCTCGTAAACATGCTGGGAGACGGGGCCTGGGCAAGCCCAAGGACACAGCAAGATGCGCAGAATACATGGGCGAAAGTCGCTAGAAGATGTGCGATGCAAGGTGTGGGAGGGAGTTGCGAGTTTGTTGCTCGCTGCTCGTCGCTCACTGCTCGTCGCTCGTTGCTCGTCGCTCGTTGCTCTTCGTTGTGCTCTTCGTTGGTGCTCTTCGTTCGTTGCTTGTTGCCAATCTCCGCCCCTCCCCAGCAGCAGCAGCAGAGCTGGACTGCATGTGGTCTTGGCTGGTGCTGCTGGGTGGGGATGATGGAGTCAACGAGCCAGCACCGAGAGCGCCGTCAGTGGGCGAGAGCCGTCGCCGAGAGCACAGACACACAGGCCAGCCGTGCTGTCGCCGCCTCTCGCCGAGATGGCCACCCTCCAGCGAGAACACCCGCGCCTGTTTGCGTGATCCTTTGGCCTCAGGGCCGCCCTTGGCCCGTTTCTCCACCTCATCATCTCTCGACCGGCCATCTTGCTATGGGTTCATGCTTCAGCCTGTGCTTCTCGTCCACCACCCATGACGACGACTCTCTGCCGGTAGGTCTCCTGCGCCTGCTCGGTGCTCGTGCCGAATCGAGTCGCTGCTGCCCCGAGCCCCACAGCCCACCATTCTGGCGTTGCTGGCCCACGCCGCTCCCGAGGCTGCTCTCCACACATGCCTGCTTGGATTTGTAGTCTGGCTCTTGCATCGAAGTGTCTGGCCCATCGGCTTGTGCTGGGCTGATTCTTGCTTCACCATCCAGGACCGCGAGCGGGACCCGCTCTTGCCACCCAACACCTCCAATGCCGACAGCCCAGGGTTGGTAGTAGATCCCTGCACTCGTGCCTGCTGCGCCCACAGTTGTCTTGCCTTCATTCAGACCAAGGCGACTCTAGTCCGGACAATGCTTGCAGAGAAATTGCCCGACCGCCTTTGCTGCGAAAGCCTCGTTGTCGACCCTGCGTGCTGACATGCTTCCCCCATGGTATCCAGAAGCACCACGCCGCAAAACAGCGCTCCCCAGCAGGAGCAGATGCTGAAGCAGATCGCCCAGACCACTGCAAAGTAGGCAATCTGTCTTGGTTCTTGAATGCGAAGGCAGGGTTGCTGTTTGACCTGCTTGCTTGCTTGCTCACCGGCACTCACCGTGGCTATGCCCCCCTGCCGTTCGCTGCATGCACTCCCCTCTGTTTGACAACTCCAGCCAATTCATCGACATCACCTCGACCAAGAACATTGACTTGCCCCACCCCGAGTATACCCAGCACAAGGAGCAGCAGTACGGGTAAGTAGGACCGTTGCTGTCTTGCCAACAACCTGACCGACTCCAGTGACCACAATCTAGGAGACGGACAAGCGCCAACTCATTGCATTGCGCTTCCACGCTGACTGCCTCTACCATACCCCAGCGCTATTGCCGAGAACATTGCGGTGCTGTCGAGTAGCCTGCAGTCCTGCGCGGGATCTTCGTACGTTTCTCAGACGTCGCCCGTTGGCGCACTGGCCGGCTCCAAGGTTGTCGACTCGCTCGCCAACGCACATATCGGCTCTGTCGACGTGAGGTCGATGGATACGTATGCGCAACAAATCAGAGAAGCCCTCAGTGACTTCAAGGTCGCCCCTGTCGGCAACATTACCGTCACTCTCAACGGCTCGGGATAGGACGAGCGAGATGAAGCAGAGGGAACGAAGTGACGTAGAGCGAAACGAATGAAACGAATGAAACGAATGAAGTGAAAGCCCCAGAATCGACCAAAATAACGTTAAAAAAGGGAACCTTATCATCTTATGGCTCAACACGGGACAGCTCAGATCCCAACAAATCCACCGCAGCCTTTTGGTATATTGTATTTTTGTATTGGTGTTACTTTTACTGCCTTTTTTTGCTTGGCTGTCAATGCCAGCTGGATCCTCCCCTTTTGTGAACACGCTGGATTGAACACCACAACGGAGCTGCCCAGTTCTCGCTGGCTGTCGCATCCACCGTATCCAGCGCAGCCCAGCCCCTGGCAAAAAAGCCCATGGCCAGATTCGAGGCAGACATCCGCCCTGGGTTGTGTGGGCATTTTCTTCCAGTCACATGACGCCGCTGTGATCCGTGTGCAGACCCAAAGGTGCATCATCCTCACTCGCTCGCTCGGCTTTGACCAGCATCGACCAGCATCGACCAGTGTCGGCCAGCGTCGACCGACATTGCTCCACATCCGGCGCCAGGCAGTGTGCCCGCAATGGGTTCTCCGGTGCAAGACCGGATCACGGTTGTCATCACCTCGAGTCCTGTCCGGTCAAACCCCTCGATCGGGGTGCTTGAGGCTGTGCTGGAGTCGTTCGGAATCGTCCCCGGCCTTGGCCAATGCAACGTCATTGTCTCCTTCGACGGCTGCCGGCTCCACCACGAACTGCAAGCAAAATCAGGCAGAGTCACCCGCGACGACTTGGGCCGGTACCTGACGTTCAAGGAGAAGGCCACCGCTTATCTGCGCTCGTGTCTGGGTCTGCAACAGGGTCTGCAACAGGGTCTGCAACAGGGCCCCGATAGCGACACAGCGGCCCTCGCTCAAACACTCCAGGGTGCTGTGTCGATCTCCGACGCCGAGGACTCATCGCCCCGGAACGACGACAACAACGACCCGGCATCCGAAACCAGCACTCCGCAAACCGATCCAGACAACCTGCTTCCAGTCCCACAGCCACAGAGCGAGGGCTGCGAGGTGCAGACTCGGCTGTTGCGCACGGGTGCTCGGTCATCATGCACTGCAACGATCCATCGATACTGTGACTCTGGCGATCGGCCAGGCCCTACCGATACTGCCGCCGAAAGCAGCCCTCGCCCGTCGCCCAGGCTCACGGTCATCCATCTGGACGATCGCATCGGATTTGCGCTCTCGGTCAAGTTCGCCCTGGACCATGTCACGACTCCGTATGTGTTCATTGTCCAGCACGACTGGAAATTCGTTACTCCTTTCCCGCTTGAGGGTATCCTGAATGCCATGGACACACACCCATCCCTCAACTACATCGGCTTTACCTCGCGCAAGTCGGCACAGTACTCGATGCGGCGAGGCGGCCCGTCGACGGGGCTGCCCAGGGGGACACTGGATCCAAATCCGTATCCCATCCCGCTCTGCCGTCTCTACTTTTGGTACGACAAGCCGCACATCTGCCGGACAAACTATTACCGAACCCAGGTCTTTGGCCAGGGCGTGCTGAAGCGCGGCGATTTCATCGAGGACACCTTTGGCCAGATGATGCTCGGAGACATCAAGGCTAATGGCACAGCTGCACACGACCGATACGGCGCCTTTATCTACGATGCCGAGAGCCCGGATTTCTACCTGGTCCATGTCAACGGACGCAAGTTCATGGACCGAGACGACCTCGCGGCGATGAAGATGCGGCTCAAGTCCGCCGGGATCGAGAAGCGGGATCAGCGCATGGCGAGCAGCTCCGGTGACATCGACAGAGCCGAAAGGGGCAGGAACGACAGCTCGAGCGGCGAGGAGCGCTATGGCATGGACTTTGACTCGCACCTGGCATCATCGCACGAGAACATGTCCGGACCAGAGACGGCATCATAGCATCGAGTGTCGATGCTCCGACACACGCCTTATACGGCCCCAAGCCATCCGGATGATGGTCGACAGGTCGTTACTGGCTCCCTGATCCTGGACGCAGTCATCGCAGATACATGCAACGAGTACGAGTCGGACCGGCGACTGCATGTCCGTCTCCATGAATGCATCTATGGCCGCTGCCGACTCCCTGAAGCTGACCGCAAATCTGAAGCACCCTTGCCATCAAGCCCACGGACTGCGAAAGACGAGCAACCAGATGTCTCTGGTACTCGCAAAGCAAACTCTGTGCGGCTTACCGGCCTGGTTCTGCAGCGCAGCATGCGTGTCCTCCGGCATCGTCGCTGCGACGAATATCTGCATCACTATATTGATTGCTCATACAGTGCCTTGTGTGTCTGGCTTGTTCTGTGGGAGAGGAAGTGGCACTTGACGATTGACGGCAAAGGCGAGTTACGAGCGTGGAAACGTTGTAGGGACGCTTGATTCGAATACACTTTATTCAGAAAAAAAAACGGGACACCACAGCCGTTTCCATGAACAGGTAGTATGTGATGTGCTCGCGTCAAGCAAAGCCACAAGAAATAAACAAATCACTTTGGCAGCTTCCGAGTGAAGACCACCGGTCACTCTCCGGTCTCCACAATCGACCTGCGCACTGGTCTCGGAGTGCCAGCGATGGATGGTACTCTTGGACACACTGAATATGGAGGCAGCCTTACGCAAGCTATGGATGAGGTCGTAGCATCGCAATGCGGCGGTGCGAAAGTCGGATGTGTGGCGAATGGTCATGGCCAGCACGCGATAACATTGGGTAACAAAGTATTTGATGAATGGTCAAAATCCCGGGTGTCCCGTTTTTCATTGGATTGACTGTAAAATCAGGGGTTCATTTTGTGAGCGCTGTATACCTGCGATTGGCCCGATTGATGATTGACAAGGCATCGCTGCAGCGGGCATGGCGCTGGACCTGACAGGCGATCCTGTCTTCTGAGCCCTTCCGCTCATTCCCACCGCTTCCCTCGCTCCCTTCGCTCCCACCGCCTCCACCGTGCTCGACCACCGTCTTTCCCCTGAACGGCTCTCGATTGACGCCTGCGAATTGCTTTTGTGAACTCAGGCCGTGCCTCTCGCCGCATTCCTCTCAGCATTGCCACCACCATGAGCGAAGGCGCCAGCATCATTTCGCTGCAGTCGCCGCAGCGAGACATGACCAACACTCGCAAGGTCATGGTCAATCTGCCTCGAGTCTTGGATCCCGCGCATCCGTTCGCCTCCAACAGGATCTGGACGTCCAAATATACCTTTCTGACGTTTCTGCCCAAGAACATCTACGAGCAATTCAGGTAGATGCGCTGCGTGTGTTGGTGGTGACTGCTGCCGCTCTCCCCACGACCGCACTCGTTTGCGCTGCCCTCCGTCATCGCCCACCACGTCCGTTCGCCCCGGGCAGTATCGCTGCTTTTCCACCTAGAATGGTCTCTAACCCAACGATGGTGGCATCGTCTTCGTGGGGCGCCTGCGTGCATCCGTATCATCTGCGTCGCTAACGATGCGGCCGATAGACGCGTGGCAAACCTCTTCTTTCTGGCCCTCGCTATCATCCAGTTCTTTCCTCAGTTCCAGACCATCGACCCGGTCGTCGCCGCCCTACCCTTCATCATCATCATCACCCTCACGGCCATGAAGGACGGCGTCGAAGACTGGAGGCGACACATCTCGGACAACCAAATCAACCGCCAAGAGACCCTGATTCTGGACCACCCGTGGGTCAACACCAACGCCGTCCATCACAAACAAAAGTGCAAAACCGACCGTCGGGTTCATGTCGAGCCGCTCGACTCCAAGACGACCGGATGGCGACCCGTTCTGTGGTCCGACATCCAGGTCGGCGACATGATTCTGCTGCGCGACCACGATCCGATTCCGGCCGACCTGGTGATCCTGTCGACTTCGGAACCGAACGGCTTGTGTTTTGTGGAGACCAAGAACCTGGACGGCGAAACCAACCTCAAGATCAAGCAGAGTGTCGTCGAGACGTCATCGATGAAGACGCCTGTGGAGTGCCGGTCGGTGCGGTTTTGGCTGGAGTGCGAGAAGCCGCACACGAGCCTGTATTCCTTCACGGGCACCATGAACATTCCACCCCAGCGCGCACTGGACGACTCGACCGAGCTGGATCGCATCGCGGTCGAGCCGTCGTCCGAGGCCAGCAGCATAAAGACCTTTGTCGGCCACACCGAATCCGACACTCGATCGCAGGACCAAAGCACCGTGGGCCGATCGATCTCGCTCAGCTCGCGGCTGAGTGAATCGATGTGGGATCGGCCCCAGAGCTTCGACGATCCCCGCCGAAGCAGTATCGTGATCAAAAAGACCCTCAAGGTGCCCCTCACGATCAACCAGCTGCTGTTGCGAGGCTGTGTCGTGCGCAACACCGAGTGGATCATTGGCGTCGTGGCCTACACCGGAGACGACACCAAGCTCCGGCTCAACTCTGGAGAGACCCCGTCCAAACGGTCGTTCATCGACAAGCGAATGAACGCCCATATGTGAGTATCGTTGCCTCAGGATACCGTCGATCGGGGCCCAGCAACTCAGCCGTGTTGATTGGGATGCACTCGCCGAAGCGGGTGGAAAGCTTTCCTTTCAGTGGGGCACGGGGGAGTGCTTGGCGGCATCTAACATCTGTCTGGGCCTTTGTCGGATCAGCACGGTCAATCTAGTCCTGTTGATGTTCATGTGCCTCTTCATTGCGATCATGGATCCGTACTGGGAGCTCTCGTTCTCCATGACGAATGCCCCGTTTGTTCCTCCACTAAGCAACTCTTCCCAGTCGGTGGTGTGGGAGGGCTTCGTGTCGTTCTGGTGAGTCGCGGACGTTGCTTTCCATTGGCGTGCTCCCATGGGTTCATCTCAGCAGATGCAGCGCATTGGATTGACCACTGACCCAGGCCGCAATATTGTCGATCGGTGCTCGATGCCACCGTTACTCAGGCTGGCGCTTTTAGCGTTTCAAAACATCGTTCCGGTTTCGCTCTACCTGACCCTCGAGGTCGTGAAGACCATGCAGGTTCGTATCTCGCTTCGCCGACGGCTCTGCAGGCTCTGCAGGCTCTGCGTACTCCGAGACAAACGCAGAGCCACTCGATAGACACACCAGCACCGAGCCTCGACAGAGTTGCTCCCACATTTACGATCCTGGTTGTACTTGAATGCGATCGCGCATCTGACCACCCGGCTCTCTGATGTGCGCGCAATGCAGGCCTTTCTGATCAACTCCGACATTGAAATGTACTATGAGCCCATCGACCAGCCCTGTTTTCCGAGAAGTTGGAATCTTTCTGACGATCTGGGGCAGATCAAGTACATCTTCAGCGACAAGACCGGCACGCTGACGCGCAACATCATGGAGTTTAAGCGCTGCTCGATCAATGGCATCACCTACGGCGATGGAACCGAGGAAGCAGATCCCTTTGATGAGATCTGGGGCGACCTCGGAAACGGTCGCATCTCCGTCGTCACTTGTCCCGTGAGTCGTCTGGAACTCTCGGACCGAGACATCACCATCAAGCCCGCCATGAAGAAGACCAACAGAAGCAGTAGTAACTCTGCGTCCAAGGAGCTACTCGAATGCAACAGCAAAGAGCATCTCCCTCCGATCAAGAATGCGGGAACAGGGCCCGGCCGGCGCTGGGTCGCGATCGATGACAACACCAAGGCCAACACACTCGATGCAGGTTCGGCACCCAACCGCCCGGCTGTTCCCTGTTGGTCTCCACCAGGAACGGTGCAGCCTCCAGGCCATTTGAATGACGAAATCTCTGGCGCCGTGAGTCCGATGGCAAAGCTCATGGCCATACAGCCGCTTCCCGATATCGCCAAGACGGCCCCCAAGTCTGTGCCCCCTCCCGTCAGCGACATCCCAAGCTCTCCCAACCCAGGCAGTCCGTTTGTCGACCAGCGCTTGTCGGAACAGCTGGCTGAGCCACAGCACCCTCAACACCCACACCTGATAAGCTTTTTCACCTCGCTGGCACTGTGCCACTCCGTCCTCGTGTCAAAGTCCAGGACATCTGGGCAGCTGCAGTACAAGTCGTCGAGCCCCGACGAGGAGGCCCTGGTGCAGGCTGCTCGCGACATTGGCTTTATTTTTCTCGGCCGCGAGAACACAACCATCATTGTGCGCATTCGCGGTGAGGAAAAACGATACCAGCTGCTCCAAGTCCTTGAGTTCAACTCGACGCGCAAGCGCATGAGTGTGATTGTGCGCACTCCAGAGAACGAAATCGTGCTGCATTGCAAAGGCGCTGACTCGGTGATATACGAGCGGTTGGCACCGGGGCAAATGTTCCTGAAGGAAGAGACATCCACGCACCTGGAGTGGTTCGCGGAAGCAGGTGGGTTTCGAACCATCATGTTGCGTGGGGGTTATTCCATGCCCTGCAGCAAGGCGAGCCGAATGTTGGATGCTGGTGCTGCGTGCCTAAATCGCGTGAACTGCTATCGGATCTCAACATTAACGACTACCTCTCCATTTGGTGCGTGCGGTCTGAATCAATCTGCCTGAATCAATCTGCCTGAATCGATCTGCCTGAATCGATCTGTCCGAATCGATCTGTCTGAATCAATCTGTCCGAATGCGTCTCCAACGGCACGGGCCGGAGCTCAGGCTTGAGGACGCTCTGCATTGGCACCTCCAAGATCAGCGAGGACATGTATGAAAAGTGGAGGCAAGAGTACCACGCGGCCTCGTGCGCACTTGCCGACCGAGATGCCAAGATGGAGGAGGTTGCGGATCGCATCGAGCAGGGCTTGACGCTTCTGGGAGCGACAGCGATTGAAGACAAGCTGCAAGACGGCGTACCCGAGTGCATCGAGTCGCTGTCAAGAGCGGGCATCAGGATCTGGGTCCTGACGGGCGACAAGCTCGAGACAGCAATCAACATCGGATTCTCATGCAACCTGCTGACCCGTGATATGGATCTCATTCTCATCCGCGGTGGATCCGAGGGAGCTGATTCGCCCGACACAACCGTCAGCCAGATGAAGGATGCCTTGGTCCGGTTCTGGGGCCATCCAGACGACGATTCCAAGAAACTCGCCCTCATCATTGATGGCAGCGCGCTGCGGCGCGCTCTCGACGAAGCCGGTCGCTCGCTGTTCTTCCAACTCGGAACACGATGTGCGGCTGTGATCTGCTGCCGCGTCAGCCCGCTGCAAAAGGCCAAGGTTGTGGAACTGGTCAAGGAGTCGAGCAAAGATGTGATGTGCCTCGCGATCGGAGACGGCGCCAATGATGTGTCCATGATCCAGGCGGCCCATGTTGGAGTCGGCATCGCCGGAGAAGAGGGGCTGCAGGCAGCTATGGCATCAGACTACACCATAGGGCAGTTCAAGTTCCTGAACCGGCTACTTCTGGTGCACGGACGCTGGTCGTATGTCAAAATTGCGCAAATGATGCTGTGCTTCTTCTTCAAGAACATCATTCTCAGGTAAGACCCATCGCCCAGGAGCTCGAGGGATGTGTTTGCAATGCACCACACAGCGCACATCAGTCCAATAATTCGATGAGCTGCCAAACGTCGCACATCGAATGCTAGGGCTGTCGCAACAGCTCCGCGATGCTGACCATAGTCGTTGCTTTGAACCAACTCGATCGCGGTGATAGCATGGCGCTGTTCTGGTTTCAGTTCCTCTGTGGATATTCCTCCGAGATGATTGTGGATGTGACCTATTTGTGAGTTTGCCGGCCTGATTCTGTACAGGCGCATTGGCTCAATGGCTGCACCTACTTGTGTCAGCACTTGGTATTGGACGGTAGCTACTCTGCCAGGCTTTCGTCTCTGCTGACATGGATTGATGGATCCACTGCCGGCACATTGCCTGCAGTCGATGACACCGTATCTGGGTCTGACATTGGACTGACAACTTTGCATCTATGGCAAACGGTGCAATTTCCAGGATTGTATACAACCTCTGGCTCACCTCTCTGCCAGTGGTTGTGATCGGCTCCTTCGACCAAGACACCACCGAGGTTTATGCATTGTTGGCACCACAGCTCTACCAAAGCGGCATGCGCCACGAAGCATTCACGCACTGGCGATTCGCCATTTATATGTTCGAGTCGATCTACCAATCGCTTGTGTGCGCATTCATCCCGATTGGCGCCTACTGGGAAGGCCCGTTCGACAACACTGGTCAACTTGCTGGATCCGGCGAGCTTGGAATTGCGATAGCCGTGTGCGCCATCTTCAACGCCAACATGTTCTGCGGGATCAACACCAACTCGTGGACATGGATGTCCTTTGCGGCCATGTACGGATCAAACGTGGCTGTTCTGCTCTGGGGCATGGTGATGGCGTATATCCCCAGCTCCGGAATCTACCTTGTGACGAATCAAGTCTATGAGACGCCGAGATTCTGGTCGACGTTTGTTCTCGCGACGATCGTGTGTCATCTGCCGCGCATCTGCGCCATGTCACTGCACCGCCTCATCGTTCCAAGCGATATTGAGGTGGTGCAGGAGATGCAGAGCCGCGGGTGGACGCAACAGCTACTCCCGCTTCTGGAGCGACGAAAGTCAGTGATGATTGTGCCCTCTCGGATCTCAAGTGGCCGTCCCAGCACAATCTCGCCGGCAAGCGGCAGCGGAGGCGTCGTAACCTTTGGAGGCGTGAACGCCATCGGAGGCGACGAAACCGGATATGACGACGACGAGGAGGAAGTAGAGCCCATGGGCCTCCATGGCCCGTATCACCCGGCCAGTGCCGACGATGCTCTGGTGGAGACATCCTCGACCGATTCGTTCTCAAGGGGCTCGCCGGCTGGCCCAGGACGGAGCGGACGCTCAGCGCCGCCACGGCTGCAACGCAAGGACAGCGACGCCGACGCCGATGCCGATACCGATGCCAATGGAAGAGCAGTGGCCGAAGCGCTATCCAAGCCGGAAACGGAGCATGTCCCTCGCTCAGACTCTGGCAAGCCCGGAGTCTCGTTCAACATCGGGCCCCGCATTCGTCCCCAGAGCGGACCGACAGAAGAGAGCGACCGACTCAAGATTACGTTCCAGCGGCCATCAAGCGCCGGCAGCGTGCTGGCCGAGGTGGGCAGTCACCTGACGGTCATGAAAACCGGCGAGATCCTGAGGAATCGGGGGTTCTCATTCTCCCAGTCCCCTGGTGCTCGAAACGTGGTGATGCCGAGCGAGCAGCGACAGCCACGACGCAAGACGGTAGGGACGACAGAGAAGCCTGTAATCGATATCCAGAAGGATGTGATTGGACCCAAGCCGCGGACAACACGGGGGTCGCTGCAGACGGGAGGAACGGGTTTGCCGATACCACGACCGACGGTCCGCAAGATCGACAAGAAGGGAGGCGAAGGCAGCGAAAAGAAGGCTGCGGAGGGAGAGCGCAGGGCGGCTGCTGCTGACGGCGACCGGAAGGTCGGAGAGCCAGGCGGCGTCGGAACAGGTTCCGGGACTGGTGCTGGTGGAGGGAGCTAGACTGCCCGGAAAGGCGAGTGAGCGGCTGTTGCCATGCAATGTACATAGAATACATCGGGTTTCAAAGTGGCTGTATGCCGAGTCCGCCTGAGGGACTCGATGGACGAGAAGGCGCAGCCGATGGGCAACAAAATGCAGCCGATGGGCACAGCTGGCAGAGGACAGGCCGTGGCTCTGGACACACACGGCCGATCCGATGACCATGGAGAGTGTCCCTGGCAACAGGGGTTGGTCGTCCGCCATGCGCGGTGGGAACGCCGGACCCGGACGATCACGGAGGAGCGGGCTTCGGTTCTGGGAGCAGGGTGCGCAGCAGATGGGTCACGGCATTGGTCATGTTTCTCGACGCGTTTGTGGCACGGACGCGGCTACACAGAAGCGAGGGCGAGGGCACGGCGAGAGTGTGCCGAGAGCATAGCGAGGCCGGCCACGATCTCCGTGTCCCCACGTGACAGAGATAAACGCAAGGCGCCGCACGAGCCCACAGCCGCGGCCCACAGTCGCAGTGGGCAGTCGCAGCGGCAGTCGCGGCCAGCAGTTTGTGTGCCGGTGCGCATCTCCGCCGCGCACACACACACCCGCCCCCTTGTTCCCTGGTTCCGCCGGCGCCAGCACTGATAACGATCGGCCATCTTTTATCACACGGCGCGCACGCTGATTGGCCAGCAGCCTCTCGCCGGGTGGCTCTCGCCCGTCTCTCGTCCCGTCTCGTCCCGTCTCGCTCCTCGCTCATCAGCATCCAGATTGCCGCAAAAATTGCATGGCTCGATCGACGCAAACCCTATAAAGGCCCTTCTGCTCGCCGGTGCCAATCGCCTGCTGCTTTGCCCAGTGTCCCCTCCTCTGCCAGGTACGTGCTGTCGCCAGGGCATCCAGACAGCTGCGTTGGGTCGTGTGTTCATCACGATCGTGGCGCAAAGGCGATCTGCAGCACGGGCGGTTCTGCTGCATCGTCCTCAGCTGGCTTCTGGCATTTCAAGACGGCCTTTGCCCGACTCCCCGATCGGCATTCCCGATCCCACTCTCACCAGCAGTCTGTCCCTGTGCAACTTCCAGGCTTCTCTGCCCGCATTCTCGTCTCGTCTCAACCCGGCTACTAGCTGATCTCGAATCACAACCATGTGTGGTATCTTTGCTGTCTTTGGCTACGGCGGAAACATCGACGCCTTCCGATCAACAGCCGTGCAGCTGTCGAAAAAGTAGCGTATCCCACTGTTTGTGCAGAGTTGCCATTCGTCATGCCAGTGTCCGTGCAGAGTGATGTGTTCGCCGTCGCCGCATGACTCACTTTGTGTCCCCTGGTTCTCGCAGAGTCCGCCATCGTGGCCCCGACTGGTCGGGTGTCAAGGTGTCTGGCAACAACATTCTGTGCCACGAACGTCTTGCCATCGTTGGTGTTGGTATGTGCTATAGCATTCCGGCATTTTCGCCCGTTCGCGCTTGGCTGTCGATTCCGTTGCGACTGCCCGCTAACTGGCTTCGCCAAACCCGAATCGTCCACTCGCAACAGACTCTGGCGCCCAGCCCCTGACCAACGAAGACGACACCATCATCCTGGCTGTCAACGGTGAGATCTACAACCACATCACTCTCCGCGACCAACTGAAACAAGAGCACACCTTCAAGACCCACTCGGACTGTGAGATTATCCTGCATCTGGTGCGTACGACACTGCGGCCACGAGTCGACGATACGCTTGCTCCTCGCTGTTCAGTCGCTCTATGAGTTTAGCTTTGTCTTGCATACCTTGAAGGGGCCGGCACTGACTGGCTAGCCGATCTGGTTCTTTGTCGCTCGCCTTGTTCCGCATGCCTGCTGCTGCAAACCCACCAGTACGAGGAGTACGGCGAGAAGGTCGTCTCGATGCTCGATGGCATGTTCAGCTTCGTCCTCTACGACAGCAAGAAGGACCTGTACCTCGCCGCCCGCGACCACATCGGCATCACCACCCTGTACCAGGGCTGGAGCGCCTCGGACAACTCGCTGTGGTTCGGCTCGGAAATGAAGTCGCTCAGCGAGCACTGCAAGCGCATCGTTGCCTTCCCGCCCGGCCATTACTACATCAGCACCACCGGCAAGCACCAGCAGTACTACCACCCCGAGTGGTTCAACCATCCCCAGCAGGGCCTCCCCGTTCTTGCTGACGAACAAAAGGTCAACACCCCCGAGGAGGACACCGCTATGTACACCGCCATCCGAACAACCCTGGAAAAGGCCGTCAAGAAGCGTCTGATGAGTGAGGTGCCCTACGGCGTCCTGCTCAGCGGTGGCCTGGACTCGTCGCTCATTGCTGCCATCGCTATGCGCCAGCGCAAGAGAGCCAACGAGGAGGAGTTCACCGGCCAGCACACCGTCGACCCCGATGATGATGGCGACACCAGCGGTAAGCGTCCCAGCTTGCCCACACCGCCATTGGGCTGTAATACGCCTCATGAAGCACAGCAGATGCAACCGAGGACCCCTGCTCACACTCGTTGTGCGCCCATCAATCGGACTGTGCCATCGCACTGGCCGACCCACTTGTTCTGACATCCACTTGCCACTCTGTGCCCCAGTCGCCATTTCGATTTCCTCGGCCTGGCCCCGCCTGCACTCATTCTCCATTGGCCTGCCCGGTTCGCCCGATCTGATCGCTGCTCGCCGTGCCGCCAGCTTCCTCAAAACCCTCCACCACGAGTACACCTTTACTCTGCAAGAGGGCATCGACGCCCTCGAGGACGTCATCTACCACCTCGAGACCTACGACGTCACCACCATCCGCGCCTCGACTCCCATGTACCTGCTCTCGCGCAAGATCAAGGCCATGGGCGTCAAGATGGTTCTCAGTGGCGAAGGCAGTGACGAAATCTTTGGTGGTAAGTGCGGCACTGTCGCCGTTCTGTGATGAGAGCTAGGCACTGTGTGGCCCTGGCGCCGTGATGGTGCACAGCAACGGTATCTAACCAGCGCCATATTGGCTCCCCTCAGGCTACCTTTACTTCCACAACGCCCCCAGTGCCCAGGCCATCCACCACGAGACCATCTCGCGTGTCCAGAACCTCCATACCAGCGACTGTCTCCGCGCCAACAAGTCGACGATGGCCTGGGGTCTCGAGGCCCGTGTGCCCTTCCTGGACAAGGCCTTCCTGGATGTGTGCATGCAAAAGATCCCGGCCAACCACAAGCTGACCAAGCAGGGCCCCTACCACCACAAGATGGAGAAGTACGTTCTGCGCAAGGCCTTCGACACTCCCGAGAACCCTTACCTGCCCGATGAGATTCTGTGGCGCCAGAAGGAGCAGTTCTCGGATGGCGTTGGCTACAGCTGGATCGACGGCCTCAAGGACCACTCGGCCACCTCTGTCTCGGACGAGGACTTTGCTACCGCTGCCACCCGCTTCCCCCACGACACCCCCACGACCAAGGAGGCCTACTTTTACCGCACCATCTTTGAGCGACTCTTCCCTCAGGAAGCCTGCCTCGAGAGCGTCGTCCGATGGATTCCCCGACGCGACTGGGGTACGTTGCAGTTCGTCAGCGTCCCGCACTCTGTTTGCAATGCTTTGCGTCTGTCTACGGCTCCCATCGGTGGCATTCCCGGCCGCGGCTGGTGGTCCTACCCGACTCGCTGACTCAGTTGTGCTAACGTGCTCCCACCTGTACCCGACAAACCCACAGGCTGTGCCGAGGATCCTTCCGGTCGTGCTCAGAAGGGCCATCTTGAGGCTCGTCCTGACCTCTTCTAAACGCGAATGCCTCAGGTTTTCCTTTGGCTTGTTGATGAAGCCAATTTTACGTCTAGAGCGCACCCAAAAGCGAAACGAGACGCCCCTGTTTTGGGTCTTTGTTCTGGGTCTTGAATATACACCCACTCACCATGTCCAAAATATCATGTCCAAGGGGCTGGCGTTGTGCTTCCACGAGGCCCACTCCCCAAGGCAGCCACGAGAGGGAAGGGATACCTGTCGAGTCCACGGGTCCACGGATCCTCAGGCTCGCCAAGTGCCTGGAACGGTTGCTGTGGGCCCGTTTCTCAACGGAACGACATGGCATCGCGTGTGATTTATTGGCCGCACCATCTGCTTTGCCAGTTGCGTGCTTATCGTGTTCCCGCTTCTCTATGCATTCATGATCTGATCTTCGAGGATCGTCCAGCTCTGGGCCATCTTTCTCGCAATCTCCAGCTCCCGAGGCTTCAGCTGTCCTCGGTAGCTGGGCTGGGCGGGCTTCATGCAGAACGGCGATGTCTCCGTCTCCCATTCCCACTCTACATCCTGATATGAATAGTCCGTCGCCCAAACAGTGAGATTCAGGGTGTTGTGGCCGCCGTGGGTGTACTTGTTGGCGATGATGCCGCCGTTGAACCAAAGAGGGTTGCCATCCTGGTCCGGATGATGGAGCCCGCCGCAAACCCACTGCGGCTTGGTCGGGTGTGGGTAGCCTACGGCGCCGCCAGCGGGATGGTTGAAGGCATAGGGCTGCTTGCGGAGCTCGTGGGCTATCCACCATGTCTCTTTGTCGCCTGAGGAACGAGCCACCACAATGACCCAATTGTCAGCACAAATGCACGGATATTCATCTGGGCTCGTCCAGTGTCTCAAGCCAATGCACATCCAATCGCTGCGCGCCTTTCTTACCATGATAGATCCTCCAGAGATCCTGACGAAAGTCAACCGAGTTCATCTTGCACACCAGCAGGAGCGTAAAGAACCCGTCGATCTTGTTCATGACAATGACTCCGGACTCGCCGTCGTGCTGGCTCAAGCCGCGCACGAGCCGGCCGGCAGCCGCATAGTCGGATGGCTCCGGGACAACGCTCTTGAAGTACTTGAGCGGCTCGTCTGAAAACGGTGTGATTGTGCGGTCGCGGAACAGAAGCACGCCCGTGGACTTGTATGCGTCTTGCTCGAAGAGTACGACCGGGTCCTGGAAGAACAGAGCGTCGGCGTCCACAAAGATGGCTTCGGCAAAGGATGACAGCAGCAGGGCATATGGCTTGGCCGCCCAGCCCGTCACGGCGGGCTCGTGCACATCTATCAGCCGCGACATGTCGATCACCTTGACCCTGGGGATCTGCTGCAAGAGAGAGATCTGCAGCTCGCCGAGATCCTGCTGGCCAACGTAGAAGATCTCGATCGGGAGCTCGGACTTGAGGATGGTGCGGATCACATGGATGGCGTGGAAGGCGAACCGGAAATGCCAGTATCCCGTCGTCATAACAATCCCCCGGGTGTCCTTGTAGGAGCGCACAATATCCGCAATGGTTTCGGGCGGAGTTGGGGCGGAGTCGCTTGGAGTTGGGTTCTTCAGACCGTCTTCTTCCAGCTCCTCCATCTCGCGGATGGCCATCTGGCGTTTCATGTCCCTCAGCAGAAAGGGGAACATGCGGTCCTCCATGTAGTAGATGGCATCGTCGAGCTCTCGAATCATGGCCGAGTCTAGGTGCTTCATCAGCTTGGAGCCCTCGCCCTTCATGTTGTAGCGCAGCTTGAAGAGATCCGCAAAGACACCGATCTCGCTCGTCAGCCTGACGATGTCGTCCCGCACGAAGGGCTGTCGTCGCACGTTGTTGAAGGCATCCAATGTCGCATAAATGTCAGGCACGGCGCGGTCGGCCGTGGGAGTTTGCACGCCTTTGGCTTCAGAGATTTCTCGGACGAGTGGCCCGGGACTGTCCACGACGGAGACGATATGGCGCCAAGGGAAGAGTGAGGAGCGACGAAGTGGTTAGGCGGATGAGGGCAGCGAGAACGAGGCAATTTGCTGGGTGGCGGGAGGTGCCAAGCGGATGCTCGTGTCAATCGATCCGAGTCTGGGCCATGCGCTCTGAGACATTGGCATCGTTTTGGCCGTGAATGCAGCCTACCGAGTCAGCAGTATCGATCCATAGAGCAGGAGCGAGACAATTGTGGCAACAACAATCGGCGTCCACCGCTTCCCCAGGGACAGATGCGAATACGCCCGGAGATAGAGCATGCCTGAGGACGACGCGTGATATTCGGGGGGAACTTGCTGGAGTATCGAGACCAGGGGCTCGCAGGCTGATCGGAGCGGCTCCTGCCCTTTTATTAGACCGCACAGTCGGAGGCTGCCACGGGCTTTCGCCTCTCTCACCGATTCTGACAGCACCATCGGTCAGCAACGAGGTCCTTTGGCGAGAGTTTTGGCGCCAAAAGGACCCACCAATATCGGCACTGGCCAGAAAGCGGTCGGAAGGCCGTGGCCCTGCTCGAGCACAACAACGACAGGGTGTTCGGAGCAGGGGGCCAGGGGTTCCCGTTCCCGCCAAGCCAAAGCCCGTGAGGAGCCAATGGCCCTCTCCAACTGCAGCCCTCACAGTGAAATGGGGCATCCAACCAGAACTCCCTGGCGATGCCTCCTCTGAATCTCGGGTGCACAGCGCTGTCGACAGCATCCTTGGCTGTACCGCCGCACCACAACGGTATGATGCCATGGACCGTGCTGCCGCCTGCACAAGTTCACTTCCGCACTCGCTGCAGCCGAGGGTTGCATCGACCGGCTCTTGTGCCTGGTGCACGCCGAGCGGTGCTTTTATTCGGACTTGCCAAGGATCGACACAAATAGGCTCTCCACATCGGCGTGAAAGTGCTTTCCGGAGAGCTGGCCAGCGACATCGAACCAGCCGCCGATGCTCTTGTGTATCTTTGCTGATTTGCTCTTGCCCTGTACCGAATAGATGACCTCGATCGTAAACTCGGACGAGTACTTTTTCTGAATCGTGTTGATGGTGAGCTTGGCCTCGGTCTGCGAAGAAGGGAGCGGAGGGAAGAACACGACAGAATGCCTTGTTAGTAGTGCACGGAGATCCGGACGCTGATCCAAAAGCCTCAGATATCGAACTGATGATGCTGCCCAAGGCACCGAAGGACACATGTCGGGCGGGGAGGGCACATCAGCGAGGCTAGCCGCATTACCTTGCCATCCGCGAGCTTCTTGTGTCCGACAAAGATTGCGTTTTTCTCGACCAGATATCCGTACAGAGTGAATATGGCGTTGAAGACAAAGTAGCTGGATGATTTGGCACACATGTCGATCGGCATGAGTACGTGCACACAGGCGTGGGAGCAGGCTGTGGTCAGCAAAGGTCTCTACAATGCAGCAGACGGGCGGGTAGGCACTGAGTCCTTCGGTGATCGACACATACAGAGCGACGCAGGCCCAGATCACAGGCTTGGACTGCTCGAATGGGTAGATGTAGTTGTATCCAAAGGCCACGAGCGAACACAGGACGCAGCCGTATCCCGAGGCCAGCTTGACATCTGTGTGGACAAAGCTCTGCTTGAAGTCGTAGTCCAGAGTGGCGATCTGCATGCGCAACCCGGCCGAGATAGGGACAGTCGATGAGCAGCCATGGAGAGATCGCCTTGCTATCGGCTCGCCTCAGGAGAGCAGCGCGGCGACGATCTGGGAGACTCCCCGCCCCATGAAGCCGGCTGGACCGTCCGAACGAAACCGACCTGCTGCAGAGCATGGTCCAGCGCCAGCTTGACCTCGTGGTTGTTGTAGTGATTGATGACAACCGGATGCTCCTCTGCATAGCCGGGGCCCAGGAGGCGGGATGGCATCCGCCAAGTTAGGTGGGCAGCGATGTGCCATAGGAAAGAGGGGCAGGTTGCGCAGCGCAACAACACGAGATGGGCGGAAAGGCAAGTCCGAGCAGAGACCCACCCTGATCCTTCAGATACTTGGACATGGCGACACGATGCAGGCTGGATGCGATGGGATGGGATGGGATGGGATGGGATGAATGGGATGTGGGCTGGATGGAATGGGATGTGAGGACGAGCGAGTGGAGCGAGACCCTTGTCTCTTGCGGGCCCTTGTCTCTTGCCGTGCTGCTTTCCCTTTTCTCTTTCTATCGGCATTCCGTGCACGCGCCACAGAACCCGTGCTGCTGCGCATCGCCCTCGCTGTCCGCCCTTGCGCCGCACGCCGTTCCCACCGCCCTGTCGCATGGTTCTGGCCGCATCTCGCCTGCGCGTGGTGGCCTCTCGCTTCGTTGTCCAAGCCAATGCGGTTTCGGCTGTCGACGGCCCTCTCGCTCGCCATCCGGACTCGGGCCCGCTGCTCTCATCGACCTGCTGCTGTCCTGCCGCCCCAGACCCAAGTGCCATTCCCCAAGACCCAGCTTCTCGTCCGATCCATGTACACGAACGCTCGAAGCGGCGCTGCCGCAGATGCCCCGATGCAGAGCCGGGCTCACTACGACTTTCGCTCCGACACCGTCACGGTGCCAACCAAGGAAATGGCGCTGGACATGATCCAGTGCGAAGTTGGCGATGATGTCTTTGAGGCAAGTCCCGGAATCGGCGAACCGCAATCTGTGGTGATGTCGACATCGTGCTCGGGACTCAAACTTGCTGGGGGCTGACACTCGGACAGAGATTGTCCTGCATTCATGTCCGTCGCGGCCCGGGAACCTCACACATCTTTGCCGCATGAATCGCTGTGCAGGAGGATCCCACCATCAACGCCCTGCAAGACTACATGGCGGACATTACCGGGCATGAGGCGGCACTGTTTTGCGCAACAGCCACCATGACCAACCAGGCAAGCAAGCCTACGCCGGCAGCACGACGGCCGATCCGCTGATGTCGCTGGCCAGCCGATATCGGATTCCACTCGAATCGGTTGGCCACCGGGCTCCGGGCTCATCCCCTTCATTTCTCGTTGGCGCACTCAGGTTGCGATTCGCTCTCATCTGCAAGTCCCGCCGTACAGCGTCGTGTGCGATCGACGAGCCCACGTCTTTCGATACGAGGCTGGCGGCATATCCTTCCACTCAGGTACGCGAGCAGTCTTCTCACCCTAGCGGTAGTCCAAAGCCCCGGCCCTTTGAGCAGCCCTTGCCTGACCTTGCGGCTGTCCTGACCCGCTGCAATATCTGGAATCTCACCACGCCGACTTGTCGACCCAGGTGCTGCCGTCAACCCGGTCCTGCCGAAGGAGGGATACCACCACCTGACCGCGGACGTGATTGAAGCCAATATGGTTCTCGATGACGATGTGCATTTTGCTCCCACTCAACTTGTTTGCATCGAAAACACCCTGAACGGCGAGGTATGTCGGGTTTTACGATTGCGTCCGCGGACGGTTACTGGGCCTACAATCGAGTTTGGGTCGAGTGTGTTGCTCGCGCTGACAGCAGTCTCTGCCTTGCAGATCTTTCCCCTTGACGAAATCAAGTATGTGCCCAAATCTTGAACCAGACACTGGCATTCGGGAGCAGAAGGATATATGCGATGTTCAGCGAGACGAGAATCGGGCATATGTTCATGGCCAGTGAAATTGAGATCGCGACGCTGACACAGACTTGTGGTTGATGCAGGAAAATCTCGCAACTTGTCCGCTCCAAGGGCGTGCGCATCCATCTTGACGGCGCCCGACTGTGGAATGCAAGTGTGGCCACCGGCATCAGCATTAAGGAGTACTGCCAGCAGTTCGACTCGGTAAGCCACGGATGCGACCGGACAGCGGTCGCCGATTGATTAGTTGTGCGCAACGGCACGCCCATCGGATGGAACGTGGATACGGGTGCAGGCACACGTCCACCTCACTGGCTGTTCGAAGTTGCTCGATGGTATCTCTGGCTCACGTGCATCCATATACTTCCTCCGATCCCACGCTTCCAGGTCTCTCTCTGTCTGTCCAAGGGCCTCGGTGCCCCTGTTGGCTCTGTCCTCGTTGGTATGTGCCTTGTGCATCTCCTGCTCGAGCGAGCCCGCCGGTCACGACCCCGATCTCATGGTTTCAACATTGCGGCTCCGCCGTCGTGGTCTCGTTTCAGGATCCAAGACGTTCATCAAGAAGGCCAGACATATCCGCAAGGTCTTTGGTGGCGGGTAGGGCTCGCATGTGCTGCGGCGTTCGTTGTGGTTCGATCGGCCATCGGAAATAACGTTTCTTCCATCGCATACTGTGCGTTGTGCCAGCTGGAGACAGGCAGGCATCCTTGCGCGTGCTGGTCTCTATGCCATCGAACACCACCTACCCAATCTCAAGCGAGACCACGAGCATGCCAAGATCCTCGCCAACGGCCTCGTTGAGCTTGGGTTTGTGCTGGTGCACCAACCCCACACGAACATGGTCTTCTTTGACGGCAAGAATGTCAAGCTCCCCGGTGGCGACGGCTTCACGATGGAAAAGTACTCGGCGATGCTGGCTCGTCACGGCATCAAGGTCTTTGGTGGCGAAACAAGCAGCGGCCGGCTCGTCCTGCACCACCAGATCCCGACGGAGGCGGTCGAGCTGCTCTTGCGAGTGACCAGGGAATGGATCCAGACGGGCAACTGATCCGACGACACCCCAATACATGCGATGACGACTCCCATCGTGACAGGACCGCATCATGTCGCAGCGGTGTGATGTCGCAGCGGTGTGTGACGCCTGCCCCTCCCACCCGGTTCTCTCCGGGCCACGTCGCTGTATTGCCTCGGCGCTCAGCCCAAGATCGCAGAGTCACAGCGCCCCGTCCCCCGCAAGCAGGCTGAACCCGCGGCCCATGTGAGGGTTGCGCCTCCGCCGCGGCAGATCCGCTGGACAGCCCAGCATGACGGACAGGAGAAGGCCCGGGGTTCAGGCTGAAGGGCGGTGACGAAACCAGGATGCGTCGCGCAGCACACTCGATCCGGCTGCGCACGCCCTCGATCCGGCTGGCGCGCACTCGAGCCAGCAGTCTGTGTGCGTCTGAGCGGTTCGAGCCGGCCCGCCGCCGCCCTTTTCTGCCGTCCGCAGCCCTTCGCCCTCGGCCTTTGCCTTCTCTCCCCGTCGCCCCCCGAGGGACTACGCATGAGCAGTCGTCTCCTGCCCTGATCGCCCTTCCGTATCGGCCCCTGTCCTGAGTGCCTGCCTCCAGCCCCGTGTCCCCACCGCTGTGTCCGTTTCAGGCGTCGCAAAGCGCATTTTTAGCCCCCACAAGGCCCCTCTGCCGATCGCAGCCCGCATCCCGCAGCCGTCCGTCTCAACCGGTCCGTTCCGCCGTCGACTCGGCTCGACTCGGCTCCGCTCCGTTCGCAAATGACTACGCTTCCATCTGGCCTTCAGGGCCCAACCAGTGGCGCCCATGATCATGGCGATAGCGACAACATCGTCATCGCCAGCGCCGGCGGCCACGATGCTGCCCTGGACGGCGCCACCGCAAGTGGCACCAGCAACCTCGACGGCTCCTCTGTCGGTGCTGTCGGAACCCAGGTCAACTCAAAGTCCATCGCCGCCGACACCTCCAACGCAACCGCCGCATCCGGCCCTGGCACCAATAGCCACCCCCTCCTTCTCCTCTCGTTAATCGCCAATGCTAACAACGGAGGCAACGCTGCCTCGGCTGGCCTCGCCGCCGATGCTGCCGCCGAATCGGGTGCAGGCGCGGCTCCATCCAGCACGGCCGGTCCCTTTGCTTCAAATCCAGCCGGCACTCTCTCGGTCCCGTCTTCGGCTCCTGGTCCTCTGCTGGCGTTCGAGCCGTCGTCGGTCTCGATGGCCGATCCGGCGGCGCTGGCTGCCGCTGTCGTCAGCCAACAGCTTGGCAGTGTCAACGCGCCTGCCCTGACAAACCTGTATTCGTCTCTGCTTCAGCAGTTCAATGTCATGTCAGGCGGTCGTCCCGGCGCCGCTGCGAGCTCGCTGCTGGGAGCCCATCCAATTCACTCTCCCAATGTGCTCGACCAGAGCCGCAGCGGGTCAAAGTCGGCCGACGCCGCCAAGTCCCTGGCCAAAGACGATGCCTCCAAGGCCGCAGTTTCCTCCAACCTGGACCTGTACTATCAGACGCTCCTGAGCTACGATCTGCTCTCGCAGCTCTCCCAGCACCAGCAATTCATCCTGCGGCAATCGCAGCCGGATGCCAAGGACTCGTCTGAGCCGCAATCGGCAGCCGCCAAACCGGCCGCCCAGCTTCCCCAGAACGCCGCTTCTCTACCACCGTCGTCGTCGGCACAGCAGCTCTCGACGACCGCGGGGTCGAAGCTTCCGCTGGCTATGGATTCGATACCGAATCTGCAAACGCTTTCGCAAAAGTACCTACAGAATCTAGCCGGCAGCAATGCTCTGCAGAACGCCTCGGCTGTCACGCTGCAGCACCACCAAGCTCTGCAGGAGGCCCTCGCGTCGGTAAGTGTCTTTCGCATTGCGGAGTGTGCATATCGCAGTATTCGCTTGCTGCGACAGGTCGGAAGCGGCGCATCTGCTACTGCTCTTCGCTCCGCTCCTGCTCTTCCGCCGCGCCTCCCATGTGTTTGCTGGATTTCCTCGGTCGACACTCTTGCGATCTTGCTCGCTTCGTGCTTCGACTGACCATCTCCTCGTCTGCGATTGCTCTGGTCCCAGGCCGCCGCTGCTGCTGCTCAAGCTCAGGCCGCTGCGCAACACATGCAAGCCGCCGGGGGCACCTCGGCCGGTGCCTCTGATGCTGCTGCGGCTGCCACCGCTGCAGCTGTCGCAACCTCTGTCGCCATTGCTGCATCGGCCAAGGACGCCAAGTCTGCAAAGTCTGGGGAAGCAGGCACTTCTGCCGAGGCCCGCGGAAAGGGTGCTGCTGACTCGAGTCTGGACCGCGAAGAAGAGGCTGCGGTGGCCCTGCTTTCCTGCGTCCATGCCCAGCGCAACTCGTACTACGCCGAGCCTGCAGCAGCCAATGGTGGTGGCAAGCGCTCGGAGGATTCCGAGGCCCGGACCGGCGACGGCGATGGTGACCAAGAGCCCAAGCCCTCGTCCGGCGAGCGTGCCGATGACGCAGAGGAATCTCGAGCACCCAGCACCAGCAGTTCGATCACCCTCGAGCTGCCCACAGCCACAAGTGGCGGGCTCCTGTCGGCCATCCCGGCATCGGCCCTCATGAATCTGACAGAAGAACAACAGCGCCGCTTGCTGGAAGTATTCCGGCAGAAGCAGAGCAGCATCCAGCAGCAACAGTCAGGATCATCGGCGCACCCCGCATCGGGAGCCGTGCTGGCTTCGTCCTCGGATTCACCGCAGTCGACGCCTCAGTCGCCTCAGCAGGCTCCCTCACACAGCGCTCTGCTCCAGCAGCATCTCCACGCCGCCAAGCTGCACCAGCAAATCCAGCAGCAACTGCAGGAGGCCCAGGCGCATGCCTCACAGGGTTTCAACTTTGGTGCCTCGCTTCCGCTCGGCTCGGGCCACGCTGGCAGCGGCGAACTCAGCGGCGACGACCAGGGCCCTGGCGAGCTTGGCGAGGCGCCAGATATGAACCAGATCATGTCAATCAAGCGCAACGCCGCCACGGGCAAGTTCCACTGCCCGTTCCCGATCTGCCGCGAGGCTTTTGCTCGGCGCTACAACCTCAAAACGCACTTTTCAGCGCGACATGCCCAGATCAAGTCGTACATCTGCGAAGAGTGCGGGCGAAGCTTTGCGCGCCGCTACGACCTCAATCGCCACTGGAAACTGGTGCATCTCGTCAACAACCCAAACGGCGTGACTGGCAGCCCAGGGATGTCGCTGATCACACGCGGACGGACCGTCGACAGCCCTCTCGGATCCGGGTCCGATATGACCCAGGTTGGGCTCATGAGCATGGTGGGCCTACAGATTCCGGGCCATCTGAGCCACTTGAGTATCCCGACCAACTCGCATGATCCGGACTCGGTGCATTCGGGCAGCGGAGCTATTGGGCTGTCGGGTCACTCCCTGCACAGCCCAGCCTTCCATGACGGCCGAGCACATCAGTCCCACAACTCGCTTCTGAATGTCGCCCAACACGACTCACAAGCAACCCCTGCGACCACATCGGATTTGGACGACAGCCCCAATGCAAGCTCACACGCCACCACCCTCCAGGTGCCATTTTCGATCCACAACTATGGCGCCATCGGAGCGGACGAGATGAGCTCGCCACTGCCTCCGGCGCCAGCATCGCCATCGGCGGCACAGGAGTCACGGCAACGGCCTCCCACAAGCCCGTCGAGCAAACGCTCGCTGTCCGACATGAAGCACGAGGAGAACGAGGCGATGGTCAAGCGGAAGCGCGACGGATAGAGAGAGACCAGTGAGGGCGAAGCGGTCCGTTGCTCTGGCGGTGTGAATGTGTGTCCCTCCCAGCAAAACCCATTCAGTATATTTGTACACTTTTTCACATCTGACTGCGACGTGCGGGCGATACCGTTTTACAGGGCGATACCGTTTTGCAGGGCGATATTGCTTGCAGCGTGATATCGTTTGCAGAGTATGATTGCCTTCGGCATGCGGGCTCTCCTGCGGCGTCATTCGCCCGCCGGCCAATGACGCACCCGCGCGGCGAAGGCGCCAGAGCCGCAGCGTCCGCACCTCTGTCCCTCTCCTCCATCATCACTTGCGGCCCATCTCCATCTCGTCGTCTGCGGCCTGCCGGTCCCATCTCGGTCTCCATCCTCTGGCCCTCGCATTCCATCATCGGCTCGGCCCAAGCTCGCCGTCCCCAGCACGCCGGTGAGCCTCTCTCCCAATCATCCCATCTTCACAGCGGCGCCGTTGCTGTTTCCTGTTCTGGCTGTTGGCAGCATTTGCCTCGTCGATTGCTTGGTGTCCGACCTGGTTGGATCAGCCGCACCAAGCGATCCTAAAGTCTCTGCGGGCTCGTTACTGGCAGATTCTCACCCATGTGCACTTGGCCGTTCCTTCTCTGCCCCCGCCCGTCGGCTGATTTTGTCTCCGCCGTCTGTCCCGCTGTTGCCCGTGGACTCTTGCATATCCTCGACCCTGACACTGCTACGGCTCTGTTGCTTCTCAGACTTTATTCCAGGATCTGCTCCCGGACCCAGAGCTATTTGACACTGCACATTCGCTCCCTCCTCCCCCAGCTGAACAGCGCCGGCATCCACCATGGCATCGCCTCTGTTTCCTGTTGCTCTCGCCAACCCCATCCCGACCCCAGCGCCCCGCCCGCTTTCATATCCGGAACAGCATCCCCACTCAGCCTTCCACCACCAGCACCAAGGACTGCGGCAGAGCTCCCCAGCTCGGCTAAGCACATCGACATCGCCGCCACTGCAGCAGCAGCAGCAGCAGCAGCAGCAGCCTACCCTGGCGCAGTCTCCTCCGTACCAAGTGAGAGTTCTTCCTCGCCCAGGCTCACCAAACCAGCCAGCCTCCTCGTCGACATCGTCGATGCCCCAGCGCCAAGCGAGCATCCATCGCCCTGATCTGCAGCTGTCGTCGTCGCCGTCGCCGCGCCAACCCCAGTTGTGGCAGCCGGACGAAGATGCACATCAGTGCCGGCATTGCGAGCGCCGATTTACGCTTTTTGTCAGACGGCACCACTGCAGGTATGAGTTCCTTGTCGTCGAATTGAGGCACATGTGGGAGGTGCCGGGAGCGACCGCATGCGGGGACCACGAAGTGGATAGGATAGTGTGTCTGAAATGCCCATTTAACACCGAACCCATCCGATCCGATCCGATCCGATCGGACCTGTTTTCTCTCTCGCGATGTTGTGGCCTGGTGCCTCCGCTCCAACTACGTTGCCAGATGGTGCGGATACATCTTTTGTGATGCGTGCTCGAGTGCGCGGATCTCATTCCCAGGCCAGCCCAGCGACCTCCAGCATCGGGTGTGCGACTCGTGCTTTCTCTTCCTCACCGGTCCCGAGGCTGTGGGCTCGCATGATGACGATGGCGACCTGGGACCTCCTTCGACCTTGAACCTGACGATTGGCACTCCCGGCCGCCTGCGAACAGCGCCGTCGCTGCAGCAAGTACTGAGTTCGTCCGTGTCCTCGATCCGCCGGGGCATCGAGGGCCTTCTAGTCCGGGACGATCACAACGAAACTGACGACGACGAGCCCGGCGACGACCGGCACGCATACGGCGATGGCCATGGCCATGCGGGTGCGCACGAGTCTATCGACGGCCGGTCCTTGGCCGCCAGCGTCATGAACGAATGCCCTGTCTGCCAGACGCCCTTGGATCATGCCAGCATGGGCGAGGACGAAATCGCCCAGCACATCAACGATTGTCTGACCGGAGCTAGTGGCGGAAGGAAGTCTGTCGAGATCCGGGGAAACCGATATCTGAGTAAGTGTGCGAAGCTGTCGGCGACGGAGCCGTATGGCGAAATCTGCATCGCGGGTCCCTCTGACGATCCCTTGGGCGACCTCGTTGGGAAGAACACATCCTGGAACTAACCCTGTCGATGTTGATCATTGCTCAAGCCCAAACCCTGGCCGAAGATATCCCCAACAAGGAATGTGCTATATGCTTTGATGAATTCACTGCCGGTGAGTGCAAGATCTGCTGTATGCTGCTGTGCTGCTGTGTGCTGTGGTCGCTCCACGAACGCCGCGCCATGATCGATGCCAATGCCATGATCGATGTCAATGCCATCCAACGCCATCGACCCTGAGGCTGACAGCCAAGCGATCTGCTTTGGACTGGTCTAACAACCCGCTCGCCCACTGCCCCTCGACAGGACAACGCATCGCCCGGCTCAAGTGCTTGTGCATATACCACGCCGACTGCATCCAGTCCTGGTTCCGGACGACGGCGCAAAAGACCGGCGTGGCCACCTGTCCGGTCCACACGCTATGAGGCATGTCGCTACCGGCGTCTCCGTTTCTATCGCAACCATCATCACCACCTGCCTTTGCTTCCTCCCCCACCCCATCACTTGCCTTTGCTTCCTCCCCCATCACCACAACCCAAATGATGACTGTATTCCCCCTCGCCATAGCCTTCGACTCGCATGTCACGTCCCATGACGTGTATCGCCGTAGATCTGCGTCGATCCGGGCCGATGCCAGGTCCGCCATTGGATATGCAGAATCGCCATGAGCGATTGTGTCTATGGCGTCCCCTGGCCAACCGCCCTGTCTCATCTGGACATGGATATCGCTCCATCCATTTCTATTTCTCTCCCTCCGCCATGTACAGCGGGTTCCTTCTTACTTTCTTTCTTTTTTTGGATTCTCACATCACTCGGTTTTCTCTCCACCAAAGCATTACACCACTGTTTTCGTTCAAACATCTCTGTGCATGCCGATGACTCCCAGGAGACGGCATCGATAAGATTTGCTCATGAGCTGGATGCCAAACACTGTGCACGTTCAGTTCCACCGGCCCCTCCCATCGTCTTCCAAGCGCATTCTGGGCCGCCTTCGAGTGAGCACACGGAGGTGGACGGAGCGAACGAGAGAGCGAGGGTTGGACAGAGAGAGAAATAGTATTGCTGTGCGAGAGAGGATGTGCTTTAACCTCGGGTGAACTTTCCGACAATATGAAGGATAAAGACGGAGGCAATGAATGTCAGAGATCCGACAAGAACGACGACAGGGTCACTGGAGCGGGCAAAGAGCCGGCGGTCGAGTTTGAAGAGCGCAGCAAGCGATGTTTCGATGCGAGGAGGAAGAAGGCGAGGGGGCAATGGATCCGTTGGCGAAAGTGAAGAACCAGCCGAGAATTGTCAGCGAATGGCCATACTTTTAGCGAATGACCAAAGTGTAGCACACGGCAGAGCCCACTCGCACCAACTGCGCTCGAATCTGCGATTCAGATCTGCGCCATATCCAGTGATCTGCACCATCATATACAGTCGGCTGGCTCCATTCAATCGCCCAGGAAAGGGGCAAATCCTGGACTGGAGTCGACCACAGCCCGCAACAGGGGAAGCGCCTGCCATTAACGGTCCACTCACACTTGAATTCCAGGAGCGTCGTCGGTATACATCTTCAGCATCTGTCCGGGCTGTTGAGGCGGGCGTTGAGTGGCAGCAGAGGGTTTTGGGGCAGCTCTTCTTCGGAGAGAGGCAGCAGTGCGGGGGGTAACGGGGCCGTCAGCCTAAGTCGCAGTGTTGCGAGGAACACGGGGGAGGGGAGCGAAGGGGAGACGATCGGAGGGAAAACAGAGTTAGAACCCGATCCCGGAGGGAAAGCTGAGGAGACATCGATGCCTCTGGAGACTCTCTCCAAGGTCCTCCAGCGCAAGCCATTGCTGTGATGGGCGCGATCTGCCGGCCGATCGACCACCCTCCCCCTCGACTTGCTTCGACACCGCCCGATCCGCGCCGACGTCCCGATCGCTCTCCTGCACACGCCAACTCTGTAGGGCGCTTCTGGAAGCTGGCGCTCTACCAGTCCTTCGCAGCCTGCCAGCGGTGGGATCGGCGTCGTCCCGCAGCAATATCCGTATACGTGTGCGAGGGATCGAGCCGAATGGCCAATGCTTGGTATGCCAGAAAGGGGTAGAGCCTCTTTCCCTCATCCGGCCCAGTTCGGTCGATCCTCGGGGGGCGATATACGGACACGCCACAGACACTGCACGCCCCCACCCACTCTGCCGAAGAGAGTGTCGCCTCTGCCCGGGGCTTGATTCATTACCATGTTTGTTTAGTTGAGTCGAGTTGGGTTGGGTTGGGTTGCGATGGGATCGGCGAGTCTGGGGCAGTCAGCCACGAAGGAGAGAGATGCGATGAGGCGAACAGAAGAGAGCGCGGGGCAGGAGATTCCCGAGATCCGGCGATGGGAGGAGGGTCGGTTGGGTGTTGGTTTCGAGGCCCGAGAGGGAGGGGAAGGACGAGGCGACAGCAACAGGGGAGAGAGAGCAAAACGCAGGAGCCAAGCGACTCTGCGGAATCTCGAGATGGCGAAAACCCAAGCAAGAGGCAGTTCTGTGTCGCGGGCGCACAGCGAGCCGGGCGAGGCGAGGGCGAGATGCACCGACAAGACAGCCAGCCGTGCTGTGCCTGCTGTGCTTGTGTGTGCTCGGCGGGGAGCGAGGACGCCAGCGAGAGCGATCGCTGTGGCAGCAGCGCCGCGTCCAAACGGACCAATCGCAGCATCGCAGCACATTCCCGCCCCGTCCCCGTGATCGCGCGAGGGCTCGATCCGCCTCGGTTTAGGGCTGGGGCTCGGAGAACCCTTGCCGCGCCCTGGCGGTTTGCGTTCTCGCCATCACAGGGCCCGATCGACGGCGCTTTCTTCGGAGCCGCCATCGCCATCGCCATCGCCTGTGCCATCGTAATCACCGTCGCAGTTGCCGTCGCTGCTGCCATTGCTACTGCGATTGCCCCGACAGCGCCGCTCGCTTCATCTGCAGATCTCGTTGACCCCGCGCACATCCGCCTCACACCTGCATCTGCATCGTCGTCAGCATGGCGTCCCCCGATCAGTCCGCGGATCTCCCGCCCGCCAACCCGCACCACGAGCGGCTGGTGAACCTGATCCATTCCTCGACCCAGGAGTCCGTCAAGGTCAACTCGGTCCGGGTCGAGGGCCACAAGTACACCAAGCCCCACGTCCTCGAGCGTATCGTCAAGGATGTCCTGGAGGCCAAGACCCTGGGCGAGGTCATGGGCCAGTCCAAGCTCGCCTGCCACCGCCTGAATCGGCTGGGCATCTTCCGCTCTTCCGAGGTCATCCTGGACACCCCGCCGTCGTCCTCGGGCCGCAACCTGGTCGATGTCATTATCCTTGTCGAGGAAGCCCCGCGGATGTATGCCAAGACGGGAACCGAGATTGGAAACTACGAGGGCAACATGGTACGCGGCCTGTCTGTCGCCCGACGTAGACGCCGGTCGCTTCATACTCGTGATCGGCGAGGGTCACCAGCGTTATGCATAGCGACGACGGGGCCCATCACCGCCGCTATGGCCGTCAAGTGCGCCGACCCACACCAAGCTGGTCGATCGCCGACTTGATATCCGGCACGCCGGCTCCCAGACTGCTTGCGTTCAGGACAGACCCATTGTGGATTCGGCTTGTCCCCGCCGATACTCACCCCTCAATCCCATGCTCTTCCATCCAGAACGCGTCCATCAACTTCCGCAACGTCCTTGGTGCCGGCGAGACCCTGGAGGCCAACTGGACCTATGGTGTCGAGACGTCGGTGCCGCTCCACAAGGAGGCCAACGAGCCTTTTGCCACATCGACGGGCACATCCTACCAGGTTCGTCGAGAAGCGCCGCCACCCACCTCGCTGTTGGCTTGGTCTCTATTTCTTCCGCCCACTCGTCTGGGTGCCGGACCAAGCGGCCATCGGCTGTGTCAAGATACGTCAGGACGATGTTTGGTCCAGGCAATTTGGGGAACACATGTGCGTCGAACGTTGACTGCCCGACCGGATGCTGAGCACCAACGACATTGCTCGTGTCCCCCAGGTCTTGTTCGGCAAGCCCATCAACGCCAACCCCGACACCAAGTTCGAGCTGGCGGCATTCAAGCTCAACCGCAACATGGCCCTGTTCAGCTCGCACGAGGAGGCTATCAACGGATTCAGTGCTCGGTACAAGGTGCGTCATCGCTGCGACGACCGCACAAGTAAATGTGCTTACCACAGCAGCCCACTAATGACTCTGTGTGCCGGGATTGTCGCTTGGAACCGGACACAGCTCCTTAATGGAAGATATGGCCGACACGAGTTCCAATACGATGCATCGTGGCGGCATATCTACAATCTGTCCAAGGATGCCTCCTGGAGTATCCGCGAGAACGCCGGCCACTCGCTGAAATCGTCGATCGGCCACTCGTTCACCCGGGATCAGCGCGACGACCCCATGCTGCCCACTAAGGGCTACTATGTCAAGCTCTTCCAGGTCCGTTGGCCTCACAAACACACGAGACTCTGATTGTGGATGCATAGGACGGATTTCCCGAGTGTCTCGGTCTGAGATTGCTCGCTCGGCCTGAGATTGCTCGCTGCGATGCCAAACGCCCCTAACCCGGATCTCGTATGCTGCGTACATGTGCGTTCGACCGTACTTTGGGCATAACAGGAGTTTGCTGGCTTGGGCGGCGACGTCCGACATCTCAAGTCCGAAGTGGAGACGCAGCTCATCAAGCCTCTTGGATACGGCTTTGTAAGTGCACCGCATCCTCGGCCGATCCGACGATCGTGCCGTAAGCAGCCGTGTTGGTCCACAGGGCAGTGCTATTTGCCGCTGGCTGACACACTTGCGCACTGCACCCTTGCAGAGTCTATCGGGATCGGCTAGAACCGGACTGCTCGTGCCGCTGTTCGGTGACAAGACCAAGATCAGCGATCGATTCTTCCTGGGAGGGCCGCTGTCGATCCGCGGATTCCGACAGAGTGGCCTTGGTCCTAAGGACGGCAGTAAGTTCCGCGAGCCGGCTTGACCGACTCTTGCTCGCGCATGGGGACTCAAATGCACAACATGCATCGCGACTGACTATCCGTGGATTTGCAGAGGACACTCTTGGCGGCGACGCATACTGGGCCGCTGGACTGAGTCTCCTGACGCCGCTGCCATATCTGGTGGACAAGCCATTGAGGGGCCACCTCTTCATCAACGGCGGCAACCTGATTCCCGTCAACACACGTACGTTTCCTGTTTGGCACCCGCAGCTGCGTGCCATCGCATATCGACGCAAGTGGCTGGGGGACGAGCTGTGCGAGATGATCGAGGCTTCTGGGAGTGGATCGCCAAGGAGGCGATCGCGATGACTTGATCAAGCTGCCGCCGATGCCGTCCGGCAACAATGTCGATGCGATGTGGTTGCCTCACTCCGCTTTGCCCACTCCGCTTTGCCATCGACTCTGACTCGCTTCATTGACCGACAGAGAAAGCGGCTCCTGAGACCCTTGCGGAGCTTTTCCGCTACCCCAGCGTCTCGGTTGGTATGGGTCTCGCGGTTCGTTTCAGCATCCTGCGTCTCGAGATCAACTGGTGCCTGCCCGTGGCTGCGACAACGACCGACAATATGAAGCCCGGACTGCAGTTTGGTGTCGGCATCAACTATATCTGAGGCAGCTTTCTCCTCGAGAACGAAGGCGGCGGCGAGCGAACAGCCAACGAACAGGAGCTTCTGGGCCCTGTGAGACTGCTGGCGGACACGCTGGATTTCCAAGTCCAGGCAATATTTGCCAATACAAAGCAAGCTCCGCCATTGTCCTGTCCTGCTGCTCGTATCGTGCCGAGAATCCTTCGTGGGCGATCTTGCATGGCGCCCAAGGACCCGCTCGCCGGCGATTATTGATCGGCGGTCCGCACGAAACTGAATGCTGACGAAAAATAGGGTGGGAGTGCGATTCCTGGCAATCCAGCGCCAGTCGATGCATCGGCGGCTTGGACGGAGCGAGACCCAAATGGGCAGCGTTATTCGCCAGCCATGGCGACGACAGCGGCGGCTGCAGTGCTCACGAGCACCCTTACGGGGATTGCTTGCGAACAGACCCCGCTTGCACGAGCCTGGGCTGCTCGCCCACCCGCCACGTTCTGCATCCTCCGACCACCCACACGGGCCGCAGATAACGGCCAGGCGGATTGCGGAATCGCAGCCTGGGCGGCCAATGTATGTGCTTTGGGGAGGGAGGGGGAGGAGACTGCGATTGTGCTGGCGGGGTGGTGGTGGAGGAGGAAGAGGAGGAGATCGCCGTCGCTGGCCTTTGGCGACTTGCCGCTCAAAGGGCCGTGCATCGCCCCGGTGGGAAATCGATCGCAGCCCAAGGGACGCAAAAAGCAAGTCAGGGCCGGACAAGGGGCGAGGCAGCGGAGACATGGCGATGGCTGTTGCCATGTCAGCGCCGGAGGAGGCGGTCGGAGAGGGCTGTGGCGGCTGTGAAGTGGGTAAGGGTGGGTGGCTGTTTCATGGAGCTTGGCTGTTTCAGGATGGGGCAATGCACATCCATCCAAGATTGTCTATCCAAGATGGTCAATCCAAGACGGCCCCATCTGTCGCCCATACCAATGACGACACCAGATTCATGCGCATGATTGCGAGCAGCCGCAAAAGGCAATGTCACGGACGCAGACAGCAAACAGCAAACAGCAGACAGCAGACAGCAGACAGCAGACAGCAGACAGCAGACACAGTGGCCGTGCTGGCGCACACAAACAAGCAGCCGTGTCACAGGACAACGCGCTGCACAGCCGCGGCCGGGGCGGCGCCGCGCGTGTCCGTTCCGGCGCCCCGAGACTCGCCACCCGGCAGGGACACGCGCCCATGTGTCGTCGTCGCTGGCGGACATGTGGGTGGTCCTCGCCGGCCATAAATACCCTCATGCTGCCCCCCGTCTCGTCGCTTCCTCCATCCGCCGTGCGTCCCTCATTCGCTTCCGATCTGCATTTGCTCGCCAAACCCTCATCCGTCAAGCTTTATTCGTCGCCATGTTCTCCACCTCGATCATCAAGTCCGTCGTCGACAACAACCGCAAGGTTCCCAAGAAGCAGACCGCCCAGAAGGTGAGCGGTCGCTTGCAGACTCAACGCCGGATCCGCCATGTTACCTTTTCCACACACGCACCAAGACGGCCAGGGTCGCCCCGCGAGTTTTCTCCCCTGACTGATATGCGCGGCTGACTCCTATGCTCCTTCGCTCGCTGTCCCCGCAGTCCGTCTTCAACCAGCCCAAGGCTTCCACCAAGTCGCTGTGATGATGTCTTCGTCTTTGCGCAAGACGGCCTTCCGTTGCCGCCGCTGAGACACCTTGAGCCGTCACCTGTGTCCGGCCAAGGGTATTGATACACTTCCTTCTGGCTGTTTTTTCCTGCACAACTCATTCCTGGCATGTCCCCCTCCTATGCATTTGATATTCCCACCTCCATCCAACACTTTTTTGGTTGTGGCTCTCGGCGCCCCAGACATATTTATTTCGCAATTCACTCCTGGTCTGTCTCGTTCCCGATGCATTTTGAACCCGCGTCGATGAAGACCGAACGCGGATGGCCCAGGATCCATAGCCAGGCCCCACTGTCTCCTCGCTCGTGAATACATACATGCCACAACGGCCATCCTCCTCAACGTCTGACCATCTTTGCGCCGCGGCGTCGACTGGTGCTGGCCACGATCCGCATGTCCGCCGTCTGAATGATCTGGTCCTGGATCGGCATCGTCTGTCCCCGCCTGCCATTGGCCCTGCCTCCAGCCAATGGCGTCCTGCCTATTTCGGCTGCACTGCGCATTTCCCAGCCAGGCAACTTCGCATCGCGCTTCCATAAAAGGTGGCCTCGTTTTGTCCGGCCCCCGCCTGCAGATCCGCCAACTCTCCCTCCCCGGCGACCAAAGCTGCCGACCGACCCTGTCGCGAGCATCCGTCTCTGCCAGCATCTGGTCCAGCCCGCCCCTCGCCCCGTGCCGTGCCGTACCGTACCGTGCCCATCTTCCTCTGCTCTGTCCGCTGCTGATCTTGCTCCATCGCCATGAGCGCTGCCGCCGAACGGGAAGCCGAACACGAGGAGGTCCTCCAGGAAGAAGAGTCTGGCGGCCCCATCCGCATCTCCAAGCTCGAGGCAAGCAGCTGTCGCCGTCTGATCTGTCTTTCGTGTGTTTCCAGGCCAACCAGCTCTATGCTGCACGCAGCCCTGGTTCGCCCACCATCGATCGCCACCTCGCCCCACCCCCAGCGCATTCTAACAGCCCACTTGTCGATCCCGAACGAACCCGCCCCGCTCAATCCCGATCCATCAGGAATATGGCCTTAGCTCCACCGACATCAAGAAGCTGATCGAGGCTGGTTACCACACCGTCGAGTCTATCGCCTTCACACCCAAGAAACAGCTTCTGACCATCAAGGGCATCTCTGAAGCCAAGGCCGACAAGATCTTGGCCGAAGGTGTGTCTCTGTCCCAGCGCGGCCACAAGAGCATGGCATGTCGTGCATCTACCTCTCTGGCGTCAACAGGCCAATTCCTCTTCATCTCACGCATCCGTTGCCTCGTCTAAACCCGCTGCGGTAGCCGCCAAGCTTGTGCCCATGGGCTTTACCACCGCGACCGAGTTCCATCATCGCCGTTCCGAGCTGATCACTGTGACGACCGGATCCAAGGAGCTCGACAAACTCTTGGGAGGCGGCATCGAAACCGGTGCCATTACCGAGATGTTTGGCGAGTTCCGTACCGGAAAGACCCAGCTCTGCCACATGCTTGCGGTGACGTGCCAGGTGAGCGGCGACTCGATCGGCTTCCGTCCTGCTCTATCTCTGGAGGCTTTATGTGTGAATGCGCTGTCCGGGTGCGTGTGCTGACTCGATTTTCCGATCCATTCGCTGGTACCTCGTCGGCTCTGCCACGGACGGCACCCGATCTCATATGCAGCTTCCGGTCGATATGGGTGGTGCCGAGGGCAAGTGTCTGTACATCGATACCGAGGGCACCTTCCGCCCCGAGCGACTCTTGTCGATAGCCGAAAGGTACAGCGCCAAAGCGATGCGCATTATTCGGATACAGCGGAGCGGACATTGTCCATCCAATACGACTCACTGGTGACGCAGTATGACGCTCGTGCGATCCACCCCCAAGTCCTTCAACTCTGTCTCGTCACACATTTTGCGCAGATACGGCCTCAATGGGGAGGAAGTCCTGGACAACGTCGCCTACGCGCGTGCCTACAACACCGACCATCAGAACCAGCTGCTGATCCAGGCCTCGGCCATGATGGCCGAGCATCGGTACGCCCTGCTCATCGTCGACAGCGCCACCTCGTTGTATCGAACCGACTATTTCGGCCGTGGTGAGCTGTCCACCCGACAGATGCATCTCGCAAAGTTCCTGCGTATGCTCCTGCGGCTGGCCGACGAGGTATGTCTTGCCGCATAGCTCGCTTGGGCACTGCTCCAGTCGCTTGATATGAATCCAGAGCAGCAGCTGACCGAGCTTCATGGCTTCGCTAGTTTGGCGTCGCGGTCGTCATCACCAACCAGGTTGTTGCCCAGGTCGACGGCGGTGCTTCGATGTTCAACGCCGACCCCAAGAAGCCGATCGGAGGCAACATCATTGCCCATGCGTCCACCACCAGGTAGAGCCTCTCGAATACTGGTGTGGCTGAGGTGCTGAGACGATATGATCAACGATCGCCAGTTGCTGTCGTCTGCGCTGTCTAACATGCGCTTGCTTGTGTCTCGATAAGACTGTATTTCAGGAAAGGTCGTGGCGAAGGTCGCATCTGCAAGATCTACGACTCGCCCTGTCTGCCAGAAGCCGAAGCCATGTTCGGAATATACGCACACGGCATCGACGACGTCAAGGAATAAACCAAACTGAGGCTGTGTTTTTGGAAAGCTAATTTGTGTTCTGTGATCATATCACTGGTATCGAGGAGCCGGGGGCTATGTACACTCGGGACTGCCAAGAGACGGACACTCCACTTGCTTCAGGAAACGCCGTATGCACTTGAGCAGCTTGTCATGGGTGGTCGCATTGACTCGTCGCCGCTGTCGCTGTCGGTCCTGGACAGCTTGGCTGAGAATACATGAGACTGGAAGAATCAGCTCGCACATCGAAACAATGGCTCCGGACGCACCGACACAGTATCATCGCGTTTGCAGCATATCCGCTGCACTCATCGGAACTGGGCACCTCAGGATAGTCGACACTGCTGCGTCGTCGCATGGCTGGCCAGATAGTGATCAGAAGCTTACCGTCCAAACCGCAAGGATGAGCCGACGACCATACTGGCCATACGATTGACGCTCGTCCGGTGATCTTCCTTCGGCGCAGAAATCCCCGATCGATAGGTGTGCAGCTTTCGAGTGTCTCGTCAATGCAGCTGCTCAAGCGCCTTGGACCATTGTCTCGTCCGCACCAAATCACAGCCTGCGCTTTGGCCCGTGAAACCCTGATTCACCCAGGCCCTCTTCTTTCGATACGACCGTGCCCGCTTTCCGATGGCAGCTTGGACTGTGCGTGCGTGTGTATATGTGAGCGAGAGGGCAAGGGTCATTCGTCCTCCTCGATTCTTCCGCAAGTATTGCTTCGAATAGGCTTACTGTCGGGAGAGTGACCGCATCGACTCTGGTGGCTCTCCGGCACAGACGTCGCTGTGTATCGTCGAGTATCATCGAGTATCATCGGGTATCATCGAGTATCATCGAGTATCATCGAGTATCATCGAGTATCATCGAGTATCATCGAAGCTGCAAATAATCCTACCCCGATCTGCCCAGGAGCCTGGGTATCCAGAGCCTTGCCCAGCCCAGCCCAATAGGCTTCTGTCCGGGTCGTTGACAATTTGTCATCAACCAAGTCTTGGTACAATCGACAACAACTCAGTCATTTCCAACTTGGCCATATCGGACTTGACCGGTTTCAAACGTGGCCATATCCGGCTCAATTATCCGGTTCGATAATCACCCATTCCCACGCTCCCAACTATCCACAACATCCATCCCAATGTCGAGACTCGCCCCCAGCTCACCCGACCTTTCCTTGCCTCCCGGTCAGCGGCCCAGCAGCCGGGGAGCCATTCCCGAGGCCAACTCGGAGTTCATTCCAAAGGCTAATGTGCGATCTGTTCACGATGTCCTGAGGATGAGCAACGATGCAGTGTGGGCTGACCTGGGACTAACAACCGACCGACCAAAGCAGCACCCTACCACTCCGACCAAAAACAACAGCATGGTCCTCGATGAGCAGGTCCAGTTGGCCATTTGCGCTCAATCGCAGGACTCGCTCCAGCAACCCGAGGCCGACTTTGCCCGCCGCAACTCGTACGCCCTGCTTCATATCCAGAAACTCAGGAGCGATTCCATACGGCGGCAATCCATGTTCGACAGTTCTTCGCCATCGAAAGTCGAGACCCAGAGGCGGTCAAGCTCGATCGCCGATGCTGTGGCGTCTACCTTGGTCAAAGTCGACGTCGATGGGTCCAGATCCCCGGTCGCATTGACCCCGCGCAGCCTATCCAAAGGAATGTCCCGGTGCAACTCGGGGATATCACGTTCGGCAACTCCTTCGGGGCCGATCTCGAGCAGCTTTCCGGCCCCGCCGCTGAGCCAGCCCCAGCCCCAGCAACTCAGCGAAACAAACACACCTAGCTTCAGCGTCGAGTTCCTGCCGCAGCTGTCCGACGGCGTGAAGCGGTCGGTGAACGAAGCTCTCAACAAAAGCGCCACGGAGCTGATCCAGGAGCTCATCAGCCGCGAGTCCACCCGACCACCGCCTTCGCCCGTGGTCGACCAAAATGTCGTCGTCCTGGACGAGCAGGTCCTTGGGGTGGTGCTTGCTCGGAGGCTGAAGAAATACTCGACCGATGCCTCTGCCTCGCCCTCGCGAGAGGCTTCCCACGACTCTCTCGAAGTCCCGTCCTCTGGATTGGCCTCACGCACTTCGTCATTCAAGCAAAGCGGCAACGAACGACGCATATCCATGTTTCAGAAGCGCAGGTCCTATACCGGCCCCGATTCCACCCCTCCCACATACGAGGCTGGCTCTCAGGACCACATGGCTTCGCAGGCGCCCACGATCCACAAGTCTATATCTCCCCATGACAACATTGGTGGTGATGCCTCGCTGGCGATGCGGAGGTATAGTACCTACGACAAGTACAATACCTCAGAGAATACCCAGGTCTCGCCGTACTCGACTCTCTCAAAGCGAACCTCGGTTCTTGGAGATGCCATCATGGCTGCTATGGGTCGGGCAAAGTCGCCCAGCATATCGTCGGCGGGATCGGCCGAGGCACCCAAGGAACCCCGCAGCCAAGAGCCACGGCAACGACGTCGGATATCTGTTTACGACGCACTCTTCACTCCCTACCCCTTCCCCGACGATGAAGTCGCTATACAGACGGCGTACCTGGCCAAGTCCTCCAGCGAGCTGGGCGCTCAGTCACTCAAATCGACCCCCTCGTCTTTGGATGTCCAGCCGAACGCCACCAGTAAGATATCATCACGCACCCGACGATCATCGGGCCTGGCCGAACCGCATTCTGCGTACACATCCAGCCATCTGCCCACAGGGAGCAGCCACCTCGAGCCTGTTCTGAAGACACCGAGTCCAGGTTCAAGCTTGTGCGATGTTTCCAGAGAACTCACAGTGCCTCCGGCCCCTGCAATCCCTGCAATCCCTGCAGTGCCTGTGGTGCCTGTGTTGCTGGAGCCCCCGGACACAAACCTGCTGTCCGTCAGCATACCTCTGTCCGCCTCGCATTCGCAAAGTGGGTCAGCAGTGTACTTGAAGCAACCGGCGGTGTTGGGAGGAAGCGCCTCCGTCTCAGCGCCCGCTTCGACTTCACACATTGCTTCCAGTCCGACAGGCTCTCTCGGGCGGCCTGGGTACAACCCCGAGCCGACGACCCCCAAGAAGAAAAAATTCTCTGTTCGGCAGCTCCTGTCCAAGCTGGGAGTGCGCTCCAAGAACACAAAGGAGTAGCGCTGTATCCCCGTTCGAGCTGTGTGTCAATATGAATCTCGATCCAAGTGCCTTACAGGTCTTGCTCTGGCGGCGACATTGGATGCGGCTCCACGAGAGTAACACCGCCGAGTGAATTGTTGATCAGAGTGTCGATGTGGTTTCTGAATGGGCCATTCAGCTCTCAGATCCTCGTATCGGCCCGGCTCACTGCCTGTTCGGCTCCGTGGGACTCATCCAGCACTGGTCCTGAGCGTATCTGCTGGCTGATTGGCTCTGGAGAAGTTTCCTACCGGAGGCTGAAGAGATTGACCGACCAGTCACCATTGTGTAAACCAAGCGACCGACTTGAGACTGTGCTGATGACGAGCAATGCTTGGTGGTGAGTACTTTGATATAATAGTCTTCCTGCGACAGCAGCTGAAGCCCAGCGATCGTCGCCCTTCGAAACAGCTATACCATCGGCCCGATGAACCAACGGGGAAGTGTAGCCGCGCGACCATCAGTCAACTCGATGGCAGGCCGAGCATCGTCGCAGGGCAACACCAACGATCATTCGAGCGTCGTCCCTGAGAAAGCACGCAAGACAGTGCAGGACGTCCTCGCAAAGAACCCCGACGAGCTCTGGGCCGAGTTGCTGGCCTCAAACGATACCTCGGCCGCGGGCGATGTTCCGACCTCGTTTCTCCAGCCGACGACATCCTCTTCGATGGTCCGGAGCCCATCTTCGAAAAGCACTCAGTCGCAATCGACGTCGCCGGCCAAGCCCGTTCCCAGAAACCTCAACAACTCTAGCGGTCTCGCCAAGAGTTCGTCTCGGACATCCTCCAACCGGCACTCGAGCTATATTCCCAGCCACAGCACGGATGCACTGCTGGGTTCTGCGACCTCGGGCGGGCACGAGAGTCCGCCTCATAAGCCGCGCAAGAAAAACAGACCGCCAGAGGCCTCGAGCACCGACTCGCTCAATGCACACCGCCGGTCGAAAGCCAAGTCGACAACCAAGCGGCCGGTCGAGCCTCCCGGTTCCGCTTCGCCCAACCCGTACGAGGGCCCTCGCACCCGGACCGTCCAGGATGCGCTCTCGGAGGATTCCGAGGCTGTGTGGCAAGCCCTGCTGAAACCAACGACGTCCAAGAAGCCCGACACGGATTCGCTGGGGTCTGGGATGATGCTCCTCTCCGATCTCCCTCGCGCCAGCAGTAGCCCATACGACGCACTACCTCTCGGCGGCAAGGCATCGAGCCGGCTGATTGAGGAGGGCTCGCGGAAATCGGCAGTGCGGCAGCTTTCCGCTGCCAAGAAGACCCACCACTCGACCACAATGATCACTGCATCTGCCTCGAGCAGTGCCTCGTCGGTCGACTCGACCCAGTCTGTCTCAACACAGATGCGGTCGCTTCCGCCCACACACATCGAATCCCAGGTGTTTGAAGTCAAGGCAAGCCCGCTTGGAGCTGGATCACCTCCGCAGCAGAACACCAGAGGGCAGCATGAGATCGCATCACCGAGCAGCAACAAGCCCCGCCCCGAAGCCGCGACCAGTCCCATCAGCAGCGACAGACCCGCAGCTGCACCGAATATTGATGCTGCCCAAAGTACCGTCGGCGCAGCTGGTGGTGCAAATATGACAAGTGCTGTCAACAGCGATACGGCGTCGACAGGGGCCGCTGGGTTGTCTGGGATCCGGGCACTACTCAAGCGATTCTCACGAGGCATGGGAATCGGCAAACCAGCCAACAACAAGCCAACTGACAGCAAGCCCAAGGACGGCAGATCCAACAGTCCCCGAGCGAGCGATACCAACTCCAAAGCAGCAAAGGCGGTGACCGGTGCCAAGGGCAAGCCCTCATGATCTCCCATGTCGACAGAATTGAGTCAAGTGCGAATCTGGCTAGGCGTCTTCTCGCTGATGCTGTCTGTCCAAGGACAAGTGGACATGCTTGGTCTGGATGTGGGAGACCAAGGCTTCGCTTGGTCATTACAACGATGGCAGTGTGTAATGGAGCATGCTGCTTTGCTTTCAACGGCTATTGTTGTGGAATATACAAACATACCATCTATATCGACACGCACCGCGTAGAGGTGAGATGAGCGATGTGTACCCAAGCGACTCGAGCCATCCGAGTATCTTGATATCGAGAAGCCAGGGAACTATCCAGGGAGTCAAGTGAGTGCGCCACATCGAGTAAATGCACCACACTTCCACATCGACAAATCAATACCAGTCGATCATCGCCACAGGTGATTATCGTCACAGGGGGATCGACCGAATGTGTTCAAGATCATGCTTCCCAAACCAACGAAAACAAAACGATTGCCAGCCAGGACGAGAAACAATCGCATGGCCTACTCACTAGGGCCTACGGATCAGCAGACTAGTGTCGCTGATGCCAGAAAGCGACCATTCCGCTTCCTTCTGGATTGGCTGTACGCAGCCCACAGATGACCATCGGCCGCCTGGCTCGTGGTTGCAACAGAGGGAACTTGCATTGTCTCATTTTTTCCGTCGGTTTCAAATACGCACCTGCCATCCATCACATCCTCAGACCTCGGCGGCATTGTCCTGTTGCGCAGTAAGCTGATGTATAGGGTCGACACCGGGTGGAAGAGGCAGCGGATGCATTATGCTGTGCATCGACTGGGCTGCACATGTGCACATTTGCAACAACATTCACAAACTCTGTCCTCGGCACTTCGCTGTACCGTGCACCCTCTCACATTCTGGTCTGGTTAAGTTGTCGACCTGTACTGCAAGGGCTCGGAACATCCGGGCCACCACAGCTTCCAGGGGCTTACCGTATCGACCCACCAACACTTGAAACCTTGACATGTTGGCATCCAACTCTCGGGTATTCGGCCGCCTTGAATTCTTCCGCAGCTGCGGTGACATTCCCCAAGGCGCAACTGGGCAACCGGTATTTGGTCGGATGCCGCGGTTTCCTCATTAGGCTCTGTTGATCAAACTCTGTGCAGGGCTTGCTGCTGTTGACGACCACACACTGCGCCAAGTTTATTTGTCTCAGGTCACTGACTGGACCAGGCCGGATCCCAACAGTCGCAGCGTCCTACCCGGCCGGATGGTCTTGGTGGCTACTCTTGGCAACCATCCAGCGTCGAGGGAGCTCTGCCCCTCCAACCCCTGATACTGTTGCTGCACGGCTCTCCCTTAACTGACGTCACAATTTCTCCGCAGCCGCTGTCAATATTACTGCTCGGAGTTTTTTATCCCAGCCACGGGGATGCTATTGTTATCGACCAGAGGCAGCAACTGCGGCGATGGGAAAATTTCTCCGGCTATATATTGGAGCCCCGCACCGTCGGAGCGGAGGAGCGCATTCATCCATCTGGATACACCCACGCCACTCACCTCTGCAGCATAATGAGAATACCCGTTGAGCTTCCCAAGGTAGTGTTGTCGCATACGAGAGTCAGCTTGCTGTCGGGGGCAACTGGAGCGGAGAGACTCACTGATGGCAGGCTTGCGAGTGTGTTGTGGTGCCCTGGCACCTGCGGCTTCATCCACTAACCGGTCATTCGTGATTTCGGCAGGCCCTCGAGTCCAATAACTCGAGCACTCTTCTGGCCAAGAGCGTTACCCAACCTGACCGCAGCCATACCCCTCCAGAAACCCGTGGTGATGAGTCTGTGCGATCCGAGCACAATCTTACAATCTCTACAGAAGCTACCAAGGCCTATCCACAACAGCAAGACTTGCCCATCTCTCCAAAATTTCCGCGCCAGCCAAGACCATCCCGGGCGGTTGTACCAGATGCGGAAATGTTCCAACTGCCCAACGCCGAGCGAAGTCGATCGGTGTTTCGAAGCTTTTCTGCCCCCGTCCTGACCATGACAAACACCAAGAGCAACTTTGGCAGCGAAAGTTCGACCGACTCCAACGAAAATCAACATAGCCGCTCGCACTCCAGCGGCGAGTGCTCAGGTCAGGTCGACGACGACATAGACTCGATTTCCAGCAGTCAAATCGACCCAGCACTTTTCGAATACAGTAGCCGCTGCTTGACCATGCTTCGGAATGGAGTTCTGACAGACACGGGAGCTTCCTTCGACACTGGCGAAACCAAGACAATGAGTCCCCCAAGCGAAGAAGATTCCCTCGAGCGTGTTGTGGCCCTTGCAGAACTGCGGCTCATGCTACACGAGATACTTTCGAACCAGCCAGGCCATTCTATGACACAAGAATATGAGGCCCTGGTGCGATTGTACGTCGAGCTCCACACCCGCTGTATGGCCTCCATCGACGACGACGATGGCTACAATTCAGAGCGACAGTCGATCAAGAAGCGCAAGCACAGCAAAGCGCATCCGAAAGAGAGCCAGAGTTGGTGGAGTAGAACCGTGAAGCGATGGACATGCTTCTGGAGCACAGTAACACAAACCACTCTACGATACCGACGACGACTGCTCTCGCCAATGAGAAATGTTCAGTGATTGCTCCTTCAATAAATACTCCACAACGGAGTCCTCATATCACCGCCGCGGTCGCTGGCCACCGCTATCGTGGCGCGGGCATGAGCATACCATTTGTACATGAGCAATACATCCACGGGCTCTGACTGCGTCTTGCAGCGACCGGTTCACCGACTGCATGATGGCGCTATGCGAGGAGTGCCCGGTTGCCGTGGTTGCCGTGGTTGCCGTGGTTGCCGTGGTTGCTGTGGTTGCTGTGGTTGCTGTGGTTGCTGTGGTTGCCGTGGTTGCCGCCGTTCTCATGTCCTTTCCCACGGTCGTCGGATGTTCTGGGCTGTGCTTGCTGCGTTGCTCCGCGATCCACGTGCGCGCCAGCACGTGTCACAGTGCATCGCACGTGACTCCATCGCCACACTTGGCGCCTTCAGCGCCGCCCCGCTCTTGGGCTGCTTGATCTCATTGTCATTCCAAAACACCACTGCTCGCCGCTCTCCTTTCGCTACCGTCCTCATTATCGTCCCGCCAGTCCGCCGTCGCCTTCCTCTCAAGCACCATGTCTTACTGGCCCATATCTCCGCTGAACGGGTTCGTAGCGCTGGCCCACACCCCCCGTGCCTGATGCTGCCGGCGTGGGTGGAGGTCGTCCGAGGCGATGTCCATGACGACTGCCTCGCCCGCCTCCTGCCTCCTGTGCTCTGCACGCATCTGCTATCCGCCACCAAGCGCAGGATCGGTCGACTCACTCGCACCGCATCCATTTGCCAGCCTCAAGGACGTTTGGACCGGCAAAAACACATCCACCGGCGAGCCAGTCATCATCAAGTTCTTTGACCGCGAGAACGAATATGCATACTCGGAGCACAACGAGGCTATCAAGCGAGAGGTCGATATCCTCAAGGAGCTCTCGCTTGCCATGCCTGACAGGGTCGTGCGCTTCATCGATTTCTATGCCGATGACGAGAACCGATATGTTCTTGTGATGGAAAGGTATGCGGCGTCGGGCAGCCAAGTCGCTGCCGCCGCCACCGGCCCTGCTTTTCGTTTGTGGGGACGCCTTGCCACTGATGGATTCGTGGTGGACGAACATCTCGTCGGCTTGATCACCGCCGGAGCGTGTGGAGGCTGTCGTGGCTGAGGACAGCAGTCGTCTGGCCAGAAAGCCCGGTGCTGCAACTCTGCCATGCAACGGATGCCAGTCAACTGGCGCCAGCACAGACGCTAACAATCCGTCGTTGTGGGCTGACCCTACAGAGGCGAGTGCACCCTGCTCGACGTCTTGATGGAGAAAGAGTATTTCCCTGAAGATGAGGCCCGTGTGGTGATCCGAGAAACGCTGTTGGCGGTTGCCGGGTTTCACCAACACATGAAGGTGTACCGGTACGACAGCTGTTATATCGACGTCGAGCTGCATGCGATGAGCCTTTGGTTCTCGATATGCTTGCGAATGCCACAAATCTCTGCTCATGAGACCAGCCCCTGCCGCTGCCTCAGTTTCTCAGCGTCTCTCTGACCGAGCGTCCCGCATTTGGGTTTCAGCGACATCAAGCCGGCAAATATCCTGCTCATGAACCGATCCGATCTGACCTCGATCAAATTCTGCGACTTTGGTACTTGCACGAGTGAATTTGGATACAGCAGCCAGAACCTGACGGTCGGAACGCTGTACTATATGGTGAGTTTCCAGGCCGGTTCGACGCTGTGCGTGGCACCGCAGGCTACTGCGGACGAGCAGTGCCGCCTGCTTCGAAAGGCGGCGCATTGAGGAGCGAGATATTTGTGACTGACACAGCCGCATGTTTACTTTCATCTGATACCGGAATGCTTGTGGATTGTCCTTGCATAAACCGACGCGCGTCGATTGACATTGCAGGCGCCCGAAGTGCTGAAGCCCAAAGAGTTCTACGGATGGGCTGCGGATATATGGTCTCTTGGAGTGCTCACATACCAGCTTCTGCTTGGAGATATTCCCTTTTTACCTCCCAAGTCAAAGGAGTCGGCGATGCTGAGCATCATTCGCAAATCTGTTTTGAGCTTCACCAACAAGCGAGGTGTTGTGCTCAGCCCCGAGGCCCAGGACTTTGTGCGCCTGTTGCTGAGCTTTGAACCTGAGAAGCGCCCCACTGCGGCCGCGGCGCTTAACCACCCTTGGCTCTCGCAAGGACTGCCCAAGCAAAGTGTCTTCCCCGTGGCCGGTGTACCCGGCTGGATCTCTGTCCACCAAGAGGACGGGCTCGTCTTCTTTGTGAATCAAAACACCAACGAGACCTTCTGGCAACTCCCCGCCGAAATCGAGGCTCTCGCCCAGCAAGCGCTTGGAGTCGCAGCCCAAGATCCGTCGTCCCTCGCCGTCCCTCCACCGCTGCCCCAGCGCCCTGGTCATGCCGCAAGTTCACCACACTCCGACTCGCGCTCCCCACGAGTGCACTTTGCTGAAATGGTGCGTGTGATCGAAACCGAGGCTTTTGACGAGACCGAGGACGACGACGATGATGACGAAGCAGATTATGATGAAGATGAGCCAAACGACCAAACTGAACCGCAAATGGAGTCCTCGGCAGAGAGCCAACCTTGCGATGCGGCCGAGGAAGATGAAGAAATCGCCTCCTACGGCAAGTTCGGCCGGCCCTCCTCACCCACTCCTGTCCACCACGCCGGCGATCACACGCATTCGCATGATCAAGAGGCCTTGTTTGACGACTCGGCTGATGGCCCCCCGCTTCCGCCCAAGGAAGCCAGTGCAAGCGATGCTCAGCTCGACCCTCTATCGCTACAGACACCATCGAAAGCCGAATCTGGTTCGGCTGAGCCTGCCCTTTCTGGCGCTGAGTCGCAGGCTCGCTCACCTCCCTATCCCCACTCTGACCACGGTCATCCTCAGACAGTTGCACCACCAGCTGTGGATGTGCCCATTGCGAACGGCTCCCAGGTCACTGCCGCGGAAGTCACTCGCGCAGTTCCCAACCAAATTGTCGAGCAAGTTGCGGACCCTCAAGCTGAGGCAGCTGCAGGCATGGTCTTGAATGCCAATCCTCAAGCGACCACCGCAGCGGTGGCTACTGGGGTCGCCCCAGGATCCTTGGCTGCGGCTCCAGCCGAAGTGCCAGTGGCCCCTCTCAGGATTTCGTCAGCGACTGCTCCTGTGGTGGTGGTTGATGCTCCCTCTGTCACCAGTTCCTTGCCCTCGCCTGGTGCCTCTGTTCCAGCTCACGGTGCTGCAGTCACCGGTCCAAATGCAGGCTCGTTCGCTGTCCCAGTGACCTCGAACGCTGACGCCGGCCAGGACCTACCCGCCTCCGACTCGACTCACCCGCCCCAAGAGCCGCCTCACCAGGCCGAAGCCGCCGAGTCGACTCCCTCCACGATTCCGCCCCACGTCGAGATGGCGTCTACCGACCTCCCCCGTGTCGATAGCGGCCTCCGTTCAAGTGGAAAGCGCAAACCCGCGCCTCTCTTGGCCGAGATCTCATCGAATACTCTGAGAAACGTCGCCGAAAGGATCGTCCTTCTGACGCGCACCAAGAGCCAAGAGCCTCACGATCGAAACCATGCCCATCACCCCGATCGCCATGGCTCGTATTGAGCATGGCCGTTGTCCCGCCGCGATACTGAACACGCACGATCGGCGGGGTTTGTTGAAATGAAGGGGCGTGGGATATCTCGAGTGAAGGCCGATCCCGTGTGCTGGAGGACCGGCCTGAGGAACTCTCTGTATTTTTGTCAATAGGAAAGAAACAAACGACCAGCCCCATGTCCACCGCGCTGTCTCCTCCCTCTGACGACCACGGTCTGCAGGGCGGGACCGTCGGTGGAGCGCATGAGCGGAGGGGTGGCGAGTGCCAACGAGGATCGTCGCCGCCCTCGCACCACGTGATCGGTCTGCGTCCAGGGTCGGTCTTGACTGGAAGGCAAATGGCTTTCGTCTGATGCCCTCAGACTCCAGAGCGTCCACCACTCGCCAGCCCACCCAACCCCTCGCCGCCATGGAAATCCTGCCACAAGCCTCGATTGTCAAGCTGATCCAAGAGCGGCTCTACGATCAGCTGAACCAGTACTATCAAAACCGGGAAACCCAGGCCTTTCTCAGCTTCCAGGTCGTGCCCGGCGATGCCGCTGCCGCTGCTACCAATGCAAGCGCCCAAGTCCAGGCCTTGGACGCACACGCAGCACCAAGCTCGGTGCCGGTGCCAGTGTCGGTGCCTGCAAAGTTCACTGTTCAGTATCCTACCGAGCTGGACTACAGCGCATTTGTCCTCATCAATCTGATCCAAAACAACGTGGCGGCGGCCCGGTTCATCCTCAAGCGTGCCCAGCCCGCTGCGGTCCTCGAGGCCTCCGCAAACTTCCAGCTGGCGACCCGACTGACGGTCTACTTTTATCGACGAGAGCTGTTCCGGATCTACGACGACATCAGGGCCCATGACGCCGACTCGGACATTGTCCGGCTGCTTCTTGTCGAGATCGAGGCAGTTGCGCGCGGACGAGCGTTCAAGCTGCTGGAGCAGTCCTACCGATCCATCCGAATCGAAGATGCCAAGAAATGGCTCGGATATGATTCCGAAGACGACTTCATTGCGGCAGTCGAGGAGCGAGGCTGGAAGCTGACGGGGCAGTTTGTGGAGCCGGCGCAGCCGGCGGCCGACCTCGCTGCCACGGACGCTTCACAGCACCACTCGCTCGCGGCGGAGCTGAAGCAAATGGATTCCCTCGTCAACTATGCCGTCAGGTTGGAAAACTAGCAGGCCCCAAGCACGCCGAGCGAAGGAAGTGGGGGAGAGGCCGCTCTGGATTGTGGGGGATGCGGCTTCGGACTCAATACACCCATATGCATTACAGGATTCGCATGGGCGGTGGCGACGCTCTGTCTTGGTCACTGGCCTCGGGTCGTTGGTTTTGGGTTGCTGGCTTTGGGTCGTTTGCCTCTGGCCTCGACTTCCAGGGGGTGGGCAGCATGACGGCCTGGATGGCGGCTGTTCTCGGCGAGAAGCGGCGAGGCGATGCGAGGAGAGAAGCGCGCCCTCGCCCGTCATCGCAAATTGATTTCATTCCAGCCAAAACAGGACGGCCTGTGTGGCTTGTGTGGCGTTTCGGGCGAGCAGAGAATCCGTGATCAGCCGCTGCCCCTTCAAATACCTCCGTCGCTCCTTCGCTCCGAGCCAGTGCGCCGTCCACCGCTCGGTGCGGCACCCCCAGGTGGCCTCCAGGTACCGTATCGCTGCTCGAATGCTCCTGCCGTCCTTCGGGCCGCACCCGCGCTGTTCCTGGAAATGATGAGAAAAAGGGATACGTGACGGATCCTGGGCTTGACTGGCCCAGGATCTGGATGAAGTATTGTGGTGGTTGACTTTCCACCTCAATTGGTTCTACTGAGTGCACGGAACAGCCCCGTGGTGGACTTGGCGTCTTGGGTCGCTTGTCTCTAGATCGATGTGTTGCCGATCACTGACCCTTTCACCTCGTTCTGTGCCACTCTCCCAACTCAGGTTTGTCGAATACCCGTCCTGCTGCGCGCTGTTTTGACTCCCAGTCTGCTCCCTGTTGCTGAACCTCCGTATCCCTGTTGCTGAATTGCACAATGAACTGCTTCAATATACCACTCCCGTAACACCACACCCCGATGTTTCCAGCGCCATTCGTGCGTGCAATGAGCCGAGTGTGATTCTATAGGGCCCTCGACTGATATTGTCGGTCCCGGTCCCAGAAACGAGCCTCTGAACAATCGGGAAATGCATTTCGGCCACGAGTTCACCGATCTCGAGCTCTGGCGTCCCATGCGCCACTAGAGCTAGAGTTTCTTGGCGATGTTGACGTCGAACTTGCGCTTGCGATTCGCTTCCTGCACACGCACCCACGATAGATATCGGTGGTCGCCAGGCTTCCTGTAGTCGCCAAAGGCGAGCGGCCACGGGAGGAAGGGGATGCAGGGCCTGTTAGACGGATCTGGAAGTGTGCGGCTGACGCTGGTCGGCAAGCCCCATGTAGCCGCAGCTCTGGGATGGCCAGACAAGGATGCCACTGATCTGGACGCACCTTGGAACGGTAAGGTGCAAGATCGTAAAGATCAGCGCAGCAACGCCGGAAACCGATCCCACGGCAAGGTATGCGATCGCGGCTGTCTGGTTGCGGGAGCCCATGATGCCCACTGTCGAGATCACGATCGACTTTGTCCCCGAGAACCGCATGACCTCGAAGGCTGTGAGGAAGATTGGGCGCCAAGCGCAGTGAGTCAGCAGTGGGCAGGTATTGGTGTTTCCCGACGTCACTCCAGCTTACTGGCGGACAATGCTGCCCAGAGGGCTTGATAATATCGGACAGCGGCAGGAGACCTACAGTCAGTGATGTTGACTTCGTAGATCCCGGCGTTGATGTTGCCGTTGTAGATGCCCCATAGCTTCCGGAAGGTCGACAGGCCGGCGGGCCTCATCCAAACCTGGAATCGCTCCCAGGTCGCGAGGCTGGGCAGGTTGGTCGAGTTGTATCCGTTGCCCCATTTCTGGGGCCATTTGCGACGCCACATCGGCGGTGGAATCAACATCGTGGGAATCTGACTCAACATGCCGTTGGACGACAGATTCCACTGTGTGTTCCCAAAGATCGACGAGTCCAAACCCCAGGAGATTCCTTCTTCCTGAAACTCGATCGGGCCACTCGTGCATGACACGTTGTTGAGGAGTGAGACGCATCCGAATACTGAGATATCATCTGTGGTCGTCCCGGGTTAGTGGAACGACAGAACAGATGGGTGTTGGGCCACCGGATGCGGATCGCTGTGGCCACTAGCGACTGATTCAGACTGCAGACCCTTACCCGTAAACATGGAGTTGGCCATGAGTCCGCATGGATAGTACTGCGCGCTGGAACTGGCATTTGCAATGACGTTATCGACGGGAGTCATAACGCCGTTGATGACGGGGCAGTCCAGATTGTTTGTGCCAACGTAAAAGGAGAGCGAGTCCGAAATGGATTTGTACGTGTGGCAGTTTGCATACTGCAGCCAGCCGCAGGTCGACGACAGATCGCCGAGAGCCGCGGCGGTGGGCACGAGGTCACCACGGAGCTGGGCGTCGCTCAGAGACTTGACGTAAATGCGGTGGTTTTGCTTGAAGTTTGTGAGCTGGATATAGAGATAGGCCGGTGCCGAAATCATGGCGGGGATGTTGAACCGCAGGGTGCACACCGACGACGAGATGCTGTACTTCCAGCCTTGAACAAAACCGTATTTTGTTGAGTCTGATGGCGGAGGCCCGAAGCTCTGTGACGGAGCCAACATCTTGCACATCGTGTAGTCGAAGGAAACCTCGTTAATCTGTGGGGCGCCGGTGATGGACAGCTCGGATTAGAAGTGGCATGTACCAGACTCGAGCAGCGAACGGGTGGTCGATGCACGGCGGCAGAAGGCACGGCTGACGCCAGGCGAGGATGCGGGATGGGGCCGCCAACTTACGGATTGTCCCGAGTAATATAGCACACAGCCAATTGGGATGAAGATAACGGCAATCACATACAGCGCCGGAAGCACGAGGCTGGGCGAGAGGATAAGTGTCCACGACTTGACATTTTGCTGCTTGAAACGATGTCGTGCTGGAGCACAGCAGGCGATGTGAGTCCAATGGTGTGCTCCCGAAGACCCTGCCGCCATTTCCGACGATTCTGCTGCAATAAGCGAGCGACGACACTCACAGCGGGCGAAACCCGGCTCATTTCCACCGCCAAAGACAGCAAACGCAGCAATAGCACATACATTCCTGAGCCCTCTTTTGATGCTCGGACAGGGGCGCCGCCGTGCCCCCGTGGCTCGTCGGGGTTCCGACTGGATGTGTCTCTCCGGCAACTTGTCTTCTTCGAGCTTTCATCGATGCAGCTGGCCAAGGACCGAGACAGAGGACCGCAGCGATGCCCTTCTGGCTCGGGACGGATTGGATTGCGTCTGGGGAGGATCAGCGCATCCGGCGCCCGACTTGTGCTTGCGGCAGCGTGTGTTGATTTCTTGGCCGCGCCTCGATCCGGCTCGATCCGGCTCGATCCGGTCAGACACCCGCGCGCTTTCCCACGGCCGCTGGCCTTCTGGGCGCCAAAGGGCCCTCGCCAACAGGCTCTGCTGGATGCTCCGTCTTGACCAGCAATCGCTATGGTGTCCATCAAGTGCCTCTACACTATCCACGCGCTTTTGTTGCTGCTGTGGATCACTCCAACACAATCGCTGTCCGTTTCCGCAGCGAGCTTCCCATACCTCAATGCGGCGTACTTGGCCAACTTTGGTCGGGGGCGGCTCTACTTCATGGGCCTCTCCATGAACCCTCAGTCGATCCAGATCAACCAACAGGTCCGCATCGCATGGACGACTCGCTCTCCGCCTTTGGCGCACCATCAATCCGGCATATCGTGACATTCCGCTGTGTGATTTCCGTGTCCCTCGTCACTGATCCTCCCTGTCTCTGTATGCTCCATGGTGTTGCGGATCGCCTTAGTTTGCAGCCACGTATCTTTCTGCAACGTCTTCAGTCACCTGGATCTATCCAACGTCTTGCACAATGGTCGTCTCTTCGGGCTCGGCACTGCCAAACTCGACAGTATACTTTTCCTGCTCGCAGAGTGGCGTTCAGGGCTTCCAGGTCTACAGGGACGGCAATCCATCCACCACCGACACGTACTTTGTCTATCTCAGCCAGCCGCAGACGTGCTACAGATGGTACATGGCATCTGGAAGCATTACCGGTCAGACAGCCTCCAACGCAGTAGCGCCATACACGTCCAATCTTACAGCGTATATTTGGCTTATTGACGAAGCTTCGGCTACGGCATCGGAACTGGCCGGAACAGCAGCTACTCCCGGGAGTGTGAGTCTGCCGCTCTCTGCCGACCATGGCACCCATATCAGAGACGGGATTGAAGCTCGGATGGTGTTCATTTACAAGCCTTTATCGTCCCTGACAGGCTTCTCGGCGACTCACAGCTGCATATCAGGCCCTGGGTGACTCACCCATCATTTCGTTTCCGTCCAGCCGCTCAGTTGCAATCAATTCGCTGACATACGACAAGTCCAACATGTATGTTGCGATGATGCAAAGCGTCCCCTTCATTTTTTACCTTCAACCTGGCTGATTCCGGCTGATTTCTGATCTCATGGCGATCCTGGCTCCCGCCTGGTTCTAGATACTGGGCGCTGAGCTACAACGCAAGCAGTGCTGGCCTGATTCCAATGTTGCTGGCGAGCGCTGGGGTGGCTGTGTTGAACTGCCTGGTTGCCCAAACGCCCGTATATCTCAACGTTCTGCAATACTCCAACGCGGGGTCAGGGCAGGCGCAACTCCCAGCCACCATCAGTCCAAGCAACACTGTCGGTCCGTTTTGGCTCTCTGTTGATCCGTGCAATCAAAATGTGGTTCTATCCCAAGCCTATTCCATATCGAACGCCACATTCCTGATGTCCCAGCTTCCGCTCTTTGGCTCACTTTCGGCATCCAACATCCAGCCAACTGGATTGGCCGGCACGATCCTGATGATGGTCTCGAACTCAGCCGGGGTTGCTGCCTTGACCACTTCTGGGCTATATTTCAGCCAAAATGCAATCAGCTTTGTGGCTGCTCAAGGAGGCTTACCGGCTTCCCCATACAGCCTGAATTCGCTTCGACAGCCGACGTGGTGTAACTACTATAGCGTTTCGGTCAGCTTGAATGCGGTTGTCATTGCTTGGCAGAAGACACAGGGCAGCGGCGTCATTTTCATCAGCACAAATGGCGGACAAACATATCAAGCACTGGACCTGTCATCCCAAATCACGGCTTCGGCGGCTTCCGTAGGAAGTGGCTTCGTCCGGGATGTGTCGGTGGACCACATTCGATCCAGGCTGTCTGCTCTCATCCGTCGCTCGGACGGCCGGGACCAGATCATTATCATCGACATGGCCAACAGCTTGGCCGTCTCCCTGGGGTACCTCTTTGCGAGCCTGGACGCCGACTCACCCATTCTGGATGCAGGTGCGAAGGTACGATTCGGTTTGGAGTCACGGGCGTCCTGCAACAACTTTGCAGTAGAGTACGATAAGTGCCTTGGTCTTTTGGGTGCGATCCATCCAGGTCAGTATCTCATCGCGATCATCACACTACCTATCGCCTCCTCATCAAATTTGTCACAGAACTCTATTCCACGAATCACTCAGAGCACAGGAGGTGCCGATATGCTCCTATGGGGAGACTCACTGGCATACAGGCAAGCATTGGACTCTGCTCGAAAGCTATGCCGCGTGCGAGTGGCCCTGGCGACTCACCTGTGTATTATCTCTGCATATGCTCGGATTCCGCAGTCCCGACGGAGGAACATCGGTAGTTCAGTTTCAACTCTTCAGCAGAGACCCAACCACAACGGCCACCGGGCTGATGGCCACCGAATATGTGTCTCAAGTCGTCTCCAATGCCGATGGATTGATTGCGGCAATGACATCGTCAAATAGGTGGGGCACGGGTCATCACAGTACCCGCATATCACAGATTTCATTTCTCCGAGACTTTGGTGGCCTGTGCATTCATATTTAACGCCGTACCGCAATTTGATGGCCGCTCCTCTCAGACTCTTTCTCGGCAAGCTCGGGCTCTCGCAGCTCTATGAAATTGCATCGGGCGTTCTTTCCACCGATGGTACGTCACATTCTGCTGGCATTTTCGGAGATTGTGGATCTGTGTCGAGCAGCCGATTGTCTCTGTACACGTTCGGGCTGATGCTCAATGCGGACGCACTGACCATGACCGGATCGATTTTTGCCCCAGCCACGTCGTCGATTGCGGTCGATGTATACGGCCGTCTCCAGGTCGTTTCGCCTTCTGGAACGGTCCCAGGAAGCATCAATGTCCGATACGTTCCCGTACCCAGCGAGATCGAATCCCTCAGGTACCATGGCTCCAGAGCGCCAGCAATCTCGCTTGGCTGCACAAGTGGTTATCATCTCACGTGCTCTGTCATTCGAACGGCACTTGAATCGAGGGATGAAATGCAAGCAAGCAACTAAAGGGGCTTATTGTGTGTTTGGTGCCCAGTGCGATCTCGTCTCTCGCCTGCAATTACCAAAGCTGGAGCGCCAACATCAGCGGCAACTATATTCTGGACGTTCGTAAGTCCGACAAGCGCTGCGCACACCAAAAAATGCCAAGGGTGCTGCGTGGTGTTGCTGATGCTCAGCGGTTGACTGACTCTAACAAGCAAACACGGACTTTCTAACATTCTGATGTCATGTATCAACGATCCCTTAGATGATGTTTTGCCCTACCAGATTGCGCTAACGCCAAACCCGGGCTCGAAAGGAGCAGTCTTTGTATGTTGACACAGGCTCAGAGGGATCTCGCACCACTCTACAGTACCTCTGGGCATCTTGAGCCTGTCTAGTATGTAACGGGCAGCATCCGACTCTCATCGATTCGCTCGGTTGTCTCCACAGTTTTCAACAACCTCTCAATCCTTAATCAACCTCACCACGCTGCCAGCCCAAGAGACGGTGTCGTATTCCTTCGGGGCCCTGGCGACCACAAATGTGCTCTATCAAGGATCAATATCCCCACAGAGTTACCAGAGCCCGGGAAATACCCTGCTCAAAATCCAGCCCACCAGCATCGCCCTTGGCTGTGCTACAACGCAAAAGGTACATCGGCCGCCAAAAGACTGACTGATGGTGCACAGTGTTAACGATACTTTCTCACGAATTGCCAACGGATCTGTGGCTCGACAGATCTCCAATATCGAGTTTGGTTGTCCGGCTAACAGACACATCAAGCTGCGCTATCCGTCTGGGCAAGCTACATCCTGCCAAGCTTCGACCTTTGTCGTTGCAGCTGGGTCTTGGATCAATTGGGCGACAGGCGCGACATATGACAAGGCAAGCTTGCAATTCTTCCCTTCGACAGCCACAAGCCTTGTGCTCTACCGCCTCGACTGACCGATTGCTCACCACACTCGGGACCTAGACTGTATCTTTCAACTGCTCGCTGTATGGACCGCCGATTCCAGCGTACTACGCATACAATTTTGTGCCAATATTTGATGTCTACGACGGAAGTGTGTTGCAGGAGACGCTACAAGCAAACTTTGTCCTCTGGGAAGATAACGGGCGCACAACATTCAGCTTCAACACGACCGTTGGTCAGGTGGGCAGTTTGCGAGGGGCTGTTGACCACGACTCATGGCTGTGCTTCACTTCCTATAAGGCAGGCCCGCAGATTAGGAAGCTGCTGCCTCGTCCTGACAGCTGTTTTCACGCCATCCCGTTCGGCTCGCTCTGGTGCTGCGCTGCAGGTTGGATGTATTTCGGCACCACAAACATGGCAAAGTGCGATTGCGGCCAATCCGTCGGATCCGTTCAGCGCCTGGAATCCATCGGTAATGCTTCTTATATGTCCGGCGCAATCAAGGCGATCGTCGGAAACGTACTAACTGGTTGGCATCACGCTCATCGCAGTCCTATCAGAGCTGCTTTGTGACCAACCCAAATGCCCAGTCCTTCAGTGCCTCGAGTGTGTACCAGATATTGAACTACAGCAGTTACTCAGCCATAACTTGGTCATCCGGAAACGACGGAATCTACATGTTTTCGGCCAAGGTCATTGACCCCTCGTATAGGTAAGGGCGATGGCTTCGCCGATTGATTTCTTCCGTACATGAACACCAAGACGCCCATTGATCCAAGAGCTGACTTGTATCTGCGCTACAGCTATTGCCTGCTGACTACAAAGTTTGCTGTCAGCGTCTACGGATCACCCATCTCCGTGGGAGCCCAGACGGCCATAGTCTTTGGCATGTGTGCTGGGATCTTGCTCATCCTGTTTATCTCGTACTTTGTGTACTGGAGCAAAAACGAAAAGGAGCGCAAGGAGCAAGAGGAGCGGGAGCGACTGGAAGAAGAAGCCGAGAAGCGTGAAGAGGAGGAGTTGTTGCTCAAGGACGCCAAAAAGTGGGATGCTATCCCTGAGGAATCCGGCTGAGCCCCGGGCTTTGAGAGCGCACAATAAACCAGAGTGAGTGCCGACAGTGCAGTGTATCGACATTCGCGCCATATCGCATTCGATCCATGCCTCATGGCAGACCATCGATGAGCGCCATTCATGCGTTGATATTGACGAAACAAAGCAATGTCCAGCTTGCGCATGGAGGAGCTGCGTTCACGAGCTGCCGTCGCTTTCGCTCTCGCTCGGGCTGTCCCTGCTGGACTTTTTGGATGAGCGCTTTGCCGTTCGCGAGCGCCCCTCTTTCCGATCCTTCTCCTTCTTCCGCTTCTTTTTCTTGTCCTTGGCTTTCTTGTCTTTTGACTTTTTCTCGCTGTGTCGCCGCTCTTCTTCCGTGCTCTGCTTCGGCGCCTGCCCCTGCTCATAGAGGCGCTCGACTGTGTCGTAATAGGCATCGATGTTGCCGTCGTCAAAGTTGTCGGGATCGAGACGGGGATTGTAGTCATCTTGGAAATACTTGTCCAGCCGGGAAGAGCCGACGCTGCCCCGGCCACGGTGGGTCAGCACGGGCTTGGTAGATACAGTGGCAGGCTCGTTCTCTGTCACAGCGACGGTTTCGTGGGCAGAATCATGCTTGCGCCGCTTGTGCCGCTCCGGGCTGAAAGAAGGAGCTTGGACGTCGCTGAGATGAAGGCCCGAGTGGCCGGTGGGCCTCACAGCCCCACTCCGTGGGGACTCCTCGATGCTCTCGCCAGATCGGCCCATAGTCCGACCCAAGCGTTGTGCCTCGGTCTCTGCTTCTAATGACCGCAGCAGTGCCTTGTTGTGGTCGTCGGTGCTCCTGATGATGTTCATCAGGAATCGCTTGTTTGGTTTGGGCAGGTTGCTGGGAGAATATGGCATGGCAGCGTTAGGGACGTCCGAATCCACCGAGCCAAGGGCAGGCCAGCCTATTTGAAGCTCTGGGCATAGAGCGATGCTGTGGTGGATGCTGTTCGCCAACGGCAGGGGCAAGCTTACCTTTGCTTTTCCTGGTCAAAGTACGCAGCGGCCCCACGTTGCTCATATTTGCGCTTGGCGGCACTGGCCTCCTTCATCATCATCTCGACGACATACTTTTCCATATCGCCGTCGGGTACGTCGGCGGCTTTGCCACCCACGGCAGCACGCACCAGCTTGTTGACGACCGAGTCCAGAGACGTTGTTGCAGGGCCGGTCGCTCTGGATGCGACCGGGCCGGACGAGGATGGGGCCCTGTCCTGGGCATGTTTCTGTAGCAATAGCTTTGCATCTGCCAGATATTTGCTCATTGGAGTTAGTGTGTGGTCGCCGGTGCTTGGGGAGATGGGGGTGGCATTGGCCTCGAACGGATGGCGCACAGACGAAAGGCAGATGGGGGCAAAAGCAGATGAGCAGAAGGAGGGATCGGTTCGCAACCAAGATCGCGATGGGACCAGAGGCCAGTTCGCAGCGGGCGCATCGATGCCGTCGGGGCCATCCTCGCCTGTGGCGGAAGTGCACCAGACAAAAGCCGAATCACTGCGGTCCGGCTGGCGGTCAATCGGAGTGATGCATGCCTGATCTCGGGGAACGGCTGCCCCAACGAACCAGGATATGCAGTGTGTCGGCGCCAGGACGTCCGTTGCATCTGCAGGGAGCCGCGGACCCACCACCATCATCGGCATTGCTCCTCGGCCTTGCCCTCGCCCGCACGCCATGGTGGATTCCAAAAAAATGCGGCTCGCTCATTTGCTCCTATATGGGCTTCTGGTCCTGGCTGTGGAGCGCATTGGTCGCTATCCAGGGACGGCTGCACTGGCTCGTGCTCAGAACAAAACCCTCAACACGATCAACATCACGACAATCCTGGGCCGCGACGACTCCGATCCAGTCCTTAGCGGCCGGGTTGCGCAATTCCAAGTCGGCATCGAGATGGCTGTAGAAGAGATCAACAACAACACCGATCTGCTTTCTGGTGAGTGTCGGTGGGCCGGGTCAGCCAGAATGCACACCTTGGCCTTGGCATCGCCAGATGTCTAGAGCCGCCACCTTGACGATACACAATGGATCCTCTGCCTTGGCCAGATACCATCATCAACCTGGTCCACCGGTCGTCTGGGAACAGCCTCTATGGGAGAACAGTCGGAGCGTATGTACATAACCGCAAGGGCGTCTCCGCCAGCCGGACCTGATTTCGCACACGCGGCGATGTGATGCACTTCGTGTTGATATGAGACGACAGCGCAGTGGCAGTGCCGGAGCAGCATATTTGATGGCTCAAAGTGCATTGAAAAGTGGACTGTCGAGAGCGCATGCCGCACTCGCTAATGACACGGAGCACCATCAATCTCTTGCAATGCACATCGGCTCGGTCCACGTCGTCGGATACCCAACGGAACAATGCAGCGCCCAGGCTGTCCAAGCCGTACTCAACGACAACGCCGTGGGCATCATCGGAGATGTATACAGCCGAGTCACGGTTTATGAAGCTGTGATTTCGTCGGCATACGGCGTATGTTTATCAACGCGACCGTCGTTCACAGGAGTGCTCAGGGAAAGTGCGAGAGCCTGATGGGATCTGACATTGCACCTGCTAGGTTCCGCAATGCGGCATCTACAGCACGGCAACGGATTTGATCGACCCCATACTGTATCCGGTATGAACCTCTCTGCCGTTTGCGTATCCGTCGAGGGAGGAGGCGCTCCAATATCTGGCCCGGTTGCTCAGCATGTAGATCCTCGCTCACTATGGCCGTTTCGCAGACCTTCTTCCGCATGACGCAGAGCAATCGCGAGATTGCGTCGATCTTTGTGCGCTTCATTGCCCAAATGGGCTGGACGAATGTAAGACATCCCGGCGTCGCTTAGCTTTGCAGGCATAGGATGTTTGCTCCGACCTTGCTTGCCGTCTAATCTCACGTACACGCACGCAGTTTGCAATTCTGTATACTCCTGACATCTACGGAAGCGGAGGTACGTGTAACTACAGATGTACCGAGACTCCGTGGGATCGATGATCCGGGCAATCATCGTACCGCAAGATATTGACTTGAGCCGGTTGACTCTCAGCGGCGAATGGAGCAGAGTCCATGGGGCTCTCGCTTGGAATGAACGTGATCCTCAAACAGGTACTGCAGTCGGATCTGTCTTTGGGGAACGGCCATCGCTGGCTTGTTCACTGTCGATTTGTATAACATTGTCGCCATCAACCGACGGCGATACGCCCTTCGCAGCCTTTCTTTACAACAGACGACGACAGATCCAAGATGCCGGCCAGCAAATTACAGCAGCCCCTGTCTAATCTCCGTCGGAAAGGGGCTCGGATTATCTTGGTCTGTGCATTGCCGCATTTGGCGGCGAGTCTCTATTTCGCGGCAGCAAAACCGCCGTGGTCTTTGGTGGGCCCAAGATATGTCTGGATGGTGCGTTGATGGAGCCGACGACCCGTAGTAGCCGCGATTGTCCTAATCAAGTTGACCGAGCCGGCGATGTACCGGGCATACCGACTGGAGCCGTGGAGACAATGAGTATATTACTGATCAGATCCTCGTATTCCGTCATAACTGCATCATGCCCTCTCGGCCTGACTGATTGGAGGAAATGTAGACATTGGAGCCGATCTTTCGTGGCAACTATAGCGCCAGCACCTTGATGACTGCAAACGGCGTTATTTCAAGTAAGCGCATATACAGTCGGGCATTTGGATATTGCCGCGCATCAGTCGATTTCGGGCTCGTCTTTGACAGCCCGTCTCGGAAACCAGTTTCGAAGAGCGACAGCGTATTCCAGAGCCCATCGTCGCTGTTATGGAAATCAAGATTCGCCTCGTTTATGAGAGCCAATCCGCAAATTCAACTCGACCACAACGACGAGGCTATATTCAACTGCAGGTGGGTCGTCGTCGAGATCTTGATGTCGCTGTTGACATTGTGAGAGGGCATTTGACCAAACGAGGCGTGCCAGTCGCACGCCATGTGGCTCACCTCGCCCGTGTGCTTGTCTCAACAGATTGGCATACGATGCCGTGTATACGCTGGCCCTTGGGCTGGTAAGGCCACTGGCCGTGACTTTGCTTGCAGCCGCTCTGAGAGGCATCCTTGGTCATATTCTGAGCCGCCGCTGTATTAACAGGACACACAGATTCAAAACAACGCCTCCTGGACCATGCAAGATATCATCAATCGTCGTGTTCAGTACGGAAATACATCGCTCATCACCAACGTGACGTTTAACGGCGCCACCGGCACTGTTTCATTTGACAACCTGGGCCAAGCTGTCGTAAGTGGCTGCAATAGTTGCCAAGCATCTTGCAAATACCGCGAGTGCTCAACCGCTTCTTCCGTCTAGCGAGCAATGACTCTGTATGCAATCAACGGCAGCGATCTGAGCCAGAGTAATCTCGTGGTTGCGTCCGGGACATACCTGAATGTCTCCACAAACTGCACGGGGTGTTCGTTTTGGAGCTACAATCTCGACAGCCAGGTGCATATGTATTACATCGTTGATGACGTGGCAGAGCTGTAGCTCGAGTCGATAGAGTGCCGCTCTGACCTCAGAATCGCTTTGTAGGTTCCGAGCGATCTGCCGGACAACTATCGTAAGCACTCAAATGAGCCGGCACTCATGGCACGAAGAGAAGCTGTCAATCGCACGTCATACAGGCTTTCATGCACTTGCGCTGTGTATATTCATGAGACTCTCCAAACATTCGGCTTTCTCGATCAAACAGAGTGCGATCCTGGATGGGAGTTGATTTTCTCACCCGCGCCCATATGTGTTCCCTGTCCCGAAGGTAAGTGTGACATCCTTGCCTCGATGCGACAAGGGACTGCTCTGCTGTCATAAAGTTCATCTCCATCTCTGCATCGTTCAAGGCACATACAACTTGCTTTCGTCTTCGACCTGCCAAGCATGCCCAGCCGGCGTTATCTGCGACAACAATCGGATCCATGTGATGCCGTCGTATTGGGTCGATCCGGATGCCAACCTAAGCGACCCGGGTGTCTTTGCGGCCTCTGTATTTTACTGCGAGTTCAACACCGGATGTGAGTCCATATTGTATCTGGGTGCCCTTGGAGCTGCGTCACCAGAATGTGGCATCAATGCATCGCCTCCAATGGATGCTTGCTAACCAGCTTTGGAACAGGTTGCAATCAGAATCCCCAGGGAGCTGCGCCATGCACCATCAGCAACCAGTGCGCCTCGCCGGATCACTATGGCCCGTCGGTATTGAGTGGAACCGTGCAGCAATGACAGTAGACATGGGTTACTGATGCACGCAGTTGTACCAACAATTCATATTCATTCCACGACATTTGCTCCAGGCTCTGTGCCAAATGCGCCAATGGACTGTACATGTGGGGCGGCACATGCGTCAACTGCAGCCAGTCTGAGACAATGTACCTGATTCCATCGCTCTACATTCTCGGGGTGATCTTTGTGACAATTGTGATCTATCTGATACCCAAGGAGGCTGAATGCTTCCTCGATGATCTGGTAAGCAACGTGCTGTGGCGAGACAGGGGCCCGGCAGGCACCACTGTACAGGGTTGCTGACTGAGCTTCTCTTGTCCCAACACAGATCCTGGTTTGTCAAATCACATCGACTTTGACAGGAATGTCGGGCATTTCGATTGCGCAATACCTCGTGACAGTATCATCGTCCCTGCTGAATGTTCCGATCGACAACATGTGCGTCGCGCCGATCAACTCCTTTGGCCAGATGCTACTTGGCTATGGCATGCTGCCCCTGGTCACCTTTGGATTTGCAGTGTGCATTACATGCACCATGACAGTGCGATTTCTGGTTCCAAGGATCCCACTACTTGCTCGAATTGTAAAGACGCGCATCTTCCAAACGGTTCGTGCCAACTACCGCTCGAATATCTTCTCGACCCTGTCGGCGCTGTTCCTGATGGCTCACTTGCCCGTGATCAGCACAGGTGATTTATGTCCCGCTACGATCTTTTGAGGCGGCGATGCATTTTCTTCGTCCGGCCGACGGATATACCAGCACTGAGGGCCGCGCATGTTGCTTACAATACCTTCGGCATGCTGTGTGAAAGCCTCTATCGAAGAAGTGACTCGAGTGTATGCTCGGATGGCAGCCTTTGCGACCACTCCATGCCATTCTAACACATCGCCACTGTTCCAGCCTTTGAATCAATGGTGTGTCGGTCGCTGGGACCGTATAGAGTGGTACGAACATATCCAGGGGTAGATGTAGGTATCGCACCAAGCCACACAGAGTTCTGGAATATTTCATGGTGTGCTGATTTCCTTGCATCGTGCTCTGCTGATCGCAAATTTTGCCGTCGTTTTTGATTACTCAGTGCTGGACTACAAACCACATTGCAGCCACAATCTTTGGGATCGCCGTGATCGTCCTGATGGGCATCGTAGCCCCGCTTGTGCTCTTTCTCATCGTCAAGAACGCCAAGAATGGTGGCCACCTCTATGAAAAGTCTCGCCCCGAATACGTGTTCCACGGCGCTTACAAGCCAACTTACTACTGGTGGATCTCAATCGACATTGTGGAGCGGACGACGATCATGGGGATCTCGATTTTGCTCGGAGTGGACGGTAAGCGGGGTTTTGCTGAGTTTCATGCGGCAGCGAGACAGTACCTTGGCCCCTCGATATGCTGTGGGCTGCGGAAGGCCAGCTGATGACAGTCTCTGTCGACAGAATACCACCGCATCGTCAGCTTGATGTGTGCTGTATGGTTTTGGCTTGTTCTCAGGTGAGTTCCTTGAGTCGAGATATCCGTCGATACGCTGGCTGGCCCGTGTCAAGTGGCTAACGGCTACTGTCCTGTGCACAGGATATTTGTGATGCCGTGCAAAAAATCGATCGACAACTCTGTCAAGATTCTTGGCTACATCAGCATATTGATCCTCGGCGGGTTTAGACTCGATCTCAGCAACGCTGTGCTCACACAAGGCTACTCGAAAAACGATGCATCGGCATACTCTACGGCGTTCTTCATCCTGCCCCTGGTGATTTTGGTGCCCATCCGGTTATTGATGGCGGTCTACGATAAGCCTCTCGATCGGATCGCCTCGATGGCGTGGATGAGCCAGAGCCGCACGTCCATCCCACCAGAGAGCATCGGGACCAAGCTGCCAGAGCTCCCAGAGAGCAGCGACAAGCCTGCAGTGGAGGCGCTTTACGAGAAGCCTCGGATCATCGAGGAGCTCAAAGACGAACCTACTTCCAAATCGCATCTGGAGCCCAAAAGCCAGTCAACATCACTGCACTCCCTCAATGAAGCGCCGCCCCCCAGTCGAAAGCCCACCGCTCAACAAAGAATCAAGGCGGATCAGGCCCGGCTCGAAAGCAGACGGTTTTCGAAGGGTGTGCTGGAGGAAGTCTATGAGTCTCTCCAGCGAATGCAGGGACGATCAACGGACGATGGCTGGTGCAACGATATTGTACCTGAGTTCCCGGATCACGGCAACGAATCATAGATACAGTCGGTCCAGAAAGAAACGGGACAGTTCCTTCCTGGCTTCAGATGTCTGTAGCCTGCCGAACTTCTGTAGGCCCCGGTGAGCAAGCCGTGCGATTGCTTCCCGTCCTGGTTGGCAATCTCTTTGGTTTCGTTGGTTTGGGAAGCACAGTCTTGAATACACTCGGTCGATCTCCTGTGGCGATGTGGGAGTGTGGTGCATTCACCACCCTCTGAACTGCTCCATGGTGTATCGATATCAAGATACTCGACCTTCTCGAGTCGCTTGGCTTCCCGGCGTGTGAGCACACCTGGAGATCGAGTCGCTTGAATCGCGGATGAGGGAGTGGGCAAGGCCGGAATCTCAGGATGGCTTTGGCGAGCCGATTTATTGGGGTTCGGTCGCCATCATTCAGCCCGATCGCTCCATCGGCCCAGGGCACGCCAAGCAAATCACAGTGCTTTCTTTATTGAACGCCAAAGTAACCATCGGAATCTAGCAGCCTGGATCTTAAACTCAAGTGGCATTGCAGCACGGCAGAATAACGGACTTGCCTGGCCCTCTCGGGAGTGGTCGGCGCCTACCCAGCCAGATTTTCCAAGGGAGAGAGATTTGGAACAAGCGACAAAATAACGGGACAAAGACATACAGCGAGTGCGGGAAAATCGAACATAGGGAAGCAGCAACAGCTGCGCATAACAGGGTACAAAAACGAAAGTGTATGGGTCCACTGAGGCCGGACGATCAACGAACCACAGGGAAGGCGACAAACATTGCGTCCTGCTGTCCAAGACGAGATAGTCGGGAAGAATCAAGCGGCCCGGCCATCAATCGACGTCGCGGCCACGATAGTCGCTATTACGCTGTGCTTTGCGACGACGGCGGGGCTCGTCCTCAGGATCGGCCTCATATTCGCTGTCGGTAAAGAACTCGGGCTGACGGAGAGGCTGGAGCGAGTTGCGGTTGCGAGGCAGGTTGGTGGACTTGCTACGGCCGAGTCTGTGGCCGCCACCGACAGGCTGGACATCCAAGGTTGTCTCGTCCTCGCTGGCACGGGGCGTCGACTGCTCTACCTGGATGAGAACGTTGCTATCCGTGGCCAGCGATGCCTGTACAGAGTCAGAATGGGTCTGGCTTGCCTCTGGAGTTCGGCGTTCCTGTTCGCGCTTGATGTACTCGATGGCTTCGTTGATCTTCTTGAAAAAGTGATCGCGGCCGACGAGATTGTACAGGCCCGAACGCACAAACCACGGCTTGCAATTCTTGCGGACTTTGACAAAGCATACGATGATGCCGCGGGCCTTGTACGACTGACAGATCTCGTAGAGAGTTTGTGTGGCACTGTCATCGGCCGCGGGTGTGAGTGTGAGTGTGAGTGTGAGTGTGAGTGTGAGTGTGAGTGTGAGTGTGAGTGTGAGTGTACATGGATGCAGGACAAGCGCACGAAAGCAGGGGCCTACCTCGCATCCAGGTCAACAACGCCTTCGACATCAAAGATCAAACTACGCAGCGGCTGACCGCCCGAAATCTGGCCGCCTTCAATAGGCTCCTCTCCAGGATGAACGCCGATATCGCCGTGAAGTTCGATACGCTTGAGACGATCCATGAGCTGCCCCGTGTTGCCGAAAAAGAGACCCTCCTCAATCCGGATGATCAGCCCGCCTTCGATGCGCTCGATGCGCCGGGTGTCATGGATGCTGCGGAACTTGGACTTGAGCGTTCCCGTCTTGGGATCGAGAACGGTGGTTCTGCCGAGAATAGCGAGCCGCGTCTGTGGGCAAATGCATCAGCAGAGATCGATAAATGATGGTGTTAACGATCGGGGCCCAGCGAACGGCTCCGGCCAACGGTTGCCAAGCTGCGATTCCAGCAGGATGGAGCAGAAAGCCATCGTTCGGCCAAGTGAGCAAGGAACGTCGGCAGCTGCTGTGGATACACTCGAAATGGAATACCGACCTTGGTTGTGTGCTTGACCACCAACAGCAGAGAAACCGAGACCGAGAGCAGAGTTCCGGCCTCAATCGACACCAAAATCGTGGTCAGGAAAGTCAGCAGGAGCAGACTCAGATCGTTCCAGGCTTGGAGGTTGATCAGAACATGGAAGTCGTGCGGCTCGATCAGCTTCAGGGCCGCGACGACAATGATAGCGGAGCAGACGGCCTTGGGCAAGTAGTAGAACAGGGGCAGGATCCACAGGATCATGCACAGAATGACACCGCCAGTCACCAGGCCAGCGAGCTGCGTTCTCGCCCCAGCCGAGTCGTTGACCGCAGATCGGCCAAGCGAGCCAAAGGCCGGCCACGAGCCAAAGCAAGATCCGACGGCGTTGGCGATGCCGATGGCAACCAGCTCGCGGTTGGGCGAGATGGGATAGTTGTGCTTGGTGGAGTAAGTCTTGGCGACGGCAATGGACTCAACAAAGCCAATGATGGAGATCAGAATCGACGAAAGCATCAGGAACTTGAAGCGAGCCAGGGTGATCGTGGGGATCTTGGGGGTCACAAAGCCGCCGGCAGCGGTGCCAAGGACGGCGACGCCAGCATCATTCCACCGGAACAGCTGCGAGAGGGCCGTCGAGGCAACGACGAGGACCAGGATCTCGGGCACCACCGACAGCCACTTGCGATCTGACATTTGCGCCTTGAAGAACTTTGTGACCAGCAGGAATCCAATGCTCAAGACAGAGACAACCGCAGTCAGGGCGTGGGTCAGATGCAGATGCGTGAGGGTCTGGATGAGCTTCATGATGGGCGAGTCGCCCTCGTCGTATTCGACAGCAGGGACGCCGTCGACCTTGAGGTCCAGCCCAAGAAGCGAGGGACTCAAGTCGATCATGACCACGACCGCAACGGCAGTGACAAACCCGCGCAAGAGAGCGCGGGACAGCACCGAGTCGAGGAAGCCGAGCCGGAAGAATCCAAGCAGGAAGGTAAAGAGTCCGACCATCAGCCCCACGAGATTGGCAATCTCGATCTTTTCGGCGAGTTCCTCGGCGGCCGAGAGGACACCAACATTGTCAGCCGAGGTCCGGGAGGTCCATTCGCTGATGCTGGCGCCGACCAGGATAGAAACAAGGGCCTCGGGGCCAAAGCCAAGCTGCCTGTGGGGTTGGCCGAGACGAAGCATCAAGCAACCACGGATGGATCAGTACGACTCCAAGAGAGACCAGGCAACAGCGAGCCCCAGATTAGCGAGGGCCGCGACGGCGAGCAACCGTTGGATGCACCGCAGTTGGCCAGAGCAGTTGGTCAGAGCAGACGGCGGCGAGCAAGCAAGCAAACAAGCGAGCCGATGAGAAAGCAGGGCGGGTATGGGCAGGAAGCGCCAGCAGTCACGACAGCCGACCAAGCCCTGCGGTGCATAGGACAGAGGTGGGCCGGGCAAAGCAGACAGAGCGAGCGACTACAGATGGCCCGACCTTGAGGTGCCCAGCAGGCCGTAGATGATGAGCGGCACAAAGCAGGTGTAGAGACCATAGATGGGGGGAATCTTGACGAGTGCCTGGGCATACGAGAGGCCCTGTGGGGCAAGCAGGCAAGAGACTGTCAAGCCGGCTATGGCGTCGCTGCGAAGATGCTCCAGCTGATAGCTTGGTAGCCAGGTCAACACAGGGACGTAGTAGCGAAGGCGGATCCAATAGTAATGGAGGTCCTTGTGGACCACAAAGCCATGCTCTGGAGAAGGGTCAACGGGATGTTTCAGCCACAAGTCTGACGAGCGAGGCTCTGCGTCGACTGGCTATTGCAGTAGCCCGACCCCTGATGGGCTCTGGACATCGGGCCAAACGGTACCTTCAGTACGGGTGGTTTCGGAGAGATTCCAGTCATTATCCGAAGAGTCGCCGAGCTCGTTGTCGGTTCTGGCATGGTCGGCGAGCAGGTGGAGGTGCTCGTCGGAGTAGGAGTGTGCCATGGCGGTCGCAGGCGAGGACTGGGTCGAGCAAGGCTGATCTGGTCTGGTCTGGTCTGGTCTGGCTGGACTGGATTGGGCTGCCCTGGACTGGACTGGACTGGACTGGATTGAAGTGGACTGGACTGAACCGACAACCCAGCAGGCGAGATGGAGGCGACGCAGGAGCGGGCTGGATCAGGGCCGTCGATGGCGGCTGATTGCGCGGTGGCGTGCCAAGGACGAACCGATGTCGCGGGGCGGCTGCATTGGGTGGGGCTGCATTGGATGGGGTTGCATTGGGTGGGGTTGCATTGGATGGGGTTGCATTGGATGGGGTTGCATTGGCGGACGGGGTGCGACGATCCCACGGAAGTATGCTCTGGCTGGCGGGCTGCAATGCACCTGGCAGAGAGATATTCGGTCGAGATACGTTCGGTAGAGATACATTCGGTTGCAATGTCCTTGGCACAGTTGGGAACCACCTTCACTTTCCCACTCCATGTGTTCATCTATCGCCCGCATCGCTGCTGCTCCCCGTCCAGCATTCACTTGCATCCGATCCGTCTGCCGCCAAGTTTGCGTTTGAGCCAAACTATCGCGCCTCCTCGGCGGTGGCTGATCGGGTGTCTCTCTTCCCAACAGTGCCGTCGGCCTGCTATCGACCTGCCCCAACCCAGCACATCGAGGCTGCCAAGCGTTGCGCCAGACCACCAGCCGAGGCGGCCGCAGCATCCGCTCTGACGCAATTGCGTCCGCTCCTCTTCCAAAGAAGCTTCCAGCCACGAATTGATTGCGGCGAGGCAAGGAAGCGGCTGGCTCCGGCCTCCGTCTTCCCCCGGCATCCACCCTGGCCACTGGGGACAATCTCAGTACCTGTCGATACGACACTGATGCTTCTGAGTACTCTGGGCACTCTGCGCAACGGCAAACAGCCGCGGTGGGCGCTGCACTTGGCTGCGGCCTCGGAACAGCCCCGATCACGGCGGCGCTAGCACAAACAATCGCTCAGAAAGGTCCAGGGAGCGCAGAGGCTGCTTAGTCGGGCCGGCGCATTGATATGCACTGCCAGCCTGTTTGCTTGGCTGCCTGTCCTGTCTGGCCCTGCCCTGTCCTTTCTGTCTGTCTGCCTGTCGACGGGGCAGACAGCTCGACAGACGCGCAGCGGAAAGAAAACAAGTTTTCTCGTCTTCGGTCTTGGTGCGATTGTTGTTACGAAAGAAAAACTTTGGAGCACTGCCTGGCGACTTGTTGGGATGATCACACGACAACAAAAGAAAAGCAGGCTTGCCACTCCAGACCGCATCCCCCGTCGACCGATTTTCAGATATAACGGGCACGGGCACCCGCCTTGGTCTTGCTGTTCTCATCGGCAAGCATCTGCTTCCTCTCAGTCGAGTTCTTCAACTCAAAGCGTTCGCTCCTGTGAATCTTCTCTGTATCTGCCAGATACCCGTTGGCTATACCCCCGCTCCTCCAACTCATACCCAAGCACCTCGATTTTGGCCGGATACCCTCGTCTATCGAATACTGATTCCCGAACGCCTGCTGTCGACAAGAACTGCTCCGTTTCACCAACGATATCTGCAGCTGCATTGAAGAGAAAGCTCGCCCGTGTCGAACCCATCTGACAACCCCCGCATTCTCACGATTGTCGATACTTCACAAAAGGACTGCATAAACTCACAAAAAAAATCGAATACCCCCAAAAGCTCAAAAAAAAAGCACTTCGTCTCGCTTTATCGAAACCCAGTAACCACTTCCCGCCTATCGTCTGAATATCGTACTACCCAGTCAATATGGTTCGTCAAAACACCAACGCTACTACCAAGGTCGCTCAGAACCCCTCCCAGTCTGCCCAGCAGCAATTGAACGCCAAGAAGGCCGCCTTGCCTAACCTCCCTGCCGGCAAGGCTGCTACGCCCTCTAAGGCCGCCTCTCCTACCAGCAAGTCGGCTACTCCTGCTCAGCGCCCTGCCTCCCCTCCTGCCAAGGCTGCTCAAGCCCCTGCCAAGGCCGCTGCTCCCGCCCAGCGCCCCGCTTCTCCCACCAACAAGATGGCCCAGGCCCCTGCCAAGGCTGCTGCTCCGGTGAAGGCTGCCACTCCAATGAAGGCTGCTTCCCCTGCCAAGGCTGCTCCTGCTCCTGCCAAGGCTGCTCAGGCTCCTGCCAAGGCCGCCACTCCTGCTCAGCGCCCCGCTTCTCCCACCAACAAGATGGCCCAGGCCCCTGCCAAGGCTGCTGCTCCGGTGAAGGCTGCCACTCCAATGAAGGCTGCTTCCCCTGCCAAAGCTGCTCCTGCTCCTGCCAAGGCTGCTCAGGCCCCTGCCAAGGCTGCCACTCCTGCTCAGCGCCCCGCTTCTCCCACCAACAAGGCTGCCCAGGCACAGTCTCCTACCAAGGCCACTTCGCTGATTCCTTCTCAGCGTTCAGTTTCCCCTACCCCCCAGAAGACACTCGCTAAGGTAAGGCTCAAAAGATAACCCTCTCACATACGGTTCCCCAAATCGGTACTAACTCGCTGGTGTTGTTCCCACAGCCCGCCCCAATCAACTCGCGCCCTTCCAGCAATGCCAGCAGCCAGACCCACAGCCGCCAGTCCAGCAAGTCTCCCAGCAAGTCGCCCAACCGCCAGGAGTCTTCTTCCAACCTCAACCCCGATCTGTTCTCTCCTCAGTTCTTCACCGAGCCTGCTTCGTACACTGCCAAGCTTAGCCCGGTTACTTCTCCCCACTATGCCGATGGCCATTCTCGCAGCTCGTCAGCCAAGTCTCCAACCCAGGCTGCTGCTCCCGCAAAGACTGCTGCTCCTGCCAAGGCCGCTGCTCCAGTGAAGTCTGCCACTCCTGCCAAGGCTGCTTCCCCTGCCAAGGCTGCTCAGGCTCCTGCCAAGGCTGCTCAGGCTCCTGCCAAGGCTGCCACTCCTGCTCAGCGTCCTGCCTCTCCCACCAATAAGATGGCCCAGGCTCCCGCCAAGGCTGCTACTCCGGTGAAGGCAGCCACCCCTGCCAAGGCAGCCACTCCCGCCCAGCGTCCTGCCTCTCCCACCAACAAGATGGCCCAGGCCCCTGCCAAGGCCGCTGCTCCAGTGAAGGCGGCCACTCCTGCTCCTGCCAAGGCTGCTCAGGCTCCTGCCAAGGCTGCTCAGGCTCCTGCCAAGGCCGCTACTCCCGCTCAGCGCCCCGCTTCTCCCACCAACAAGATGGCTCAGGCCCCCGCCAAGTCTCCAACTACCTCCCGCACCGTCACACCCGTTCCCAAGGTTTCTGCCAGTGCTCAGGGCCAAATGAAGGCCCTGGACCAGAAGCTCAAGGCCTCCACCACTCCTTCGTTCCAAAAGCCCACTCCCACCATCCAGGTAGGAAGCAGTGTCCGCTCTTTGCTCTGCCAGCCGACCAAGGGTATGATGGTTTAATATTAGCCTTCTGCATTTCCGGCCACTCACGCCTCTCACTGTCTGCAGGCCAGAGTTGCTCCGACTTCTGCCGGGCTCGGCTCCAAGGAGGCCACCTCTCCCCAAAACAAGAAGAGCCTGATCCACACCCCGTCGAACAAGACCAAGTCCGGAGCCTCGAGCCCCTCGAAGGTGGGTCATCCTCACGATCTCGATGACGACGCTGCCCACTCTCCTTCCCGAGACAAGATTCCTCTCGGCAAGCGTAGATCCCACCACTTTTAAGCAACCCGGCGGATTCGAGATCTCGGTCAGAGCCGTGCGCTGTGTCGATGACTATACCTGCTCGCGCTAGGATTCTGTCTTGCCAGTTGCCGGCTGCCGATTTGTGTCTGTGCCTTATCTTATGTTTCCGTTTTTGCTCCAGGCCGGCACTAAGAAATAAGGGGCGCCGCTTTTCTGCGTAAAGGCTGCGGTGTCTACTAGTTCCATGTGTCGCTGTCATTTTTTCTCGTTTGAACATTGGCGCCGTGGTGTTGGCCTTTGACTTTGATGTGAAGTTGATGGTGGGATGGGTGCTCGATGATGATGGTGACGGCCAAAGCTGTCGATGATGAATACGATGACGGAATCGGCGCCAGCGCTCAATATAACACCGTACAAAAAGAAACGCATCCTGTTCTGAGCTGGAGTTGTCGGTGCTGTCGGGATTCTGTTGACATGCGCCTGTCGCCCACTATGGCCAAAGGGTGTGTCCCCCGGTTTCGATCTCGGTGGCGATGGCGATGGCGATGGCGGTGGGCTTCGGGGCGACGGTGGAAGTACTCTGGCACAGCCTGGAGAGGAAGGGGGTTGGCACGCCCAGCAAATCGCCTCGCATATCGCCCCGCATATCGCCCGAGCCAGCCTCCTGGACACCGGAGGTGCTTGGAGACTGATGGATCCAGGCCGCCGTGAGCCGACGCGTGTCTGCAGCAGCAGTGTATGCTGCGCGCGGCCAACCGCCCGTTCCACAGACCGCCACACGCCTGTGCGCGCCTGCGATGCTGTGGCGCCTGCGCCCGGCCTGTCGCTGATTGGCTGCGCGTGCCGCGCTGCGCGGCTGCGTTCGAGGCGCACAGCGCGGAATGCGGGGCTATTGCGCGCCAGCCGATCTCCGTGCGCTCTGGTTGGCCCGCCGCTCCGATGTGCGACTGTGCTTTCCCGAATAGGCAGGCCGTCCTTGATGCTGCACGTGAGAACACAGACCCGTTATCGGAGCGCCTCGACAGCGCCTCCACAGCGACAACGCTGCAGAGGCACATGACGCTGCAGATAGAGCACTATCGGTGTGCGACGCCGACGCAACCAGCCGCCTGCGCGCGTCTCTGCTGGGACAGTCGACAGCAACAGTGCACCCGCACAGCACAAGCTGCTCCGCCCACACAGCCAGCTGGCCGACACAGACACAGGCACAGACACAGTGCACACACAAGCTGCGCACGCCGCCTGCGCCTTGCCTCCGCCCTTCCGCTGTGGGACAACCGTTTCCGGCCCCGCCCTGTTGGTTGGCCCCGTCCGAGGCCGATCCAACTCCAAGGGTCGTGCCCAGGCCGGCTCTTTTTTTTTTTTGTGGGGCCGGCCATTGATAATCGCTCTGGACGACCTTATCTGCTCTTGGACCGCCATCTCCTCGCCGCGATATCGTCTCGTCCTTGCGACTATATCCATCGGTGCCGTCCTCTGCCGTCGTCCAGTCGTCCCGAGCAACGCCCTTCCGGTCCTCCTCATTCCCTCCCGCGCCCGATCGCTCGCTCGATCGCTCAACCTCCATCTCGTAACTGCCGCATCCGGGACCTGATCTGCCCATCCCGATACTCAACAGCCCATCCGCCGCCTGTCCATCTGTCTTTCGTCTCTCGTCCTTCGATCCAACCACCATGGCTCCTCTGTCCTCAGCCCCGCTGCCATCACCGACTCAGCCATCGACCCAGCCGCCCTCAACATCGTCATATGCCTCGCAATCTGAGCTCGAAGATATCGACTACGAGTCGCTGCCCACGTCATCTGTCGCCGTGCATATGATGGCGGGAGCCCTTGCCGGCATCACCGAGCACTCGGTCATGTTTCCCTTCGACTCCATCAAGGTAAATGTCATTCCTGCATGCCTCCGGTGTGGTCGATGCGTTTTGTCGCCCGGGTGTGCTCGCTCGCTCGCTCGCAGATTGTCGCCGCCTGCGCATTGGTCTATCGATCCCCTGTGCTGGTGCTGTCATTCTGACTCGATCCTTCGTTCTGCTGTGACTTGCCTCGCGCACACACCCAGACTCGCATGCAGATCCTGAACTCAAAGGCCATCTATTCCAGCATCTCACACGCCTTTGCGCAAATCACCACCACCGAGGGTTTCTATGGGCTGTGGAGAGGCGTCAATTCCGTGATCGTGGGGGCTGGTCCCGCACATGCTCTCCAATTTGCGACCTACGAACACTGCAAGACCCTCTTTGGCGCTAATGCCGATGAACATACCCCTCTGCAGACTGGTGAGTGCTCTCTGTTTGAGGATGAGTGAGGGATAGCGGAGGGTGGTTCGCCGCCCGCTTGCGAGTGGGCCGGCTCGGGACGATCCGCTTCTGGAACGCCAAAGAGTGTCTGTTCGCCCTTTCCTCTGGGTATACCCGCTTGCAGTCAGTCAACTGACTGACTGATCCTCTCGTTCCATCATTGTCTCTGTTGTCTGCAGCCGCAGCCGGCGTTGTCGCCACGTTGGCCAACGAAGCCTTTATGAACCCGTTTGATGGTATGTCGTTTGTCCTGCAAGAGCGAACCTGCAGCAATCCCCTTGGCTTGGGGCGCCACCCGCGATCGTGCCGTTCGTGCTTTGGCCGGTTTGCTGCTCCTGCAGACACCAGCCCAGAGTCGTGCTGACTGTTTGTTCTGCATCCATCTCCATCCCTCTCACTACTATCGCTATCGCCTCACACTATGCCTCATAACTGTCCTCGAAATCACCACCCGGCGGTGTTGCACGATCTTGTCGTCCAGTCATCAAACAGCGGATGCAGATCGGAACACATTACCGCGGAGTGCTGCACTGCGCCTCGGACGTCCTCAAGCGAGAGGGCATCCAGGCTTTCTATGTCTCCTACCCGACCACTCTCGTGATGCAGATCCCCTTCCAGTCCATCCACTACGTTTCATACGAGTTCTTCCGGAAAACCTTCAATCCATCTGGCGGCTACGATCCCAAAACCCACATCGCAGCCGGCGCCATCGCTGGTGCCCTGGCATCGACACTCACCAACCCCATTGACGTCTGCAAGACCATCCTGCAGACCCGCGGCAGCACCAGCGATCCCGAGATCCGTGGTGTTAACGGCCTCTGGGGCGCTGCCAAGCTCATCTACAAACGCAAGGGCCTCCTTGGGTTTGTCCGTGGAGTCAAGCCCCGCATTCTGGCACACGCCCCTGCGACAGCAATCTGCTGGACAACTGTGAGTATTTACCAAGCCTGCACGGCGCCGCTGCCACTGGTAGCTGCTCCCCTCGATCTGCCACTCTGATCTGATCTGATCTGGCAGGCCTGCCCGTCCGACTGAATGCTACCTATGAGACTGAGACTGAGACTGATACTGACCTGTCCTGCTTTCGTTCACAGTATGAAACATTAAAACACTTCCTGTCGACCCCGATGATCAGCGAAAAGCTGACCGACACAGTCGTCCTCAAGTCTGTGCGGATGGACCAGTGATAGAGGGGGGCCTGCTCCCTACATATTTTTGTGGCTTTGTGCATGTCCATATTCACTTTCACACCCACTCCCCCCCCCGCTTGCCTCCAAAGTTTTGTATGGTATGACTCGGCATAATGCTCTCCTCCCACCCCTTGTCTAGCATGTTCATTGCAACTTGAGCATTGCACGTTGAGGCATTGCACGTTGGCCATTCCCGGCAACTTGAACTTCTCCCTCCATTATCCCACTGCCGCAATGAACGTGATCCATCCCCGGGAGCAATCTGGAAGCAACTGTCTCTTGGCTCAATCGTGCTACCAACAAATACACAGTGCATTCTGAACGAAACGGGGCTTCCAGCACAGGGGTGTGCGGGAGGAGGGCAAACGATGCTCCCCCATCGACCTTCACCACGACCAGGCGCCGTCGCTTGGGCGAACCAGCCCGGTGTGTGGTGTGTGGTGTGCGCACCCTGGTTCCGAGCGGCCCAAAAGTGAGCACCGCTTCGTCGCCACCCGCAGGTCGCTTTTGCCCGAAGCCGCAGGTCGGCCCTGGCGACACAACCACCGACGCTCGCGCCGGCCCCGCCTTCTTGCTGCGTTGGCCTCCATCAACTCGTCCAGACCTGGCTCGCATCTTGGATCCGCGCAGTTCCGCCGAGAGAGACGCACAGATGATTGACAAGAAAACTCAGAAATACGACCGCCAGCTCAGGTGCCGATCCGTCCCAAACCCGCAATGCATCGGGTTGCTGATCGCCTGTTGCTTCAGGAGCAGGTGGCGCCAACTTGTCGACTCGACATCCGGGCCTCAGCAGCGGCCGCATCACGGCAGATCCGTCGTCCTTTCGGTTCTCCGGTTCTCTTTCCCACTGCTCCCGGCCCGATTCACCCGTTCGCTCGGACGGCACGCTCCTGACCGGACTCTGACCGCCTGCTTTGGCTGCTTCTCCTCTGGCGCTCAATCGCCGCTGAAGACTCTGGCAGGCACATGGGCAAGCTTGCCTCGAGGACGCAAGAGTCTGTCTCCTGAATGCCTCGGTGGCTGGGTCGGAAACCCTCAAGAATCTGATTTTGCCAGGCAAGGACCCAGGGCTGGACAGGGACTGCAGCTGTGCTGGACGAGTCCCCCGGACGCTCGTCGCCTCCTCCCTCCCCCTGACTGGAAGCGCTGCCCATTTCGCCCTGGGGCATGTCGATTGGACCACTTTGCTTATGCAAAAGCAATGCGCCCGCATTTCTCTTCTCCTGTCGCTTGTCTGTGCTGCACTGTCCGCCTGTCTGGCATCCAGGGATCGGAAGCTTTACCATTGTCGACAGCAAACTGATTACCGGCCGCGATGTCGGCAAGAACTTCTTCTTGACGCACGACTCGATCGGCAAGTCCAAGTCCCAGGTGATGGCCGAGTATCTCAAGGAGCTGAACGACGAGGTCGTTGGAAACTTTGTCGATCAGGTAGCGTTGCTCGACATATCCGAGGGCCTCGAAGCCGCCCTGCACCGATGCTGCTGCCAAGAGCCAGATTCCCTTGGCAGGCTTCAGCACCCCTGAAGGGGGGGGTTGCTTGCATGTTCGAATGCGTCCACACATCCCGTCCTCACGATACTGCTATGCCGTGCCGGCTAGGACCCCGTCTCGCTGATCGACCGAGATCCCTCGTTCTTCAGACAGTTCTCGATCGTCATCGCCACGGCCCTTCCCGAGGCATCGATAAAGAAGCTCGCCAGCATTTGCTGGGACGCCCGGATCGCCCTGGTGGTGCTTCGCACATGCGGCTTCTTTGCGCATCTGAGAATCGCCGTTCCCGAGCATACAGGTACGACCGGCTTGCCGACGAACTGCTCTTTGGTCCACCTTGGCGTTGGCCAAGACACTCTTTGGGATCGCCTTCGTCACCCCGACCACAAATTCACACGACTTGTTTGCCACGGCCATCCCATCGGCACGTCAATGCCGCGGCATGCCGTCCATCTCCAGTGGTCGAGTCGCATCCCGAGTCCGTCATGGATCTGCGCTTGGACCAGCCTTTCCCGGCCCTGATCCAGTTCTCGGCGCAGTTCAACATGGACCAGATGGACTCGCACCAAAAGTCCCATGTGCCCTATGTCGTCATCCTTTTGCAGCTCCTGGACGAGTGGAAGCGCCATGTATGTGCCGTCGCTGTGCTAGCCTGCAGCTTCTTCTGGAATGGGCTTGGGGATGTCCGGCGCCTGTCTCTATGGCCTTTTGCCACCGACCTGCCTCGCACGCCGGAAGTCAGTCATCAGTTGGCTTGGTCTGAACCTGAACCCGACACCTCTCTCTCTCCTTCACGCCTACATACAGCACAACGGAGAACTGCCATCGAATGCAGCTGAGCGACAAAAGTTCAAGGAACTCATTCGCAAGAAGCAGGGCGATCTACTGGATCCCGAGAACTTTGATGAAGCCACCCAGGCCGTCCTGCGCGCCTGCACCAAGACCAAGGTCGGTTGTGGGTGGCCCAGACTGGGTCAACCTTCTCCCGCAAACGATAGCCATTGACTTTGCAGATGCTGACCACGATCGCCGCGAACAGATCCCTTCCAACATCCTGGATATCCTGAATGACCCCGAGGCTTCCGATATCTGCACACAGGTGAGGCCCAGGAGGCGTCCGGCCGTGCTTCCGACCGTGCATCCAACCGAGGACAGTCAGTAGCGCCGCTAGAGGGCACTTCGTCGATGTCTCATCTCGCCTCAACGAAGCTGACATTCCAAGCAACCAATTCGTGCGGCCGCTGTGATCACAGTCGTCATTCTTCTGGATTACTGCTCGTGCCGTCCGAGACTTTGTCAACAACGAAGGAAACGGCAGCCTTCCCCTCACCGGCAAGATTCCTGACATGAAGGCCGACACAGAGTCGTTTGTGGCTCTGCAGACCCTGTGAGTTACTTGCTGCAGCTCGAACCTCCCAACAGCCACTTGGTCCAAGAAGATATCAGCCGTGTCGTTGTGAAATCCATCCCTTTCTAACAATGCTCGCATCCCCCCCCCGCCTTGGCTTCTGAAAGGTATCGCAATCAAGCCCAAGCCGACGTGGCACATATCTCCCAGCGGGTCGAAGCCCTGCTTCAGTCGCTTCCGGTCAAGACCACGGGACACGTTCACTCAGCGTCCAATCCCGTCCAAATCTCGAACGAAGAGATTGCCCGATTTTGCAAGAACTGCCAGTCGCTTGCCGTGATCCGCTATCGCTCGCTCCATGACGAGTTTGAAAGTGCCAAGACCGCCGAGATTCAGACCCATCTGAACGACCTTGACAACAACCTTGTCTACTACATCCTCTTCCGGGCCTCGGAATTGTTTTTCGAGACCTTCAAGCGATATCCAGGTAACGGCGGTGGAGTAAGCGAGTGAAAGACGAGGGCGTGAGCGAGTCAGAGGTGACGAGCGGTCAGGTTTGTTCGGTGGGCTGCCGTGTCGAGAGTGGAGAGGCTGCCAGTGGTCTTCAGCGGCCTTGCGCCCACAGATCCCATCGCTTGAATGACAGGTTGATTCTGATCCTGGTTTGTCCTCGCCCCCGCGATCAAACGCTTGGTTCTTAGGCGAGCACCACGAGGACGTCGAGACTGACATTGGTAGCTTGAAGAAATGCGTCGTCTCCCTGCTCACCAAGCTTGAGATTCCCGTGGACAGCATCAGCGACGATCACGTTCACGAGATGTAAGTGTGTCGGACAAAGGGAGAATGGGAGCTGGCGAAGGCGAAAGAGGCGACAGCAGATGACAGGACATATACGCCCCCCCCCGCGGCCAAGTCGGTGCAGGTCGCCGTGACTTGATATCCGCATGGCTCGCTCGTCCGATGAGGCTTGTGTCCAACACAGGGCTTCCAACTGATATCGCTGATCTCGGCACTATAGGGTCCGTGCCGGCGGCTCGGAACTGCACAACATTGGAGCGGTCATGGGCGGCATCGCCTCGCAAGAGATCATCAAGCTGGTCACACACCAGTACATTCCCGTGAACAACACCCTGATCTACAACGGCATCAAGGGCACCATCTCGGTGTACACCCTGTAAACCCAACCAGCCTGGTCATTCTGGGCCGAGGGCGAGTTGGCTATGTGGCCGTGATTGTGCTCCGCCCCTGATCCTCCACCTCCCCCCTCGCCATGTCTCATACGCCTGGCGGCAGTCGGCGGCGGCAATACACAGATCTTGTGAATGGAGGATAGTCCGCCCCCAAAGTACAATTATGACCCGGGACATACTTCCTCCAAAGAAAGCGAGCGGTGGACACTGGCTTCCTGGGTGCTGAGCGGGCAACAGCAGCAACGGCAGTGAGAGCCTACGGAGGGTCCGAGCGCTTTGGCTCGTGAAAGCACAGCAGGCTGGCCAGAGAATGTCCTGGGCTGCTGTGTCATCCTTGCTCGGGGGCTGGTGCTGTGCCGGAACCTCGGTCCTGCGAGTCCTCCCATTCAGCCGCGCGGTCACGTCCCTGCGGTGCATGTATGCTCAGTCAGGGTGACGACCGACCTCAGTATAGAAAGGCCAGGTCTGTCCAAACGCCCATCCCTATCCAAACGTCCATCCGATCCAAACGTCCATCCCTATCCAAACGTCCAAACATCCCCTGTCCAAGCGCCCGTCTCATAACTCTTCTTCCCAAGTATGGTCAAGCCACAGTGTACCGTCTCGCTGATAAACAACGAAACAGTGTCGGTCGAAACCGACATCCTGGAATATGCCACGCTGCTGGACCTCGGCAGCCGTCCGATCCAGCCTCCGTCAATGTCGCTGTCGCTGCCAAATATCCGCGCCCCGGTTTTGAAGAGTGTGAGTGTCGTTTGCTGTCCCGCTTCGTTGCTTCGTCTCGCTGATATCGGGAATGCCAAAGCCAACTCGTGCCCTTCGTCTCTCCCGCAGATTATCGAGTTCTACAGCCACCACCACGGCGAGCCCGTCCGCACCATCGACGCGTCGGTCTATGAGCTTGGTGCCAGCGTCGATGAGAGCGAGACGCTGGCCCGGCAGCCCGCCTGGGATCGTCGCTTTGCGATGCAGCACCAGAACCAGTTGCTGGAGCTCATTGCCGCAGCAAACCAGCTCGGCATGGCGGCACTGCTCGAGGTCTGCGTCAGCGGCACGGCCAACTTGGCGGCCGAGCAGCCAGATGTGCCTCTGCCGAGTCCCCTTGGTGTCTCGTTTGGGCTGTCTCCGGCTCAGGATATGGCCCTCAAGACGGAGATTGCCATGGACTTTGCCGAGCTCTGAGCTGCGGCAGAGTCGTGTATGCTGTCGGCGTTGCCATTCTCCATTGCCATTCTCCATTCTCCATTATCGCTCTTCATTGTTCATTGTTCATTGTTCATTGCCACTTTTTTCGCTGTCATAGCTCGTTGTCGCGCTGGTTCCTGTTGTTACATCGGCAATACATCCACCCTGGGTCTGGTTGCCCCCTCCCCATGAGCTACGGCTGTGGTGCATCACGTTTTCATTCTGTGAATGCCGAGATGATAAAATACAACTTACGAGGGCGGAGTGACAGCTCGACAGCGAAGGCGGATCCGTGCAGTAACTCCCACAGAGCCCCCAGGTCTATCGAGCTGCAGGGAAGAGAAGAAAAAACAGCAACAATAACAGCAATTGACACCAGCTGTCAGGGCAGGAAGGAGGAGGTGGTGGTGGTGGAAGTTGGCCACAGAGAGAAAGCAGTGCCCGCTTGCTATTGATGGTGCTGGGGGCCACTTTGCGAGACCGGACTTGCTGATCCATCGCTATCCTTGCTCACTTGATCCGCTCCTGGAGCTGTCGCCATCGGTCCAGTCGGCGTGTCCATCCCCATCAGCCAGCAAAATCAAACTAGACAGCCGCACGGGAATAAGTCGACGATGGGGGCAACAGAGAAGCAGGGGGGGGATACACGGAGAGGGAAACCGAGTCTATCGAAGGACACCAGTGCCACCAACGAAAGTGGGAGAAGGGAAGCCGTCCAAGCGCCGTCATCGAGGAATAAATTAGGGTGGGAGTTGCCGGACGATTCCAACACAGCGGCCGCAAGTGGCCCGAGCGAGAGGGCGGTACGGGTTACTGAGCCAAGCGAGTCATGACTTTGAGAATCACAATGTACATGACGAGACCGCCGAATATCAGCCGGAGGATGTTGGATCGCACGCTGTCCCAGGCCATTTGAGCGAGTCCTCTCTCGGGAGCTGCGACAGTGGGTGCTATCTCAGCCTTGGCGTCATCCGCAGTCGGCTTGGAGGCAGTCGTCCGCAGCCGAACGGCAGACTCTGGAGGTGGTGGCGACTGCTGCTCGACAGTTTTGGCCGCCAGCTCAGGAAAAACCTCTGTAAGCAGAAAGGACCAAAAGAAGCGCGTGGGCAGAACAATTGAGTGAGTGGTGCAGACGAGCGAGCGAAACGAGCGGGACGATGGCACGCATCTGATGGCACACATCTGATGGCACACATCTGATGGCACGAGTCGAGTCAACAGAAACAAGCTGCCCGACTCAAACATCGCAGGGTTTGGCCAAGAATAGCACCTCTGAACTTGTGGTTGGCTCTGTTAAAGGCGTGGGAGCTCTTTGCAAGCCGACGCTTCTCTTCGGCTGTGGTCCGGATGCTGCCGGTGGTGGACTCGTTCTCGAGCTGTGGATCGTCAGAATCACAGACATGGCAAGTCAGAGACAGCCACATATCGATGTAGCGGCGGGCAGCCGGGAGCAAATGGCCGCTAACCTTGGGCAGGATGCTTACGACGCTCTCCGATACATACCATGAAGCTTAGCAGTCCCGTGAGAATGGTGGAGACAGACCAGGCTGGATTCCAAGTTGAGGCTGCAATCCGCGTGCGCATGTAGAACAGGATGGCCGAGACCAAAGGAACGTCCACAGATCAGGGCCGGCGATGCGATGCATGAGAATCAGGGATGCGTATTGGACCCTACTGGAGGCTCCCATTGCTCTCGACATGCTGCGGATGGCTTACGGTGGTAGTCACTCATCGACAGACAAAGCTTCATGTTCACCTCGAAGCGACCTGTGCAAACAAAATCACGCCAACGGATAGTCAGCAACACGCCGTGGACGATCAACCCGCAGTGGTCAAGGTTAGCGTGATCAGCGGTGGCTCCGTCTTTAAGGAATACCGGACTCCCAACGACGTGAAGCCAGTGGAGCGCCAAGACCGATGAGCGGGTCGAGAGACGCACCATTGGGGGTGACCATCTTGATAGCCGGGGGCTTGAAGGGGTAATCGCTCGGAAAGATGAGCTTGCCGTGGTACTCTCCTGCAGCAGTGATCGACAAGCGATGCAGGACATGAGATGCGAGATACGAAGGCAGGGGTCGCAGCGGCGGACCAATCCCGACATTATTCAGCCCGGATGGCCGGCAGCCAGCCAGCCCCAGCCAGAATGCGGACGACAGATGGTCGCCGTGCGCATGCAGCATACGGACACGAACCTCCTGCGAGGCAAAGTGAAGGGCAGAGGGAGAGACGAGGTCAGACACGAGGCCAAATAGAGGCGGTTGAGCCTGCGGCACGGCCGATTTGCCTGTCCAGAATCCAATGTGGCCTGCAAAAACATGGCTGGGGCGAATCTTACCTTCATACGGGCTGCCCTTGGGACCGGTGATGACATAGTGCCTGCATCCGGAACAAAGCGATGCAGATCGATAAGTCGGGACGTGCGATTTGTGCAAGTGCTGGCTAGCCGGATGACGGGATTGATGCCAAAAAAAAGCCGGAGAGCGGCCAGGACATGGCAGGGAGGTGGACGAGATAGGATGCTGGAGGGGGGAGATAGGATGTCGGATTGCAGACGACGCACCATTCAAGGATATCGCTCTCCAGGGGGCGGGCGATGATGAACGGAGGCGGGTTTGCCTGGATGGTCTGATACTCCTTTGTGAGTCGCTTGAAGGCTTGCTTCGTGGCCATTTGGGGTCCTGCTGGTGATGATTGCGATGGGGCGGGGAAGGGCAAGACGCTGCCGAGAGGGCGAGAATATCAAACTGAGGGCGAGGAACAAAAGAGAAGCGCCACGAAGACTCATTCGAGCCGGCTGGATAGGTGGATGGAGCCGGCTGGAAGATCACGCGATTGGCGGTGGCGGTGCAGTGGCAGTCCAAGTGTTGGTGTCCAAGTGTTGGTGTCCAAGTGTTGGTGTCCAAGTGTTGGTGTCCAAGTGTTGGTGTCCAAGTGTTGGTGTCCAAGTGCTGGCATCAGAATGAGAATGCCGAGCTGAACAGGGCTGTCGGAATGGCAAGTGCCTCGGATGGGAAAGTGAGGGCGGAGAACGCAGGCGACTTGCGGTCTGTCCATGCCCTGGGCCGCAAAGGAAGCAGCATGTTCCTGCCGCCGATGGCGCCTGTGGTCGAGTCCTCCTGGGAGTCCCCCTCCCGAAGATCCTCAGAGCCCAGTGTGCAACTCTGTCCTCGCCAACATCGCGGGGCTAACAGGCGCTGGTCCCTCTGGCTCTGCTGGTGCGACTGAGAGTCGGGCTGGCATCCCAGCACAGAGGAACCTTTCCTCCCGTCTGCGGGCGACTTCGTTCTCGCCGCAGACAGCGGCCAGTCCGCCCCATTCCGTCGACGCAGCCCCCGAGCCGCAGACCGCGGCGGCCTGCAAGCACTTTCGGCCAGTCAAAGTCGCCATGAGCCTGGTGCGGCGTCGGGCACTGCTGGCTCGATGCAACCAGGTTTCGGCGCAGAGCACACCCAAGCCGCGATGGCAAACGAGCGGCCGCGACGCCTATCCCGTAGTCATCAGGCGGCAGCCAGTAGGAGGCCGCGGGTTCACCCGGGCTCTGGCAAAGGACATTGCACGCGCTCGCCGCCTCCCATTCCCAAGTTCTGCACGCACTCGATCTGCTCCGAACATGGGCATGTCGTGCTGCCCTGCCGGGACAAAGCCTCCTTGGCATGCAGGGTGCTCAGGCAGGAGCGCTGGCAGGCCGCGGGCTGGTGGGATGGCATCTCGGGCACCCTCCAGCGTCTGCCGAGCATCTGGCTGAACATTCACGAAACATCAGAGTATCTGCTGAGCATCTGCTGGGTGCTCATCGAACGCCGATTGAGCATCCATCCGAATCGTCTCGGCCCTCACCAAACCACCCGCACATTGTCTGTCGGTGCACCTCCACCCAACCCCCGTCGTTGTGGCAGCAAGCTGTGCCGCCAAAGATTCCACAGGCTTGCTGGCATCCCCAAACCGCCCGACCAACAAGGCCCCTCCGCGCCAGCGCCCAAGCCGGGAGCCTGAGTCGGCAGACCGCGGTCCATTGCCGCCCCGCTGCGCTGCCCGACCGTCCTCTGGCACCCTGTTGCATTGCTGCTGATGCACCGGCCATTCACGGTTGTGTCTGTGGGCCGCTGCATTGAACGATATCAATCATCGGCAGCAATGGCCGATATCAGCTATCTGCAGCATTGGTCGATATCAGCATCTGCGCCCAGCAGCACCCGCATCCTCCAAAGCCAGCACTCGTGCTTGGTCTTGGCCATCGAGCCACAATGACTCCACGGCTGCACGGGCCAGCCGTCGCCGTGCCAGCCTGGGCGTTGCTGTTGTGCGGAACTGCCGGTGGGATTGCGTCGGTCGGTCGGTGGGATTGCATCGGCCAGCGGCAGAGCACGCGCCCTCCTTCCACATGCCCGTCGGTCCATCTGCATCCCAACAAGCCCCTCCCGTTGCCGCGACAATCCTCTGCGGCGAGCACTCCCCATCCCAGCTTCGAGGGCGGCATGGTCACCCGCTGCCCCTGTCTGGGGGGGGGGTCTTAAAGACATCGGCGGGTCCAGCCTGGCCGCTCAGCCCGCAGCAACCCGTTGCTCTCGTCGTCAAAGTTCGTCTCCGGCTCCGTCTCACGCTCGCTCCCTCCATCCGGCCCGCTCTTCCTCCCATCTTGCTTCATTGGCCCGACACGCCTCTCCTGCGTCTGTACATCCCCTAGCAACCATCGTCCGACAACGCCTTCCCAACAATGCTGCCCGAGACCAGCATCCTGTCTGCCCCTGCACACATGGATGTCATCGAAAACCACGCCGCCGCCTCCAAGTATGTGCTTGGCCAAATCATTAACTCGGTGCTGCACCAAATCTTGCACCAGTCAAGCGACCTGGACGACGAAGCGCTTGCCCTGGCCACCGCCGATGCTCACCAAGATGCTCACCAAGATGCCCACCAAGATGCCCACCAAGATGCCCAGTCTCAGGCTGCCACCCTCGCTCGCCTCTCGCGGGCCCAGCAGCGGTTCAAGCACCGGTTCTCGGGCGAACTCATTTCCGGCCTGCTGGAAGCCACTCACTCTGCCCTCTCCATGTCGACGATTGTGATTGCCCTGATATACGTTCAGCGGATCGCCGATACGCACCACGGATTCCGGGTTTCGCTTGGCTGCGAACCGCATCTCTTCCTCGTGGCCCTCATCATGGCCTTCAAGCTCAACGAGGACTGTGCAAGCCAATACACCCTGCGGGTGTGGTCCAGGATCACCGGCTTGCCGCTCAAGACGCTCAATCGCCTCGAGCGAGAGCTGTGTATGGCCCTCGACTACGAGTTTGCCGTTGGCCAGCACACCTATGACATGTGGTGGGACTTCTTGTCGACCCACATGGCACATGCGTCGCAGTAGCCCCTCGGCCTGCACCCCTCTCGTCATGCAGCACATGATGCCCCTGGCTCGCTGGCGTGCTTGGTATCTCGCCAATGTCGTCATGAGCGTCGCTGCCACGGCGTGCTGGTGTGGCTCGGTCGGGATGTGTCGTCGCGTGCTCAAAGCAAACGGCCATGCATCCGCCCTGATGCAAGTTGCTGCCATCCGACATGACCATGACGGCTCGCTCGCTCGCCCGCCATTCCCCCATGCTGGCTGCTCTCTCGCAGCATCGCTCGCCTGGGCCTGGGTCTGGGCCCCCCTCGCCTGCTGCACCCCGCTGCATGGCCATCCTCCATGTATATCCTCCACCGCCTCGGTTACTCGGTTTGTCTTCTTCTTTGGCCGCCTCCTTAATCACTTCCTTTTTGCTCTTCAGTATCATAGCCTCTCCCGTGTCTAGGCCGTTTGCGGCCGCCATTTTGGATTCCCCGCGACCCCTGGGGCGGCGCACCACCGCTCAAAACTCTTCCACACCTGCATTGCATCCGCTTCGATCCTCTTGTTCAATACACGCCACAGCAGGTTGATGCCTTGCTGATGCCATCAATCGCATTCTGCCTGTCGCATCGAGATCTGCCTCCAGCCCGCCATCCGAAACTACTCTGCCATTTGGCGGCAATGTCCCGCCTAAATCAAAAACTCTATTCTTGCTCCGCGATCCCGCGCCGACAAGACCGCCGGAGACGGCGAGACCCGGGAGCGTCGATGCCGCCTCTCAAGCCCGGCTGGCTGGCTGGCTGGTCGGCTTCCCTCATCCTCGCTCTCCCTTCCTCCCTTGCAGCGTAGATCTGTGAATCGTCGCCGAACTCTCAGCCATCCATGCCAGGCCAGTCGCTCCTCTCTCCGACCCGGCAGCGGGTTCACTACAACGCCCTGCGCACCAACGAGACCACTCCGTTGATCATCCCAGGGACTTTTCCCGATGCAACGCAGGCCAGCGAGCCGTCCTGGGCTCAGTCGCTGTACATCATCTCAAGGTCGTCGCCCATCAATGCCCTCCTGCTCTTTGTTCCGCTGGGTCTAGCGGCCGGGTTCTTTGAATGGTCGGGATCTCTGGTGTTTATGTTCAACTTTCTGGCTCTGATGCCCCTTGCCAAGCTCTTGGGCTATGCGACCGAGGAGGTATGCTGTAGCATGGGTCCGCTTCCCGTACCGGGATCCATGAATGCTGGAGGCGATCGAGAGCGCGCTGCGATTCTGGGTGGTGTGAAGATGGGTGTGGAGATTAGATCGGCATCGATGCTGGCTAGGATGGCCATGGGTGGCAGGTGCTAGAGCGAATTGATATGAATATCCAACAAGATTGCAAGCCGAGGAGAGACCGTCCATGTTCTGCCGCTTCTTGGACCTGACCGTCGCCACTCCCTATTGATCGCTAGATTTCCCTGAAAGTCGGCCAGACCATGTATGCAGCATCGTTGCGCAAAGCCGTCGTCGGTCATTGATCCCTGCTGCTTTCTCGCCGGCCGGCTGGCTGTCGATGTCCGTGTCGATGCCGCGTTGCCTGCTTGAAGCAAGCTGCAGTCGCTACCCGCATGCTGACTTGTGTTTATCCGGCTGTATTGCTCCAGTGGTGCTCTGCTGAACTGCACCTTTGGCAATCTGGTTGAATTGGTACGTTTGGGTTCTACTGCGGTCCTCGTCGGCGCAAGGGACGTCGGTCCATACTCACCACCCTCCATTGCTCCGCGAACGATGCAATATCCAGATCCTCTCGGTGCTGGCCCTCAAGGCCGGGCTCATCCGCGTGGTGCAGGCCTCGCTGCTGGGTTCGATTCTCTCCAACATGCTGCTGGTGCTGGGCTTCTGCTTCTACTGCGGCGGCTGGTTCTACCACATCCAGCAGTTCAATGTGGTGGCTGCCCAGACGGCGGCGTCGCTGCTGTCGATCGTCGTGTTCTCGATGATCATCCCGGCTGCCTTTCTGCAGCAGGTGGTGTCCGTACCCGAGTCGGCACAGCTGGTCTTGGATCTGTCGCGAGGCACAGCCGTAAGTCTGGGCGCTGAAGTGTGTGGTGGGAATGCACTCAATGTACTTGATATGTTTGTGGATGAACCCGGCGGGGCCGGTGTGCTATATCTGTTCGGCGAACATGCGCCCGCCACCACCGTCTTGGCATCGAAATGACTCCTGCCTCGTTCACTGGAGGAACTCCAGCATGGCTTCAGGGCACTCACTCATCCACCATCGCTGCTGCGGCTGGCCCGACAACCCCTCGGCTGCTCTTTTGTGCACAGATTGTTCTCCTGGTCATCTACATTCTGTATCTCTACTTCCAGCTCAAGACCCATGCTGATCTCTACGAGGGCGACGATGAAGACGAGCCTGCCAGCATCAAATTCCCTGCTGCCGTCGCGCTCCTGGTCGTTGTGACACTCCTGATTGCCGGATGCGCCGAGTATCTCGTTGAATCGATCGAATTCATTTCCAAGGACTGGAAGCTCAACCAGACCTTTGTGGGTCTCATTCTGTTGCCGATTGTTGGCAATGCCGCTGAGCACGTTACCGCTGTCACCGCCGCGGTTAAGAACAAGATGGATCTGTCCCTGGGTGAGTGCTTGCGAAGGCCGTGTGTGGGAGGGGTGTGCTGGCCGTGCCATCCATAACGATGTGCTCGTGTCGTCTTGCTGGCGGCCCCGATGATTGCCAAGTGCTGCTGTGAATTCGTATCTGAGTGCAGTCGTGCCTGCTCAATGCGACTGCCTCGCTCATCAGCACCTCGTCGCCTGTGACGGCTCCATGTCTCGGCTCTGACCTCTTCCTCCCTCGATTACGCTGCTTCGGGATCTGATTTTGAATGTCGCAGGTGTGGCCATCGGATCATCGATGCAAATCGCTCTGTTTGTGACCCCCATCTGTGTGCTCGCCGGGTGGCTCATCGATCAACCCATGAGCCTGAGCTTCAACATCCTCGAGACGGCCGTGATCTTTGTTTCTATCTATGTCGTGAACAGTCTCATCTCGGACGGCAAATCGAATTGGCTTGGTAAGTACGGCAGATATGCCATGGGTCACAGCGAGGTGGGCGGATGCTGTTACTGCCACTGGCGTAGATATTGCTGTGCATCTGTGTAGATCCGTATACGTCACCTCTGCTGACACTCGACTGAAAACGATGCACCTGTGGCCACCATTGTCTCGGACTTGAAAATGCGCTTGGGTCCGACAACCCAACTGGATTGAATCGCTTGTGAACGGCGTGCAGAGGGTGCTATGCTTCTCGGCGCCTATATCGTTATTTCCATCGCCTTCTGGTTCCTGCCCATGACGCTCGAGTAGGGGCAAGAAGTGCATTTGCGCTGTCGAATCTGTAGTCTCTGCAAGGGTGATGCTCCAATATATATCGCCCCTACATATGTCAGATGCATCAGCGGCCCACCATCGGGAGATTGGTCGACTTGTACACCGTGGGAATCAGCAGCAGCGTTGCTCTTGGCCAGCGACAAGGGACGGGGCTGTGGCCCAGTGCCCAGGAGAAGCCGACATGTCAACCGTGTGGGCAGGCTGGCCGGCCATCGATTGGTGCGCCTGGGTGGCACGACGAAGGCCTCTGTGTGACTGCATGGGCCAATGGAATCGCGTGTTCCGATGCGGCTCAGCAGGGGTCGGTCCCATGGCCGTTCCCATCCACCCACGTTCGGATGCAAGCGACGGGGATATCCTCCAGCATGCCGTGACTCATCGCACGAGGCCGATTGCTTTCTGATCGGGCCGCGGCGCCCCACAGCCCACTCTCGCTGTTCGAGTGCTCTCGCCTAGTGGGTATCTGTGATGGGCGTGGATGCTCGCGGAGGAGAGTGGCCATCGAATTAACAAATGTCCCGAGTCGTTTTACGCACACTACCGCGCCTCTCGAGACGATCCCATCGCCGGTCGAAGTTTCCGCACTCTCGTTATCAGCCTTGAATTGACATACCACCGCCCATAGCCGGCCTGCGTGTATCACTTGAGTGCAGTTCAAGTTCGACGACGGCGGGTACAAATGCCGATGCCCGGATATATCAAGGCCGCACTGGCAAGACGCCGACCATCGTTGGCAAAACTTGTCAGATCGATCCCGGCGACTTGACCAATCTGCAACCTCGCGGGAGCTCGCCGTATCTGACTGTCCAGTGAGTAATATGCGCATCACCCACGATACAACTTGACTGCGATACTCCAACCTCGGACTTGATCCCCTCCTCCTCCTCCATCGACGTACGTCTGACTCCTGCATCGTACCATCGACTATCACGCCACATCCGCTTCGGTTTTTCCGCTGCATTCTGCACAGGCGGCGACGTTCTCGGGATGCTGATTGAGAACGAAACAATCACCTCACGACGCGTGACAATGACTTCGATGACTGCCTATTCTCGGGCGCTTTTGCCCCCCCCCGCCTCTGCAAAGTCGACTGGACGCCTGGCGGGATGCCGCCCGCCCAAATCTCCACCTCTTCCCACGATTTTGCGGTCGGCTTGGGGAGGACATCGCAGCGGAGAATGACAGCAGGCCCTTCTCGCGTGTGCCGAGAGCAGCCGCGAGAGCAAGCGAGAAGCTCCCTGGCCAATCAGCGCGTCGCATTCACGGCTGTGTGACGCGCGCCAGCCAATGGCGTTCGAGCCAGGGTCGGCTGTTCTCGGTGGCCAGCGAGCCCGGTCTGCAGTCGATGCAGCACCGGATCTGCCCGGGAGCTCCCAGCCAGCGGAGTGCCTGGCTGTCCGGGCATCTGCAGCGCTTTCAGCAAGCCGGACCCGCTGGACGAGGCCGGCAGCAGCGGTTCCCACGGCCTGCGACCGGCTGCGCTGGCGTGGAGGGGCCTTCAGGCGACTTCGCTGCGGGGGTGGGACAGAGGTGACACACGCGAAGCCGCCCAAGTATAAATAGTCGGAGCGTTTCCCCGCCCTCAGCAGCAGCATCGACGCTGCCATTGAACACCCAGAGCAACCTGACCCAGGCCCGCCTGCATTCCCACACCCCATCGCATCCAGCAGCCTTCGCCAGCCCCCCTTGCTCCAACGCTACTCCCTGTCTCTCCGGCTCACGCAACCTCCTGCACACCTTCTTTCTGCCTCGACCTGTTGATCTCGCTTCCACACACACACACAATGGATATGGTCAAGAAAGTCCCCGCTGCCTCCAAGAACACCCAGGACGAGCCCATCCTGCGGCCCAACCCCAAGCGATTTGTTCTCTTCCCCATCCAGTACAACGAGGTATGTCCTGGCACCGCACTGGCCCGCTCGGCTCCTGGCCCACCGCTGCCTCATCGCTGCCTCATCGCTGCTGCACCGGCAAAAGCGCTGTCTGCCCAACACGACTGCGCAGTTCGGCGTTCGCGACCGATCAACAGCGCCAACGCCGACCCTGGTGCTGATGCTGCTCCCTTCCGCTGGCCCTCTGCGCCGCAGGTCTGGCAAATGTACAAAAAGGCCGAGGCCTCGTTCTGGACGGTCGAGGAAGTCGATCTGTCCAAGGACCTTGCCCACTGGGACCGCCTGACGGCCGACGAGCGTTTCTTCATCTCGCGGGTCCTGGCCTTCTTTGCCGCCTCGGACGGCATCGTCAACGAGAACCTCGTCGAGCGCTTCTCGCAAGATGTGCAGATCCCCGAAGCCAGGTGCTTCTATGGGTTCCAGATCATGATCGAGAACATCCACTCGGAGATGTACTCCCTCTTGATCGACACCTACATCCGCGACCCCCAGGAGCGATCGTTCCTCTTTGACGCGATCGAATATGGTACGTTGCAATGTTGTTTGCTTGGCGGATGCCACCGCATGACCGCTGGCTGCTTCGAATGCGGTCCGTCTGCCGATGTGCCTGCGCTCCGCAGAACAGACAAGGACCCCCGGTGCTGACCCGCCTGCCTCCCTCCAGTCCCCTGCATCCGACAGAAGGCCGAATGGGCCCTGCGCTGGATCAACGACGCCAACGCCAGCTTTGGCGAGCGTCTCGTTGCCTTTGCCGCCGTCGAGGGCATCTTCTTCTCTGGCTCGTTTGCGTCGATCTTCTGGCTCAAGAAGCGCGGCCTGATGCCCGGCCTGACCTTCTCGAACGAGCTGATCTCGCGCGACGAGGGCCTGCACACCGACTTTGCCTGCCTGCTCTTCAGCCTGCTCAACAACAAGCCCTCGCCGAGCACGATCCTGGCGATCATCACCGAGGCTGTCGCGATCGAGCAAACCTTCCTGACCGAGGCCCTGCCCTGTGCGCTCATCGGCATGAACTCCAAGCTCATGAAGCAGTACATTGAGTTTGTTGCCGACCGTCTGCTGGTTGCCCTCGGCCTCGACAAGCACTACAACTCTGCCAACCCCTTCGACTTTATGGACCTGATCTCGCTGCAGGGCAAGACCAACTTCTTTGAGAAGCGCGTGGGCGAGTACCAAAAGTCGGGGGTCATGAGCTCGGCTCCCAAGGAGTTCTCTCTGGACTGCGACTTTTAGACGCCGCCGCTGCCGCCTGTGCTGATCTCCCCCACCCTTGTCCTGTCCGTACAGCCGGGGGGATTCGATTCCGATCCTGTCTGTTCTCTTGTTTCTGTTTATCGCCTGCATACCTAATTATCCCCCGTCGGATGCTGTGTTTCTCAACACAGACCGAGCCTCTGCCTGGCGGCCTGGTCAACCCGACCAACGCCTTGCTTCTGTTGCCCAGCAACCAGCCACTCTCCCATTCCTCCAGTAATATATCTCTGCACTGCATTCCACTCCCATTCTGTTTGCCCCCTTCTTCTCTTTCCTTGTCTCTATAGAGCAAGATCTGTCTTGTATATACAACTTGTCGAATACAAAGGCGGGCGACCGCACCCGCAATTGCCATTCATAATCTGCTCCTGGTCCTTGCATTGCTCCCCCCCCTCAATTCCCTCTCATTCTGACGATCCTTCGTGCTCACTCTGACCATTCGTGCAGCGGGGATCATGACCATGAATGTGTGTTATCGGTGGATGGGTCGAGCGGCAGATGCCACTTCAGGCTCGCTGAGGGCAGTGCATCAGCAAGATCCGAGATCCCCCATTCGAGTGGCTGTGGCGATGGCCATCGTTTGCGGCCCCAACCCATCCCCCCCCCTCTTCTATTCCGCAGCGAGCTCAGCCAGGCACGATTCTGTTGCAAGGCAGCGGATTGCTCGGCCAAATGTATTTCCTTCTATCGGAATCTGCTGGCCGCGGGCGGTTTCCCATGCAAGGCAACCGAGATGCTCGTGTCGGGCAAACTGGCTTGCTGGATGCGGTGCGATTAGCCCCAGACATCGACGACGTAGCGGCCAGCCTCGGCCAGGGCAGCAATGTACTGCTCGGCTCGTTCCTTGCCGCGGCCATCGAAGCGCTCGACAATCTTGACGAAGCTCTCGCGGACGGCCGTGCCCAGAGCAGTGCTGCCGCAGAGGAGGATATGGGCTCCGCGCGAGCTGATGCCGGTCCAGAGCTGCTCGGCCAGATCGGTCTTGTTGACGATCAGCGTCTGGACGTACTCCTTCTGGCCGCCGAAGCGAGAGAAGGCGTACTCGAGGCGGGTCAGCACGCCCGACTCGAGGTGGGCCTGCAGCTCGCTCGAGTAGAGGGCGTCCTGGTCGGGATGGCGGCAGCCAAAGATGAGGGTGGCCTCGCCGAGCTCGACGCCTTTCTGCTTGAGGCCCTTGCGCTCCTCGAGGAAGGACCGCATGGGGGCAAAGCCTGGGAGGAACAGCGGCAGTCAGTGATTTGATCTGGTTGGTGGTACCGAATCACTCAGGAGGCGCGATTCTCAGTTTGGTCCACAGCCATCCTGCTTGGCAGGGCATGTCAAATCCGACAACCCACAAGCACACCGGACACATCCTCACCCACCCAAGACACCACTACTCTATCCGATCGCTCCATCTGATCACCCCGTCCTCGTTGCGTGTCTCCCAGACAAGTCGTACCAGTGCCGGCGCAGACCAGGACAATGGGAGCCTTGGGATCCTCGGGCAGCTTGAACGCCGAGCCGTGAGGACGAATGTGGCCAAGGAGAGGGCCGCCGACCTCGAGTCCAGCGAGGAAGTTGGAAGACAGGCCCTTGTACACCACAGACTGGCCCTTCAGGTCGTGGTGCTCCTCGTTCAGCACGCCGATGCAGAGCTCGGCCGTGGTTGGGGTGATGAGGTTGCTCGATGCGATGCTGTACAGTCTGGGCTTCTGGAGAGGAACATTCTGGAATATTCGCACAGTGGTCAGTGGTCAGTATTGGCAGCCAGCACCAGCCACCGTCGACAGCTATCACCCAGACGTTGCTGTATCTGCTCTGGGCCACTGCTTGGCCACTGCTTTGGATCGCAGTCTGTGCTCAGCTCAGTTCAACATGGTTCGTGAGGGACCCACCTCGAGGAACTGGCCAAGAGGGATGCGAAGGCTCTTGAAGCGCTCGATCACGTCGGCGATGGAGGCCTTGGTCTTGGCAATCTGCTCGGTGTAGGCTCGGAGCGAGGCCTCGTCCGTGCCGGCGAGCAGCAGGAGGGCGTTCTTCTCGGGGGGACACTCGGTGCAGCCCGACAGGAACTTGAGGAAGTTGCGAGTCGGGGCAGTTCGAATGTCGACGCCGTTGAAAACGTAGCGAAGGGGGATCTCAGTGTCAAAGATCTGCAGCTCGCGCTTGGCAATCGAGTTGGTGTTGGACAGCTTGACGATCTCGTCGATGCCGTGGCCGGCCAAGTCCAGACTGGGCAGGATTCTGCGGATATCCTCCTCGGTGTTGCGGGGATACACCTCAAAGTGGTCCCCGGCAGTGTACTTGTTGGTTTCGGAGGCGGGAATCTGTATGCAGCGATTGCGCCATTGTCAGTGGTCAGAATCAGACTCACCATCGTTCATCGTGGGGGTGCGTTGGGCCATGGATCACCGTCGTCAACATATCTGCTGCATTGCTTGTTATCCATACTCACCTCCAACACGATCGACCAAGCATCCTTGACAGCGCCGGGCTTGGTAAGCAGGGTCTTGCTCTTGACAATGTATCGAAAGCGGCCCAAGTGGCTGCTGATATTGTTGTCAGAGTTTTGGAAGTTCTGCAGGAACGCATCGGTAGCTTTGCCAGCCCAGGTGACTTCGATGCTGTTGGAGGCGGGCGAGGGATCAACGACGTTGCTGACATCTGATCCAGAGATCTTGAAGGTGTAGGCAACGCTGGCCCAGAAGAGGCTGGTCCACTTGAGCGTGTCGGTGTCAAAGTCGCCATCCTGCGCGAGAGACAGAGAATGGGTGCGAGAGCAATCAGGGGTATGTCGCTCGTCAGATGCCCATCGTGGATGACTGTCACGATGCAGCATCTATCGGTGTGCCATCAACAAAGGACTGTCGATACCCGCACAGCCGAGTTGCACCCCATAAGCCAACCACATACCACATCGCCGGCACCGCGCTCCAGGAGAGGAGTGGCGCCAAGGTTGACGAGGGAGGTCTCGACAAAACGAGGAAAGTCCTGGTAGGTCTTCCACTGCTTGTTTCCAACGCCATAGATGGCAAAGATGGTGTCCTTGAGGGAACTCTGTCCCTGGGCAGAAATCCACTTGGCAAACTTTTTGGCATTGTCGGGTGGGTTGCCTGGGAGCACCAGAGGGTCACAGAGCTGTGATTAGCTGTCTCTGGGAGATACCGACAGGATGGGCCGGGGAACGGCGGCTTACCATTGTAGGTCGAGGTCGCGACGATGACAAACTTGAAGCCAAAGAGCTTCTCGTTGGCATAGGTATCGAGAGAAGCGACAGTGGGCTTGAAGCCCAGCTTGACGGCCGAGTCGGCAATGTTGCGGGCGACCTGGGACAGGAGGCAGTCAGACACTTGGCATACGCATATCGTTGTGCCGCAGATCACGGAGCGAGCAAGGGGACAACTTACGTCTTCGCTGGTGCCCATGTTGGTGCCGAACAGCACGAGGACCTCGCCAACATCGAGTCGATCGGCCTCGGATTGGATAACAAAGCTGCGGTTGGAGCTGGCGGGTTTGGCAGTATCCAGATCCAGAGTAACTTTGGGAGAAGGAGCCGGGGCACTGGCAGGAGCGGGGGCAGGAGCAGGGGCCTTGGTGAGGTCGATGGGTCCGGGCTCGCTGAGGTGGACGCGAATTCCATGAGGACGAAGGGCCAGCTTGACCTGAAGGACAGGCTCGGCGTCATCGGAAATCGTGAACTTGAAGTTGTGCAGGAGATGGGCAATCACAATTCTGGCTTCGATCAGGGCGAATTGAGAGCCAATGCAGGCACGAGGACTGGAGTGGCAAGAGAGCGAGCATGGCGATGTGGATCAATCAGCAGGTGCGCCATTGAGCCAGTTGCCAACACACCTTGCTCGCCCAGTCAGAGATCCACTCAACCAACCAGTTGCTCTATCGATTAGGCAGCCCAGCCTCAGCAATTCACGTCTTGCATTCCTGCACACCCTGCACATCCACACAGGCATGACTAATAGACACACTGAGGTACCAAGGTGGGAGCGGAACTACTGCGAGGTACTTACCCAGTTCCAAAGGGAATGTACGAGTACTGAGGACGCTTGGACTCGTTCTGGGGCAGGAAGTTGTCGGGGTTGAACACCTCAGGATTGGCGCCCCAGACAGCCTGATTACGGTGGGTGCTGATGGCGTGGAAGAGAATGGAGGTATCCTCTGCACGGATCGGGAGAGATAACCTTGTTAGTCGCAAGGAAAACTCCATTCTGGTACAAGCCAGTGAGCCATGGGCGAATGCGATATGGACCTAGTGGTGATGCAGCCACACGAACTTACTCTTGATGAGGTAGGGTCCAACAAATGTATCTCGAGTGCATTGTTTGGTGAAAACTGTTGCAGAGCACCAAGCTGATCAGTTGCATAATACAATCGTATTACCCGGCAGCATCTTGATCGACGTGTCTGTCGCAACCAAAACTGTCTTGTTCATGTGGGTGCACGAGCGATGCAATGTAGGGACGTACGAGGAGCAGAAGAATACACGCGCAGTGTCTCCTTGAGAACGGCAAGGGTGTACTTGAGCTCGCCGACAGACTTCTCGTCAATGGTGCCATTGCCCTTGGCAAGCACAGTCTCGATTTCATAGCGGAGCTTTTCCTCAACCTCGGGATGGGTGGCAATCATGTAAACGACCCAATTACAGCCAATCCAATAAATACCGGGACACCCCGGACTTTCGTCGCTGAACAAATAATTTGTTGCCTCAAAACATCGTGCACTGGCCATGACCATTCAGTGTTTGAATCAAGGACACCACCCAGCCACGGCGATTCAAGCGACTCGATCTCCAGGTGTGCTCACAGTGCCGGAAAGCCAAGCGACTGGAGAAGGCCGAGTATCTTGATATTGATACACCATGGAGTCGTCCGGAGAGTCGAGTGAATGCACCACACAAAGAGATTGCCAGCCAGGACCAGAAGCAATCGCATGGCTTGCTCACTGGGGGCAATACAAATTCGGCAGACTTGTGTCGCTGATGCCAGCAAGTGACTATCCCGTTTCTGGATTGAATGTACGAAGTTGGAAATGAACGGGGCCGCATTTTGCTCCACCGACTTGCTCGTGTTGACCATCCTCTCGTACCCGCACTGTAACGGGCGACGCATGGTTGTATGATTGTAAAAAAATATGCAAGTGGCAAGAGGGCGGTGCATCGAAATGCGGGTGTTCTCGTGCAAATCTACCCGACACCGATGGCACCATCCCTCACCTTCATCTACTGGGTCTATGGTTGACTGATTTGAGCAGGCGCCGGCGGAAGCAAGCCCTTGAGAGCTCTATGTGCAAGTGAGAGACGACTGGCAAACTTCTTGCCGAACTCGGAGGGCGTCTCGACAATGTATGCTTGGAACTCATCGACGGTGACCCTGTCGCTGTAGTTGCGCAGAGCAAGCTCCTTCCGAACGGCCGTCTGCAGGTCGCCGTCGAGGTCGGCCCAGATTCGCTCGGCTTCCTGGCGGTAGTGAGCGTTCAAAAAGTACTGAGCATGGGCCCACTCGTGCAGGATGGTCGAGGTATCTCCACGCAGGGATGCAATTAGATAGTGCGGTATTTGGTCCGGGGCAGCAGTATCGGCCTGCTGCAGCTCGGCAACCTTTTGCAGGATCCACGACTCGGCAGCAGAGAAGGGAGCAGGGCTTTGCCCGAGATCAGGGGAATCGCCGGCATCAGCAGCAGGGTCTGTTGATTGTGGTGCTCGCTGTGATGACTGATCGTCGTGTGATGGCGGCGGGAATGACGACAGAGGTTGCGACTCTGACAGCTGAGGTTGCGACTCCGGCAGCTGAGATTGCGGCTGGGATGGCTGAGACTGAGACTGGGATAGAGATGATAGCCAGAGGGCCAGGTGTTCCGTTGGAAAGTTGACGCCCTTGAGCTTTCCCTTGAGCTGGGAGCCCTCGTATGCCACATGTGGCCGCAGCAGCGATGATTCGAGGGAATCGAGATCGGCAAAGATCAGGATGAGGACATTTTGGTGGAGGGTAACGGCCGGCGGCCGGAACTCGGCAGGGACCTGGGCGTCGCGAGCCAGCAGCTTGGCCTTGAGCGGGTTGGGACCCTTCTTGGGGCCTTTCTTGGCGGTCTTGGTGTCCTTCCTTTTGGAAGACGGGGACGCTGTGGGAGAGGATGCTGGTGACTGGGCAAGGGCAAGCGACTGCAGCGAGCCTTGCAGCTCTTCGAGTGGGTCTTGGCGGGATGCGGACATGATCTCTGGCTGGCAATGCGATGGCAGTGTCGATGCCGATGCCGATGTCGATGCTGACGACTATGTCGCTGCCGATGTTGATCTTGATGGCGATCGTGGTGATGAAGATCGGGTGATATCCTTCCGACCGAGGCGATCTTGGACTTGGTGCCGATCGAGGTCAGGATGACGCACCGAGAGCCGCCGAGAGCCGCCGAGAGCCGCCGAGGAGCGTCTCGGCTGCCATGTCCGGCGATACTTGGGCGAGCATTTGATTCATCGCGCTGGCTCGTCATCCGAGACTCGCACCTCCATCTTGATCTGCTTTGAACTACTCTGATCTACTCTGATCGCCGGCAACGCTGCTCCCGATCCATCGCTGCTCCTACATCGCCCGGGGCCTCTATCGCCGCCGGCGCCGACGGGGCTGGATCAGCGGTGCGCCTGCTCCACCAGCCCCTTTGTCCAACAGAGGCAAGAGTCATGCCGTCTGCAAGACTTTGTCATGGGCTTCTCCAGACGACGCCCTCAGAGAAGACACTCTCGAGGATACTCTCCGGGGCACACTCTGAAGACACACTCTCCAGGACACACTCTGAAGACACCCTCGAAGGGCGATATCCCCGGTCCGGCACCCATGCGGCTGCTGCGGTATCAAGGCCTCTGCGCCCCCGACCGCAAGCAGCAGCGTCCGCGCATTTTTTCCGTTGCTGGAAGCGTCGGTCCTCACCGACAAGGCCCTCTCTCCCACCCAGAGAAGCGCAAATTTGGGATCCCGATCGACCCGCCGCCGCCGCCGCGAGTATATATATGCACCCACCGCCATGCGGCATTCATCACGAAGCAGTCATCCCCGAAGCATCCACCACGAAGCACCCGTCGCGCATTGCTAATCCTGTCCGGCACATCCCCCATCGGTACGCCAGGCTCTTCCCGGACCACATTCCCCCCAGCATATCGCATCCGCAATCGTCCGCAATCGTCCGCAACCACCTGCAAGCACATCGCCATGTCGTCCAGACCAGTCTCGTCGGCCCCGCTCCTGGTCCGAAAGAAGGCTGCATGTGGGTATTCCTGAGTTCTGCGAACCCTCCGAGTCCGACAAACTCCGGGCCAGCAAACCGCCGCTCTTTCCTGCTCGTGCACTGTCCGCTCTGTCAATGCTGACCTGTCCTTCCTTCCGCCACCAAAAGATCATCACCCAGCCTTGACTCGCATCAACTCGCTCAGCTCGATCTACAGCGACCTGTCGACGCTCTCGCGCGATTCGGCATGTTCGACACCATCCCGCGATGCAGGGCTTTCGGCGTCCTTGCCTCGACGACCAACGCCCCGTTTCCCCGTCGACGGCCTTGCTGTCCGCCCACGTTCGCCTCTGTCGCTCGGTCGCTCTGAGCGCAAGCCAGCCATCCAGAGCACGTCTGCCATCGATTGCGATGATGCTGCTCGCCGCGAATCCTTGCACAAGCTTGAGCTTGTCATGGCTTCGACCTTGGAGTTTCTCTCTGACATTGTCGATGAGAAACCCATGGCTGTCCATGTCGAGCGATCCGAGCCCGCTTCGGCCCGAAGCAGCTGGGGAGAGCCTGTGGATCTGACCCTCAAGCGACGCAGCTCGTCATCGTCCTCATGCAGCGTGCCAGCTTCGCCCCAGAGCATCGGTCCCGATGCTGTCGTCCCGGAACGTCTTGCCCGGCCGCTCCGGCGTGCTCGCACCGTCTGTGGCGACGGTGCTTCTCTCACACCGACCCGCAAGAAGAGCACCCTCAAGTCCTTCCTCGCAGGGTGGCATGCGCATCGCGACCAGGGCATTGCCAACCCGCCCTCGGACCAGCCCGAGGCCAAAGCCCAGACCTTGCCGCATTCACACACCAATACCTTGCACACCCTCGAGTGCCAGCTCTTCCCGCAGCTCGCTGCCCACGACCATGTTCCTGAGCCAACCTCTCCCGATCGCCCGCCGCGCGCCCGGGTGATGCCTCGCTCGTCGTCCGAGTACCATATTGGCTCTCTGCACCAGCAGCACGGCCTGGAGCCGAAGCGAGTGCAGTCTCTCAATCGACGAGTCCGCCACTAGGACCGGCGCTGCAACGGTCAGCCGGTCGAGTACCCTGCCCTTTGGTTTGTCGTCCCCCATTGTACCATATTTCACCGTTCACGGGACGCCCTGTTTTGGAGTTCACTTGTGTCTGAATATAACCATCTTATCCATCCATTCATTCATGCATTCATCCTTCGACGCCGATGCGATCCAATGCAATCCGCCATGGCGATCTGCTTCCCTCTCCTCTCGTTCGCTCGCCTCCCCATCTGCCTCCTGCAGAGCCCATGAATCTCGCGCCGCACGCCCCGCCATGACCGCCTTGTTGGCCCCTCATGATGTTTGGCCCAGCCCAGCACACAAAGCCGTCGTCCCACCACCGCAGCCGGTCCTTCCCTCGGCGCTTGTGTCGCCTTTGGCCAACTCGTCTTGTTCGTCTCGTCTTGCTTGCTCGTCTTGTTCGTCTCGTCTTGCCTGCTGGTCTTGCTCGTCTCGTCCTTGTCTTGCCGCACATCCGCCCTCCTCCGTTTCGCCCCGTCGTCGCTCGGCCCGCCTGCCCGCCCTCCTCCGTCGTCCGCTTGCATCCAACTGCCGCCTCTGGTCGTCCGCCAGTCCGCCGTCGTGCTCCACAGTCCTCGCCAGCATGTCCCGCCGCAAGATCCCCTCCGATTACGTCCCTCCCGTCTACATCGACACCGACCTCAACCATTCCAGCTCGGATCTCCATGAATCGCTCATGACCCCGACTACGTCGGTCTCCTATCCCAACTCGACCGTCGACAACATGTCTTCGGCATCGTCGGACGACAACTCGGACTCGGATGACTCGTCGATGCGGCCCCGCATCGTCAACGGAGGTGTGGAGCCATGTCCTCTGCCGACCTCATCCCTTGCTGCTGTCCGACGATCGCTGGCATCGACCTATGCGGCTGCCGCTAACGCCGCCAATCTCGTCGCCGTATCTTTCCTCGTCGTCGCATCGCTCCTGCACTCTTGCCCTGAACAGGATTCAAGTCTCTGACAGCCGACCGAGTTCGCCAAGCCCGTGCCCGGGTCGCTCAGATGAAGCAGTCCTTCCAGGCCTGGACTCCTCCTGCCCCCAAGCCTGGAGACGAGGCTCCTGCGCCGCCAAGCGCCGACACCATCCGAAAACGCACCGAGCAGATGGCCGTCCTGAGCACCATCACGACTTCGTCGGGCTGGGATTTCAAGCTGCGTGAGCTTGTGATGAGGTGCGGCACATTCCGTTTGCGTGGCCAGAGCGATCGATGCAAGCCCTGTGGTTGTGCTCGTGGTTGTGCTCGTGCTCGTGGTCGTGGCCCTATGGCTAATCCACCTTTCGACCTTGCCTTTGCCCCATCCCAGAGAGGCCCGGGAAGGCAATCCCGAAGACGATGCTCGAATGGCCACCGTCGGTCGCTCGAGCAATAATCCCCGACCCCAGCCTGCGGTGCCGTCACCCGTTCCCCAGCCCCGAGGCCGACCTGTTTCGGCCATGCCCTCCAGCCGAGGCAGCAGCCCTCGGTCTTTCCAGCGATCGCCCAGCCCTTCGATCTCGTCGCTGTCGAGCTTCAAGAGCGACTTGGCGGCGCCAACCGTCCCAGCCGTGGCCGCTCGCCATCGCACCATCAACTACGGGACCATCATCCGCGGCTACGACGAGCGGCTGCAGGAGATTGTCATGGAGGTCTCCAAGAACGAGCATCCGATTGCGCCTTTGAACATGTCCAGGACAAAGTCGGCTTCGGCAACATCGCTGCGGCGCAAGTCGACGGCGACGTCGCTCCCCCCGAGTGAGTTCCATGGTCCAGGCCCTGCCATTGATAGACACCGTCATGCCCTCGCTCGCACTCCATCGGCGGTATCGATTAGGCAGGCCATTCGCTGTTCATTGCACCTGGGCGTCTCAACGGCATCCACTCTTTGAGTGAGTGGGTGAGTGAGGGGGAGCATTCCACACTCTTTTGCTGATGCTTTCATCCCAATGGCCCGCGGACGATCTCTCCCCGGCGGATGGTGTATGGCCCATCAATACGTCCGGACGTTGGTTTCCTTGCGATCCAGCTCCATCCGAAGAACCCGCCAGCGCAAGCCCAACTCCCGATCGATCTCGGCCAACAGTGCGCCGCCGTGTCTCAGCCGTCATCCCCGGCACGATGGTGCCGATGCCGCCGTCTCAGCCCCAGCCGGCCGAGCCCGAGCTGCCTTCAGGTCCGACACCGTCGCAGCGCCGTCGAGCTGCCAGTTTCCACAGCAGCATGGGCATCATGGCCCTGGCAGGCGACGGCTCTGTCCCTCCCGTGCCGGCTGTTCCCGAGAAGCATCGTCGCAAGCCCGTGGTGTCCTACATCACTGCCCGTTCGACGTCGAGCTCGCCTGTCCCGAACGATCTCGAGGCCCGGGTTGAGCTGGGTGTCGCCATGCCCGCAGGCAAGCGGTAGACCGAGACCATTCCTGTCGAACAGGCTGGTCGTGGCCACACATCGGCAAGCCAAGCATCTGGCCCCTTAAGCGGCAAGCGACTTCGCTGGTCAGATGATGCAAACCGCATTTCATCGACCCATACAACAAACCGTTGACAGGGAGCCCTTGCTCTGTTCCAGCTTACCGCGCTCGTATCGTTCTTTGGGACAGTAGGCCAGAGCCGTATATTTTCGTCCATTTCTACAAATGTGCAATACAAAACGTAATACAGGTGGATGCGCCAGCATACAAGGAGAGAAAGAGCGCCGCACGAAATCTCCGATCCGGAGGAGAACCGCCAGCGCCTCCAAGAACCTAGGGGGTGCTGGCCCTGCAGTACGTCGTTGTCTAGGCAAATGCATCCCTCCCTTTGCTTGCTGGATCAGATCGGATGTCAGAGATCAGAACGCCCGGATCAGGCCATTGATGACGACGGCTTCATCAAACATGATAACATGGCTCTGGCTGTCGCTGTCTTCAGAGGCATCGTCGTCGTCGTCGTCGTGGTTGTGGTCGTTGGCCGGCAGGCTCTCGGGCCAGCCTTGCGCCGCCAGCGACGCCATCAGATCGTTGCAGATGACTGGCCGGATCGACCGGCTTCTTGTGGCAATGGTGATGTGCGGCACAGGGTTACCGCACTCGTAACCCTCGGGATGAATAGACTGGACATAGATACCGACCACATCTCGGTTGAAGCAGACCCGGTCGATAGTAAGCTCGACTGGGATGGTTCGATAGCCCGGCAGCTTGGAAGCAGCAGCAGCAGCAGCAGCAGCAGTAGTAGTAGTAGTAGTAGTGGTGGTGGTGGTGGTGGCGGTGGTGGTGGAGGTAGCTGCACCTGCTGACGGGCTCTGTACCAACTCTGTTTCCTTGGACTTTTTGGCCTTGCGCTTCGACTTTGACTGTGGAGCAGCTTGGTGGGATTGGGGGCTCGAGTTAGGCGAAGCCACGCCGGAGACGCCCTTGTTGTGCTCGGCGCCAGGACTGTCGTCAGGCTCGTCGGTAGCCAGCAAGTTCTTGTAAAACTCGTACAGTCGCTCGTGGTGGTGGCGGGTCTCGTCGCGGAAGGCCAGGGTGACATGGTAGCCCTTGCCTTGGGAGCTCGCCAGGCGCTGACCATCGACAAATGTATTCCAGATGTCGAGCGCAGCGCCGCCAGTCCGCTCAAAGACCTGGCGCAGATACTCCTCGAGATCAAAGTCGACAATCTGGATGGCAAAGTAGAGCGGTGCCTGGTCGTCCTTGGAGCTGTCGCGCTTGTTCTTGGACTTGCTTGAGACGGTCTTTCGGACGGTCTCAACCTCGCTCAGGGCCTCCTCCATGGCCTGGTCAAACAGCTCGCCCACGACGGGCTCCCATCCGAGCCGCTTGACCACCCTTTCGTAGTTGGTGCGGATATCGGCGTCGATTTCGAGCGCGATTTCGTCGTCGAACTGACCGTCGCCCATGATGTTCTCGTTGCGATCGAAAGGCTGGCTCGACCGGATGAAGGAACCGAGGATCGACTTCCACTTGGGCGTGCGCTCGGGAGTGAACGACTGATGGTTTTCACCGCTGTTGGCGAGAGTCGGAGCATGGAACACACCAGACCCGCAAGCAGAGTCGTGTTAGATATGCGCTGGCTTGGCATGAGCGACACAGTGACGGTGCCGCGGTGTAGTCGCTAAACAAGTGACTGCATACTGCCATGCAAGGCGGGGCAGTTGCTCACCGATTGATCACGCGGCCCGCGCAGAGATCCAAGATGCGGTCGATATCTTGTGCGTATACGCCCCAGTTCAGGGCCACGAGCCGTCCGTTGGGGAACCGGTCGAGGAAGGCAGCGGCGAGGGCCTCGCGGTGCTGCAGCAGATGGTTGTTCTTGTCGGCGTACACAACAGAGTGATTGGTGGCACACTCCATGACGGCATTAACGAACGTGGTGGGGTTCTTGGACAGGATGTTGTCGCTCTGGATGTGGCCGACGCCGTGCAGGCGTGTCAACAGGCGGGCCAAGGTAGTCTTTCCGGCGCCGACGACGGCAATGGGCACCAGCAGGGTCGGGCGTTGCTCGGCGTCGGCGTTGGCAGAGCCGTCGTCGTCGTCGCTGTTGCTGCCGACATTGCCGTCAGCAGCCTTACTGTCGGCGAGGTCGAGGCTCTGGAGCTGAGCTGTGATGGGCTCGACCTGCTGCTGAGGCTTGTCAATCTCCAAAAAGTCGCGGCGGGCTCGAATGATGCCCTTGCCCTGAGTAAACTCGGCAAAGTACGCCGGATCCTCCTTGTACTTGAGGACAGCCCAGTGGCAGTATCGCAGGGTCCACTCGCGGTTGCGCTTGGGCTTGTAGTGCTTGAGGATTGCATCGGGACCCTCTTTGGATGCGAGCATGCGCTTGGTGAATTCACGCCAGTCGCGGTAAGTGAGATAGGGCTCTTCAAACTTGACCTTGAAGAAGTGTGTCTTGTTTCCCTTGGTTGTCTTGCACCGGACGACAAAGCCCTCAATGGCCCTGCCCTGGTACGATCCCGTGGGCTGGCAGCTGTCGGTAAAGGCCTTTACGTCTGAAACAGCCATCGGGACGGGATGCAGCGTGAGAAATCCAAAGCCATCGGTGCTGCATCACGGAATCACATGAGCTGGGGTCGCTGGCTCCTTCCCAACGAAACGAAGCGGCGAGCTGTACCTTGGATGGTGTCATACTCCAGATAGTCGACCACCTTGAAGCCAAACTCGTCTGCCAGCGGCTTGAGTCGCGAGCTACTCCAGGTCCGGAACTCTGCAGAGTTGTGGTTGACGCCATGCAGGTATAGGCCGGCCCGATCGGGCGGATACTCGAGTACGTGCTCCTCAAACTCATCGTCGGCAAGCTGCAATGAATCGCAAGTGGCAGAGCGATGGGTGTGTCAGATTGCATACTGACAAACAGGCGAATTTGAGGCGCACGGCAAAAGCAGCAGGACAAATCATCCTCGGCTTGCAGTGCCGGCTTGCTGGGAAGATATGCGCATGCCCCAAGCCTCGGTGATGCCGCTGTCCATCAACTGCATTGTGGGATCAAGTCGGCAGTCCCCGTCTCCACAAACATTGCCGAGCGATGGGATGTGTTCTCGTGAAGCTCATAGCCCCAGCTCGACCGCACACGAGGTCCATACTGACCTCAAAGACGGCTGTGACATTGTGCTGCTCCAGGACTGCTGCCAGGTCGGACTCGGACTTGCCGACCGAGTCGAGATGCTTTCGGAGCCACTGGTGGCCGCAGTTGGAGTAGGCGTTGCCGATCGAGTGCTTGGACGTTACCACTAACCGGCCGTCAAAGGCAGCAATGAAGATAATGCAGCCGTTCTCCTTGACGGTGACTTCGTAGGGACCCGAGGTGTTCAGCGACAGCCAGGACCACGACGTTTCGGGCAGTTCGTCGACTGGGAGAGATCCGGGTGGCGAGCAGAACGTTGCGGCGCTGATCGTTAGAGTCGAGCGATCGAAACAGCACGCCGGCCGTTTGCCCTGGGAGTGCTGCGAACTGGGCTGGGGGTCAGCCACTTACTGTTGAAAAACTTGTCATAGCCACGCACGACGATGCGAGACAAGTCGTGGTCGCTGGGCTCGTAGGTAAACAGGCCACGGGCCAGGGTGGGGAGTGCATGGATGGCCGAGGGCTTCCACTGGAGAGTGCGGGGATACGAATACGAGGCCAGCAGCGGCGAGCCGTCCTCCATCTCGGGCCAGGCCGGCAGCAGATTGCGTCGGATCGAGCCCTTGGGTGCCCTTTCTGCGGACGCGATCTTGTCGAGGGCGCGAAGGAGGCCCAGATCCGAGGGCGAGGTCTTGTGCGAAGTGTGGGTGTGGGCAGCCATAGATGCAGAGGATGCTTGATCGAAGGGGAAGGCTGTGGATGATGGGCCAAGGACAGATCCGAGACCACTTATATCGCCAGTTGTGGCTGCTTGGCCACCACCGCCACACGTCGGCGGGTCACTTCACCACCACAGGGGCACAGAGGGGCACAGACGGGTGTCAGCATGGCAGATACAGACCTGCAGACCCAGATCGACTGGCCGAATGCAGATCTGCGGATCCAGAGCCAAGCCCAGTGGCAGATACAGCGCCCAGTCGCTACCTTGTCTATTGAGTCTGCATCGAACTATCGGCCCAGTCCGCCGGCTCAGGCAGAGCGCATTCCATGTCGATACAATACGCCTCCTGCGAGGCATGCCACAGCTCCGCCTTCAGGAGCGCCGTCACAGCGCCGCACGAGCAGCCATGCTGCTGGCCGGGTCATGGGGAGAGGCCTCTGCGCTCAACCGGCCCAGCGCTGGCTCGCCGCACTCGGAGCCGTCTGTGCTGGAGAATGCCGAGCGGCCCTCCATATCGCTCTCGCAGCTGTCTGAGCCCGAGTCCGAGTCGAAACTGTTGTCGGAGGGCTCGTCCGAGTCGCTGTCGGTATCCGAGTCGTCGTGGGAAGCGTCCTCGTCGGATACATCGTTGTCGTCTGCATCGTCGTCTGTATCCTCACCCTCGTCCTCGTCACCATCTCCATCCTCGTCTTCATCGTCATCGTCGCCATCGTCGCTGGAGGTATCTGAGATATCGCCCAGAGCAAGCCTCTCTTCCAGTAGAGGCTGATACTCGAGAATAATGGCGTTGTTTGGGTCAAACTTCAACACTGGCGTCGGGCAAGGGCGGCCACCAAGAGAGTGTGTGAGCCAAGATTGCTGGCTATCGCGGTCGCTGGTCATACGAACAGGCTTTCATCCACAGACTCGGCAGGCAAATATCACCGCCAACATTCGTCGACACGCTGGCACTTGGGTTCTTACGGTTTCTCGAGATCTCGAGGGCATTTTTGTACTGCTTGAGGGCGACAGACGCGAGGAACTGGGGCCAAAACGCCGCGCAGGTCATGAGCCACGGACGACGGAGCAGGAAACGGTGCTCTATGCGACGTGCAGAGATGATGCCACGGGAATCCATACCTGCTCAAGAAGTGTGATCTGGGAGGGGGGGCGTGTCCAAGCGGCGGCATGAGTTGTCCTGCCGACTCTTGCAGCGATTCTCCAAGCGATTCTCCAAGCGATTCTCCAAGCGACGATCCCAGCGACGATCCCGAACGACGGACAAGCACGAAACACACCTCTCGGTCATCTCCAACGGCGGCGACGTCGTTCATGGTGTTGAGCATCTCCTGTGCAGGCGCTGCTACGTAGCTGTGTGCTGCCTTGCGAGCCTTGAGCCGGCTTCCGAGCAGCTTGGGGCGCGTGGGAACAGTCGGATACGGACTGTCGCCCGGAAGAAGCACCACTCTGTCTTCTCGCCCCTGCTCTCGCCGAGAGTTCACCTCTCAGCAAGCACTTCTCAGCAAGCACTCCTCAGCAGGCACTCCTCAGTAGGCACCCAGGAGCCCGAGGGCATGTCGTCATGCATGGTGTTTCCCGATCGCACACACACACGCACACGGAACGGGATATATGAATTTCATTCGCGCTTTTTTTGTTGGTTGCCGCTCCAAATCCATCTGCCTCGCGATCGTCGGCCCCCATCGATCCCGCCGTCCAACTCCGAACACAGCAGCGCCGTCGCTTGCGTATTCAGACACCCGCGCCAGCACAGCAATCATCTCATATCTGCATCGCATGGGCATCAAGAACAAGACCGCCAAGCATAAGCCGGCTCGACCAGCGTCGGCCGAGCCGCTCGAGACCATCAACGGGCAGTTCCACATCCTGCCAATCCAGATGCCACCGGTGCCACTGGTCTCGAAAAACGATGCGGGCTCGCTCACCACGCACAAGCCCCTGTCGACCACTCCAACATCGCATGTCCATTATCTGTACTTCAAACTGCACGAGACTCGCAAGAAGGACTCGAGTCTGCCACAGGGACGGACGCTGTTTGTGCTGAATGTCCCTGTGGATGCGACGGTGCTGCACTTTTCAAGACTCTTTCGGCACTGCGGCGCGATCGAGAACCTCAAGATCCAAGGCGACAACTCGCTCCTCCCGAGCGAGTTGCAGGTCATGTTGCAGGTCATGTTGCGCAAGGACGACGATGCCGATGCCGATGCCGATGCCGATGCTAACGACAGCGAGGACGACATGGATGAAACGCAGGACGAGGCCGAACGCAAGACTGTGATTCTGACGGCCGATTTGGTCGCTCGGCTGACCCGAACCACAGTCCATCGAACGGGAGCGTCGGCATATCTGGTCTTTGAAAGCGCCGAAGCCGCGCAGAAGGCTCTGCAAATGCGACAGCGCAAGCGGCTCTGGTCCGCCGAATTGGACACCGAGGAGCACGGCGAAGACGACAACGACGATGGCGAGGAGCGTGGAGCCGTGCCGACACCGACACCTGTCGGCCTGCAGAGTAAGTCAGCCCATAGCATTCGATCCCGGTGGACATGTCCTGGTTGGACTCGATCGCACGACCAGCAAAGTACCGCAGCCGCATCATCTCACCGCGCACTGTCACTGAAACGGCCATGTCCCTGGCAGAATGGATCCTCGAGCACAAGCTGCGCCATCCACCAATAGTCGAGCTTAAGGAGCAGGTAAACGAATATCTCAACCTCTTCGACCTCGAGGAGCGGCGCAAGCAGGAAGAGCTCGACGCCAAGCTCAACCAGCCCGACGAAGACGGATTCGTGACAGTCTCGCGACGATCCAAACGAGGCACGGCCACAGACGCTCATGGAGCCAAAATGAGCGCTGCCAAGCTGAGCGACGTGCAAAAGCTCAAGCCCAAGAAGCTGGGTCTGGACGACTTTTACCGGTTCCAGATGCGCGAGACGAAACGGAACCGTACGTATACCACTTCCCTGTGCACGGGGATGAGTTGTCGATGTCCGGGTGGCTGCGGCTGGTGCAGCGGATGAACCTGCTCACAAACAGTTGACAGGCGATGGTGCTGGTGGTGATCGAGTGATGGTTGGGCGATGTGGGTAGCTGCACAGGTCGTCCTTTGTGCTGGAGCTACTGTGCGTATCATCGGGGCCGCACTTGAGCTTACTCTCACGCATTCCCATCTCACACCACTACCATGCTCGAACTCTCCACCAGAACTTGCCGATCTGCGCCGCAAGTTCGAAGAAGACAAGCGCAAGATCGAGCACTTCAAGAGCAGCCGCCGCTTCAGACCGTACTAGAGACCGATCTCCCCCTAGCAACAGCGATTGGATCGCACAGCGGCCAAAGGTGCATCGGCCTTGCGGTCCCACGCCGCTGGTTACGACTTGAGCATTGCCAAGGATAGCATCGATAGCGCACTCGATCGATGGGCGGGGGCGCATCCAATAGATGGGCTTTGTGCACATCAAATGGATGGCTATGTGTGAACTCTTATGCATCGCCAAATGAAGCTCGACAGAATATCATCCCGTTGCGATGAGCATGTGCCGTAATGGACACCTCCTTCGGAGCCGATCCAGGCACGCACAGATCCAATACTCTCGTCCTGGCTGCTATACCGCGGACCGCTGATGGTGGGCTGGCTGCACGCTCCCTTGCTTTTGTTGGGACGATGCCGGTGGCTGCAGGCTCGGGCTGGGTATGTGCAAGAGAGCGAATGGCACCCGCTCGCTGGCAGCTGATTGTTCGCACCCCAATCAGTCGAGTCGGATGGGCCGTGCTGACGTCAATCGCACATCTAGCTGGCCAGAGCAATACTGCCGACGGCGACGAGACGGGAGCAGCGATACACACCTTGGCCCCAACCCCTCCGAGTCCTCGCAGCCCTTTGCAGAGCCAGCCCATCCAGCGAACCCAAGCCAAACAGCTATCCGAGTCTTCGTCACCACGCTCTCGATATCCAGCCAGACGACCGTTTCCGAGCGAACCAGCTCCACACCCAGCGACTCTGCCCCACCATTCGAGCTCCCCCAGCCTCTGTGCACTCTGACTTGAGTAGCTATCCACCGCTACTCCCAGGCTTAAAGGCAGGAAACAGCCGCAGCTCAGACTTCCCCTCCGCTGCTCCGCCCGCGTGTGAGTCCAAACAAACAACGGCTCGCACTTTTGTTTGCTCGGCGGCAGCTATTCGGCCCGCGAGCAGCACTTCGGACCACCGTATAGTCGGCAAGAGTGCGTCCAAGCAAACGAGCTTGACTTGGCTCGAGCACCAAGTACGGTAACTCCTTCCGGGAGATTGTTGAGTGTACCCTCTTCCTCCTGGTCCAAGATCCATCTGGCTCACGAGCTTGTCGCGTTGGACCATCCGACCCATCTAACACCAAGGTGCGCTGTCATGTCGAGAACTCTTGGAATGCAACTCACCAAATACTCATTGCTATGTCTCCGAATATGGGCTCGTGGGCCAAGCATGGGCAACAGGCATCATGACAACCGCATTTGGATGTCGGCCTGGTCTCACACAACCGTCTGCCCCTGCTCCTCCGGACAGATTCTCACGCCCCGCGGGCTCCACCGAAATGAGCGTGCTCGTCGGCAATTCAGACTTTCGGCCGCTGCCGACCAATCCGACAGCCAAAATCACAGGCGTCCACGAGTCTCTGCTGCAAGAATGCGAGAAGGACATTATCTGGTATCGCGAGCACTTTGTCGGCAAAGGTACGGGGTGTATGGGCGAATCACCGTGGCGCTCGTGCGCCGCCCATTCAACGACATAGGTCCTCTAGTCTCGGTGACTGGGTTCTTGATTCAGAGCCTCGAGGCACCAGTTGCCAGTCCGCCTCCTCCGAATACCGGTATCCACGCTTCTCTGCCAGATCGCTAATCATCGGCTATGATCCATCGCCTTTCTGATGCCTGTGCACTCTCGAACCGACATCAACGACATCAACGACATCAACGACATCAACGACATCAATGTCAACCACCGTCCCAATGAACCTGGCGGTGTCCATCCAGCTCACCACAACTACCTGGCCGTCGACTCTCCCAGGGGACCCTTGGCCATCTCGCTGATACACGACGCATCCGCATCCACATTCAAGGTCCTGGTGCGCTCGACACAGGGCTCGGAACGCTTGACAGTGGCCGCACAGTCTGTCCCCAACCCATGGTGGCGAAAGGCGATGGGCCTGTTGCCGACCAACGAGTCGGTGATGCAAACGGTCTCGAGCAACATCCCTCTGCAGTGTCTCAAGCACTGCAAGGAAACGTCGAAATCCAACCTGCCGAACGAGCTGCTGGCGATGGAGGAGCGGCAAGTCATTCGCAGCTACAAGTTTGGTCTGACCTATCTCGGCTCGGGGCAGGCTACCGAGGAGGAGATGTTTTCAAACAAACATGGTGCGTCGCGGAAAGCCTGGTCACCGATTGACCTGTGGCTGGCGATTGGATAGGATTGTATCTTTGTCAGAGTTCATCTCGCATGGTGCATCGCGCTGGCTCGCGGCGCTCATAGTCGTTACTTCCCATCTCGACGTCCCTCGTGCCGATATTGTGCTGATGATACTGGGGCCTCCGTGGCCTTGGACTCCACCCAGAGCACACATCACAAGGATTCAAGCAGTTTCTGAACTTTCTCGGCGAGACGATAGAATTGAAAGGCTGGAAGGGATATCGGGCCGGACTGGACACGCAAAGTAAGTCAATAGCACGGAGGCCCTCACACACGGCCCGGGTGGCTGAGGCAAGGTGGATCGAGTACATGCAATCTATCGAACATATCCGGTCTGTTCATGACATGTCTGGTCTGCCCTTGACCTGTCTGGTCTGTCCTTGACCTGTCTGGTCTGTTCTTGACATGTCTGGTCTGTCCTTGATCGAACCCGCGCCGCTGCCCCTTGCCAGGCAACAACACTGGAACCCACTCGGTCTACACAAAGTGGCAGGGCTATGAGGTGATGTTCCATGTGGCCACAATGCTGCCGTATGCCGAGAAGGATCGACAGCAGGTCAGTTGATACCACGGATGGCGGGAATGCATCCATCGATCGCCCCGGCCTACCCTTGGCTGCTTGGAGACTGATCGATTGTGCCTGCCTCCGTTTGTGCTCAAGCTGGAGCGGAAGCGCCATGTCGGCAACGATATTGTCGTCATTGTCTATCAGGATACCGATACGCCGTACCAGCTCAGCACAAATACCTCCCATCAGAACCACATCATAGCCGTGGTCCAGCCATGCGGCGAAGGATACAAGTAAGCCGACATGGTGCTGGCGATGCTGTCGGCATGCATGTATGCGTGCTCGACTGTGGTTGGCTGCCCTCACAACGCTTTCTGCTCCGAATCTGTCTCTGCGTGCCCGTCCCTCCCCCCCCCCAAAGACTCTGCCTGGCCCCCAAGAACGGCGTGCCGCCATTCTCTCCCGAAATGCCCGAGCCCCCCATTTTCTTCAAGGACGCTGTCTCGCGCGACTTTTTCTTTCACAAGCGTAAGTCCAACCTTGTGACGACGAGCCCGAGTCGATTGGCCGCACGGCGCTGCTCGAGCTTTGTCGCTGTGCTGCTATGAGACACTAGACTCCCCGCTCTCACAGAGACATCGTCCATAGTCGCTCGTTCTGCACCACAAACCTAACTCGCTGGTTTGAATTACATTGGGTTGGATTCGATTGGATTGGATTCGATTGGATGGCGACAGTCATCAATGGCGAGCGGGCCTGCTACAAGGCACCCAGTTTTGCCCCCAAGATCTCTCGGACTCGGCAGGTGCTGCTGACTGAACTGGCGACCAAGTTCATCAAGTAGAAGCCAGGCACCGCCCTTGTTTGACGACAAAAACCCACACTATCGGCTGCGCCTTGACCGAGGACGATGGGCCGATGCGAACGATGACTTGAGCATGGTGATGGTGATGGTGATGGTGATGGTGATGGTGATGGTGATGGTGATGGTGATGGTGATGGTGATGGTGATGGTGATGGTGATGGTGATGGTGATGGTGATGGTGATGGTGATGGTGATGGTGATGGTGATGGTGATGGTGATGGTGATGGTGATAGCATCAGTGGGGGTGTAGGATTGTCGGCAGAACCAGACCGGGCTTGCTTAACCAGCTTTTGTCAACCCTGTTTCCTTCAACAAGCATATGCGAATCGCTCCTCTTGCTGATTGCGCACTGGTTTCATTGTTGTCACGGTGGGGACTATGGTTCATGTATTAGACCGCTTGGACAGCTCCTTACAAAGTGTGATTTCGTGGTGCATCTTTGAGGTGGGGTGTGACTACTCGAGCCGTTCGGGCTTCAGGCTCTGCGAGCACACCTACGAGGTGCTGACTTTGCTGACCGGGCGCACATGGATCCTGGGCAGGGGCCCACCGCAGGGTTTGGATCTTGGATGTCTATGGCGATGGTGGAATGTCTTGAAAGAGCAAGCGAGCCTGGGTCTCCTGGACTGGGTGGACGTCTCGTCCTGCTCCCAGAAGGCAGGTGGTCATTGTGGATGATGGTGGTTTCTTTCCAAAAACAAATCTGTGTGCTTGGTTTGATTTTGTGAGTGGCCTGAGGCTTGGTGATGCTCGCTTGCGTGGCAGATTCTTGGATGCGCTCGACTATCCGAGTCTATCGCCGTTGCTCGGCTCTTGATCGCAACGAAGCGAGAGTTGCTCGTCGATAATATGCCCCGCTGGAGTGACCAAGCAGACGTGTGTTCCCATATGGCTGGGAGGCGGTGATAGAGGGCGCTTGGACGCTTGTGACAGCGGCAATTTGAACCGCATTGGTCATCACAGCGACGGCCATGATTCTTCGGAAGAATGCGTCTTCGGCTACACGCCAGGTTTATCCGAGCTCGTTCAGTCATCCGAGTCGCTCGTGCTTTCCGTCTCCTGCGAGTCATACGTCCCATACGAGTTATTCGATCCATCCGATTCACACACATCGTCCGAGTCCATGGATGCGTCAGAGTCCTTGGGCTCGTCTGTCTCCTCTAACGATCGAGCCGTATTCAATTCGGGTTGCCCAGGCTGCTCTACAGCATCAAATGGTCGCAGGTATTGCATCGAATGTGGATTCAGCAGCTTAAAGGCCTCGATAATGTCTTCTCTCTCGACCTGCGCAGGGGGAATTGGGTATCGATCGGGTTAGCACACCACTTCTACGGTAATGAATTCGCTGACAGACGAAGCAGCCGCAGCCGCAGCCGCATCGATTCTCTCGGCACCCCAATGCCGCTGCTGCAGGAGTTACATGACTATGGACCCATTCCGATCGTGTATCCATCACATCGGACTCCAGTCCAGTCAGCTTCTCTGGTATTCAAGTCCCTGCCTCACTTGCATGATCGGCTGCCACGACTACAGGCCCAAGCTCACGCTAGCGTCCCGAAGGCCGCCAGATGGTGTTGGATTCGGGATTCGGGAAACTCACGCGCTTGGCCGGATTGCCTTGCCGGAGCCCGACATGGTATCGCTCCGAAGCCAACCCGAGGGCAGCCTTCATCAGCCGAGGAAGCCATCTGACAAGACTGTCATACATTTCCACAATGGTGTTTCGATAGACAGCAGGGTATTCATCTGCAGGCGCGTGCTTACTGTTGGTCGACAGACGGATGATTGGAGGGCTGCGTCAGCAATGGACCACAGGCGACGGACCCATCAAGTCGGGAGTGCGATGCTGATGAGGGAGGCGACTAGAAATCTCGCCCAATTCGTACCGAGCCAGTCTCAGGGCCGCCTGGACGTCGATTACTTCAAGCACCTTGTTGACATCCTGGTCCGATAGTGGCAGCTCGTACTGGAAGAAAATATCGCCGATCTGGTTGCGTGTGGCGGCTGAACTCGGCTCGGAAGACCTACTTGAATGATCGCTCCTGGCAGTGCGGTCGATGGTGCTATCAAGCAGACCTACAAGAATGTGTGCGTGGGCTTGTCGGTCAGTCTGGATACCGAAGAGACGAGAGCTAGTTATCGCGAGGAGGGCGTCGGTTCGATTGCTGTGGCATACCCAGCTGCTCGAGATAGACCCGTATCTCGGATGCCGACTTGGATGGCAGTGATCGAGACAAGAAGAGGAGGTATGCCCGGCGCAGATCGGCGTGGCCGGCGGTGAGCGGCTTCGGCAGGTTGGCCCAGCATTGGACGGCGTCAAGCAGCCGGCTCTTTTCGCCTGGTGTCCAGAGCGAACCGCAAACGACTGTCGGTCGCCAGAATCGATGCGGAAAGCGGATGGGGTCGTTGAGGATACCGTCGCAGAGGAGGGTCCTGCGATTCCTGGGCTTTGGTTCGGCTCGAGCGATGAGACCTGTCGATTCAATTGAAAGACGAGAGTCGGGCACATGGCCACCCGACTGGGCTCTGGGCCTGAAGTCGGAGCGGTCGGTTGCATCTCGGGATGTTGGGTTGTAGAGCAGCATCTGGCTGCCCTCCGTATTGGAGTTGCTTGGGGTTGGGCTTCCGGGAATGCCCGAGTCACTCCATCCATGCCGAGACACCTGCCCAGGATCCTCGATCTTGACGACAGCCGTTGGCGAGGCTGCGGGCGATGGGCTCGGTATGGGAGGCGAGGGCTGTACTGGCTGGCAAGTCGCACCTTGCCGGGCACGAATGTTGTGGGTTCTTCGAATGTGATTCTGGACAAAGGGCAATCGAGCAGCCTCGTAGGGACAGTGGTGGCAGTAGTAGCGAGTGCTTTTGATCGGCCCATGCTCGGGACTCGGCACATGCACCACCCGACAACGTCTCTCGTGGATATATCCGCTGGTGTGGGTGATAACGATTCGATAGTCGTTGTCCTCCAGCTTGGAGCGAGGGCCATGCACGAGGTTGTTCTTTTCGTATCGAGCGAGGTGGACCAAGGCTCTGGCTTCGGTTTCGAAGCGGAACGAGTGGTCGACGCCACAGAGCTTGCAGAGATAGTAGAGGATGGAGTGCCCATCGTCCGAAGCGACGGCGATCACCTGCGACTCGCCCTTGGACATGGCCGCGAGGCAGGCGGAATCTCAAGACTCGCCGTTTCGATTGCGGGATGAGAGTGATCCGATGGAAGAGCGCCCGGCCGATGGGGGGGGTGCAGGCCACTGGTGCTGCGGAGAGGGTTGTGGGTGCGAAACCAGGCGGTCCGGTCTGCAGCCAATGTCGGGAAGACGACCGTTGGAGAGCGCCAGGCCGAGACGGGAATCGAGAAGGCAGCGGTGTCTGCGCAGAAAAAAAAACGCGCGCAGGACACACAAAGACGGAGATTGCTCGCAACCTGGCTGGGAACTGCTGGGCTGCCTGGATGATGTCGAGGAAGTGCTGCTGGGCGACGAGGACGTGGGTGCTGCCGAGGGCCGCTATGCGAGGGCAACAGGCGATCGCAGGCACGGTGTCCACTAGTGCCTCGGATTGGTCCCACGGCCATCGTCCTTGGCTTGGCGGATTTGACACCGCGAGGTGCTGCCCAGGGCCATGGAGACACGCCGGCCTGGCTTGCAGATGGATTTGTCCTGATGAATTTGTCCTGGTGGATTTGTCCTGGTGGATTTGTCCTGGTGGATTTGTCTTGATGGATTTGTCTTGATGGATTTGTCTTGATGGATTCGCTCACCAGCAGAGCAGAGCAGAGCAGTTACCTCGCCCGGACGTGTTGATGCAACAGGATGCGTCGAGTTCCTCTGTCCTGCCGGCTGAATCGACCAGCACTTCCGCATCAACACCCGCCCCAACATCCGCCGCAGTACCCGCCCCGACATCTGCAGCAATACCGACGGCCAAACTTCTGGGACGAGGCTCAGGCTCTCGGTGCAAGCTGCTCTCTATCCGGATCTGCTCCTCAGCGGGCCTCGTACCTGGATTGCCATTGCCAGGGCCAGTTTGTCGGTTCGATCGAGACATGGGCCATCCGCACCCAAGCTTCGGGCTCACCGCTTCCCACAACGGTCTCGGCTGGTGTGCATTTTGACTGTCGGTCGATCCGGAGACGATGCTCTGCGCTTTGATCGCCGAACTTGCTTATGCATGCTCGGTCATCTGCTACCCGGCCCCCGCAACTCACGGCCGCCGTCGCTGCATCTTGCCCCCGTCGGTCCATGCAGCATCAGCACAGGCGCCCGTCTGTCCCCGCGGCCGCTGTCCAAGGCTCGCTCTCGGCCCGCTTCGACCCACTCGTGCCCGTTCAGCTCATCATCAGCACGGGCACTTGACCTCCCGCCACTCGGCCTTGTTGTCGTTGTCCGCTTCGATCCTGGGCCGCCCTGCGCTTTCCGCTCGTGCGTGCCTTTCGCCCCGCCCAGGAGTGTCCCTCCCTCCCCACGGCCGGATTGCCCGCTTGTCTGTGCACACCGCCAATATCAGTCGCGCGGGTCGGCCCACGGACCGAGCCCCAGTCCAGCGGATCGCCACCCGGATGCCTCCCTCCTCTCCCCCCCCGGCTATATGTACTAGGCCCGCCCCGCGGTTGATTCTCCAGCATCGCCCAGGACCACCTCACATCTCCAGTCCTGCTCCGCCCCGACGTGCCAGTCGCCCACTTCCATCTCCTTTCCTCCATGACCCGAAAGACCGTCGTCGAGAAGCGCAGGATTGTCCAGGAGGCTTACTCCTGCAAAAATAACATCAAGGCCACAGCCCGCAAGTTCAAGGTGCAACCGCAACATATACGGCGCTGGCTCCGGCAGCTCGAAAGGATCGACGGGTACTCGATCAAGGACCAGTCGCCCGCAAACGTGGCCCAGGACCTTCCCAACGGCCAACCCCGCCTCTCTCTCTCTTCGCCGACCGATTCCTGCAGCGACATCTCTGGCATTAGTCCGATGATGGAGCAGCCATGTAATTGCCATTCCATCTCGCTGGCTCGTTAATGCTTTTCACTGCTCTGTGCCGCTGCTGCCTTGCCTGTTCCCGGCTCCGCTGCTTTCTCACATTCGAAACAGCTTTCGCGATGGCGCTGGCGGCTGCCTGCCTGCCTGCCTGTCTGCCTGCCTGTCTGCCTGCCTGTCTGCCTGTCTGCCAGTCGTTGTCATTTTCCATTTTCCATTGCTGTTGCCAAAGTGATCCCCTGACACTAACCTGCATGGGCTTTCGATGCCTTTTTATGACTCCAGTGTACACCTACGGACCAAGAGCCAGCCAGGCTCGCTCTCCCATGCCCCTTCCCGAGCATCCGATCGAATTCCAAGACGGTCCTCCGACATTTTGCGACATACCTATGCCGTTAAATTCCGCCGTGCTTCTGTCTGGACAACATCCGATCGTGCTGTCGCGGATAGCAGAGTCGCAGTCGCAGTTGCCGCCACAGCAAGCAACTCAATACCGCCCCGGACCGCTTGTCGCTGAGCTGGCTTGCGTGCCCGAATCCAGCGCTGCAGGCTCACAAGTGCTCGGCATTGGCTCCTCCATGCCCAACCCATACTTTCTTGAATCCCACACATCTGCATCCTACACACACATAGTCCGATCACGCATGTATCACTCCTACATCGCCGAGCCGAATGTGCCCGAGTCCTATGGACCGCCCGGCTGCTTACAAGTGATCCAACCGAGTCCGCGTTTTGATCACTATGCAGACACCGCGGTCTCCTATGCAACGGTGGTCTCTGGACGAGCCGAAACGATTGACGGCGCTACCACCCTGGAACACCCAGCATTACCTGCTGCCCCAACCCTCCACACTGCGCTCAACATACCCGCGGCCCCTGTAATCCGCACCGCCTTTGGCATTCCCGTCACAACCGAGATTCATATCGTTACTGGCATGCTTGTCGATTCTGCCGCTGATGCCCCCCACTCTGGCCATCATTCGGCTCCTGCTGCTTCTGTTGCTTCGATCGGATCTGCTCACTCGCCGCGGACTATGTCGCTGTCCCAACGCTATCCGCCGCCGACCCGGACGGCCTGCGAGCGCTACAGCCCCACACTGTCGTCTGTTACTTGCGAGCTTTCCCCAAACGTGTCGGCGAGCGCCTCGATTCAGCTGCAGCACAGCGAATCAAGCTTTGGTCAGGCTGTCGGGGGCTCGTTTGCAAACCCGAGCGGCTTTGGGAACCGCGACGCCTGGCACTGCTACTTTCCATCTGCTTCTCCCTACTGATAGAGCGTACGTCATAATCCATCCAGCACGCCTCCACTTCCCTCTTTCGCTCCGTCCCATCGGATTGCCCTTACTGCCACTGGGCGAGTTATCTTTTTCTCGTTTCCGCCAGCACCTTTTGTCATAGCCATTGCAAGCGTTATTCAAGCCCATTTCACTTTTGTCACTTCTCTTTGCACTGCCGTTGACATTGCTGGCACGTGCACATACGGTGTCGTGCTTTACACCAACTGTATTTTACCCGGAATCGATGGGAGGGCTCCTTCGTGGATGAGTGGCTTCTTTGTTCCCATTTATTCGGCGCTTGTGCGGAGGTGATAGCCATGTCTCCCAGTTCCTTCTTCCTTTGGCGAGGGGTGGCTGTTATTTATTGATCTCTTGACTGCCTGCAATCGCTGATCAACGAATACCACCCGTGTCAGTCTATCCGAGAGTCAAAGTGTGGGTGCTTTGATGCTTACTGGACATCCAGAGAATAGCTCGTCATTGTCGACACCGGCATACCACTCAGCAAAGCTGCCCGTGCTCGGGACGTTGCAGCATCGATCACACGGGCCAGTGCGACGACGAACTCAATCGGTGGGAAAGGGCAACACACCAACCGAGAAAGTGGCCAAAGCAAGGACCATCGCACAGACAGACGCAATGACCAGGGCATCATCCATGTGACGAGATTTCCACGGCTAATTTCGCGACTGCTGCTGGAATTTCAATTGCGATTGCATCGAGCCACTACACCACCGGGGCTTCGCGGAGGGGTGGTACCACATCGACAATGAGAGTGCACTGCACCAATCGACAGCAGCAACTCGGCCGGAGCAACAGCTATCCCTCCCTTGCCGGGCCGGGTCCTGCCTGCGACCCGGATCTTTTTTTTCTCTCTCTCTCGTCCTGGCTCCCTCTCTCTCTCTCCCCCGAGCGAACCAGGGTTACTCCGGACCCGTGCGAGCGGCCTTTGCGGCGGTGGCGGCGGTGGTTTCGGTGGCAGCGGCAGGGTTCACTGCCCACGGTCCTTGTTGGGGCCGAAGGGGGCGCCCGCGCCACAGCATCCACGCAGCACAAACGGCACATTATACTGCGGCCATGTCGCTTCTGTGCTGCACTTTTTTCCGTGTCGGCCGCAGTACTTTGCGTTGTGTGACGCTGTGCGCGCCGCTCCGCTCCGCCGCCTCGCCACCGTCGCGCGGCACAAGTTTTTTTTTTCTCCCTCGCTCAACAATTTTTTTTTTCTCGACCGATGGCGGATGCCGTCGAGACAGCTGTGATTTTAGATAGGAAACCTTTATTTTTTTTCTTCGCCTCCTCGGCGGACAGTGAGTCAGAGATATGGGCAGAGGCAGCCTGCGGCGGCGGAAGACAGTCGATGGGATATTCCATTTTTCCTCGCTTGGGTGTGGATATTCTGTGTGAGTGTTCTGCGTGCGGACAACAACAGGCGATATACAGTCAAAGTGACCATCCCAGCAGTCTCCGAGTGAATACATCGGCCCCGATTCCACCCCGAATAGCAGCTGGCATCGCAGCATCACAATGTCGACGATGATCAGGCACCCTCGGCGCGAGCTGTGAAGAACATGCTCGGACCGCCGGCGGAATCAGCCTGACCAGCAATCGTGCATCCAAGGTCGATCACATGAGATCTGTCCAATCGAGTGGTATGGCAGAAACAGACGCCTGGCGACGACCGCCCTTGCCGCCAAGGGAAGGCATGTGTCAACTCGCTCGAGCAAAGACAAGCCGGCCACCAACCGCAACCCGCGAGCCGCCGGATTGGGCACGCAGTCGCGGTTGCGGGCGTTGGGTGGAGGGCCAGAGAGTCAGCCGGGTTGCTGGGCATGCGCAACAAGCATGCAACTGACCAACGCAGCGAGGGGGTGTGTGTGAAGGATGGTTGACCCCCAACTAGAGGCTACACCACAGAGTGGCTCCAGAGGGAGCCACGGCGAACGACAGTTGGTCAGTCGATCGCGCTGTGCACCGTTGGTGGTGAGCCATGCCCAGAGGAAACACCAATCGGCCTGGCTGGCTTGCTCCCCGGCACTCTCTCAGCACTCTCTCCCCGGCACTTGCTTTAATATGTCCGCCGACATGCCTGGAGGGAACACGGTACTTGCCGCGAGTTCTCGTCTGTCCTGCACCAGCCAAACGTGCCCGGCTGTTGCTCGCCCGCACGCTGCCCCGAGGCCAGACAGCACACAAACTCTGCGGTCCAGACCGGCTCGGAGCCTGGTCGTGGAGTCGAGGGTGCGGTGCGACGCAATGGCACCCAGCGGCGGGCTGCTGGCTGGCGCGCTTTGGCATCTCCGACAGCCCGGGATTGGTTGGCGCGGTGCGCATGTGACCAGGGGTGTCGCCCGCGCAAGGGGGGGTCTGCCGGGTTGTCATTTTTGGAAGGCGTGTGCAGCGGCAGCGGCACTGATCTGGCGCGCCAGGGCAGTTTTGCCGGACTGCCATGGACAGGCCGCGATTGGGCTCCCTTGCCTGCCATTGGCCGCTGTCAACTCCGCATCGGCGCGGCGAACACCGTCGGTGACCCCAGGCACCCGTTTGGACCAATGGGCGCTGGGCAGTCGGCCCGATGATGACACCCAGCCCTGCTTGTCCCGGGTTTGCCCGGGCTCCGCCGTGTCCGCCCGCCGGTCTCCCCAGCCCGCCAGGCCGCCGTCTTCCCCCCCCCGACACCAGCGAGGCCGCTCGATACCACGGATGCTCGAACACTTGGCTCGCACCATTCTTCGCTCGCCAGGCACCCCCGGCTGGCAGGAGCGCCAATGTGCCACTTGCATCGCTGCGGATATTCGATCATCCCGCCGAGGCCGATCCATTTTTTCCCTCGGAGATATGATTCCCCGCAGTCCATCGACGCGCGATCCCTGATTGGGCGGCAACCTGGCTCGGGTCGGCGAAATACCGAGTCAACTTGACGCTCGTCGGCCAGCCGAGCAACGGGGCTTCTTGTTGCAGACAACCCCACGAGCTTGAGCTGCTGCATACTCTCCACGATCAAAGGAAGAGCTTGGTGCCCTAGATCGTATGGGCTGCCAGTGGCCCCACCGATGGTGACGATCATAGAGCCATCGGCATCCGCGTCGTGCCAAATCTCTTCGAGATCTGTGCCGGGGCTTGTCGCTGGACAGATGCAGGCTCTGGGCGATCCTCCACCGCGTGTACTCCACTCTATCATTGCCAGGCATCTGCCACCTGTCCAATATCCAGCAGCAGCGCCATCCTGTTTCCGCGGGGCTCTCCGCAACGCAGCTTTGGGTGCAGTGCTGCAGGCGAGAGCATCGATCTCATCGATCTACCTCGGCCTCGGCACCCCGAATGCAATGTGCTGGCACCACGGTCTGTGGCGGATGTACCGAGCCCCGCCTCGCTCCTATCGATCCAGCCGCCCTTTCGAAAGCAGCGCTGTCGTCTGCGAGCGGCTGCTTGCCCGCCACGCTGGCTGCCGTCGAGTCGGGTCACGTATTTCCCGGCCACGGTCCAACTCCCAGGCGCTGGTTGGTGCGCTCGAATGTTGCTGCCACCTCTGTTTTAGCCGAGCGACTGCATTGCTTGTCGCCGCCGACTTGGACTGTCCTGGCGCTGGGGCGGCTCTTGGCCGCCGGTGCTCAAAAGGGCGGTGTGGTCTCCCCCCCCCTCCTCGCGTTGCCCTCTCCAACTTGCATTCCCACCCCGGCGCTCTTCCTCACCTCCCGCCAGCAACATGGTGCGCCGAACCATCCCCGAGAAGCGACACATTGTCTACGAGGCATACTCCAAGCGCCTCAACGTGAAGGCCACCGCAAGGCGGCACCAGATCCAGCCACAACACATCCGGCGCTGGAAGCGCCAGCTGCAGCGGATCTACGGGCCCGAGTACGAGTCTGTGATGGCCTTGACCAGCCCCGCTTCGAACTCTGCCGATGTGGCCGATGTGCCCGCTGTGCGGCAGTTGAGTCCTCGCTTGGGCCAGCGCTTCGAACATGAGGTGGCCGTCTATGTCGCCGTTGACGAGACAGACCTGCAGACCCAGTGCCATGATGCTCCTTTGGATCAAAGCCCCAGCGTGTTCCCAGGCACTGCCGCCACCTGGGCAGAGCCCATCCAGCGTGAGTTGGTCCTTTCAAGTCGCGGCTGGCTTGTCTTTGCTCGTGCTCCTCCTTCCCTGGCCGCCCACTCTTTACATCTGCTCTACTTTCCCCCTGCTACACATGACTCCACAGCTCTCCCCTGTCCGCCCCCTGCTATGTAATGTTCCGCACCCCTACTTTCGCCTCCACAACCAACCGCCGCCCGACTGTTGCTCGTGCTTGGCCCTTAGCGGGTCTTGATCCGCCGTCATCAGCCTCCATCCTCCACCCATCCCGGCCAGCCTTCCATTCTCCATCTGCCTTGATGGCGGCATACCCCGTCGTCGCCCTGCTCTTCCCGCTTCGGCTCGGCCTGCTTGCATTCTTCCATGTGTCTCCGTGACGGATCCTCCGCCAACCGCTCGATGCTTCTCCCCACTCGCACTCGCACATCCAGGATATGCCCAACCCATGCTTGCCTCGCCAATTCCTTCGCGCGACAGCCCCGGATCCACCTTCCCGACCATCGAGGCCCCTTACTACCATTACGAAATCGAGGCCAACATCAGCCCTGGCTATCCCTCGCAGCAGCTCTGCTTCGTCGACGGCAGTCCCGCGAGTTTGCCGGCCTCGTACCAGTCCGTGAGCCCCCTTCCCACCCCTTATGTGCAGGATAGTGCTCTCTGCGACACTATCCCGGCCTTTGAGTCCCTCCAAAGCTGCCACTACGAGTCACGGCTCGTTTGCACCGAGATGCCCTGGATGCCACCTGCCACCCCAAGCCGCTCCTACGTTTGTTGCACCGAGCCTGTCGCTTCCAGACTCACAACCCCGCACTCGACCCACTGGCCCGCATACTCCCAGATCCACACCGCCGCTCGCTTCGCAAGCGCTGCCGGCACATACCCACGGTCGATGAGCAGTCTCTCTCGGCGGCTTCCCTGCCACGAGCTGCCGTCGTCTGCACATCCGCCAGCCCAGCAACTGCCTCTTACGGTCCCATGGTCCGGCTGAGCCCGAAAGCCAGTTTTGCCCAAGAATCAGTTTTGCCCCCCCCCATCCTGCCTTAATCCACCTCCCGATGCGATACCGCGACAAACAACAGTCGCTCTCATCACACTAGTTGCTGCTTCTCCTTCCTGGTTTTGAGATCCATTCACTCTCGATTCACATGGGCACTGGTTGTGCCATCTGCGTTTCCTCCTCTTCCGATGACTATCACACAGCACTGGCCGACAGCAGCCATATATGCATCTGTAATCTGTTCTTGAGCCTTTGGTCAACTTACCCCCTTCTTTGTCTGGATCTGCCTCTCTCTCTGTCCCCCCCCCACGACCGAGGGCGAGTGCAGCCCAATCCTTGCCCATTCACCACGCCATGTTTTTGTTTTGGAGCATTTGCTTTGATTATGTGGAATACATTGCCATATGCCTTGCTTTTCAACTTGTGCTGCATCCATCTATCGGCACCGGTGGCTCTGATAGGGGTACCGGGCCTGATCAGCGCGATAACGATAATCAGTGTGTTGGCATTTATGCTCTCGTGCGTTCGGCTGTGAAAGCCCGATGGCCGTGCTTGCTGTTTTGGCGATAGAGCCAAATGCAGGCTCGGCGATGCTGTCGATCTATCTCGCTCACGCTGCGAGTCTCGATGCCGACCCACCTTCGGCGGCAGTCGGCGCCAGCGGCGTCCTGCCGGCCTCTCTCGATGCTCACGGCCCGCTCGTCTCGTCGTGTCCGAGGAGGATTGCTCGGGCTCTGTCCGTCTGGCCGGGACTGAACCGCTGGCCGCCCGTCCTTTGGATGTTGAGTCCGCCCTGGGTGCCAGGCAGCCATCGACGCCGGCGTGCGGCCTCCCATCGACGAATGCCAGGTGCTGCCTTGCGTCCTGTGCGCTCTGTGTGGCTCCTGCTCCTGCGGCTGATGCAATCCCGCCGCCCCAGCCCGCCTCCTCGACCCCTCAGAGGGCCAGGAGCGGCGGGTCAAAGCGCGGGTTGGTGCCGCTGGGATCAGATAGCGTCAAGTCAGCCGCCGGCTTGGCGGTATCGAGAGTCATCAGCCAGATCAGTGCTATTGTTGAACCCGGCCCAGCACGAGCCAGCCAGCCAGCCAGCCAGCCAGCGAACCAGCCAGCGAAAGGCGGCAACGCCCCGCCTCCGCCAGTCCCTGCCGGTGCCTGGTCGGTGCCCTGCTGGGAGACCGCTGCCCGACTGAATAGGGTGCCATGGCCCGAACTGCTTGATTCGGCAGGGAGACATGTCTCTCCAGCACTGTCCAGGCCCATGTCACTCAATCATGCAATCATCTGCTGGCTAGTGCGCTCGTCCATGCTGCAATACCACTCCACTGACGACCAGACTTGTCCTGGTGGTTGCATCGCGATCCGGCTTTGTCAATAATAGTGGCATGATCTACTCGCGACACTGCCCAGCCATGTCCATCCATCCCCAGCCGTGCTCGATCGCGAAATGTCCAGACCCAGAGCCACCCACAACACCCGCATCGGCTCCACACCGACAGCCCTCACAGTCTCCCAGCGTCGTCGGCAGGTGGGTCCCTGCTGCATCCCGCGCCCTATCTGCTGGTGGTGACGGGCCGCCAGATCCCGCCGGAATTCGCACCAATCCGGCCTGTGCAGCGGCCGCCGCCTGGTGATTGTTTGGTCGAGGAAACGCCACCTGCGCTGATGCCATGTCACGCCCCTGCTTCCCACAACCTGGCGCCAATCGACAAGCCGCCGCCGGGTGGTGGTGCTCATCGGCGGCTGTCAGGCGGAGTGGGTTTGTCGGACCCCTCGAGCACTCTCTTGCCGTTCTTTCCAATGCATCTACTCTCTCGAGTGTGCGACATTGCTCCTCGAGCCTCGAGACAATGGCGACCCCATTTTGCATTCTGCGGTGCGGGGAGCGGCCTGGCGGGGGGGGGCTGGCTGCGTGCGTTGCCTTTTTGGAAGTTGCAGGTCACTCCGCTGGCCCGAATCGCCTCGTTTTTGGACTGTCTTTTGTGCTGGCGGGATGGAGACAGCGGTCATTCCCCCTGCGAGCTCGGCGTCCCAACACCAACACACATCGCCACTTGGTTTGTCGAGCAAGCCCGCTGTAATCCCTCAGTCCGTCCGCCCGTGCGTGCGGAGACTATCCACCCACCCTGCCTGCAGCGCTCCGATCGACTCCCAGCTTGGCCTGGCTGCCCCAACCGCCGACCAGACGTCCGTAACGTCAAGCAGCTCCATCCTCGGGCACGCGAGCGAGTCGAGGTACAGGTGCAGGACAGGAAGCAGCTGTTTGGATAGCCCGAGTATTCGCTGGCCGAACGGTCTGGAGCGGTGTGTTGCCAGGTGTCCAGCCATAAGCAGCAAAGGGGCAAAGACCAGGAAGTGGTCCCTTTCAGCCAGGGCATCGTCCCGCGTCATCCTGGACCCAGGGCTGGGCGATACCCAGGCCCAACCAACGTAGCCTCAGGCTGCAGCTTACGCTGGATTCTGTTTGCTCGCCACTGCTGGCAGGATCAGCAGTGGAGTACCGCTTCTGGTCCATGTCGTGCCTATGGCACCTCCCCCTCGCTTGCTGAAGGCGGTTACGCGCGTTTTCAACGGGGTTGTCGCGCACGGGATGGGTGCTGGTCCGAATCCGTGTTCCTGCGATGACCCAAGCGCCGCCTCACGAAAAACGCACATATAGCCCCTCCCCGCCGCCCCTCTCCCGGCAATCGCCCGCTCGAGCCTTCCACAGGAGCCTTCCGCTTATTTTCCGCTTGTATTCGTTTATCCATCGCTCCAGGTGTGCGGATTCACTTGATCTGTCCTTGTCGTCCACCATGCCCAGAAAAACAATCATCGAGAAGCGCGATATTGTCCGGGAGGCCTATTCCTGCAAGAACAACGTCAAGGCCACCGCTCGCAAGTACACGGTGCAGCCACAGCATATCCGGCGCTGGCTCCGGCAGCTCGAGAGGATGAACATCATCGTCTTTGACGACGATCGGGCTCCGATCTACAGGCCCTCCAGGACAAGCAAGCTGATGGAAAACCCAAAGCCTCTGCAGCCCATTACCCCCAAGGAACAACCAACCCTGATCCATCCTGGGCCAAGTCAGAGTATGTACTTTCGTTCTTTTCTTCTCCCTCTCGTCTCATTCTCTTCCCTTATCCGCTCTATGAGCCAGGTACTCAGGTTTGGCCCACAGCCCGATCTGTATCTGCAGCCATAGTCTCTGTCCCTTCCCTACCTCCTGAATGATCCAGCGCTTGAGTCGGGTTGCAGTTGACCAGCGGGACAACAGCTGGACTGCATGTATTTATGCTGACAGCCAAGTCCGGGTTCTGCAGCGATGATGCCCGACTCGGTCTTGGGTTTCAGTTCGGCCTTGGGGTCTCTTTCCAGGCTTGGCTGGCATCACTCTGATTTGTGCAGCGGGTCCCTTGGGTTGGGGTCCGTTGGCTCGATCGGCGGTGCCATATGTCGATACCGGCTGCTGAGTGCGCTAGTCCCAATACTAACCGCTTCGGTATTATCGCTGTTTTTTGGCACCGCGACTCTTGTTACAGACCACCCGATCGCGCCAAGCGAACTCCCGCCCTCGCCGGACTTTATGATCCCAATGCCACAGATTCCCTCGCAGCCATCCTCGGGGTGGTATTGGTGTGATCCGGACTCGCCTTTGAGCTCTACGAGCTCGTCCATGGGTGTCTCACCACCCATTAGTCTTGCCGGAGGCAACTCTGCCCTTGCCCAGTTTGCTCCTGCAGTATCCTCGTCCAAGGAGCCGCTTCTGGAGGATTTGTTCAGCTCGGCAGCGCCGCTGTTCGATCCCTCAGTCCACCTCATCCCTCCGGTCCCGGTGTGGTCGACGGCGAGCTTTGTGCCTCCGTTGCTGCAGCTGGCTGCTCAACCTGCCGGCCCCAGCATCTGTCGCTGCCGCTCGCCAGCCCCAGGCCCATTCCATCCGCCAACCTACCATGCCAAGTACGAGCTTGTGCTTGATCCTGTTCATCCACAAGCAAGCCCGCTTCCGAGATCGGCAGGGATATATGATGCCAACTACCCCAACCCGATCTACTATTTCAGTTGATCCGACCGGGTCGTGCTTGGCTTGCAGGCTCCATTTGATCTTCCTGCCCATTTTTGGACACGCCCGCTTGACCTCAAAGATCGATTGCATGTTCCTCAATACCGCTCTGTCACCGACCCTGGCAGCTCTATATTCGCTTCTTTTTGTTGTTATTGTTCTTGTTCTTATTGTTGTTGTTTCTCCTTTCCTTCTCTCCGCCATCAACTTGTGCTTCAGGCTCGCGTAGCCATGGGTTGTGAATCAGTTTCCTTCCCGGACCCTTCGTCTATTCGAGACGAGGCTCGGCTTGCCGCACCGTCTTTCCTTCTTTGCCTTCATTCGTGACTCACCTCTCCCCTGTGCGGTGGCCCTTCGTGTGCTCTTCTCCAACCACTCGACCGTCGTTTCGCGCGCGGGCTGCGTCCGATTCGCTGTCGCCTCGGCGTATCGGCGGGCCGTTGGACCAGTCTGGCCAAGCAAGGTAGTGGCTGTGGATCCGGGATGGAAGCCGCCGGAATATACTTGCTCATGATCCACCCCATGACCGACCATGACTGGGCCGACGCCGTGCACCGGGATAGTCGAGTGGTCTCCGACCCGAAACAGCGGCCATCCCTTGTCCCAGCCGTCGACTCTTCTGGAAGGTCCGGTGGTCCCCTTCCTTGCCGCCTGTGCTTCAGAGCACTCATTCGGCACACTCAAACCCGCTTGGCACCAGCCGGACCCGCCGCATGCATGCATGGTGACTCAGGCCGGGACATTTGCCTGGCGGCTGGTGAGTCATTGTTGCCCGGATCCAGGACTGGGGCCGGACCAGCGGCGAGGTCCGCAGCCCAGATTTGGAACTCGAGCTGGATCCTGGGACAAGCACACCCTCATCTCGGATAGGGGGACACGGAGAACGAAATCTATGTATTGGGGAGTGGCGCTCTGAGGGTCCGTGCCGGCGATGCAGACCAAACGGACAAGGCCACGATGTCGGCCGCTCAGAGCGGATACGGCAGGCTGTCCTGTCGCCCTCGCGATGAAGGCGTTGATGACGATCCGGATGCTGTCGGTAGAGCATCGCGCTGCTCGTCCGGAGTGACAGGCCCGCGGAAGGGAAGGACATTGGCGAATGGGAGATAGCCCGAGTGTCCGGTGATTTGATTCAGACCCTGTTTCAAGGATAGGAGAAGACATGCAGTAGGCGCCAACGACAGAGCAGCAGGTCAGTGGAGATGGCGGTCGAAGCGGGAGACGCTCCGCCAAACCGGATGAAGACCCGCAGTCGAGCGGCCATTGAGCACATCGAGCACATCGAGCACATCGAGCACATCGAGCACATCGAGCACATTGAGCACATCAAAGACAGCAACAATAGCTCCGCAATCAGGCTGAAGCCTACCATTGCCCAGCCGTCGGTAAAGATCGAGTCGATTCGTATTTTGTTTCCAATGGCAAGCTGGAGCTCGTCGTTGATGCGGGGCTCGTACGGCTCGATCACGACATACCATCCTGGGCGGGGCAGGTCGCCGGTGGTTGGTGATGGCAGGCTCGGCACCTGTCCCATCAGCGATGTCGATCCGGCCGTGACGCCGCCTGAATCGTCCGAGACTGTAGGCCCACGACGGGCAGCCGAGAGCCGGTCAAAGACCGAGCTACTGGTCGTTGCCGTTCGCTGTTGCTGTTCATACAGTGGAGCCACCACGGTCGAGTCGGTGGGTCCTGTATCGACGGTCAAAGGAGCGGCGGGCACGTTGGACGACGGCGAGCCAGACTTTTGTTGCTGTTGCTGTTTGGAGCGCTTGCTGACAATAACGAAGGCAATCAAGATGCCGATCAATCCTGCGTGAGCGCCAGTCGACAAGATGTGCCGAATCACACGAGACATAACGCCGACCAATAAGCCCGTTAGTGGCGATATCGGAGCCTTGAGTATTGAAACATGTCGGTGGTGCTTCCCGGTGTTCACGGCCCGCCTCGGTAATACACCATGGCAATACACCATGGCAATACACTGCAGCCATTCACTCCGGTAGTGGTTTCGGTACGACAGCCGATGTGCAGCAGAGCATCCAGCGAGACTTTGACGAGCGGCCGCTTACCAGAAATCACGATCGCTCCAGCGACAACTGCAATGATCATCACATTCGCACCGCTGCTTGCGTCTGATGCTGCCGGTGTGCCGGTCGCTGTCACCGAGGAACTGCGGGCGCTGGTGCCATTCGGGAACGTGGTCGAGAGGGCACCTTGGATCTGCACTTGCGATCCGCTGGCGGTAAAAAGCATGGCCCTGGTGTTGTATGCGAAGCCCTGGACTGTGGTGTCGGTGTGGAAGTTGCAGGTCGAGTCAACGGTCTGGTCCGAGGAGCTCTGCGGGTTGGAGTTGTCAAAGTGGCAGAGGTTGCAGGCATTGTCGGGACAGGCATAGTTGCGCACGATGGGGCTGCCGTTGGAGCTGGTGCCGATGATGGCCGAGTAGGCATAGAGGCCGTCCATGAGCTTGGTGCAAGAGGGAAATATGGGCGTGCTGTAGTATTCGTAGGGGGCGCTGGAGCAGGACGTATCGGCGGGATGATACTGCAGCTGCCGAATGAAGAGGCTGGCCATCAGGGTCACATCGGTGCTAGCGTTCCTGCGGGGTGCGGCAGAGGACGAAGCAGTCGGCATCAGAGGCTGCGGTCAGTTCCATCCATCTAGCACACATCGATAGTTCTGGTCGTCCGAGGTCTCCAGTCAGCCGCCGCTACTCTCTAGGCGCAATGGCAAGCACGGCCGGCATGGGAAGGCAAGGCCAACAAGTCGTCTCGCACGTACTGGTTGAGGGTCGGGACGATGTAGTACTGGCTGTCGCATCGGTTTTGCGAGGGCGGGAAGGGCCAGTTCAGGGTCAAGGCGGTGCACTGCTTCACCGAGCAGGTCGAATCGCTTCCGCATGAGATCTGTTGCAGGAAGATGGGTTGGCTGGCTGTCGTTGTGCTCGAGACATTGAAGCGCAGGAGGCCATATGCCGCAGACCAGCTCGAGTCTGGGTTCTGCACGGCCAGCGGCTTGCAGACGTTCAGGCTGTAGACGTTGTTGTGCAGCGAGGCCACCAGGTTGGGCTGCGAGTAGAGATATGGCTGGTTCAGGGTCAGGTTGCAGAGGTCGGGTGGCGGAAGGGTGACCGAGGTCGCTGATTTTGCAATCAGCAACAGGGCCTGAGGATCGGACATGTCGGGCAGCAGACGAGGCTCCGGAGTTGGTTTCAGATGCAGCGACGAGCCGAGAGACAGCAGCTGCGGGCTCGGAGACGACGGAGGCAGAGGACGATGTCGACGGACGAAGAGGACGATGTCGACGGACGATGAGGACGATGGTGGTCGGAGAGAGAAGCGAGGCAGGACGATGTTTGGCAGCACGGCCTTTGTTGCGAATGCACCGACACCCGCATCCCCACCACCGGGACACAGGCCTCGAGCAACTGAACGACGGATCGAGCAATTGAATGACGGATCGAGCAACTGAACGATGGATCGAGCAACTGAATGATGGATTGAGCAACTGGATCAAGTAGATCGAGCGACAACCATGGGATGGATCGGGCGGCAGATGCAGCAGATATCGATATGGCAGGCGCCGTGTTGTTGCTCGCCCCCGCAAACGCCGACTCTGATCGCCAGCACTTTCGCTTGATCTCGATTGCGCCGCCCGCCCGCATCTGCAACGTCTTCACGAAGCCATGAGCACCGCCAGCGAGCCCAGACAGCTATCTGTCTCCAAGTGCTATGGAGGCAGCCTCTACAAGTAAGCCGGGATGGGCAGCTACGTTCTCCAGCTACATCCTCAAGTTGCAGCTGCACACTTGCTCGCCAAAGGGCATCGTCAGTCATGCCGGAATCTGCGCCAGCCCGCTGATCGCTAGCTCCTGCAACCCGGTGCCCAGATTCGCCCACCAGTCGACCAGTCTCGGCTGCGAGATGAAGTTCTCGGCCTTTGTTCCGGCGGGGCAAGCCGCTGCATATCCAGCCCTGTTCTTTCTCAGTGGTCTGACCTGCAACGAGGTGGGATGCGCTCCAGGCCATTCTCTGGGGTGCCAGCCGAGCCGTGCCGATCGGTCTGCTCCAGATGCTCCGCTTGGGAACATGGGTGCCGGTCCATCGTTGGTCAATAAGCAGCGGTCGGATCGGATTGATCTTGAGCGACCAACGCAGCGCTTCGACGGCCACAACGAAACTGACACCACCGATGCAACCTCCAGGACAACTTTATCACCAAGGCCGGGGCCATTAGGAAGGCCAGCGAACTCGGCTTGATCCTTGTCTGTCCCGACACAAGCCCTCGGTATGGGTGTCGCATGGCTACGATGTGGCTTTGGCTGGTGGATGATGTATCGGCGTGGCATACTGGCCAGTATGTTGAGGGGATGCCCCTCTTTGGATATGCTCAGCGGAATAGATCCGGGAGCACCTGCGATCGACATTGGTTTGTGCCATCGGTGCGATCGTTACTAATTGATACTCGACACCAGTGGTCTCAACATCGAAGGCGAGGAAGACGGCTGGGACTTTGGTACCGGTGCCGGCTTCTATGTGGTATGCTCGGCCATCCTGATGCGATCTGCTGTTCCCATGGATAGTCGCTCATCCAATTCTGACCCTTCCGCCCATCCGATTCCGACTTTCCACTCACCTCCCTCCGGGCAGAACGCAACCGAAGCCAAATGGAAGAACTACCAAATGGACAGCTATGTCAACAGGGAACTATTTGAGGTTCTGCCTAAAGTCCTCCCCATCGATCTTGCTCGAGTGTCGATATTTGGACACAGCATGGTATGTGGGCCTTGCCTGGCAGACCTCGCTTGCGGAGAGACTCTGTTGTTTTGCGCTCGCTGTTTGGCCAGAATGCGGCACCCGACAAGTTGTTGAGGTGACGCTCGGGCTTTGCTGGACATGTTGTTCTGCCAAATGTACATGACCCGGCGCACCGACGAGTCAGTAGATTCGACGCTGCATTTTGGATATACGACTGAGCTGCCGTTCCCCTCCCCGTTCCAGGGCGGCCATGGGGCCCTTGTTTCGTTCTTGAGGAACTTGGGCAAATACCGCTCTGTTTCTGCATTTTCCCCAATCTGTAAGTCTCGATCGCCTGTCTCCAACAGCAACTTGACTCCAAGGACCTGATCGATTCAAACAGTAGATCGATGGGTTAGGAGCTATGGAGGAGAGAGGCTCGCAACTTGCCGCGGGGATATGCACATGCAAGGGAGCAATGTGAAATTCGGCGCTGCATGGCCCGCTGACCCGGCTCTGTTTTGCCATCGACAGGCAATCCGGTCGAGTGCCCTTGGGGCGTCAAGGCCTTTACAGGCTATCTTGGTTCCTCGGTCGAATCCTGGAAGCAGTACGATGCCACCGAGCTCGTCAAGACCTACAGAGGCCCCAAGATTGAAATTCTCGTGGACCAGGGATCGGCCGACTCGTTCCTGGACAACCAACTCCGTCCGGAGAGCTTGCTCAAGGCCGCGAGCGAGAACCCGAGTCATGTCCAGGTCAACTACCGACTACAGCCGGGTTACGATCATAGTTATTGGTTTATCCAGACCTTTGGTGAGTGGAGAGTGGATTCCGAAGCGACTGGCTGGGCTGGTAGGATGACTGGTGGAATGGTTGGTGGGAGGAGCGGACGGCGATCTAGTCCTGGAGTCAGTCATGCTTTGTGCCGTGTGGGAGCAGCATGTCCATGAGTGGGTGCAGCATGTCCATGAACCATATGGGGCACTGCTTGCTAATGGCTGTTGCTTCGGTCTTGCTTGCTTTCCATAATGCCTGGGACTCACGATGACGATCCAGTCGATGATCACCTCGAGTTCCATGCCAAGGCGCTATTCGTCAACCAGTGATGCGCACAGCATTCCGCCCGTAGCAGAATGCATTTGCACAGGAAGGGCAACAATGGCTTGATCGAAGCCGCAAATGCAGATATTGCGAATAAACCGATTGTCCCGCGTGTTGGATTGCTGTAGACCGTTGACCCCGGGTGGCGCAGTCACAACGGGTCATTCGCCGTGAGTTGGCCGTATATCGCTGCATTGCTCTCTCCTGTGTTGGTTACGTACAAAACATACCACAACGGTGGCCCGCGGAGCACCGCGGGGACCTTGAGACATGAGAGACAACTGATGAATGCATATTGTTTTCAATTCTATACCTGTCCCTGGCTCTGGCACAGAAAGCGCAAACGTTCACAGAGTGAGAAGATACGAGGGATCATTCCTTTTATATAGGTTGCGAATCTCCCCCTTTGACGATAATTCAGATGGTGTGTTATAGCCCCGTTTCGTAATAAAAGGAAGGAATATCAAACTCGGAGAAAAGATATAAGGCAAAGGAGCAGCTGGAATTTCATAGTTGGACACAAGGATACGATAGATAATAGCAGAACTAATCGGCGGAGGATACATAGACGGGAGACGGAGGGTACGGATGTATATGGGTTGAGAGGGGGAGGGGAGATTGACTGGGGCCATAGAAGTCAAGGTCTGGCAAGTTTGGGACTGGGAGAGGAGCGACTACTTCCAAAAGTCACATCTCTAAGATCACTCCCATCTCTAGTTCGAAGTCGGGGTGGTGGTGACGTTGTTGACCAGGTTGGCGATCCAAGTGTTGATGGAGGGATCGATGACCTCGTTGCCGACCAGGACCCACTCGGCAACAGACGGGACACCGTTGTCGAGCACAAAGATCATGTACCAGCCAGGAGGAAGGACGAACGAATTGGGAGGGGTGGTGATCGTCACAACGCCGTTGGCATAAGTGGCCGTGAGATAGACATAGCGTTGACCCATGTGGTTCGAGTGGGTGCTGAACTGATCCTGAACGAGGGAAGCCTTGAAGGTGCCAGTGTTACCGGAGGGAAGGGTGGCGTTGAAAGAGTACTGGGTGTTGTACTTCCAGATGCGGAAGTCGCTGGTGAAGGGCGAGATGACGGGACGGGGAGCCTTGTTGATGTAAGCCGGGGTGTAGATCTCGATAGTCTTCTCGTTCGGGTAGGTGACATAGGGCAGAACGGCGTTCGAGTTCAGGTTCGGGGTCGAGCCAGCAATCAGGACACGGGCGTCGGGAAGGAGGAGGGCCAGAGAATGGTAGAGACGGCAGATCGAAGTGGTGCCGCCAACGGTGATGCGCTGACCGAAAGCCTTGGTGGGATCGTAGTGGAGGGCCGTGGAAGCGCAGACCTGGGTCAAGTTGAAGCCAGACGATCCCTGCTGGGCACCGTTGATCTGGGGAATGAGAAGCGAGTGAGTGAGTGAGTGAGTGAGTGAGTGAGTGAGTGAGTGAGTGAGTGAGTGAGTGAGTGAGTGAGTGAGTGAGTGAGTGAGTGAGTGAGTGAGTGAGGGCAGGTGTCATCGGTGAGCAATCACTGTCTGCTCCTGAGTACCGATGTCAGTCGCAACTCACCATCAAATAGGTGCCATCGGCGAGGATAACGAGATCACCAAGCACACGAGGAATGGGCATCGTCTCGAGAGGCGACCAAGTCTGCGAGTTGTAGTCGAGGGTGCTGCACGAACTGAGAGCAGGCGAGGTCTTGGGGAAGTCCGAGCCACCACCGCAGACGAGCACCTTGGCGGCGTAGTTGTTGGCGGGATCGAGAGGGAGCAGGGCGTTCATTCCAGTCATGGGGTAGGTGCGGGCGCCGTGGGGTGAGGGCTCAACAGGGCTGTTGGGCAGGGCCGAGAGGAAGTTGAGGTCCTGGTCGTAGAGCTGGTGGGTGTTCTTGACGTGAACCAGAACCTTGCCGTCAGGCATGACGATGGCGATCGGGTAGAGGTTTCCGGCGTTGGTCTGCATATCGTGGGCGATGTGAAAAACAAAAGACGTCGACTGATTAGACTGAAGTCGCTCTTGCGCAACCTCTCCCCCCCCCTTCTGTCTCCAGGAACAGCACTCACGTCGACGAGAAGCTTCATGGTGCGCAGACCGTTGTGCTGGCCGTTGGGAGGCAGGAACTCGTAGGTCGGCTGGTTGACACCGCCGGCGACGGTCTGGGCAGTCAGACCTCCAATGACGGCAATCTGGCCGTTCGAGAGGGTCACAGCGCTGGGGTACCAACGGGGAACCTGGAGCTTGGCAATCTGGTTGTTTTCAATCCAGTCGCAGGTGCCAGAGACACCGTTGGAGCCGCAAGGGTTGAAAGCACGGATGCCGTAGAGGGCATTGTCGGACCAGCCACCAGTGTTGATCAGGGTGGCCGAAGGCACAGGGAGAATGGCGCCGGCGGAGCAGAAGATGTCACTGAGGATGTGGAGAGGGCGCTCGGTAGCGGTGGTGACGTCGATCTCGTCTGGAAGCATGGAAGGAGTAAGAGAGAGTGAGTGAGCGATTCGGGCGGGCTGCGATGGGGGTGCGATACATCAAGGACATCATGCGACCAATGCTTGCGTTTGACGTGCGGACAACTCTCTGTGTGCGGCAGCAAAGAACCCCGAGCGGCAACTCACAGGAGTGGGTGGTGTTCAAGACACCGCCGTAGATGCGCTCAAGGAGGATGACCTTGCCGGAAACGGGAGCAACGAACATATGGACAGGGGCCGTAAGACCGATGAAGAGAATCGAATAGTCGCCGGTGTTGGGATCCTGAGGAGGAGGGGTCGGGATCGAAGGGGGAAGTGGAGCCGGGAGACCAGACTGCTTGGTGTAGCAGCTGTGAGCGATGGTGGTTGATCGAGGAGCGTATGCGGCGGAGCATGGGAAGGATAATCGGGAGACGGTGAGTCGAGCGATAGCGGCGAGGCGAGACTTTGTAACGACGCGCGATAATGGCACGATTCACAGTTTGCCGCCAACGGGGAGTAGTTTCGGGCGACGTGTGCCATGCGGCGGCAACTTACTTGGGACCATCGCCAAGCACGCTGGCATCCCAGCAGCAGCCCATGCTGATACAACCGAGCGGGGTGGTCGTGGGGTTGCCACACTCCAGGCGATACCATTTGGCAACAGGAACTAGGCCAGACCAACCCGAGTGCTTTGTGAGTATGTATATATCACGTGCGAACCAATGGGCCGAGAGGTCCTCGCAGCTGCGGAATGCACATCGGTAAACTCACCGGCCGGACAGCCAATGCTGGTGGAGTTGAGGTTCAGGTAGCACGAGGGTCCAGGAGGATCGGTGGGAGCAGGAGGGCTCCAGCAGCAGCCGCTGTTGCCGCAGCTTGCCTGAGTGGTGTCTGTCATGGCCGCGGCGTTAGATCGAGGCCCAGGTCCCAAAACCATGCAGCGTCAAGCATCTGGAAATGTAGTAACCCTTGTGGGCTAACTGGACGGTCGCAGGATACTCACTGGAGGTGCCACAGTCGATTCTCAGGTTCGAAGCCACAGGCACAGCGGGACAGTAGTTCGGAGCGGTGTAGCAGCTGGAAATGCAATCGAGACAGTGCCTCAGTTAGGACCGATTGCGGATGACAAAGCCACCATCCGTGGGAGCGATCGAAATGACGTCCGTGATTACATGCCTGGGGGCGGTGCTTCCGGTAGGCACAAGGTCCCAGCAGCATCCGTTGGAGGCGCAAGTGTCGGCATCGGAGACTAAATTCGGATAAAAACAGTGAGCCAGAGGAATCAGAACAAGCCAGGGCGGGTCAGGATATCGATGACAGATGACCACTACAAAGGCTGCCGAGGGGTGGTACTTACTGGCCTCTCCACAGGTGACTCTGAGGGTCGTGTCTGAGGAAAGTAGCAACCGCATTAGCTGGCAGCCGATCAGGCATGTGCAAAGTAGCATGGACACTGATCCAACAACATACTCAGGGGAGTGCTGGGGCAAGTGGCAGGGCGAGGGACAGCTGAAGTATAACAGCTGGAAACGAAAGCAAGGTTATGGGTCAGAACCAGACATAGCCCTCATCTCACGAGAGAACGTTACCCAACTCAAGCCATGATCGAAAGCGAATGGACTGGCTTACTAGGGACCGGGGGTGCCGGAAGGGAGAGGATCCCAGCAGCAGCCAGCGGCAGCGCACGAAGTGGCAGTCGTGGCTAGAAACCAAAGTCGAAGAGTCAAAACGGGAGATGTGAGATATGAGATGTGCGATGGGAGACGTAAGACTCTGATCAGATGCGGCATCTGGATGTATCCAAAACGTGAGGCCAATGGTTGAGCTACTTACACGCATTACCACAGTCCTGGCGAAGACTGGCAGCTGGAACGAGGCAAACATGTTGAATGCATTTAGTAATTGCACGAGACTGAATCAAGACAGTGCATAGAACTCGGGCTGTGCGATCAGCCCTGCGATTCTAATGCGAAAGGAGAAGGGAGATCGAGGCTTACGACGGGGACTCGTAGGGCACGAAGGCGGGCGCGGGACGATGTTCGAGTTGTAGCAGCTGCGTGTGTGAAGGGATTGAGGGGGTTAGGCGTGAGTCGACATTTGGCACTCGTCGTCGGCATCATTGCGACCGATCTCGCTGGTACCGATACGTACTATGGGCCAGTGGTGCCGGCAGGGAGAGGGTCCCAACAGCATCCGCTGCTGTAGCAGCTGTCCTGGGTGGTGGCTAGATGCAGTGGAGGATTGTCGTGAGCAACAGGCTGGGCATGATGTAAAATGATGGCACAGAATGGCGATGTAGAAGGAGGATGGCGCCGAGTTGCTACTCACTGGCATTTCCACAATCAACACGGGAGGTGGCGGCTGATCGAGGAGACGAAAGAAAGGGTCAGAAACAGCGGTGAGTTGGTCAGGTAGAAACAACATTGTCCCCGGATGAACTACAGGAGCGAGAGGAGTGCACTTGATGTAGTTTGCGACACAGTGCAGCGGTCGTGATCGATACATACGGGCTGGGGTGGCGGGGCAGGTGGCGGGTCTGGGGATGGTGAGCTTGGGAGTGTTGTAGCACCTGATGGACGAAAGAGACGGAGCGATCAATGCCATGCGCCCTCGTGCAGAGATCAAGCGATAGCATCGATGCCTTTGCCCATGCCACAGAAGCCTGATGCAGTAACGAGTGTCGAGTTGCCCAGTTCAATCTGCCGCTAAGCGAGGGCGTTTGGTACACGTACCAAGGACCGGCCACACCAGAAGCCAGGGGGTTCCAGCAGCAGCCCTTGCTGATGCACTGTCCCTGGTTGGTACCTAGTGAGACAAGCGATCAAACAGAAGACAAGGGAGTATGATGAGAACAGGAGGGAGGGGTGTTGTGACAGATGCACACCAATGGAAGCAGCACAGGGGACAATACGCACCAGAGACACCGCAGTCCACGCGAAGGGAGGGATCAAGACCACCGGCAGGGCAGGCAGCAGGATTGGTCAACTGGGTCGTGGAGTAGAAGCAGCTGTGGAATGGCGGTTGGGAAGGCAAGGTGGAGGGTGCCAGTTAGAACAAGATGAGAGGAGCGAGCAAGCGACACAAGACAGGTGGGATCCAGCGCCATATCCAATCAGCATCAGCATCAGCATCAGCATCAGCATCAGCATCAGCATCAGCATCAGCATCAGCATCAGCATCAGCATCAGCATCAGCATCAGCATCAGCAGGATACTTACAAAGGTCCATTTTGGCCAGCAGGGAGGGGAGACCAGCAGCAGCCCGAGGCAGTGCACGAGGTCTGGGTGGTATTGGCGTCTGAGACAGCAGTTTGATTGGGTTAGAGAGGTATGGTTTGGGATTGCGCGGTGTTCATGCGGTGCGAACACTTACTGCCACAGTCGATGCGGTTTCCGCCTGGTGGAGGAGCGCCCAGCAACCCGGGAAGAATCGACCGAGACAGGAGTTGACATGTGGGTCATAGGATCGACGTTTGATCGGGTTGACGAAGACGGTGTGGGGAAAGGGCAAACGGGGACCGGCGCGAAGATCAGTACGGACCAGTACGAATCAGTGGCAAGGGCGGGCAGTGGCCAACGGCAGAGTGCATCAACTGGATACGACGGTTACTGGTCGGGCACTGGGCTGTTTGTGCCGAGGCCAGCGAAAGCAGGCCCAGGGCTCCAAGGAGGACAGCGGTCTTCATTTTTGCCGTTGCGAAAAGGAGTGGCGGGATAGAGTTTGGAGGCAGGGCCGGGCGTTTTATCCTGCTCAGGCAGCCTCGGCCACCTCATGTGCCGAGAAGGAACATGGTGGCGACGAATGGCCGTGGGCGGACGGGCTGTGTGCCGCCACCCATCGAGCACAACGAGCCGGAGGAGTTTGGTGTGGCCTTAGGCCGATGAACAAACTCGGGGAATCTGGCAAGGCCCATCAATCGCAGGGAGGCTGCTGGTGCGAGTGGTCGCGGGCCGGCTGGGTCAGGGCGAGCACCAGGAGGCGGCATTCTGTGCGCGCAAGCCAGGCAAGGCAGGCGAGCAACAAGGGAGCAAGGGACACCGCGGCCCCACGGACAAGTCCCACCAGCCCAGGCCGCTCGGGCAGCTGGGCAGCCTGGCACCGCAGAGACTGGCGGGTGGAACGGCCCAGTCCGGCAGCACAAGACCAGCGCTGATCCTGTGCGTGTTGGCAGTGCGGGAGGGAAAGGGCGAATGCAGCGGCGCGAGAAAGCGGGGGTGAGCTCCATCTGCCAGGCAAGTCGATTCGGTCGAGATGGGTGCCATGGTCATGAAGGGCAAGACGGTCGAGATGGGCAAGCCATGTAACTCGGGCGGCATCGGTGGGCCCATTCCGAGCAGCGGCGTCGAGATCATCCACCACTTCGGCGGTCGCCTTCGACTGGCCCCGTACAGGCAAGTAACGGACCAAGGCAGGCAAGCGGGCTGGTCCAAAGGAACACCGGCGCAAGGGGGCCGCGGGAGCCACAGGCCAGGCAAAAATGCCGCACGAGCGTCGCGGCGGTGGGGGATAGATCGGGTGGATCTGCGGTGGTGATGGATGAATGGGATGGAGCAAGTGGATGAGGAATGAGATGGAGTAAGTGGATGATGAACTATAGAGTAGGTAATGAACTGGATAAAGTAGGTAATGAACTGGATGGTAAAGTAACCGGACTGGATCGTCGCAAAGTCATCATCCAACGCCGACTCTGTGGCGGCTCAGAGCAGTGTCCTGCGAGGGATACGCCTTGTCAAGGCTCTGCACTCGCAATCAGCGCCGTGTGACCCGCATGGTCCTGCCCGAGCAGAGGCGCCACGGCCGTCCATCCAACGCCGTTCCGGTCTGCGATCCGGGCTGGTCCTGCAATCCGGGCTATTCCCGCGATCGGGGCTATCCCTGCAACTCAGTCGACGGCCAGACCCGCTTAATCGCCAGACCCGCTCAGTCGCCAGACCTGTTCGATCACCAGCCTTCGTGCAATCCACCCCCAGCGACCGCCTCCTTCCCCCCACGTCGGCTGGCTTCGTCGTCTGGAGAAGAAAGGGGCGGCGTTTGTCCATGGAATGCAGAAGCACCCCCCACCACGGTCGGCTCCACGGCAAATGCGAAAAAAGAGGCGTCCGGCTTGGGCTTCGATGCCTCCGCCACAGAGCTGGAGGAAAGGCGATCGCCCAGGGCGGGTTGCCCTGTCTTGCCCGAGACTGGGCGGAGACGAACATGCATTGCGGAACAAGCAGCGCAAGCGATGTCGCAACTGAACTGCTCCAGCTCCAGCTCCAGCTCCAGCTCCAGCTCCAGCTCCAGCTCCAGCGAAGAGGCCGCGGTGGTTGTGTGGTCGGGACTTGAGCGCTGCCGACCTCACGTCCATCTGGTGCTCATCTGGTGCTGCGGGACTGCAGCAACCATTCCACAGATCCGCCGGTGACTGAGGAGAGGAGCATGCAATGTCATTCTGCGTGTCGATGGAGCGCCGGTTGCTTGGCATGGCAGACCCTGGGTCAAAGCACGGACATCTTGGCGTCTGCCCTTTGGCATTCCTTCGCCTCCATCTCCTCCACCACCGCCCTCTCGCTCCCCCCCCCTACGAGCTATAATGGCCTCGAGCCACAAGATCAAGGAGGGCATGGACCTTATGGCTGTCGGCCAGAAGGCGTACGATGAGTTCCCCATTCCCGCACCGCATCCACCTGGATCCGAGTCGCTTCCGCAGCTCGCCTGCACCCCGATCCTGACACTCTCATGTCGTCTTCAGCGAGAACTCCAAGTCATTCTTTGGAAAGCGAACCCCGGACTGGGACACCGCTGCGAATAGCTACGAGCGAGCAGGTGAATGTGGCTTCGCTTAACGGCATCTTGCTGCCAGCATCGGCGCATTTGACACCGGCCTGAGCTTCTCCCCGAGTATCAGGCTCATTGCTCTGTCCGTGACCCCTGGAATCTGGGCGGCTGCTGGATTGCTCACTCCTTCCTTCTTCCACTCTCTGCTCCAGCGACCTGCTTCAAGATTGCCAAGGCAAACGAGCAGGCCATCGATGCATTCCAGAAAGCCGGTGACGCCTATCGCCATCTGGACTCGTGCGTATTGACCGTTGATTGCGATGAACGGCGAGGGCGTTGCCGATACCATGGGGGGGGGACGACTTCTACATGGGTCTTCCTGTCTCATCTGGAAGAATCGGATCGACTCCTCGCCTTGCTCACCCAGCCCCCCTGTTCTCGCATCGGATGATCTCGACCGTGCGCGTTCTCGATCGATCGATCAGCCAATTTCTATACTCGCAGACATCCAATTAACGCATCTGCTTCGCGGCCTCTGCCCTGCGGCCCTTCCCTTTGGCAACCAGATTCGCACTCGCCGCAAAGCAGTATGAGGGTGCCGCCACGATTGCGGTTCAGAACACTCGCCAGTATGCGCTGGCTGCCCAGCTCTATCGCCAGACGGCCGACTTTCTCTCGGCCAACAACTCGCCCGACCGTGCGGCTGAATCGCTGGAAAAGGCTGCCAAGTGGGTTTCTCGGCTGCTCCAATCCTCATCGAGCAGGGGTGCTATCGGACGGGAGGTAGCGGAGAGTCGGCATTCCCTTTGTCGGTCCTGCGATATTGACCCTCGATCTCTGCAACTGCAACTGCTGTCCCCCTTGGGCGTCCAGGGCACTCGAATCTCTGGATCCCAACCAATGCATCGAGCTCTACTTTGAGTCGTGCGCCGTCTACGAAAACGAAGATCGCATTCGCACGGGCGCCGAGACCTTCCGCCGGGCCATCGCAACATGCATCCGGCTACAGAGGTCGGGATTGCAATGTTCTGCTGCTGCATTGTGCTCGATGTGCGGGCACCATCAACTCGATGCCTCGCAGCAAGCGTCGTACCTACAATTCAGCACTGACATGGAACCATCCCCTTCTCTGCAGACTCGACAAGGCTCTCATCCTCTCGCAGAAGCTTGCTGAGGGATTTGCCAAACTCAACAACCGCCCAGGCTTTTGCAAGCAAAGTCTGGCAACGATCATCATTGCCCTTGCGATGGGCGATGAGGTCGAGGCCACCAAACGATTCAACTCGGCCTGCGAGTAAGTGCAAAATCCCCCACCTCCCCGATGCTCTTTCGAGGCGGACGACGTCAGAGTGCCCTTTGCTTGCCCGACAATCCTTCAGAGGATCCAGCTCTGTGCCTCTCGACGCCAGCGATCCAGCTCCATGCTTCCCGACGCCAACGATCCAGCTCCGTGCTTCTCGACGCCAACGATCCATCGTCCCCCTCTGTGTTTGCTTCCCAAAGACTCGGTGGATTCTCTCCTTCCGAAGAAAACGAGGCAGCGACGGACATGCTCCAGGCATTCGATGCAGGCGACGACGAGCTCCTGTCCAAGGCTCTGCAGAGGATGGTCATCACTTTCCTGGACAACGATGTGAGCATCCGCGGACTGACTTTGCAAACACGCACTATCGTGCTGCTGGTCGATTGATCCTTGCTATCCCGTAGCTCCAAGCGATGATGATTCCTGCCCAACTGCCTTCCTGCCGCAGCTGCATCGCTCCCTTTGACTCACCCCTCTCGGGCCGTTTGCATTCCAGGTCGCTCGGCTGGCTAAGAGCCTTCGAGTCCCAGGCGGCCGTCAGCCCACCAACGCATATGCCCGACCTGGTCCAGGCAACGGCGCTTCGACATGGGGGCCGCCTGCAGCCTCCTCGCAGTCGCACTCGGATCTCCAGGATGAGATCGAGGAGTCAGGGTTCTTGTGATTGTGCCAGTGGGACGGCTTTTGTTCTTTGGCACCGGCTCGCTCTGTCGCCGAGCACAGGGGCTGTTGTCCGGCATGTCAATATACGGTTACTTCAACGAGCATTTCATCTAGTCGACACTCATGGGCGGCTTTTGCAACGAGTGGTTGGTGCTCGGCCTTGTTGACACCGAATGGGCATTCATGACTTCCAGACCCAGGAGAGACGCCCGATTTCCCCAACAGCCGCATATCATTTTACCGCCCGGATCCGTGCGGCATGGTACGATACACTGATTTCGCACCATGCCGCTGGTCTGTCTTGTCCGATGCCCCGCAAATATCCCTGAGACCTCCCTCTCGGACTTGCCCATGCTCCCATACGCTTCCCACAGGACCACTTCCTTCGGCTCGGACAGGCCCCATCCCCACGTTCCGTCGGCTTCCACCCCCGGCAGCCCTTGGTCCTGACCGTCTGACCGTCTGGCCAGCGGATCTCTCAGTGCCGAGGCCCATATCCCGACAAGATCCGCCACCCTGACCTCATCGCCCGCCCGGGTTTCCTCGCACCTCATTTCTGAACCAATACGCTCACTTGCTCATTCGACTGTGTGCTCAATCAAGTTTTGTGATCGATGGCCATCCTCGATTCATCCATCCTCGACTCATCCATCCTCGACTCATCCATCCTCGACTCATCCATCCTCGACTCGTCCAGTCCCGCAATCTCAAACAGCACTAGCACCGGCGAGAGCCACACATCGGCCCAGACGCTCCCATCGTCGGATCTGCAGGCTTCGTCGGCGGGCTATCCCGAGCACCTGCGCAACTCCATCCATCGACTCTATGACGAGCCCCGGCCCAGTCCTTCGCTCTGGACGCTGCTCAAGTCCGCCATTGGCAAGGATCTGACCCGGATCACCATCCCAGTTTGCTTCAACGAGCCACTGAGCGGCCTGCAGCGCAACTGCGAAGAAATGGAGTATGCCGAACTGCTGACCTTGGCCTCGCACATCGGCCGCGGATGTCTGCCGGCGAAGGGCTCGCATGCCCGGAAAGCCTTGCAAGCCGTCCAGGAGAGCTACGATGGGCTGGATATCGAGAGCCTGACTCGACTCCAGGGCAGGGATGCAAGCATTGCCAGGTTGCTCTTTGTCGGCGCCTTTGCGATGAGCTGCTACTCCAACTACTCCAGCACCGCCAGCCGAGGGCCCAAGCCGCTCAAGCCCTTCAACCCGCTGCTGGGCGAGACCTTTGAGTTTGTCGACCGAGAGCGGGAGTTCCGGTTTCTGACCGAACAAGTCTGCCACCATCCGGTTTGTATCCAAGCTTGGATTGTTGGTGGGCCCAGCGAGACTCTATGCGGACGGCTCGGGCTTCAATCGCAGTAGTTGTGATGACAGAAGCAGCAGTTGTGACGACAGAAGCAGCAGCTGTGACAAAAGAAAGCAGGTACAGCCAAAGAGCTTCTCCCGCTGTTTCTGACCCTGGTATCTTCTGTTTCCTGCGCTCCAGCCTGTTAGCGCATCGTGCTGCGAATCGCCCTACTATACGCTCTGGTCGGAGGGCCATGTCCAGAGCCAGTTCTGGGGAAAGCACATCGACATCCATCAGCTCGGCACAACCCATGTCTCGCTGCCGTGCTTTGAGTAGAGCCCCGAGACAGGCCAGATGCGCTGTGTTGGGTCCGAGCGATACACCTGGAAGAAGGTCAAGCTGACTGTCCAGAACCTGCTCGTTGGCAAGCTGAGCATCGTGTTCAACGGCGACATGGTCGTCCGCAACTGGCGAACAGGCGACGAGCTCCGGGTCACCATGAAGCCCACGCAAGTCTCGGGTTGGCTCAATGATCGCACGGGTCCTCTGCGAGGGGCCAGCAGCGGGGCGCTTTCCGGGGCAGTTTACAGCTCAGATGGGCAGAAGCTCTGGACGATCGAGGGCGACACCACCCAAGAGATTCGGGCGCATCCCTGCAGCAGATTTGGATTCCCATCCAGTTTCTCTTCAGCCACTACATCATCATCGTCGATGTCGGTGTCGGCGTCGGCATCGTGGCGTCCTCTGGTTCATCAAGCGGCTCCACGACCACTGACGATTTGGAGGCAGCGGAACAGCACCGCCGACCGCAGCCCGGCCAACTTTTACTTTACTCCCTTTGGGATATCCCTGAACGATCTGCCCGGGGAGCTCGGTGAGTTTCTGCCACCGACCGACTCTCGGCTCCGCAGCGACCAGCGCGCCATGGAGATTGGTGACTGGGACCTGGCCGAGCACGAAAAGACTCGGCTGGAGCAGTGTCAACGACAGAACCGCAAGCGCCTCATCAGCGACTATGAGCAGTACGGTGCTGTTGCCGCCGCTGGCTCTCGAACAAGCAAAGGCGTCGCCGATGTTGGCGAGTCCTGGTGGATCCCCCGGTGGTTTGTGCGGGACTGGGACCCTCTGACCAGGGAGGAGTATTGGCGGTTAACGGGCGAGTATTGGGAGCACCGCCGACAGAGGGAATGGCCTGCATGGGTTGCATGTACACCGTCGCTGCTGCCGAGAGATCAAGACATGCTTCGTTCGAATGGCACGACGAGCTCCGACAGCATCAATGGTGGATGGACTGGAGCAGGGGAGTCACAAAGGGGAGGCGGTTGGGCAGTTGGGCTGGACCGCTGGAAAGCAAGGTGAGCAGGGGATGTCGGCAAGAATTGGGTGAATACAGTCTGTTCAGGCAAACTGAGAATGACGATTGCGTAGCAGCTGGCAGATGTGACTGAATCCGCTGCGTGCTGAAGGCAAGTTGATCGGTGTGCACGATTCTGATCTCGATCCCGATCCTGCCGAGGGGGACCATCATTGTCAAGTTGTGTTCTGAACAAGTTGTATTGACGCGATCGAAGAGAAGGAAGACACCATCGAAAGTTTCTAACTTTAGTGACATAGTCTTTGCTAAGCATATCAAGATAGATTGAGACACAACAACAGGAGTATTGTCATAGACGCTGGACCCAGGCAAGGAGTATGTCCATCCGGTGACAGCGAGGAAAAGGGGAGAGAAGGCAAGGAACGTCGGCATAGATACGACTGTCAATCAAGTGCGGTAAAGCAGGCGGACAAGTCCATGGGACAGTTGTGAGAAAGGGAATGGGATGCGAACAGCCGCCGGGCAAAAGAATGGAACATGGCAGAGCCCGCGTCTTCGGATCATGAAACGGCAAGCGCTTAGAGGGGGATGTTGTTGCTGGGATCCAGACCAGCGACCCAGGCGGTGACAGAGGGATCGATGACCTCGTTGCCGACCAGGACCCACTCGGCAACAGACGGGACACCGTTGTCGAGCACAAAGATCATGTACCAGCCAGGAGGAAGGACGAACGAGTTGGGAGGGGTGGTGATCGTCACAACGCCGTTGGCATAAGTGGCCGTGAGATAGACATAGCGCTGACCCATGTGGTTCGAGTGGGTGACGAATTGATCCTGAACGAGGGAAACACGGAATGTACCGGTGTTACCGGAGGGAAGAGTGGAAGCGAACGAGTACTGGGTGTTGTACTTCCAGATGCGGGAGTCGCTGGTGAAGGGCGAGATGACGGGACGGGGAGCCTTGTTGATGTAAGCCGGGGTGTAGATCTCGACAGTCTTCTCGGCGGGATAGGTGACATAGGGCGGGACACCGTTCGAGTCGGTGTTCGGGGTCGAGCCAGCAATCAGGACACGAGCGTCGGGAAGGAGGACAGCAAGGGCGTGGTAGAGACGGCACAGCTTGGTGGTGCCGCCAACGGTGATGCGCTGGCCGAAAGCCTTGGTGGGATCGTAGTGGAGGGCCGTGGACGCGCAGATCTGCGACAGGTTGAAGCCAGCAGATCCCTGCTGGGCACCGTTGATCTGGGGAATGAGAAGCGAGTGAGTGAGTGAGTGAGTGAGTGAGTGAGTGAGTGAGCGAGTGAGGGCAGGTGTCATCGGTGAGCAATCACTGTCTGCTCCTGAGTACCGATGCCAATCGCAACTCACCATCAGAACAGTGCCGTCAGCAAGCGTGACCATGTCTCCCATGACACGGGGAATCGGCATCGTCTCAAGGGCGGACCAGCTCTGCGAGTTGTAGTCGAGGGTGGTGCACGAACTGAGGGCCGGCGAGGTCTTGGGGAAGTCCGAGCCACCACCGCAGACAAGGTACTTGGCGGCGTAGTTGTTGGCGGGATCGAGAGGGAGCAGGGCGTGCATGCCGGTCATCGGGTAGGTGCGACCGCCGTTGGGAACGACTTCGCGGGGGCTGTTGGGGAGGGCCGAAAGGAGGTTGAAGTCCTGGTCAAAGAGCTGGTGCTCGTCCCTGACACTAACCATGACCTTGCCGTCGGGCATGATATGGGCGTTGGGGTACAAGTTGAAGGTGTTGGTCTGCATATGAGCGAGGTAGAACCGAGAGATGTTATAAGATTTAGACTCAGAGCTGATTGTGAACGTGGCAAAGTTCTTTCATGACCTAGCATTTCGAAACCAGCACTTGTCAACCATCAAGAACCCGATTGAAAGAGTTGGCTCCTGGTCACACTTACATCAACAAGGAGCTGCATGGTGCGGAGACCGTTGTGAGGGCCGTTGGGAGGCAGGAACTCATAGGTCGGTTGGTTGACACCGCCGGCAACGTTCTGGGCCGTCAAACCTCCCATCACAACAAGCTGTCCGTTCGACAGAGTGATCGAGGCGGGGTACCAGCGAGGAACCTGGAGCTTGGAGATTTGGTTGTTCTCGACCCAGTCGCAAGTGCCCGAGACACCGTTGGAGCCACAGGGGTTGAAGGCACGGACACCGTAGAGGGCAACATCGGACCAGCCACCGGTATTGATCAGGGTTGCGGCCGGAACAGGGAGAATGACACCGGCGGAGCAGAAAATGTCGGTGATGACGTGGAGCGGGCGCTCGGTCGCGGTGGTGACATCGAGCTCATCTGTGAAAGATGGGGAATCAGTATTGTGTTGGGAAGATACAGTGATCATCGTAACAATTCCGGAGGTGCTTGGTGTAACAAGTTACTTACAGGAGTGAGTGGTATTCAACACGCCACCAAAGATACGCTCAAGGAGGATGACCTTGTTGCTGACGGGGGCAACGTACAGATGGATCGGGACGGTGGCGCCAATGTACAGAACCGAGTAGTTGCCGGTGTTGGGGTCTTGAGGAGGAGGAGTCGGGATCGGAGGAGGAGGAGAGGCCGGGAGACCGGATTGCTTGGTGTAGCAGTTGGGTCCAGTACCAAGGGCGGTGGTATCCCAGCAGCAGCCGCTGTCGATACATCCAAGAGGGGTGGTCGAGGCATCACCACAGTCGATGCGGTACCACTTGGCAACAGGGGTGGCGGGGCAACCGGTGTCAACGGGCGACAGGAACTTGTAGCATGTCGGGCCGGGAATGTCGGTGGGACCAAGAGGGCTCCAGCAGCATCCGCTGGTGACGCACTGGGCTTGGGTAGTGGTAGCGTTGCCACAGTCGATGCGCTGGTTGCCGGGGGTAGGCTTGACGGGGCAGTAGTTGGGAGCGTTGTAACAATAAGGTCCAGCCTGTCCAGCTGGGAGTGGGTCCCAGCAGCAGCCAGAGGCAGCGCATGAATCGGGAGTAGTAGTGGCATTACCACAGTCGAATCGATAGGCCGGAGTGAGCGGGGTCAAGGGGCAGGTGGGAGGGCGAGGGGTGGCTGTGGTGTAACAATAGGGGCCAGCAGTGCCAGCAGGGAGGGAATCCCAGCAGCAGCCCGAGGCAGCACAGGAAGTGGAAGTGGTGTTGGCGTTGCCGCAATCAATGCGAAGGGCAGCAGGGCGAGGGGTGGCAGGGCATGCAGCTGGGCGAATGGGTGTGTTGGGAGCATAGTAACAGTTCGGGCCAGCAGTGCCGGCAGGGAGGGGATCCCAACAGCAGCCCGAGGCAGCGCAAGAGTCCGGAGTAGTGTTAACATTGCCGCAGTCTGTTCGACCAGTAGCCGTGAGAGGAGTGGCCGGGCAAGCGGCAGGTCGCGCAGGGGCAGTGGTATAGCAGTTCGGGCCAGCAGTGCCAGCGGGAAGCGGGTCCCAGCAGCAGCCCGAGGCAGCACAGGAGGTGGAAGTGGTGTTGGTGTTTCCACAGTCGACACGAAGGTTGGCAACACGAGGAGTGGCAGGGCAAGCAGCAGGACGTTGGATGGCCGCAGGGAAGTAGCAGTTGGGGCCAGCCGTGCCGGCGGGCAGGGGGCTCCAGCAACATCCGGAAGCGGTACACGAAGCCGGGGTGGTGGTGGTGTTGCCACAGTCGACACGAAGACCACCGGCAAGGGGAGTGGTAGGGCAAGCAACAGCGGCACCGAGATCAGGAAGGCTGCTGGAGCTGGGACTGGAGGCGGACGACTGGGTGTTGGAGGGAGTGACCGAGGCGGAAGCCGATGCAGAGGCCGATGCAGATGCAGATACGGAGGCTGAATCGGAAGCCGATGCCGAAGCCGATGCAGAGGCCGAGTCGGAAGCTGAGGCACTAGCACTAGCACTGGCACTGGCACTAGCACTAGCACTAGCACTGGCACTGGCACTGGCACTGGCACTGGCACTGGCACTGGCACTAGCACTAGCACTAGCACTAGCACTAGCACTGGCACTGGCACTGGCACTGGTAGCCGAGGCAGCAACGGAACCAGAGGTCGCCGAGGCAACGACGCTGGAGACAACCGTCGAGGAGGATGCAGAGGGAGCGTAGCACCTGTTGATGGCAATGGATCGAATACGTTGCGTCAATTTCCAGCTTCATCGTCCAAGGATTGTATGTGGTATAATGCGCACATTTTTCGTGGTTCTCGTTGGATCGTTGTTTGTGCACCCTCATTCCGCGGTCAGGACATGACGTCAAATGACAGGGCTGCCACAGTAACTCACCAGGGTCCGGTAGCGTTGTTGCTCAGGGGAGCCCAGCAGCAGCCCTTTTGAACACACTGGCCTTGGTTGATACCTGTGACAGTTGATGATCCTCGTTAGTCACGGTGACGCACGATTATGTCGGCTGGAGCTCGGTGTGCGTCAAGTCGACCACGGACTTGGAGCGACTGGTGTTTGAGATTCCTCTTTAGCAAAGGTCGCCGCTTACCAAAGTACCCGCAGTCGGTTCGGTCGGAAGCGTCGATTGGAGTGGCCGGACAGGCGGCAGGGTTCAGGAGCTGGACCGAGGAGAAGAAGCAGCTGGGGAATAAAGCGTGTGTCAGTAAGGGAGGAACCATGATCCCACGGCTGACGGAAACGCTTGGACCAGGATCGTGGCAGACTTACTAGGGGCCGTTGGGCTGATTGGCAGGAGGGGTGCCCCAGCAGCAGCCAGAAGCGACACACTCGTCGACGGTGGTGGTGACATCTGCCAAAACGAGGGAACGGCATTCGATACCACAGGGTGAGTGCTCGTGGCAGCTGAGAGAGAGTCGTTTGGTGCAGGATGGGTGGCAGGCGCGCGGACTTCAGGGCCAAACACAGTCGTCAAATGAGACTTGCAATCGAATCGACTTGCACTTACTTCCACAATCAACACGGGGAGCAGCATCTGGGTGACAAGCAGGCGGGGAAACGACTGTTAGGTTTGTGGGCTCGCATGAAGCAGCGACAGCTTTGACAGCCCAGCGACATCATTACCGGCAGCCTGGCAGGCGTTGGGGGAGGCCACACACTTGTAAGGGCTGGCGAGGGCGAGCGGAGCAACGCACAGCGCTCCGAGCAGGAGCGGCTTGATGCCGATGAGACTGTTGACCATGGCAACGAAGCGATCAGGAGCAGAGCGGACGATGGCCGTTGGAGCGGGCTGGCGGCCGTGGGAATATATAGCCGGCCGTGCTCCAAGGCATCCTGAAAAATGGATCTTTCCGAAGGCAACGCCACAGCGGCCAGGCGGAGCACGCTCGACAACATCGCCAGGCTCCCACAGCGAGACCAGAATAAGGACAGGACGAGCAACGCGATAGACGAACCCGCCGTGCCTTATTACGGGCGCACAAGGAGGAACGGGAGCCAGTCCACCGGACGGGCGCGTCGGCTGCCAGCAAGGGAGGGACATCGAGCCGAAGACAAGGCTGCTGGGGAAGGGGCAGCTTGCGCTGCTTGTGCGATCCTCGAGGTTGCACGGCGCAGGCGACGATGAAAGGATTGGGGCATGACGGCCAGCGGGAGGACTGGGTCACAGCAGGGACATGGCGACAGAGCCCTTCAAGGGGGCGGCGAGGCGGGCTGGATAGGGCGGCAAGCAGACGAGTGTGGGCGGTAAGATTGGGCAGCAAGTGTGCGTCGATGCCAGCGGGTGCAAATCGCTGCAGATATCCCCAGGCCGATGCAACAGCCACAAGCTGGTGCAAACACGCCCAAGTATGTCCACCGGCGATCGTGGGGCTGCCCGATCCCGCGACACGCAGAGGTGTATGGACACAGCACCGGCACCGCGCAGCCAGTTGCAGACACATGATTCTGCTCAAGACACACAAAGACACACAGCCTTGCTCCGAACAAGCCCCCGCCACACCAGCATCCACCGACCCGGGCACAACCCACTGGGTCAGCCGTGTGGCCAGCCGTGTGGCCAGCTGGGCAACCGCGCAGACACGGTATCGGGCAACAAGGGCATGAGGCACCTTGTGCCAGCCTGCAGTGGCGCGCGTGGACAGCTGGGCGGCGTAACGACCGCGGCACAACGGATGCACAGAAGCACAAGGCGGCCCCTTTGGGCCAGGCAGCGGCAAGGCCGAAACGCAACCAAAATGGCCTGGACAGGACGCCACAGTAAACAGAGCCCGAAAGCGCCCGCATCCACCAGCCGCACAAATACCGCACACCAACGTCCTTCCCCACCACCCCGCGACTGGGCCGCGGCTGCGTGGTGCGGCGGCGGCGGGGGAAGAAAAGAAAGGAAAAGAGCAGCCAGGAGAACCGCCAGCCGCCAGCACGCCTGCCAAATGAAGGGCTGCCGCCACAGGATTGCAATGAGCAACCTGGCCACCCAAACGCCCACATGGCGACCACCCTTCCTGGATCGATGCCAGATGAGCCACTCGGTTCAGGCTTGTGCGAGAGAGACGGGTTGCCGAGCAACGGACGCAGGACCAGCGAGGAAGACCACCCGCCGAGCGATGGCTCCATTGGAGCGAAACCCCCATGCCGGCTAGCGCCAGAGGAACGCGTGCAGGGCATGTTGTGATGTCCACACAACCGATGTGGTGATTGCAGCCACCAGAGCAAGTCAAGAGGGGAGCAGCCGCCGCAATTCGAAGCCCTGTTTTGGGATGCAAGGACAGCTCCAGAACCAGCAAACCGGAAAGGACGATGGCCTCGGGACGCATCCGGGAGTGCGATGTGCGCATTTCGTACCGACCCAAATTTGATTCTTGCATTCTGATCGGAATGGAGGACGACTATCACCCTGTTTGGCGGATTTGCTAGTAGATAATGTATTCTAGGCAACGTTGATTAGCTGTGAAAGCAAGGCCACAACTAAGTGACCAAAGACAAGCGATAGTCATAGAAATATAAGGGGGAATAGTAAATTCGCAGGGGGGGACGCACATAGCTGGGCGACAAATGGCATAGTTAAGACCGAAAGTGCGAAGCGAGAACGGCGGAGGTGAAAGAAGTCCATCAAGCCAAGGTAGTGAGGCAATCGGATTCGATATAAGCGCGACATAATCCTTTAGAGGGGAATATTGTTGCTGGGGTCAAGAGCAGCGACCCAGGCGGTGACAGAGGGATCGATGACCTCGTTGCCGACCAGGACCCACTCGGCAACAGACGGGACACCGTTGTCGAGCACAAAGATCATGTACCAGCCAGGAGGAAGGACGAACGAGTTGGGAGGGGTGGTGATCGTCACAACGCCGTTGGCATAAGTGGCCGTGAGATAGACATAGCGCTGACCCATATGCACAGAGTGGGTGACGAACTGATCCTGAACGAGGGAAACCTTGAGAGTTTTGGCGTTGCCAGAGGGAAGAGTGGAAGCGAACGAATACTTGGTGTTGTACTTCCAGATGCGGAAGGTGTTGGCGAAGGGCGAGATGACGGGACGGGGAGCCTTGTTGATGTAAGCCGGGGTGTAGATCTCGACAGTCTTCTCGGCGGGATAGGTGACATAGGGCGGGACACCGTTCGAGTCGGTGTTCGGGGTCGAGCCAGCAATCAGGACACGAGCGTCGGGAAGGAGGACAGCAAGGGCGTGGTAGAGACGGCACAGCTTGGTGGTGCCGCCAACGGTGATGCGCTGGCCGAAAGCCTTGGTGGGATCGTAGTGGAGGGCCGTGGACGCGCAGATCTGCGACAGGTTGAAGCCAGCAGATCCCTGCTGAGCACCGTTGATCTGGGGAGAGGTAAGAGAGCGAGCGAGTGAGTGAGTGAGTGAGTGAGTGAGTGAGTGAGTGAGTGAGTGAGTGAGTGTGAGTGAGGGCAGGTGTCATCGGTGAGCAATCACTGTCTGCTCCTGAGTACCGATGCCAATCGCAACTCACCATCAGAACAGTGCCGTCAGCAAGCGTGACCATGTCTCCCATGACACGGGGAATCGGCATCGTCTCAAGGGCGGACCAGCTCTGCGAGTTGTAGTCGAGGGTGGTGCACGAACTGAGGGCCGGCGAGGTCTTGGGGAAGTCCGAGCCACCACCGCAGACAAGGTACTTGGCGGCGTAGTTGTTGGCGGGATCGAGAGGGAGCAGGGCGTGCATGCCGGTCATCGGGTAGGTGCGACCGCCGTTGGGAACGACTTCGCGGGGGCTGTTGGGGAGGGCCGAAAGGAGGTTGAAGTCCTGGTCAAAGAGCTGGTGTTGATCACGAGCGCTGACCATGACCTTGCCGTCGGGCATAACATTGGCGATCGGGTACAGGTTGAAGGTGTTGGTCTGCATGAAATGGAATGGCAAGGTTGTCAGCGAAAAAGTCATTAGGAATCGAGAAGGCTTGGGTCTACGAGATAACACTTACATCAACAAGGAGCTGCATGGTGCGGAGACCGTTGTGAGGGCCGTTGGGAGGCAGGAACTCGTAAGTCGGCTGGTTGAGACCGCCGGCAACGTTCTGGGCCGTCAAACCTCCCATCACAACAAGCTGTCCGTTCGACAGAGTGATCGAAGTAGGGTACCAGCGAGGAACCTGGAGCTTGGAGATTTGGTTGTTCTCGACCCAGTCGCAAGTGCCCGAGACACCGTTGGAGCCACAGGGGTTGAAGGCACGGACACCGTAGAGGGCAACATCGGACCAGCCACCGGTATTGATCAGGGTTGCGGCCGGAACAGGGAGAATGACACCGGCGGAGCAGAAAATGTCGGTGATGACGTGGAGCGGGCGCTCGGTCGCGGTGGTGACATCGAGCTCATCTGTGAAAGATGGGGAATCAGTATTGTGTTGGGAAGATACAGTGATCATCGTAACAATTCCGGAGGTGCTTGGTGTAACAAGTTACTTACAGGAGTGAGTGGTATTCAACACGCCACCAAAGATACGCTCAAGGAGGATGACCTTGTTGCTGACGGGGGCAACGTACAGATGGATCGGGACGGTGGCGCCAATGTACAGAACCGAGTAGTTGCCGGTGTTGGGGTCTTGAGGAGGAGGAGTCGGGATCGGAGGAGGAGGAGAGGCCGGGAGACCGGATTGCTTGGTGTAGCAGTTGGGTCCAGTGCCAAGGGCGGTGATATCCCAGCAGCAGTTAGTTTGAACACATCCAAGCGCAGTGGTCGAGGCATCACCACAGTCGATGCGGTACCACTTGGGAACAGGGGTGACAGGGCAACCGGTGTCAACGGGCGACAGGAACTTGTAGCATGTCGGGCCGGGAATGTCGGTGGGACCAAGAGGGCTCCAGCAGCATCCGCTGGTGACGCACTGGGCTTGGGTAGTGGTAGCGTTGCCACAGTCGATGCGCTGGTTGCCGGGGGTAGGCTTGACGGGGCAGTAGTTGGGAGCGTTGTAGCAGCTGTGGATAGAGTCGTGTTAGTTTCCGTGATTGCCTATGCCAATTCTGGTCGGCCCTGCCATGCATTTGCACTTCGTCGTTTCGGAATCGACACTTACTTGGGGCCAACTTGTCCAGCGGGGAGAGTGTCCCAGCAGCAGCCGGAGGCAGCACAGGAGTCGGGGGTGGAAGTAGCATTACCACAGTCGAATCGATAGGCCGGGGCAAGGGGAGTCAAGGGGCAGGTGGGAGGGCGAGGAGTGGCTGCACTGTAGCAATAGGGGCCGGCAGTGCCAGCAGGGAGGGGATCCCAGCAGCAGCCAAGGGCAGCGCAAGAGTCCGGAGTGGTGTTGGCGTTGCCGCAGTCCACACGGAGGGTAGCCGGGCGAGGGGTGGCGGGGCATGCAGCCGGGCGAGGCGCCGTGGCGGTATAGCAGTTCGGGCCGGCGGTGCCAGCGGGGATTGTATCCCAGCAGCAGCCAAGGGCAGCGCACGAAGCAGGGGTGGTGGTAGCATTTCCGCAGTTGGTGCGAAGGGTGGGATCGCGAGGAGTGGCAGGGCAGGCAGCGGGGCGTTGGACAGTGTTGGCCTGGTAGCAGCTGATGGCGAAAGGGGTGAGAGCAAAGGCATGAGGGTGAATAACTGATGACAAGCGATGAACAGAAGCGATCGGTGGGGCGGGAATAGTCACTCTCGATTCTTACTTGGGGCCGGTCTGTCCAGCAGGAAGAGTGTCCCAGCAGCAGCCGGAGGCGTAGCAGCTGTTCTGAGTGCTGTCTGTAGATGGCAAAGCCGGCAACAATGTCGTAAGTCACCTCATATATCGAAGCATCCTCTGTCCTCTGGTGACGGTATGAAAGCCAATGGTCCTGCTACTTACTAGCATTGCCACAGTCCACGCGGAGGGTTCCGGCTACAGAACGAGATGGTGAGGGGATTGTCAAAAAAAATAGTGCATTCCATTCGTTTGAATGGCGGAATGAAGCTCGGTTGAGCTGATGATACACAAGCCTGGGTTGGCTGCAGTCACTTACTCATAGGGGTGGCGGGGCAAGCAGCTGGTCGGTTGACAACCGGGGAGGGGACGGTGTAGCACCTGGTGTGGGGGAGCGTATACGCAAGGAGGACATGTAAGGACTGCCGTTCATCAAATGCCCTTGGATGTCGGGTCTCAAAATCAAGCGTGTTCCGCACGACTTGATTTGCATCATTGCATCACTGCATCCAGATGGCAATCGCTACGAGATAGGCGCTCACTCACCAGGGGCCGGCGACACCAGTGGCGAGAGGGTTCCAGCAGCATCCCTTTTGGATGCACTGGCCCTGGTTCATGCCTGAAACAATGGAAATCGACGGACCGAAGGGTTAGCAGCGGCACATGGCCTTTCTTTGCAGGTCCGGCAACAGCGAGCATTCAATCCCACGCCATTGCTCGTTGCAACTTCAGCAACGTCGCAGCCTCATTTGCTCACGACACTGACCTGGGGCACCGCAATCGATGCGGTTGGCAGCGGCCTGTCCGCCGGCGGGGCATCCGGCAGGGTTGGTGAGCTGGGTGGTGGAGTAGAAGCACCTGGATGTCGAGATGCAGTCGCGTTATAGGGCGAATCGTTGATCAGCCAGCCTTATAGCGGCAGGGGCTCGCATGCGACGATCGAGACTTACGCCGGGCCCGCCTGGCCAGCTGGAAGCGGGTTCCAGCAGCAGCCGGTAGCCGTGCAGGAGGCCTGGGTGGTGGTGGCATCTAGAGCAGAGGAGCAGCAGTCAGACAGCTGTGGTGGAAGCACATGGATGGCACCATGGCAGGCATTTCCATGAAGAATATCGATCATTGACTTACTTCCACAGTCGATACGGGTTGCGGCGTCTGGGAGAGCGATTCATGCGGTCGGGGAGGGAGAAAATGTGCATGGATTCGTTAGACCATGGCGAGATATTGTCCGTTCCTATTGACTAGCAATGCCGCTCATGCCCCAGGGCACAGCTTCCGGCTGGACCCGCTGGGGGTCCTATGGGACGGATGGGGCACTTACCGATGGCACACTGGGCCCAGACGGCAGGGACGAGGGCAATGGCCCCGAGAAGAGTGCTTGACTTCATCGCGGCGGGCAGCAGCGTCTCTGGAAAGCGACGGCGCGAGGATCGGGAGGGACGATGGTCAGCAATCTGGAGCCAGGCCGGCGCTTTATAGCCAGCGCTCGGAAACCGCACGGGGGGAAGGGTGAAAGCGAGGCGCCTGCATGAACGGCTGGCCGCGGAACCGCCTCCCAAATGAGAAAGGAGTGGGGGGCCACAAGGATGCCATCGTTTTTCCTGTGAGGGCGGCTGCGGAGCCCAGTGTCGCTGACTGTACGCGTGAGTGGATGGCTGGATGGATGGGTGGCTGTTGGGTGGATGCAGGAGGACGGCACTCATCGCCGCCCAACCAAGGCCGGTGGATACGCTAGTGCCCGAGATTGCTCTCTGGCAGACGCATCGCAGGCACATCGCAGATAGTCGGTGCTGCTGCGTTGCGGTTACGAGTAACGACTGGGTCCGTTGCGTTGTTGTGCTGTGGGCTACCTGTGCTGGCACAGCAAGAGTATGCGGCGCGAGCATCGGTTGCACAAGCGCGGCCACCGCGGCAGAATAAGGCCGACGCCGCGCGTCAAGCCGCACCCGAGGCACATGCGGTGGGTCCTTGTTGTCATACAGCGCGCTCGGCTCGCACACAGCCGTACAGTTGCTGAGCGCCACAGCCGCGTACGCGCGTCGCGGGTCCGGCACAGTCCCAGTGGCGAGGCCCTTGCCTCTTTGCGTCGCACCGCCGTCCCGGCCTGTCCCTCTTGCCAGCAGCGTCCTTGTCCTTCGCGGGCCACACGCCGGGCCACAAGCCGAGCCTCTGCCGCCTCGCAAACTTGCGGCGGCCGGCCCTGCGCCAATCGCAATTCTGGAGCACCCCACGCCGCCCTCCGCGGCGGTTGCACAGCGCCACCACCCGCACGCGCCCGTCCATCAACCCGCGTCTCCTGGGGACGGGTCTTTCCCAGCGTTCCCTGCTGACGCCTTCCAACTGGGCCTGGGACGACTCTGGCTGCCCTGGGATGCAAGCTGCTGCTGCCGTTGCTGCTGCCCATGCTGCTGCTGGTACTGCTGGTGCTGCCATCGTTGCCTCCGTCCCTGAGCCACCCATTGATTCGTACGCTTCGCCAGTCTCCACCGGTCCACCAAGTCCATGCTGCCAACCCGTATCCCTGCTGCGTCCGCTTGGTGCGGGCAACCAGCCGGCTCAGAGTGCGGACGCCACATCCAAAGCATCGGATTGGGTTTGCGAGGAAAAAAAAAGCACAAGGTCTCTCCATGTCCAACGAACGGAATGATGCTTCGGCACCGCCGCCAGCCCAAGCAAGTCTTGCCGGAGCGACATCGTCTCCATGTACCTTCCTTCGAGTGACGGGTTGGGTCATTTGTGGCTGCCCCCCCCCCCTTGGCTGTCCCTGCTTGACTCACCGTCACGACCCTGACTCACTCTTGATCGGCCTTGGGCTCCCGCCTCAGTCGAGGCGCCATCTCTCTTCGCGTCCGTCGACAGACCAGCCGCCCACATGAACCGGCCGCGTGTGCTGTGGGGCCGTTGCTCCATCGCCCAGTCAAAACAGGGTGGTCTAGTGTGTGGGTGGTGGCTCTCGGCCCATGTTTGCTTCCAATGCGCAATTTTGCGATTCGATCGCTGTGGCGGGGGGGGGGAGCAGGAAAGCGAAAGACTGTCATGGGTGGCAAGCTGAGCCGGGCTGCCTCCAAGTCGTGGATTCGACCCTGAGCCGAATCGCCGCGGAGCGTGAGAGGCGAGGGGAGCGGACTGGAAGTACACTTTATTCAGAAAAAAACGGGACAATATAGCCGTTTCCATGAACATGTAGTATGTGCTGTGCTTGCGTCAAGCAAAGCCACAAGAAATAAAACAGATCACTTTGGCAGCCTCCGAGTGAAGACCGCCGGTCGCTCTCCAATCTCCACAATCGACTTGCAGACTGCGATCATGTTGCGCGCCGCATTGACGTCGCGATTCCACACTGTCCGGCAGCTGGGATTCTTGCAGCTCCTGACAAAGTGGGAATTCGCAACACTGGGCGCATCGAGTCCTTCCAACCGAACTGGCTCCAGGCACTTGGAGCACACCTGTGAGGTGTTGAACTCGTTCGTCGAGGCCACCTTGACGCTTCCATGATGGTGATTGGGACGGCGTCGGTGGTGCTCGAATTGCTCAAAGTACCGAGCAAACCGCTGCCTCCGAGGGCTGGATGCATAGCCCTTGCCCTGTCGCCATGACGCATTGCCAAAGGCGATCACCACATCGGTCCGTATCGGGGCGTGCTTCAGGACGGCCTTGCACATCCTGTCGACGGCCACTTGGCGCCTCTTGTGGCCTGTGAATCGATGGTGACGGGCCTTCTTGCCAAGGTGGAAGTCGAGCTGCACTCGCAGCTCCGGTCGCAGGACATGGGTGAGATGGACCTTGAAAGCCTCCGAGGACGACACCTTGGGCGAGGGAGTGGTCGACATCCAGGTCTCGATGCTGAGTCGATACTTCATGATATTGTGCCACTTGGTGTTGGACGTATGGCCACACATGTGCTGGTAGTGGCCATTGGAGAACGAGACCACCTCGTCTCGGTGGCCCGGTGCTTGGATGACCGCCGTGAAGATGGAGCCGACTCCAGGATCGATGCCAATCCAAGTGGTCTTGTCGGGGTCTGGGTCGCCGATGTGGGCCTGGATGCGCTGCTCGGCAGTCGGAGGAGGCTCGATGGTCTCGGTGTGATCGGTTCGAGGCAGAAACTTGACGAGGCCGATGGTGCATCCAATGCCATCGGTGCTGATCTCGTAGTTGAACAGCTTCTTGTTCACGTCTCGCTCTTGGAAGAGGGAACTACGCAGCTTGAAGCAACTGCGCCAGAGACGATCCTGGTTGTTGACACCGTCCTTGCCTTCATCCTTGAGCTTGTCCCTGGTGAGTCTAAGACGATGTTCGGTGTCAAGGAGTTGCCAGAGAGTGACCGTGTCAATCTTGACATACTTGGCCGTGGCAGTGCATAGAGGAACCATCGTGCACACGGCCGGAGGAGTGTCGAGAGCGAGCTGCTTGAGCGCCCAGTTGATCCTGGCGGCCAGCTTGTTGATCTTGGACTTGGTGGTGCCGAGCTCAGACTTGGCCGTGGTGAACCTCTTGTCGTCGGAGGGAATGCCTCGGGCAGTGAGCTCGTCCAGCTTGGCCTGGCGCTGCAGCTCGGTGACTCGGAGGGCGGGCATGTCACAGTCGATCCACTTGTGGACATCGTCGACCATCTTGTCCCGGGCGAGGATTCTCACATGGTGTGAGAGGCGATGGAGGGCCCGGAAGCGGTCCTGGTCGTTGCTGTACCGAAACTCGTCCAGGACGTGGCCAAAGTCTGGATAGAGGAACTCGAGATCGGCCTTGGGTGGAGTCTGCCCTGGTTTCTCGAAGAGCTCGAGACAGGCCTCGATGGCTTCGTGCTTACGCTTGTTGGCTGGGAAGACGGCAGCGCAGAAGCGGCGAAGGAGTCGCCAGTAGGCCAGGTCGAGGTGGGTGGTGCAGTTGGTAGCATAGGCATTGACAGCCAGGGTGAGAAGCTGACTGTGAGCACCATCAGGCAGACGAGGGCCGGAGGCAGGTCTGCGTGCCGAGTGGTCTGGTAGTCGCGAAAGGAAGCGACCAGATGCTCGTTGTATTTCTCATTGTCCCCGGTCGGCGAGAGGGCACCGGCCTCGACAATCGTGAAGCATTGGCGGATGAAAGCAGGGGTGGACTTGGAGATGACGGGGACGGGAAGATCCTGCTCGATGCACCGGAGGATATGTAGGTTGAGCGGCCTGGATACCTCGAACTGGATCTGGGTCATGGCCTCGACGGTGGCCTGGATCTTGTCGCGGAGAGCGGGATTGAGACAACAGCCATCCATCGTCTGCTTGAAGCAGCTGAACTGAGGGGCGGATGACCTTCCATCCACGAGAGGGACGACAGAACTCTTGAGGGGCCGGTATTTGGGACATTTGCTGGTGTTGCAACGTTCGTGATCGGTGCCGTCGCACTTGGGACATCGCTTGCCGGTACTCGAGGAAGTAGATGGACCAGGCTCGGTGGGATCGACATCCATTGGATCTGCAGAAGCAGTGGTGGTGAGCAACGGAGCAACAGACGAACAAGCATGCGTGGGATCAGAATACGAACCAGAGACAGGCTCCGACTGTGACTTGGCTTTCTTGGGCCTGGGTGGCCGAGGCTGGCCATCACCGGTACCCTTGCGCTTCGGAGGCATGGGGACAGAGGATGCTGGATGCCTGCCAGTGGTACTGGTCAGAGGAGAGACTTTTTTTTATCGTACAATAGCGCGATGATCAGATCAAGGCGAGATGAGGGAAGAAAGCAGCAGGACGAAGGTGTGGCATTTATACCCGAGAGCAGGAACCCGTCTTTGCGGGCTGGTTGGGGAAGTGACCCTGTTCAAAAATCGCCGAGAGGTTCAAGCCAGGGATTTGAGCGTGAAAATGGCGGCGTGATTGGGGGACTAAACCCCAAATTGGAGGAACTCAACCCCAAATCGGTGGGGACTCAACCCCAAAGAAGTTCTCGATGGGATTGAAGTCGGGTGAAGCAGGTGGGGTGAAGATCACTGACCATCCTCGGCGCTCGATGCAGTCCAGGACAGCCCTTGTCTTGTGCATGCTGACATTGTCCATCACAATCACAGAGTCGTCTGGGAAGGCCGCTCGCTCAAAGAACTCGACCATCGAGTGTGTCTTGAATGATGTGGGGATGTACATACGATGCAGCACACCAGAGTGGTTGATGGCAAATGCAGCCGAGACAGACTTGTGTTTCATGTGATTGCGCTGGCGAAGCGGAGCACCCTTCGGTGAGTATCCGTAGAGAGGGAAAATGGATCTCCTGATCCCTGTCTCGTCGACAAAAACGAATCGCCGCGGGTCGATGGAGCGGACCTGGTCCCTGAACTGTGCCACTCGCTCATCCAGTCGCTTGGACTTGTAGAGGTGTGTTGCCCTCTTGTGTGAGAGACCTGCTCGGTGGATGGCAGTGTGGCAGAGTGAGAGTGATACTTTCCTCTGGAGGATGGACTCGAGCTTGCATCGCAACACAGGACCAGTCTGGAACGGGTCCTGTTCAATCAGGGTGCGAATGACTGGACATGCCTGCTCGAAGAAAGTGGATCTGCGAGCTGTGACTCGGGATGGGTCATCCAGCTTGCATCCTCGGTGCCATCGATGGATGGTGCTCTTGGATACACTGAATATGGAGGCGACCTTACGCAGGCTATGGATGAGGGCGTAGCATCGCAATGCGGCGGTGCGAAAGTCGGATGTGTGGCGAATGGTCATGGCCAGCGCGCGATAACATTGGGTAACAAAATATTCGATGAATGGTCAAAAGCCCGGGTGTCCCGTTTTTTATTGGATAGACTGTAAAAAGGAAAACTCGAGGCGACTCACGCGGAGTGATCGACGCCATAGCGAATCAAACAAGCAGCGACAATTCAAACAGACGATAGTGATACAAAATCAAAAGCATTCCAAGGTTGATACCTCCAAATGAAATGGCAATCGCAACAGAAACAGAAACAGCAAGGGCAACGGCAACAACAATGATGATAGCAACAACAGCCCTTCGAGACATACAGCCAAGCAGGGCTCGTCCTACTTCTTTTGCTGCAGAGCATATCGGAACAAGACGGCCAGGATGGCCAGGAAGGCCGCTGTGACGCCGATGCCGACAATCAGGTTTGTGTAGTACGAGTTGATGTCGAAGCCAAACTTGATCAAAACGACAGAGGCGCTGACGTTGATGTTGGCTCCCGAGATGTTGTCCTGGATTTGGAGACCAGCGATTTCGTTCACAGCGAGAGCTTCGTAGGCATACTTGAAGATCGACAGGAAACGGATCCAGCCCAACGAGCCTGGGATTTCCGCTGAGTGGAGCGGAGCCGACATGGCATTAGCAGCCGTTTGCACCATCAAGGCCTTGCCACCTTTGTTCTATCCGCTCACTAGCAGCCAACGACGCCAGTCTTGATCTGCAGCTGATGCTGCGCTGCTGTCGTCGCCAGATTGCGCCGGTGAAGAGCAGACAGCCGTGGTTCCAAGTTCATCAAGACCGCAATGTCGATCACAGTGCGCACACGCCCGGCTCGCCGGCAGCCGAATCTTGCATCGAGAGGCATAGTCCGGCCTGACTTACTTTGGTTGAGCAGCGATCCCGTGAACATCAGCTCAAAGAGCATCAGAATCGCCCCGACCAGATTGGCCATGCCCACGTCGCTCATCAACACCGCAATGATCAGGCAGAAGAGTGCGCATTCTGCCGAGAGCAGCACCATGATCACCGTGTACCGGCCAAAGTGGTCGGCCGTTGTCTGGAAGCCCATCATAAAGTACGCGATCGTGCCCATGATCAGCACCGGGATGATTCGGAGAGGAATCAGATCCATCACCATCTTGGTCAGGAAGAAGGGCAGGGCACCATAGAATCCGTTGGCGCGCTCGCGGATGTAGAGCAGGCGCTCGTCGGCAAAGCTACCGATCGCCGAGAGAGACGAGAATCCCACGAGGGCCATGAGGAAGAAGATGGAGCCGATGCGGTTCTGGATGCCGGCCAAGTCGAATTGGGACTTGTAGTAGAGACCGCCAATAAAGGCTTGAGATTGAGAGAGGGAGGGAATTCAGTGAGTGTGCGATATGGACATGATATAGCCATGTGTGTACACAGATTGCGGGCCGTCGTCTCTCTGAAAGCGGATACCCTCAACGCCACGGCGATCGAGCGAGGATCCATGAACTCCAAACGAGCAAGGGAGTTTGCACGCCAACTTTCATTGCCACAAACAGTCTTCCACCATCGTCATGCGTCGCTCAGGGGGACCGAGAGCGTTGTTGGCGACGAACGCCATGTCACTCGGTAAGTCTCGGACTTACTTCCAAGCACAGCGGCCACGAGGATATGTGCGGCACAAAGCCAAGGACGGCGGATGAGGTTTTTCATCGACCGCTCCAGCAGGACGATCCACTGGGTCAGGAACGACGTCTTGGCCAGGTGTCCCTTGGGTACCGCACCAGCGTTCTTTGGGGCACTGTGCACGATCGGGTTCGACTCGGCTGTTGTCGCGGCTGCGGCTGCTGGTTTGAGCTCGAGCTGGCGCCCATTCGATGTCGTGGGCTTTCGTAGTTTGAGAAACAAAGTGCTAATGGCGCGGGTGCTTCCGTCCTGTTCAGTCGAGATGGTGCTCGGCACCTCACTCGAGGAATGGGCAATGGCAAGGTCGAGCAGGTGGTCGGCGACATTGTACCCCTCAGGACACGGGGTCTCAAAATGCGCCTCGGCTCGGTCCGCTGGTCCGAAATAGACACAGTCGCCGGCCGCCAGGATCAGCACGTCGTGAAAGAGCTTGTAGATGTCGCTGCGAGGCTGGTGGATACTAAAGACAATTGTCTTGCCGTGGTTGACGGCGAGGTTGTGGAGTGTTTGCACCACCAGATGGGCGTTGTACGAGTCCAGGCCGCTCGTGGGCTCGTCCAAGAAGAGAATTCCGGGCGACGTTACGAGCTCGACGCCGATCGAGACCCTGCGCTTCTCGCCGCCAGAGATCGACCGCCCATACGCCCCTCCAATTCGGGAATGGGCCACGGACTCAAGCCCGAGGTCGCGGAGAACGTCGTCAATCATGGATTTCTTCGTGTCCCACGGAATCGACTCGGGGAGCCGCAGATTGGCCGAAAACTCGAGGGTCTCGCGCACAGTCAGCGTTTCCATCAGGGCGTCATCTTGGTCGACAAATCCGATCGTGGCGACCTCGGGGATGTCGGTGTACGCGCCCAAGAGAGCGTTGTCCACGCTTATCGAGGCACTGACCGAGCCGGACTTGCGCTTTCCGCCGAGTATGTCCAACAGCGTCGATTTGCCCGAGCCGCTGGGGCCCATGATGGCGAGCAGGCGGCCAGGAAGCGCTTGTCCGTTGATACCCTTCAGAGGCATTTTGCTGCCTGTTTGGTGTCGATAGGCAAGCGAGAGGTGGTCAGGAGCGTTGGATGGGCAGATGTGAGTCACCTCGAGTTTGTGCTGCACTGCCGCAGTTTCGGCAACATGCCTCGCGAGCACGACCGGGTGCGGGGCTCTCCAAGTATCATCCGAAACAAGGGCCCGCTCCATCGGCTCGGCTCGGCTCGGCTCGGCTCGGCTCGGCTCGGCTCGGCTCGGCTCGGCTCGGCTCGGGGATCGTCGTCATGTCAGCGGAATTCATCGATTGCTGTCGGGGGAATCCATCGGCACCTGTCGAGCGACAACTTTTGCCGAGCAGCAAAGAGACCCGCTTCCATGACGCGCGATGGAATCTGAATCTTACCGACGGTGTAATAAACATTGCTGAAAGTCAGATTGCATCCCTTGGACGGAGGGGCAAGGGGCTCCTTCTTCTTGATCGCCCTGCTGCGGAAGCCGATGAGGAGTCCTGCAGCCGACAAACGGTGTCAGCACAGTGGAATGTGCATGATCAAAGTTTCAGCGCCGATTGATTACAGGCCGCTGGTGCTTGGATTGTCCACCTGGACAGTGTATGCTGGTGGACTCGCACTAGGATACTTTCGCAACGGCAACAGCAACAGCAACAGCAACAGCAACAGCAACAGCAACAGCAACAGCAACAGCAACGGCAAAGGACTGAGCCTGCTCTGCGCGTGTATGCGTACCCGCGATGATGGCTAGAAGCAGGGCTCCACCAACGGCAAAGCCCGCAATCTGGCCAGCAGTGAGTTGATTCACGGTAGCCACATCAACGTCTGGAGGAGCAGTGGACGGATCGCCGCATTCTCCGTGGACACATTGCTTGAGGGTGAATCCGTTGGGAAAGAAGACATCAAAGACGCTGACTGCATCGTCGATCCGAGAGTCAGTGGGAGATCCTTTGGCTGGTCCAGACAGCACCCGTCATCGGCAGAGTCTGTTGGGGCATATGTGTGTGAGCGGGCCAGAATCTGCGCCACACGACAACTTACATCCAACCGAACAGTTTGCGGGACTGCTGAGTGGGCAGGTCATGTAGAACTGTCCATTGGATGCCTGGGCAATCAGCGACGTCAGATCAAACTTGGTACCGGGTCCGCCGCAGAAAGCCGCGCCAGGATAGCATCCGCACTGAACCGATGGGCAGTCGTAGCGGATGAGTGTGCCTGTGAGTGCGCACGGTTGTGGATGTCGGCGATAGAGTTGATGTCAGGGCGGATGCAGATGGAGAGCCATGACTAATCACAATGCCCTTGGCACCCCTCATGGATGAGTCTTCCGCCACTCCCGGCCAAGCGTGCAATCTCGATGCGGTCCTGTGGGTGATGACGATGACGACGCAGTTGGTCACAGCGAGCTCCTACCATTCCGGACTTGATTGCAGTTCCAAACCGAGCAAAAGAACTGCTCTTGGTTTTGGTACCAGACTTTGAGAGGAGGCAGACACAGGTCCACGCAGTCAGTTGTATCAGCGGATCCAGGTTAATTCCGTGGCTGTGAGATCAGACGAAATGCTGGTGTGGTTGCGGGTCACATATCAAGCAATCCCACTTGAACCAAGCAGCACAGGCGACGGGGACTCACGCGAAAGGAACGCCGAGCTGTTGGAGATGTATCGCTCGATCGTTGCCTGGGAGTTTAGCGGATAGAGGTTTTCCAACATGGGCTCTGTCCAGCGGTGACGATGCCGATGAGTGCATGATCGCCAACGGATGCGATCGAGCAGCCAAAGCCATCAAACAAAACCGGGGCAGCGACGGGGCGCTGTGGCCATGAACTCTGTTGCTGCAACAAACTGCATCGTGGTGGTGCTCAGGGGAGCCAGCAGGGTCTCACCGATAACCTGGCAGGACGAATAGATTCGCTGCCAGCCTCTGGGCCCGCTGTTGCAGACGACGTTGCTTCCGAGAGCAGGGGGGACGCATACGTTATCCCGCAGACACACTGGCGCAAGGCGGTCATAGCCACAGGATCGATGATGGGATTGGTGAGCTTTGGGGGTTCCCTACCCCCAGGTTGGGCCAGGGCCCCGACGACTTCCAGCACGACAGACAGGGGCAACGAGCCAGCAGGCTCACCGTTACAGTTCAGGCCCGCAAAGCCATCGTCGCATGCGCACACCGACGATGGCGATGACAAGAGCGGGCGCAGGGCATTCTTGGTATTGGGCGATCCACAGGCTGGAGGGCCGAGGCAGTGCCGTCAGCACATGTATGTACAAACGAAAAGAAGGAAGGAAGGAAGGAAGGAAGCCATGAAAGGAGGAAACGAAGACATGAAAGGGGCGGGGTCGGCTTCGAAGGTCGTGCTGCGGCTGTGGGGTCGAGGCGGCGGCGGAACGGCGCCAGGCCCAAGGGGAGTTTCGAGGGACAACAGAGCGAGGGAAGGAACATGGAGGCTGTTGGTTTACCTGGTGAAGCACAGCTTTGGCCGCCAAAGCCAACAGGACAGGAGCAGAGATTGTTGTCACAGGAGCCAAAGTTGGTGCAAGGCTGTGGAGACAAGAGGGAGGGGGCTCAGCGCCAGGAGCAGAAGGAAGAGGAAAGAGCAGCGGACTGAAGCAGCCTCGAGGACGGACGCACCTGGGTGTTGCAGTTGTAGCAGGCGTTGGACTGGTTCATGACGATGGGGGTCGAGCAGGGCGACGGCCGGCCAGGAAGCAGAAGCGAATGGGTGCAGACAAAGCCAAAGCCCGTGGGAGCAAAACGGCAAACAAGACGGCGACCAAGACGGCGACCAAGATGGCGACCAAGACGGCAACCAAGACGGCAACCGAGACGGCGATAGTGACAGCCCGGGATGGAAGCCAAGAAGGTGGCGGGGCGCTCGGGCGGATTCTCCCGCGCTCGCAGGACACTTCCGCACGGAGTGTGCAGCAATGGCAGGGGTGCTTTGGTAGCATCTGGCAATCGATGGCTTGGTAACATCTGGCAATCGATGCATTGGTAACATCTGGCAATCGATGCATTGGGAATATCTGGCAATCGATGCATTGGTCGTATCGGCATCGTATCAGCATCGAATCAGCGTCGAATCGGCCAGAGAACGGTTCCGGAACATCGTCCTGCTTGCAATCCGCCCTCGGCCATGTTATCTTCTTTATTCTCGCTCGCTGACGCCCAGCCATTCTCGGCCGTGCGATAGACTCTCCGCCATAATATCCACCTTTGGCGATGCAGTCCGCTCTACACCATGCAGCCTTGTCTCTGTTCGTTGCGAGGCCGCTCAGTCTGTTCCGGTCCTCGTCATTGGAACAAACAGCGACAACCAAATGCAGCCGAGAGAGGCCGAGAGCCTCCGAGAAGCGCGCCGAGATGTGTGCCGAGAACCCGCCGGTCCAAAAACCGAGGTCCTGTCCAAGGCCCTGTCTGCCCACACCTTCCCCCGCAACCGCTGCTGCCAAATGGACTTCCCCAGCAACCGATCTCATAAAACAAAAAAGGTGGGTCGGCTCTGCTCACCAAGCATCCGCCTGGACCGTCCTAGGTGTCGGCATCCTTGGGCCTGGTCGCTCGGCACAACATTCTGCACGACGCTGCGTTCTTGCCCCGCCCATCACTCATCCAGCCAATGCTCCATCCTCCTGGCTGGCCGTGCTGCCCCTTATGTTCCTCGGCGCCGTGCTCGCCAGTCAAGGGAGTTCGACTTATCCAAGCGCTGGATCGCTTCGGAGGTGACATGCATTGGCAGCTACACTCTTGGAAAGACCCTCGGCGAAGGCAAGTGGAGCTTGGGGGCTATGGTTCTGGACGGCCGCTGTGAGACTGTCCGTCAGCACCAGCTCTCTGGATGGGTTGCGTTCACTAGGCGATCCACAGTCGCCCCCCCCCAATCGAGCGGCCAGATCGTTCTACTGGTCGGTCTCTTGACGGCGCTTTCTTTCTTTCCTTCCCGACACCATCCCGCTCCTGCTCCTCCACGCCAATCGGTGCTCCAGGAACGTTTGGGAAGGTCAAGGTCGGCACGCACATTCTGACGGGGCAGGAGGTTGCCATCAAGATAGTCGACAAGATCCATGCGCCACTCGTTGCCCGTGAGGTTCGACAGCCCTGCGTGCTAGCTTATTTTTCGCCGATGGCTCTCGCTGTGGCCTCGACCCTGGCAATAGCTGCAATGCCGGGTCCTCAAGCGCAACTCCCGCTCCTGATGACCGTTTTCATTCGATCGAGGCTGACTCACTCGAATCCGCATCGAACGGACTCGCCCTCGGTGCTCTCCGATCTTCATGACGCACACAGATTGAGACATGGCGGCATTTGCATCACCCGAACATTGCCCAGCTCTACGAAGTCATCGTTTCAGACGACAAGATCTACATGGCCACCGAGCTGTGTCGAGGCGGCGAGATCTTTGACTACGTTTGCGAACACGGCCGGCTTCGAGACGACTCGCCCGAAACCAAGCGCATCTTCCGCCAGATCGTCGAGGCGGTGGGATACTGCCACGAGAAAAACTTTGTCCACCGGTGTGTTTGCCAGCCGAGCAGTGCTGGATTGCATCATCCCTTCTGCAAGTCCCCCCCCCATTGGCCTTCTGCTGCCCCCTGTACCAGCGACACTAGGGAGCAGCAGCCAACCCGTCGGTCCGACAAGGTTATGTGCCGGTAGCTGCACCTCAACTGCCACTAACTGTGCATTTGTCTGCCAATCTTGCTCGGCATGGCATTGAACCTCATAGGGATTTAAAATTAGAAAACATCCTCTTGACCTCGGACTTGCAGGTCAAGGTCATTGACTTTGGCTTCACAAAGCAATATAGCGACCGCAAACTTCTGGACACATACTGCGGCTCAGTTGCCTACGCTGCACCTGGTATGTCTGCTGCCGATGGGGTTTTGCGTTGGACCGGTCGACGAGGGTACTGATTGAAGCGCTGCTGTCACCCACTCCAGAGATGATATCCGGCAAGAAATACTCTGGCCCACAAGCAGATGTATGGTCTCTCGGTAAGACAGACGGAGACAGATGCCAATATGGACTTGGTGTCGAGTCGAGTCCCAGTTGGGTGCTCCCGTTTGTGAACACTTTGCCCTTACGATCCCAAATGCGGGCTCAACTCTGGTGTCCATGGAGCACCCGCCAGGCTGTGAGAGCTGACATTGCTCTGCCGCTCTATCCGACCCAACCCCTTTCCAGGTGTGATTCTCTACACCCTTGTATGCGGCTATCTGCCCTTTGATGATAACAACGACTTGATGGTCCACAAGAAAATTGTAGAACTCGACTACGAGCTCCCTGAATGGCTGAGCGAAGGTAGGGCCCGGGAAACATGGTTGATTTACCGACTTGGCACGGATCCTTCTGTGGTGTGGATCCTTCTGTGGCATGGATCCTTCTGTAGTCTGGATCCTTCTCGTCAGGATGCGCCCCTTGTCGCTGGTCTGACTCGCCGCGGCATCTTGAGCGCTGTACTTTCCAGCACAACACAAGTAGCTGGACAGATACAGAGTGTATGACCCGGCCGTATTGACATCGGGGCGCCAGTCCGCATTGTCAACTGATACCAACGATGGAGTCTCTCTCATGGACATTGCCATTGTTTTGGCCTTACCGCCCTTGGCACCTTGCGCCGAACCTGTGCGCTAACTCCTTGTTGGTTCTGCTGCAGAGAGCACGGATCTCATCAAGAAGATTCTGCAGCTTGACGGCCTCTCACGCCTGAGCATCATCGATATCTTGAAGCACCCTTGGCTTTCATCCGAGGCGCCGGGTGCTGGCACCGATGTCGCTCCGATCGCCGCCATGGACGCGCTGGCTCTCGCCGCGACTCCGATCTCAGCGTCCTTGGCGACGTCTCCACCAGAATCCTCGTCGTTCTTTGCTTCATCGACTCGGAACATGGCCGACGAGGAGCATGTCCTGAGTTTGATGAACGAGCTTGGTCTGGATACGGCCCATATCCGCTCCTCGGTTGAGTCAAATCTATGCGACCCTGCCTCGGCCCTGTGGTATCTTCTCCTCGAGAAACGCAAGGCAACTGCCCTTTCGTCTGTCAATCCAACCGACACGGTCGCGGGCACCATCGACGCCAAGCCTCATCCAGCATCCGCTGGGATTCATAGAGAGTCCCCAGCAAACGCCGCGGCTCCCCAGTCGCCCTTAACGCCCTCGAATGGCATCGTGCAGCCGACGTCTGGAAGCAATCGGCCTCTCAGCGCGGGCTCGATTCGCAGCGCCGGACTTTCTCGGGGAGCGGCTGCTGCCCTCGGTACCAGCCCTCCTTCCGGGTCTTCACACATGAGCAACGGCGGCCGTCGAAAGACCATGATTGAGGCCATGCAGAGCGCCAGCCCTGCCCCCGACAAGAGCCGCAAGACCGGTCGCCGTGCTCCGACCTATGGAGAGCTCGCGCAGCGCAAAATTGCACCCTCCAGCCTTCCTAACGGAACAGAGTTCGACATGGGTCCTCCAAGCCACCCACCCACCCCGACCTATCGTCTCGGTACCGGCATCGTTGAGGAGTCTGAGCCCGAAGAGGATCCCAACTCCAAATACACTCCGCGAAAGACGCCTCAGGGCTCCCCTCCAACGTCGGTCAGCGGCTCGCCTCCCCTCGAGGCCAGCACTCGCCGACTTCAGAGCCGCGTGAGTCGTGCAAGCTTTATCTCGGACAAGAGCACCCAGGGCTCCAACTCTGCGCCGAGCAGTCCCGCGCCACTTGCGGGCACTCGGATAGCGGCGCTCACTCCCACGATTGACGTCAAGTTTGGGGTCTCCACGCCTATGCTCTCGGCCGCCGCCTCCTCGTCCGAAGTCGATGCAACATAGCTGTCCCGTTGACTATCCGGGGTCGCTGGCTGGTTGTTTCTGGTCCCGTCTTTTACGATGATCGTCCGATCTCCGATGCTCAATCGCCTCATTCGTCGATAACGGCTGTGTCACATGCAACGCAAGCCCGCCATTCGGGTTTATCGATGCCATCTGCCGCCTGCGGATGGTCAGGCGTTATCGCCGCTGAACAGCGGCCGACCGAAGGGCCGCCAGTATTCGGCCAAGACGATCCCGCCGTTGGTTCGCTGTGGCCACGCCGACTGAGTCAATTGTTTCGATCGGTTGTACGTCCTCCCGCTTCCCTTTCCCAAGTTCACCTGCCTCATGCCTCCCTTTCCCTTTACAACAAAAGATTGCATCTCATGCCACACGCGCTGCGCCGGTCATGCCCCCACCCTCTCGCACCACCAATCCTGCATTTTGTCTCACACTCTGATGTTTGTGTCGCGACTGTGTGTCGGCCTCCTTTCGATCTGATAGCTTTATTGTATTTCTTCAGCTTTGTCTCGGAGACTCTGTGTGCTCTGGGTATGGGATCTTGCTTGACGCGCACTTTGCCTCTCACCTCCTACATCTCACGAACCATTTAGAGCGTGTTTTATGTCATAAAATGAAACGGTCCGCTCGTTGGCTTCAGTATCTGCTGCGTGTATTCGGGTGGCTCGTCCATGAGAGCGCACCACTTCATCGCCGCAATCAAGGTGCGACATGATTGTGCACCGACCCGATCAGCGACAGGGAATGTGCCTTTGTGATTCAGAAACCTGTGGCTGCTCGCCTCTGGCTCAATCTCCTGTTTCGGTTGATGAGCCCTGTCGCAGCGTCGCTGTCGCTTGCTAGCACTTGCTAGCACTTGCGCCAGTCGGATTGCTCTTTGATATTGCTGGTGCTTGATTTGGCATATCCTCCTGTCTTGTGTCGATGCCATTCATATTGTTCGAGCGGAGGCCACAGTGCTTGTCGAGGTGGCACCCACACCGTTGCAGGCGACGCAATCCACGCATCCCGAACATCTGGCTTTCGAATCGGCTGGATGCGACACTTGCGCCTGGCTTGGGTGGAGGAAGCCGAGACCTGTGGGTGTCCGCAGAGTGGGGTCAATGTACATCCATATAGTGATGTTCGCCCGCGAACCTTCCTCGGTGTGTGGGCAACGGAAACGGGGCTGGAGAGGAGGCTGTGCTGACCTTGGCACTCGCGGCAGTTTTTCTTTGCTGTAACGACGCCGGTGCCGTTGCAAACTTGCAAAGGCGTGATGTGTATGGGGTCGATGTTGGGCCAGCAGGTCAGTCCCAGATATCGAGTCACCGTTCACTCGCCCCCGCCAGGTGCGTGATGGGGCTGCTCGAATTGTGGTGTTTGCCAATCCTGGCTTACCGCTGCATTCGGAACAGAGCTTGCATCGTATGCTCGGCGTTTTGCTGTGTGCTGCTTTGTTTTCATGCTTCCATCCGCGACCTGGGACGCGATCATGTCCAGTTAAAGAGACAGGCGGTCAGGACGAGTAACCTTGGCTGACTTGATCGGCGGATAGTGCCACGGCATACCTTGACAGTTCAGGCACATTGCGCGCTGTGAATGCAGCGGGTCGCTCGTCTGGCTGGTTCGGATGCACTTGATCAGGGTCGTATCGACATCGACGACTCCTAGACTCGAGCAGTGACCACATGGAATGCAATGCGGGCACTGTAGGGACTCGACCGTGGTGTGTGCGTCTCGGGTTGATTCGTGAACGAATCCTCGTGCTGCAGGGAAGATCGATTGATGGAGCACGCTTCAGATAGAGGATAGTCTCGACACGCCAGAGACTTTGACCCGGTTAAGGGCTTCGGTGATCAGACAATAGTCGGTGCGATGAGGAATCATCCCATCACCGACTGGCCATTCACCCATCCGGGATCCACTTGACCCTCTTGCTGTCCTTCACTACCATCGCATACCATGGCACACAGGACATGCCCGCTTGTTGGATACGATGCCACTCCCGGCACAAGCTGGAGCGGACAGACCGGGGTCAGAACTGTCACTTGTCGCGCTGTGGTCATAGACACATGCTGCTCTCGGCGCTGCTCACATCAGCCACGCTTACCGATGCAATCTCGACAGAGACTACACTTTGTGTTGCTTTGAGTATCGTGCTTCCCTCCGGACTCATGACTCCAGCCCTTGCCTTTCGAACAAGAACCACGAGTGAGTTTCGCTGTCCTGTATGGCGACTGGGCATGGAATCTCTGCTCTCCAGCAACCATTTGGCGCGATGGGATTTCGTTCAAGAACAGTCAAAGGTCCCACCTGCGCATCGAGGGCACAACAGTGCCCCGACAAAATCCATACTTCCTCCCATCTCGGATATCGATCCCGCCTTGCCAGTAGATCGCTGTTGGCCGGCCTTTACCCGGAGTGACACCAGCGGACAATCTTGGTCAACTACTCCAACCGAGTCGCAGTCGGGGCAGTCGACGCAAAAACCGCAGCGGAGACTGGGCGAAGCGTCGTGACTCCTTTCGATGTTCAAATGGACGAATCCGCGAGCTGTTGAATGTAACGAGCGCAAGCAGCTAAGTCCACTCTGTTCGTCAACACAGGACACGATGGACGTGGCCTGCTGTATTGCACTTCAAGAGGGTTGAGTGCTGCGGATTGATCCAAGCAGTCTCGTTTGTCGCTGCCAGTGTGCTATATAGTTGGATATCAAGTCCAGCGACAACTTATGAACTCACCGCGACAAGTCTGGCAAAGCTTCTTGTTGGTGACCACGCCGACTCCATAGCAGGCTGAGATTGGACAGGAGCATGCCAAGATCAGATTCATGCCCGGACATTTACCTGGGTCCCGTCAGGGTCCGCTCAGCGGTCAACAGGAATGCACTCGAGGATATCAGCAATCATCCGCTCCAAACGAGCGGCGCTGGACTTTACCCCTGCACGACGAGCAGCCAGGACACCTCTGGTCATGTTTTTGGCTGTGTTTGACGCCGGAATCGTGTCTCCATCCCCGGCCTGCTTGGTTTCAGGTTGAAGCAGCAATGCTTTAGTGCCAGCGTTGTTGTGATGCGCATCTAGTAAGATGTGGCGACGGCTGCGATGCAGGTACATAGGACATCAAGCACTCGACCTTCGCACCGCGGGCAGAGTGCCCTGCCTTTGGTAATGTCGGATTCGTCCAGGATTGGGATGGTTGTCTTGGTGTTGGCGATTCCACCAGATTCCAGGAGGCTGTCGATCTTTTTCTGCATCAGCTTGACGGTGAACTCTAGCTTTTGAACCGAGGCCATTGTTTCGAGGACCATGGGCTCCAAGCGACTGAGCACGAGATTGGCCACATTCATAGCGAGCTCGGAGATGGCTTGTGGATTCGACCCCATCGTGGACCGAGACACAACCGAGGGTGCATATGCCGATCTTGAGGCCACTGGGCTGGCTAGATGCTGCGAGGGTGTCGACGACCCATGTCGTGTGCTGGCTGCGACTGGATGGGGACAACAGAGGCTCGTTGTCAGTCAATAGGCAGTCTTGTGGCTCGACTGCATCGCCGTTGGGCACTCTTTGACGGTCAAACAGAGAAAGCAATGAGCCGCACAGCGGTATTGTCATTGCTCGACCGGCCCTACCGATCCGTCCAAACTTCTCGCTCAAGGGTGTGTCGTCTCCCAAAGGGCTTGTTGGCCCGGTCCCCGCGGCGTATTGTTGGGGCGACCCGCCCGGTCGAGATGGCGCAACGATTGCCGCCGAGTGGGTGGTCGCCAGCAACGGGTGGTCTGTCAACGGCACGTCATCGTCGTCAGCATCCTCGCGGTTGGTTTGGATGCGTGGTGGGCCTGGGATGTCGACGTCGCGCAACTCCTTGAGCGAGGCCGGGGTGTGATGTGCCTGTACAGCGTCCGCTTCCAGGACGCTGAGAGGGACGTCATCGTCTGCGACTGCTGGATGGCCTGCTTCGGCGGACATGATCGTTTTGCGCTGCGGTAATGTGACCAAGTCGACGGCCGGTTAGAACACAGGTGATTCTGTCGGAGTCCCCGCCTTGCCCTCACTTCCACCGTTCTCTGCAGGCTGACCTCTGAACCAAGATCAAGCGAGAAGCAGTGGCGAATTCATCTCCCGGAGGATCTCAAGGCGGTGGTTGCAGACAGAGGCCGCAGCGCCCAAAGTCGCAAGACCGATGCGCAAGGTTTTTGATTGACTGTCTCGCCGCCTCCGAAAGCATCCAAGCGGACCTTCCAGTCTCCCTCGTGGTTGCTGATAGGAGTCAGCATTTCGCAAGTGCCAGGACCACTGCCGAGTCGAAATGGATTCGGGTCATCTCTCGCCAGCAGGAAATTCTTTGTAGGCCGGCTGCCAACAACAAACCAATCTTCCAACCGCCGCGGCTTTCGCAACGCACTACTGCAGTGGCTGGCTGCCGTGGGAGTGGAGTGCAACAGCCAATCACTGCCGCTGCGATTTCCATTCTTCCAGCCGGATTGTTTCCAAACAGTGGCGGCCACGGGCGGGACGAGACCTGCGCGGGTATAAATGGACTTTCGAACTCGCTCGACTGGTCAAATCGCCATTCGACTCTCTCACTCGCCAAGCGCACGATACCTCTGTTTTCTCCATCCCAGCCCAGTCTCTTTGCCAACAATGGTTCGCGGTCCTTCCAAAGCTGCTGCTGCCGTCGTCAGCCCTGCCAACGCTGCCCAGGCCCAGGCCGGCGCCAACAAGGCGCCCCTGAACAACAAGAAGGCCCAGGTAAGACAGGCCGCCATCAATGTAGATGAAAGGTAGATGTGCTCAGGGACACGCCATTGTACAACATGGCACAGTTGCCGCACCGATAAGATCCCTCATGACACTGCTGTATTGTCTTTGTGACCGCGGCGGAACGAATGCACAGGCTGCCCCTGCCAAGACAGCCCAAAATCAAAACGTAAGAGTGTCTGCGATGACCTGATAAATTTCCTCTCCGCATGCTGATTCCATCCGAGGTACTGATTCCATCCGTGGTACTGATCCATCCGTGTTGCTGATCCGCCTTTCCTGGTCGTCTTAGCAGAAGCAGCTGAGTGCCCCGTCCCAGGCTTCGAAGGCCTCGTCTCCCGGGAGCTCGGCTCCCCACTCTCGCTCGCAGACGCCGTCGTCCCCGTCGAAGGCGACTCCCGCCCAGCGTCCTGTTTCGCCCACTAACAAGGCTGCCCAGGCCCCTGCGAAGGCTGCTGCTCCGGTGAAGGCTGCTGCTCCAGTGAAGGCAACCACCCCTGCCAAGGCTGCTTCTCCCGCCAAGGCTGCCCCCGTCCAGCGTCCGGCTTCTCCCACCAACAAGGCTGCTACTCCTACCAACAAGGCTGCCGCTCCCGCCAAGGCTGCTTCCCCGGCCCCCAGGGCTGCGGCTCCTGCTCAAAAGAGTGCCAGTCCGGCACAGAGGGCTTCTTCCCCTTCGGCAAAGTCCCCTACTCTCCGAGCCACTGCTCCGGAATTCAAGTCATCGGCACAGGGCACCTCTCTGCTGACTTCGCTGGTAAATCACAGCCAGGCTCAAAATGCCGCTACCAAGCTTACCGCTCCCAAGCAGGCTTCGAAGGCCTCGTCCCCTTCGAGCTCGGCTCCCCACTCTCGCTCGCAGACGCCGTCGTCCCCGTCGAAGGCGACTCCCGCCCAGCGTCCTGCTTCGCCCACTAACAAGGCTGCCCAGACCCCTGCGAAGGCTGCTGCTCCGGTGAAGGCTGCTGCTCCAGTGAAGGCAACCACCCCTGCCAAGGCTGCTTCTCCCGCCAAGGCTGCCCCCGTCCAGCGTCCGGCTTCTCCCACCAACAAGGCTGCTCCTTCGACCACCTCGCCCAAAGCGGCTACCCCGATCATGATCGCAGCTGCTAAGGCTCAACAAGCTGCTGCTCAAAAGGCCTCTGTGACTCCAAAGCCGGCTGTTGCCAAGACTGATGTCAAGCCGGCTGCTCAGAAAGCGGTAGGCTCCTCTTCCCGTGGCGGCTTGATCAAGTCTGCCAAGACCGGGGCAACGCCAGCTGGATCCACTCACACCTGGCCTGCTGTGAACGAGACCTACTTTGTTGCCGAGCTGTTTAATGAACCCGCTTCCTTCCTTGCTGCCTGTCGCCCGTCCAAGGTCCACTCTGCACGCCCGTCGTCTGCTTCAGCAAAGCCTCAGCAGCAACTCGCCGTCAAGCCCGCCTCAAATGCCTCTTCCGCCAGAGCATCTGCCTCGTCGTCGGCCAACCACTCGCGTTCCCAGACTCCTTCCTCTCCCACCAAGTCTGTGACCAAGGCGCCTGCTCCGGCCACTTCCTTGAATGTTCCGAAGGCTGCCACGCCTGCGATGATTGCCGCCGCCAAGGTCCAACAGGCTTCCAAGACCCAACAAGCTTCTCCTTCCCAGGCATCCAACAAGCTTGCTGCTCCCAAGCAGGCTTCGAAGGCCTCGTCCCCTTCGAGCTCGGCTCCCCACTCTCGCTCGCAGACGCCGTCGTCCCCGTCGAAGGCGACTCCCGCCCAGCGTCCTGTTTCGCCCACTAACAAGGCTGCCCAGGCCCCTGCGAAGGCTGCTGCTCCGGTGAAGGCTGCTGCTCCAGTGAAGGCAACCACCCCTGCCAAGGCTGCTTCTCCCGCCAAGGCTGCCCCCGTCCAGCGTCCGGCTTCTCCCACCAACAAGGCTGCTGCTCCCACCAGCAAGGCTGCACCTTCAGCACAATCCTTGGCCCCCAAGCAGCAGACCAGCAAGCCTGCCTCGGCTAGTTCTTCCGCCACCCATTCTCGGGCGCAAACTCCCCAGCCCAAGGCTAGCAAGGCCACTTCCAATGCATCCTCGGCTACCCATTCGCGAGCTCAAACCCCAAGCCTTCCCGCCAAGGTAGGTGCCCTTGTAATCCCTCGTGGGGACTAGACTTGATGCTTTGTACAATGCCGATCACTTATGCTCCCGCCCCTCACAGGCCAACGACAGCGCTGCCAAGTCGCCCAAGCCCAGCACCAAGCCCAGTGGCCTGGTTGAGCGCATCGACCCCAAGCAAATGGCTGCCGTTGCGGCCAAGATGGAGGCAGAGAAGCAGCTGGCTCGCGCCCAGAGACGAGCCGAGAAGGAGCTGGCTGCGGAGAATACTCGCCATATGCTGCAAGAGGCTCATTTGCTTGAGGAAAACGATGGCTCCAAGTTCGGCGACCGCTCTGGTCGTGCCAGGGACGATCGTCTGGCTCAAAAGTCTCAAAACGAGCGCAAGGCGGCGCAGAAACGAGCCATCTCCGGAAGCAAGTAGGCCCTGCCAACACGGTTACGCTTCTATCATATATAACGATTGCGTTCTTGAACCGAATACGATGAAGGGCTGGAAGATGATTGACATGGGTGTATTGAATGAACGCTTGCCACAGTATTTTCCGATGGAATGAAGCACGTTTTGGAATAAATTGCCTCTTCCGACAATGCCACTCCGGTCAAGACTCTGGCAGGTTGATTGCGCAAACGAGTGTCGTGGGGCCTCTCTGATGCCATCGTAGCGCCAGCTACCGTGGAACATCATCGGTATATGCTGCAAGTCAAGTTTGTGTGTCAAGCGGCGATGACGATCGAGGCTCTCGGCCAGTCGCACTCCGACATGGGGCCTGCAACTCTATTCAACTTGGATTCGGAGCGCTGGGCATGGGCGCATGGAGGGTGCCCCACTGCCTGTCAGGTGCACCGAGAGCAGCGGAGTGGTGCCTCACGCAATAAATCAATGCGACGCGGGCCTCGCTCAGCAACGACGCTCTGTCTCCTCAACAGTGGGTTGAGCCATGGCCGCAATGCTGAGTGCAGCACGGCCAGAGCCGCTTCAAGTGGCACCGTCCTTCCGGTGACGCTTCCGAGGGAGCACTTGCACTAACAACTCGGAGACAATCGGCAAAGCGCCGTGTCACGAGCCGAGGTATCGGCGGCACCGAACCATGGGCGAGGTATCGGGGGCACCGAACCATGGACCAAGCGCAGGCCTCCCTCGTCACATGTCTGCTTCGGGAGGCACCATGTTCTTCTGAGGGGTCCTCAGCGCCGCATGCCTTTCCCGTTTGTAAGGGCGGTGCCTTCTCGTGATCCGCCAGACCCGTCCTTCTCACCAGCCCAGTCATGCGCTGCGCTCCGGCTCGGATCCCTGCATGCTCTCTGTCTGTCGTTTGTCATTCGAGGTTACCCGCTGTCGATGCGGTCCATTCTGTCCGAGTTGAGCCGCGACCCGATGTATGACTTCCTCCAGTCGCCTCCACATTCGTCCCATTCCAGAATCGACATTGTGTAAATTGACGGCCCAGAAACAAACAACTCCCGAAGCGGCACCATCTCCACTTGGGGCGTGATCCCTCCACTCCGTTGCACTCCCGCATGACCAACTGGATCCATCTCGCATTCTGCGTGCCGCATGGGGTTCCGAGGGTCATAAATACAGATGCAGTTCCCAGCCTCCTTCGACCAGCACCACATTCGCCGAGCTCGACCAGCCGCCTCTTGGAGCAACACCCGCCTCTCCACTACTCTCACCAACCCTTCTCCAGCCATGCTCTCACTCAAGTCCTCTGTTGTCCTGCTCCTTGCCCTCGCCGGAGCTGCTTCGGCTGCTCCCAAGCGCAAGAACACCGTCCCCACCAAGCCTGCCATTCGCCAGAAGGGTGTCCACTACAAGGACGGCATCTTCCCTGCCCCCAAGGTCGAGGAGCTCGCTGCTGCCTCCTCCAACGGCCTGACCTACTACGGCGGCCCGGTCATCGCCAACATCGACGTCCACCCCATCTACTACGGCGGCAACGTCAACTACCAGAGCCAGATGGATACCTTCTATGGTGCCATCGTTGGCTCTCCCTACATCAGCTGGCTCTCCGAGTACAACACCCCCACCCAGAACATCGGCACCGGTACCTTCTCGGGCTCGATCACCCAGAACTCTGGCCTCAGCACCTCCACCAGCGATGCTTCCATCCAGGTATGCTCTGCCTGTGACAGTTCCAGCGACATCTCACACGCTGTTACTAACTGGCTTGCATATACCCCTGTTCATTGCAGACCTGGCTCCGCGGCCTTGTCCAGAGCGGCACCCTCAAGCCCACCACCAACACCTACTACCCCATCCACTTTGCCCCTGGATATTCCATCACCATGGGCGGCGACTCGTCCTGTGTCCAGTTCTGCGCCTACCACGGCACCATCGATGTCTCCGACATCAGCTCGACCAAGTACCTCTACTACGGCATCATGCCCGACCAGGGTGGTTCCTGCGCTGGCGGCTGTGGCAGCGATCCCTCGACCCTCAACAACCTCCAGTCCGTCTCGTCCCACGAACTCGTCGAGGCTCTGACTGATGCTGCTGTCGGTGTCGCCACCGGCAGCACCATTGCTGCACCCATCGCCTGGTACAACTCGGCCAACGGCGAGATCGGTGATCTCTGCAATGCCCAGCAGGCCACCGTCTACGGCACCGACGGCAAGACCTATGTCGTCCAGAAGCAATGGTCCAACTCCCACAACGGCTGCTATGCACCCACCGGTGTCCAGCCCTCCAAGACTACCGGCGGTCCCTCCAAGACCACAACGACCACGACGACTACACCTGCCAAAACTACCACGACCACCACCACGGCCAAAACTACCACCAAGTCCACCAAGTCCACCAAGACCAAGACCACAACGACTACCACGACCACCGTTGCTCCCACCCCCACTGGCCTGCCCCACGAAGGTGATGCTTGCGATTACGAAGGTGAATACGCCTGTGGAGACGAGAACGACATTCTCTACTGTCTGGGAACTTGGTTCCAGCTCGAGGTTTGCTCCAGCGGCACCAGCTGCATTGAGGGCTACTATTACTGTGGCTGAGGGAATCGCTTCCCTTTCATCCGACATGACTGAGCTTCCTCGGATGTGGGTCTCATATGGTGCGTTTCAGGTCAAATTCTATGAGTGATCGGTGCGAGGGGAATATAGTATCACGATTCAGTCTGTCGCTGCTAGCAGCATTGCCGAAATATAGGAAAGGGGAAAGCCTTTATTTGAAATTCGTCGAGTTCATGGGCACGTTGACTCTTCGGTGAGAAATCCAAGAGATTGTTGCAGGCACATTGCGATTGAAAACAGAGCCACACGGCTGTCGGGAACATACTCGCTCGATGCAGGCCGAGTATCTCGGCGATGGCCTTCATGGAGCATCCGCAGCTGTGTTGACGAAGGAGAGCCGGGGTCTGCGACAGATGTTCGCAGTGGCAAATGTAATGCCGATGCTGATCTGGACAATTGGTATCCATGAATGAGGAAAGTGCGGTGCTTTTTGGTGTATTGGAATACACGGAATGGCACATACGACACAGCCAGCAACTGTCGCTTCATCGGGATCGTGTTTTTGGTGGTGTTAGCGGCGCGATCGCTCAGCTGGGTCGTTGCATGTTCGGTGCTGCAACTGGATAGTTCGTGAGTGAAACGCGAGTGTATCTCGGGAATCAGGGCCAAGAACCAAGAGCCAAGAGACTGTTGATGGCACCTCCGTGACCATGGCCGGCGGACTGGCGATACCAAAAAAGAGCTGTGTCGATGTTCTTGGCGACACCCCAGCCATTGTGGTAGCAGTTGCCGATTGAGTACTCGCCGTATCGGTTACCCTGCTCGCCCGACTTGCGGAACCACTCGGCTGCCTTGGTGTCGTTCTTGGCGACTCCAAATCCAAAGTGGTAGCAGCCGCCAACCCACCACTGCCCGTATGAATTGCCTTGGTCGGCAGATTTGCTGAACCACTGGAAGGCGCTCGAGTGGTCCCGCGACACTCCAAGACCACATCTGTAGCATTCTCCCATCCAATATTGACTGTCGCTGTGGCCTTCGTTGGCGAGTTGCTCGAAAATAGCCGATGCTTTCTGTTGGTCTTGAGTGGTTCCGAATCCAAAGTGCAGACAGACGGCCACGAGGTGCTTGCAGAGCCAGTCTCGCTCCGATCCCAGCTGGCACTGCTCAAAGAATTTGCAAGACACGGATGTGTTGCTTGGGGCCATAAACCAAACGGCAAGGCACTCGCTTTCCCCAAGCTTAAACTCATCCGATTCGTTGTTACGGATGATTTTGATTCCCTTCTGCTCGTCTCGCTCGGTACCTCGGCCAAGGTAATGCATCCAGCCGAGCATGTGGGTGGCGATGGGTTTGAGGACCCTGTCATCCGACTTGGTACTGACCTCCTGCCAAAGCAAAAAGGCGGTATGGTCGTTCTGGGGCACTCCTTCGCCCAGGAACACGAACCAGGCCAGCTGGAAGGATGCTTCGAGGTTGCCATGGTCCGAAGAGGCCTTGTGGAGCTGGGTTGATCGACCATCCGCACCAAACTTGGCAACCTCGAGACAGGCTTCAGGATTGCCTTGCTTGACACAGGAAACGAGAGGGCCTGGAAGGTGGATGGCCGAGTCGATGCCATCGAACATACGTTCGCTGGTTCGACCAGACGGGGGTGGAGACTCGGTATGCACTGAAGCGTGGTTGAATCGACGGAGGGTGGAGAGAATCTCAGGGAATTCAAGGCGATCGATCGGGTGGTGAGCCCAGCAGCGTTCGATGAGGGCCCAGATATCGGTTGGGACGCCGCTGACCCGCTTGGGGCGCTTGCCGCTACAGGTTTGCAACGCAATTGTAATGGGGCGCATAGGTTGTCCATCATTCGTGACCCAGACCGGTTTGGCGTCGTTGAGGACTTCGTGCATTGTGATGGCGAAAGCGTAGACGTCTGTCTTCATGGTCGTGCCGCTAGGGTCATCGTCGTCAAGCATCTCGGGGGCCATATAGCCATCAGTGCCGCCGTTCAGGTCACTGGATCGGTTGCGGTCCAGCGAGGCAGACGTGTGTTTGGTGCGTGACAGCCCAAAGTCGCTGAGGACGGCATTGAATCCACTATCGAGGAGGATGTTGGCGGCTTTGAGGTCGCCGTGGATGATGCGACGGCTATGGAGATAGGCCATCCCCGAAGCCACCTGGTAGAGCAGACGGAACTTCTCGTCAAGGGAGACAGGATCGTCTGGATCGGACACATGGTCGCGAAGGGTGCCATTCGGCATGAACGGCGAGACCAT